ATATTATATTGTTGGATGTGCATCATATTATTTCATTCTCACTTTTCTCTTTGCCTCCTCTCTCTTTAATAATAAGAAAATATCAAAAATAATATTTAATATTTAAATAATTACTTTACATTCATTTTAATAAAAATTAGTCAAACTTGGAATCAAGAAATAAAAATCAACGATGAATTTAGATCCAAATTGTACAAGCATGCAAAGTTTAAACTTGCTCCAACATAGAGATCATCATTTGAGAAATGGTAGAAAATATTTAGTTATAGTGCATATGATACTAAGTATTAATCCCATATGAAGAATCACTATGTAGTTATGTTGATTATTAATTCACTTGAATTTATAAAGATATAATACTACTTTTGTGATCATATGACCATAATCATTTCATTCTTGACAAAAGAATTATAATTAACATCCACATTCTAATAAAGAAATAATACATAATTTGATTGGAAACCATCTTCATGTTCACATATGAAAATGAACATATTCTTACCCTTACCTTTGTTATATTGCAGAAGAATCAAGAAACAACATAAAATCTTACTATTTTTTCTCTCAATGAGCCAAAATTAAGATCCAAAAGAATTTATAAGAGCATGCTTACATTAGGCTTTTTGGTTTTGTAGAACTTGAGATCTACTTTAATATATAGTATTCCTTTCATTCTAATCTAGCATGTGATCAATGTCACTATATTAGGATGACAACTTTTTATGAATTTCAACAATTTCTTAAGGTGCCCAATTTTATTCTATGATCTCTACTTCATTTCCACCCAAGCTCCTAATATGTTCTACTCTCTGTGGTTTCTATGGGAAGAGAATAAGCTAGACTCTAGCCCCAATCAGCTGCTTGAGTACACTATTGCAATCGGCGGCCACAAGTGGTGCATGGTAGTGACGACGACGATAAAGAAGAACATAGAGGGTTGTGGAGATGGACTTGGTGATGTAATCTTACTATCATTTCTTATGAGATATATATGATTTCCTCATTGTTTCTTGATCCTTTCTTAGAGAGAGAAATAGGGGAGAGAGAGAGAGAGAGAGAGAGAGAGAGAGAGAGAGAGAGAGAGAGAGAGAGAGAGAGAAGGGGGGTTGTGCTGGCATGGTCAGAGCTTGAAACAACCATTCTATAAGGCAGAGGTGGTAAGTGGAACAGAGGGAACTCATGCTTCCAAGGGATTAGTGAAATAGCAAGGTCGGTTAACAATGATTGTGGAGGCCTCAAAACCTGACGCCGCCAATGACATCTATAAATCTCTTCAAGGTGAATCCTATAATTTCTCCTAATCTCCCTCTCATGATCCTCATGTGAGGCTAATACTTGCCTAGTGACACGTGTGAGATTTCTATTAGTATGTTTTTATTTTCTTATTAAGACATTTGTTTTCAATTAAATAAGTCACACCCCATATTTTATGAATTTATGCATAAGCTCTCATATGCATATTTTTGGTCTTTACCTTTACATCCATAGAGAGTATAAACATAATATAAAACCCTCTTCTTTACTAGATTTAGTAATGTCTACATTCGCCTTACTTAGATCTAACATACTAATTGATAGAATGTTGTCTTACAAGAGGCATTATATTATTGTAAAATGTTGATTTTAAAAAATATATGGTAGAGTTCATATTCACTTGCTTTGAATAACAAAGTTTTGGATGCAAAAACTCACTACTAATATGAGGTCATTCTTGTAATATTGTGACAAATGCTTGAGGGGAGATTGAAGATATAAGTCATACAAAGGGCTGGCCATCTTGAGAGTTGAAGGGTGCATTAAGTGCCACAATGCCACACAAGGTATTGATAGAGAAAAGTAACCTATTAGGGTGTGAAACTAAGCTTCCCCACCTAGAGGAGGGGATCAAGCATATGTATTTTACACATTGTCACAAGTTCAATTTATTAACAAGTATGACTAAAGATTTGTAATTCAATACCATATAAAAAATATATGGTAGTCAGATAATCTAGATTCGGTGGCCACTCATGTAGTATTTTTTGAGAGAAGTGCATGTGTATCTTGGTGTAGAAGATTTTTTTTTGCAAAAAACGAAGGAAGAAAGAAAGGGAGGATGAAGCAAGGACTATGATGAAGCCCTCAAAGAGAGAGAGAGAGAGATAGAGAGGGCACACCTCAACCAATGATATTGAAATGATGAGTATTGTATTGAAGCTCAACCCTAAGAAGAGAAGACATGGCCACAATTAACTTGAAGATGAAGGGGTCTCTCCCATCTCTTTCAAATGGGCTTCACCACATAAACATGTACTTCATTGTAGAATTGTGTCTAATTGACTTTATCCCATAGGCTTTAGTTTTATCTTAGAAACTTATCAAATAATATTTATTCGATGAACCATCAAAGGTACTAAGCACCTGAATTTTTCATGTACACTTTATATGACTTGTGGTCATCAATTTATGAAAAATAATATAGGGTGTTATTTTATCATAGAGATTTAGTTGATACTGACTTCATCCAACAAGGATGATCTAAATTCGTATAAACTCCAGGAGCCCAATAAACTTGTGGACTCATTGACAATGTATAAATAAATTATCTCCAATCTATAAAAAATATCAACAAATAACATGTTTATTTTAAAAAATTAAATGTAGAAAATTCACATTACAACAATATGTTGCTCTTTGAAACCGATCATATCGAACTCAATCCTCTCTCTTTTTTTTTTAAAAAAACTCAATGCTCATATCAGCTTTGATTCTTCCAATGTGATTCCATAGGAAGGTGCGATACCTTAAATGTGACTTGTCTCATATTTGACGCAAGTAGAAAAATCTATCACCCTAAAGAGTTAATAACAATCTCTATCACTTCTTTGAATGCTTTCTTAGAGGTGAGAATTCAGCCAGGGTTTGGAGAAAAAGACAAGAAAAACTAGATTATGTGACCAACTCATGGACTTATGCTTGAAGCTACTTCCGCTTTGTGTAAAGGTGCTTGCCAAGGATGAAAAACTCACAACATCTGGTTATGGTGAAGCAGCCATTATTACCTGATCTTATTTACATAATTTAATTTTTTGTCATATATGTGCATACTTTGATGTTATTGAGCCGATAAACTAATAATCTGACCCATTATTATATTTGGGCCTTAAACAAGAAAGGCCCAGCCCAATATATGATGCTTCTCACCTGGCCTCTCACCATTTTGATGAACGAATTGGAACTCATATACATTTAATCGAGTTCAAAAAAAAATCTGGATTTTTTCAATTAAAAAATTAAAAATAATTTGAATAATTAAGGCTTAGATTTCGGCGTAATGATAGCAAGAGTAGCTTGCAGTGAATGAAAATCTTTCGACCGACTTGGAGGTAAGGAGAATGGTGTGATAAATTTGATCCTGTTCATTGAACGCAAGTGTTGATGGAGATTCTCAGCCGTCCGATCGGTGGATCTCGTACCCGAGGATCCTAGCTTTCCCTAGATCGCTTCCTGCGCCAGAGATTCTTATCCCTCGACCCCGCTGCCAAGCGTGAAACGGTGCACCGGGATCCTAATGAGGTGCGTATCAATGTTCATGTTGCCTTGTACGTCTCGATTTGCGGACGCACAGATCCTCAGGATGTTGATTTGTCCACGATCGCTTTCCACGCATTTCTGCTCAGCGTTCCTATGCGGTGAACATCGACACTTACGGTATCGGGGATTTTTGACCGGCATAGCCGGTTGCTCTTCCTTCGCAACCGGGAATTTTGGTCGAGAAGGAAGGGGCGGTACGTTGTCTTCGTCTATCCCTGGAATCTTGGGAAGTCTCCTCCTCCTCCTCATCCTTCCGCATTGCCGGTGGAGATCTCCACGCCGAGGAATCATTGCTTTCTCCTTTTTCTTTTCCGCCCGGCGAAGGTAATAAATTCGCCATCATGCTTCGTCGTCATCATTGCGAATCGATTGTGTTCATGCCTCGGCAGTGTGGACACGGTTTTATTTTTTCTCTATTGCGCGCGATGGCTTGTGTTGTGTGCTTAGATCTGGGATTGTGATCTTCCCGATGTCGAGGGCCCGGGTTACAGGTGGAGCTGCTTTATTGTAGTGGTGAGGCCGGTTTGATGTCTGCGATGCCGCTCGTTTGTTTCTGTCCTGTTGAGTGTGCTCATTCGTGTTTCAACATCATCTGGTTCGGTTCTCGTTCAAATTTTATTTTGATATGGAAATAGGTTTCCAGGCGGAGTAATCATGCTGAAACTACTCTAACGTGATGAAATTCTTAGTATAACATTGATGCGTGAAACTTATCTGAAATAAATATCATGTCTCGTGGGGCCGTTTTTTCTTTTATTCCGCCTCTTCGTAACTAGCTGGAGAAAGTTGGCGCTGTAATTTATTTATTTTTCTTCTTCAATTTCGTTTATCACTTTCTTTATCTCAATTGTTCACAAGATGAGACAGATTCAGGCATGCCAAGTTTATAGATTTGCCGTATTATATGACAGCATTATTTTTTTTTTAATTTTCTGATTGCTTCTTTATTTCCTCTGTATTTCATGCTAATCGGAGTTCCTCGTATTTCCACGCCTTCGTTAAATCTATTTCTTTTCTAAATAATAATCTTTGCAAAAGTTGCCTTTAATATAGAATTTTATTTGAGTATCAATTTGCTTAGGCGATGGGGATCTTTCCTCCCTTTCTCAAATAATAGCATCTGCTGTTGATTTACTCTTCTCGTTAATATTATCTTTCCTGGTATTGATCAATGGAGGCTGTTTATATAAAGAAAGCATATTTTCAAGATATTGAAATAACCTATCTCATTCATGTGGCACTCATTTTAAGGGGGTTTTATGGCTTGAAGTAACGCAATAATCGTGTATATAAGATCTGCTCATATTATTGAATGGATGGAAGTCTCTGAATTTTTAGAATCAATGACGGTCAAAATGATTTTCTTTCAGAGTGGTAAGATTTGCTGTTTTAGTGGAACTTTAGTTTGACGGATTGTATGGTTCACCATGGCCGGTTATGAAAAGGAAGGAGAAGAAACTTCATCCCGGGGGGTTGACTGGGAAGTCGTGTCTCTCACGGCATCTGCATATGCTGCTGCACCTGGCAATGAAGGAACTAGCTTCGTTGGTGGCAGTAAAGATAGAGATTTTGATGGGGACGACAGTGGATACGCTAGGGCGATGTTTATGTCTGGTCATTTTGTATTCCCACCCAGTGCGCACGAGAATCTGCCCCTGGAACCTGACAATAACGAAATCCTTAACCGATCGCAGTTGGAAGATGCAGATATAATTCAGGAGGAAGCTGATGTAATTGACAAGGATGGGGACAAGATTTCGACCGGCAAAGGCTTATCTAAAAATGATAATCTCCATGCCATTCAGTTCTCTGATATGAGTGAGAGGCTTTCTGTCAGTGGTGTAATGCCTGAAGAAGACATGGCAACTTTGCAAGGATACAAATTAGATGAGGAAGGGAGGAGGATGTGCAGCCATCCTGGTTGCACGGAAGGTGAAACAGATGAAGGTGGGTCAGTTCAATTTGATGACGGAAACGACATTGCTGCATCAGACGATTCATCAAGCAAGAGTTCAGGTTTTTCTTCAAAGCCACTTAATCATTCCAAGTATAGCGGGTCTGGAATCCCCTGTGAATCGTGGTGGAAGAGGCGAGCAGCAGCACTGTATGCTCATGCAAAGGAGGCGGGTACCTTGTGGTCTCTCTGTGCTGCTGCTGCTCTGATGGGCCTTGTGATTTTGGGACAGCGGTGGCACCAGGAAAGGTGGCAAATTCACCACTTTAATTCTCGGTTCAGCATCAATGAGGAGGTATGACGGATAAATCATAGAAAATCCTTTTACTATCAATAAACATACATTTAAGTAAGGTCTCAACACTTCTACCTGGGTTTTACTGGGAATTTTGACCATATACGAATTTGCTCCTATTTTTTCATTTACTTTCACTTGTATTATGTTTATATTTTTTTGGTAGTCATCGTATTTGACTTTTACTCGATGTAGCTAGAGAAATGACATCAAGATATGATGATCTTTCTATTTCTACTTATAATCGGACTCCTTTTAAGTCGAAAATGAACATATTCCTACCCTTTCCCTTGTTGTCTTGTTGTATTACACAAGAATCAAGAAACAGCATAAAATTATAGCATTCAGAAGAAGTTACAAGAGTTTGCGTACCTTACCCTTTTTGGCTTTGTAGAACTTTGAGATCGACTTTAATATATAGTATTCCCTACATTCTAATGTTGCTATGATTGCTATTAATGTTAATGGGCGAAATGAAATTCTTACGCTAGTTTGCCAGGCAGAGATCCAGCGTTTAGCTGTTCTATTAGTTCCCAAGAGAATTGCGAGAAAGAAAAAGAAAATTGTCCTCCATAGCTTCGGGCCAGAATTGTCGAACGTTTATTTGCTCCAGACTGAGGATCTGATTCACTACTGCTTTCTAATTTCTTCCCTTTTTCTCTCCAAGCCTTGTACCAGTATAGAAGGTGATCCAATCATCCAGCTTACAACGCTCCCGTTTAACCCGTTGAATCGATTTCTTTTGTTCTATAATTCCTGCTTCATTCCCATCCGAGCTTCTGATCTGTTCGTACTCTCTGCCGTTTCTATGGGCAGAGAATAAGCCGGATTCTGGCCCCGGTCAGCCGCTTCAAGTACGCCATCGCAGGCGGCGGCCACCGGCGGCCTCCGGCGGCCATGTCTCCTTCCCTCTGAGGGAAGGGGCGATCCGGGCCGGCGGCGGCGCATGGTGATGACGACGACCACGAAGAAGAAGAACGCCAAGAATGCTGGGGGTTGTGGAGATGGACTCGGTGATGTAATTTTACTGCGATTTCTTGTGAGATATATATGGTTTCCTTTCTTAGAGAGAGAAGTAGGAAAGAGAGAGAGAGAGATAGACTAGGGGTTGTGCGGGCATGGTCGGAGCTTGAAGCCGGCGTTCTACAGGGTGGAGGCGGTGAGTAGAACGGAGGGAAGTCAGGCTTCCGGGGGATGCGGTGAAGCGGCCGGGTCGGTTAACGGATTGCGGTGGCCTCAAATGGCGCCGCCGAGGACGTCGCCGTCGTCGGCGACGACGGCGACTTGCGCCGTGAATCCCCCCGAGGCGAATCCTGCATTTTCCCTGAGTTCCCTCTCATGAGCAGCACGTGAGACTAGTACCGTGCCCGGTGACTCGTGTGGGACTCCTATGTTAATTAAATAAAAGTGACTCCCCATATTTTACGGATTTATGTGTAAGCCCTCGTATGCATATTTTCGGTCTTTATTTATATCCATAGATACTATAAACTTAATATAAAACCCTCTTCTTTACAAGATTTAGTAATAGGTCCGGATTAGCCTTACGGATCTAACGTATTATTTATTAGCTGATAAATGTTCTTGTAAAATCTTCATTTTTTAAAAAAAATTATGATAGGGCCCATATTCACTTGCTTAGAAGAACAAGGTTTTGGGTGCAAAAAACTCACTACTAACTTGAGGCAACACATGCAATATTTGTGACAAATGCTGAGGAGAGATTGAGAATACCAACCATACAAAGGGTGCATTAAGTGGCACAATGACACAAGGAATTGACTGAGAGAAGTAACCCATTAGGGTGCTTAGACTAAGCTTCAATTAAATTTGAGCAAATATGTCCTGCCCTTTGAGAGGAGGGGCTCAAGTCAAATAGCAAACATGTCCCCTAAAAGGCTTGCAATCTTTTGATTGGATGAGTCACATGAACAAAGGTAGCTAAATTTGTGAGATTTTATCATAAATTGATACCAAATAATCAAATTGGAAGTGAGATAGGAATTCTACTCAAGTCTTGGTTGTCATCTGCTGCAAGATTCCTTAGTGATTGGGAATTTGTATTCTTACAAGGCTAGTAGGCCAACCCTTCTTACCTATTAGAGAGAGGTAGAGAGAGAAAGAGATTCATAAGGTTGAGATAAATCAATACGGAAAGGTTGTGAGAAGCTCTAGAGTAATGTGATAAAATTAGGCTTTTATCTTTTTATAGGGAGAAATTGAAATTTCCTTTCATATAATGCTAGTAGGCCCCTTCTTAGCTGGTAGAGAGAAGTAAAGAGAGAGAGAGGAGAGAGATTCACAAGGTTGAGATAAATGAGTAAAGAAGTGAAGACAGGAAGGTTGTGATAGGCTCTAGAGTATTGTGATAAAATTAGGCTTTTGATTTTTTTAAGGAAGAAATGAATTTTTTCTATAGTTGGGGAAAAATTAATTGCAAAGCGCGGTTGAGGGTTTTAGAAAATTAAGAACAGTTAGTTAATTTATTATTAATATAGGGTTACATAAAAACTATTTTGTGTAAAACCCTTAGATAGTTATATTTTATGAAAAGTCTTCAGGAATGAGCCACAAAAGATATTATGAATAGTGTGGTGCCCTTTGTGTAAAGAGGCATTTATTTCCCTGTATGGATCCTTCGAGAAACCGCAGATGGCTTCTGCCCTTTGTGCCCGTCTCCTCCTCCCTCCCCCCCCTTCCTCCCTGCGGCAGGAAACCCTAGTGTGAGGAGTTCGATTCTATGCGATCCGAGAGCGTCCATGGCCGTTCCCTAGTCGAAGCTTCTCCTGTTCGCAGGTTTCCAACCCTCGCCGGTCGATGGCGAACGTCACGCCCGAGGTGCCCCCTTCCGGCTATCAGGAGGAGTACGTTCTGTGCTCCGGCGTTCGCTCGGGCCTCAAGCGCGAGTTCGCCTTTGCCCTGAAGGCCCAGGCTGAGATGCTGATGGCCCCGATGGGTCGGACCCGTTCCGGAAAGATTCAGCACTCCTCGGCTCCTTCTCGAGAGCCAAACGCCAAAAGGCGCAAGAAATTGGAGGGGGCGAATTCGCCATCCGGAATGCTCTCCCCGTCCGAAAAATTTCACATTCTTTCGGGATCGGAAGATGTGGAATCTCTCGGGGTGGAGGTAGTGGTTGAAGCTGCATTGTCTGTTGGTGCCGATGACGAACAGATGGAAGTTGCAACATCAAATGCGGATTCTGCGATGGCTCAGAGAAATAGATCGGTGGGGGATACTTCTGTCGCCATGCAGATCGAGTCAATGCCTGTGCAGGAGATGCCTCAAGCGGTTCAGATCGAGGTAGGGGCTTCAACAGAAAATGTCCCATCAATTCATGTGGATGAGAGCTCTGTGAAGAAGGTACCTCAAACGAATCAGATGGAGGAAGGGTCTAGAAGAGAGAAGATCTCATCGACTCACGCGAAACCTGAGCAGACGGTGCCTCAAATGAATCATGTTGAAGAAGGGGCTTCGACAGAAAAGGTCCCATCGATTCAGGTATACGCGAGACCTGTGCAGAAGATGTCCCCAAGGAATCATGTCGAGGAAGGGGCTTCGACGGAAAAGGTCCCAATAATTCAGGTATACACAAGACCTTTGGTGAAGGTGCCTAAAAGACATAATGTCGAGGAAGGATCTTTGGCAGAAAAGGTCCAATCAGTTAAGGCATACACGAGACCTGTGGTCAAGGTGGCTCAGGCAAACCATATTAAGGAAGGTGCTCTGACAGAAAAAGTCCGGTCGATTCGGGTATATGGGAGACCTGTGGTGAAGGTACCTCAAACGAACCATGTCAAAGAAGGGGCTTTGATAGGAAAGGTTGCCTCAATTCAGGTGTATGCGAGACCTTTGGGGAGGGTGCCTCAAGGAGGTCATGTTGAAGAAACTTCAACGGAGAAGGTCCCATCAACACAGGTATCTTTGGGACCTGTGATCAAGGTGCCTCAAGCGACTCATGTAGAGCAAGGGTCTTCTACAGAAGATATCTCATCAATTCAGGTAGATGCGAACCCTGTGGTGAAGGTTCCTCAAGCGAATCATATTGAGGAAAGGGCTTCTGCAGAAAATACATCACCAATTCAGGTAGACGCAATCCCCGTGGTGAAGCTTCCTCAAGCGAATCATGTTGAGGACGGGGCTTCTACAGAAAATACATCACCAATTCAGGTAGACGCAATCCCCGTGGTGAAGCTTCCTCAAGCGAATCATGTTGAGGAAGGGGCTTCTACAGAAAATATATCGTCAATTCATGCAGGCGCGTGCCCTGTGGCGAAGGCTGCTAAAAAAAATAATGTAGATGAAGGGCCTTCTACAGAAAATGTCTCTTCAATGCGAGTAGATGCAAGCCCTGTGGTGAAGGCACCTCAAACGAATCATGGAGACGCGAGCCCTGCGGTGAAAGTTCCTCAGGTGAGTCATGTCGGGGAAGAGACTTCTACAGAAAATTTCTCTTCAATTCAGGTAGATGCAAGCCCTGTGGCAAAGGCACCTCAAACGAATCATGTAGACATGAGCCCTGCGGTGAAGGTTCCTCAAGCGAATTATGTCGAGGAAGGAGCTTCTACAAAAAATGTCTCTTCAATTCAGGTAGATGCAAGCCTCGTGGTGAAGGTTCTTCAAACGAATCATGTTGAGGAAGGGGCTTCTACAGAAAGTATCTCATCAATGCAGGAAGATGCAGGTTCTATGGTGAAGTTTCCTCAAGCGAATCATGTTGAGGAAGGAGATTTTACTGAAAGGGCCTCTTCGGTTCAGGTAGATGCAAGCCCTGTAGCGAAGGTTCCTCAAATGAATCATTTTGAGGAAGTAGCAGCTTCTACGAAATATATCTCATCAGTGCAGGTAGACACTAACCCTGTGGTGAAGATTCCTCTCACGAATGATGCTGAGGAATGGCCTATGATAGAGGTGCCCAACTCGACTGTGGTAGAGATCCCTGTGGAGATAGACAATGGTGTCTCTCAGAAGATCGAAGAAAATGTCATGGGGGAGGAACCCATGAGGAGGTTCACTCGCTCTTTACTAAAAGCCGATGTGAAGGAACCAGCACTTCCCATTGTTGAAGAATCACCAGTTTTGACAGCAGAAGCTTCCTCCGCAGCCAGTGGTGGTTCTGTTGGTTTTGAGGAAATCAAAGTCTCAGCTGATACAGTAAACGCCTCTGATGAGCCATTAAGGGTGACGCCACAGAGGAAAATGGAGTTGAAAATGTCGAAGAAGATTGCATTGTCGAAGTTTCCGTCAAATATTAGAGACTTGCTTGCAACAGGTTTGCTTGAAGGATTGCCAGTCAAATACCTCATTCATAGCTATGACAAGGTACTTGCATTTTCTTCATCACAGATTTTGTTTTCTTGTGGGATGTTGTTTCTTTTTTTTCTTTAGAATTCTCGTTTTGGTAATTTTTTATAGCAGCAATGATTTCTGTCCGCCGCCAGGTGAAGCATGCTTATTCTGAGAGAAGACATTAGTTTGTGGAATTGTACAGCCTAATTTCGGTTTTATCCTCTTTCTTTTATTTCAACATTTCTAATTCAGCTTCGACTATCCCGTGGCTTAACCACTGCAGCAAGGAGGGCTTCGTGGAGTGATCAAAGGTGGCGGCATATTATGTTTTTGTGCTTCTTGCAAAGGGTTGAATGTAAGTACTACTTTCTTTCTTTTTGCTTAAATTTTGTGAACGTTAATTAGTGTATTCATCACTACTAATTAAATGTAAATCTGCTAATAATCTGTTTATGTTAAGTAATGACATGGTGTTTTACTGTGGGGGTGGGGGGCAGACCGTTTCTGCCTACAATTTTGAGCTCCACGCTGGCAGCAAAAAAAAGCATCCTTCTGATTTCATCTGTCTGGAAAACGGAAATACAATCCATGACGTTTTGAGGGCGTGCTCTAGTGCTCCTTTGGACATGCTGGAATCGACGATTCAGAATGCAATTAGCTCTGAAGGGGCCAAGCTTTTGAACACTGACAAATGCAGAGGTGACTAATCAAAGTCAGCCTGATGATTTAGTCACGATTAACTTTGGATGTTCACCACTTTTTTAATTAATGTCGATGAACTGCAGATTCCTCTGCCAGATCACATACTGGAAAGTCGGCATTGCTCTGTGATCCGTACCTGGCTGTAAAACAATCTCCAACAAGCCCAAGCCCATCTCAGGATAGTATCAGCACATCCAGGTGTGTCTACTTTTGAAGTTCAGTCTCGTTGGCTTATATGGCAATATGTAAAGTCACAAGTGAGAATTTTCTTGATTGCTTCCACAAGATTTACTAAGAATGATTATGGAAGGGTTTTTGTGTTTAAAACTGATGTAATTAGCACAGTAAAGGTTGTTGTCCGGTGCCCTTTGGAAATAATTTTCACTCTATGCTGCATCACATCTCGCATTTAAGCTAGGAAATAAGCATAAGAGTTAGATATCTATACTTCTTATTTTGGCTGTATTAGAGGCTGCTAAGTTGTCCTACTACCGTTTGGATTTTTTTTTTTTTGCTTGTTCGTATTGGATTAATTTACTTCTTGTGATGTTGGTTGTCCAGCACATTGCTTTGCTAAATGCTAACTTTGTCAATTGACAGAATCTGTATTAGTTGATGTTGGTATCCTTATTTTTCAAATCGATTACCATTGAGGGCTGAATCTTCTGGCAGATAAATAAATATACTAATTTTCTAGTTTACAAGAGGTCATCGACTCAAGCTATAAGGAACAAGTTCAAATGTTCATCTATTTGACAGAACACAATGACGGGAGTCTATGAACAATGAGAAAAAACGACCTACACATGGAAAAATGTCCCTATCTCGGTAAAAAGCTCTGTATGACTTGTAGATGCTTGCACTCACGCAATAAAAAGCATTCCTGACTGTAGGTGGAAGAAATGGACCAGTACTAGGGGATCTCATGATTTGGTGACGTATCCTCCATGTGACCTTTTGAACCATTTGGAGTGAGAGAAACAAGTGGTATTGTTGTCTTGCATTGGACAGAAATAGAGCTACATTAGACCTCATAAGAGGTAAGTACCTTTCCTCTCAAATAACAAGGGGAACAAACATTCGATGTCCTAAGGGAAAAATAAAAGAAAAAAAAATAGAAAACAGCATAGTTTATGCAGTTTTAAAAAATGCTTTTATTGTCACACTTCCTTCGAATTTATTAATTCGGTGATCTTTGTCTATGTAATGCCAAATTGGTATCTATCAAGACGGTCCAAGTAGATTCCCAAAGAACTGGAATTTCACATTTTCTGACTCTTTATATTTTCAGAACTTGTTCACCTTTTTTTTTAATGTAGCCATCTTGTGCTTCTTTCTTCAGGCATTCGAGATCCATTTTTTCACCAAAACTTTCTGAGAGCACGGCAAAATGTATATCAGCACAAAAGGGCAGTCGAGGACGAATGACCACGAAGTCAGTATTTGATTACATTTTCTATAATGTTGGCTTTTATGCATTGTTCTGTTCCTGCTCAGTTCTCATTTAGAAACCTTTTTTAGGGATTTACGACTGCATAAGTTGGTATTTATGGATGATATCTTACCGGATGGAACTGAAGTTGCTTACTATGCTCGTGGCCAGGTTGTTCGTTTTGACATTTGTTTTCTTTCTTCATTTGTATTCTTTCTCTAATGACTTTCATATTTTTACCTTCAGAGATTGCTTGGTGGCTATATTAAAGGTTCCGGAATATTTTGCCATTGCTGCAATACAGTGGTATGATTGTATTCCTTTATGCGTTTTGTCTGCTCCTCATTTCTACGGAATTATTATATGCTTTTTTTTTAATAACTGAGCAGGTCAGCCCCTCTCAGTTTGAAGCTCACGCTGGTTGGTCTTCAAGACGCAAGCCGTAAGTTCATCTTCGGATTAGTTTATTGTGGCATTCCATTTTGAAAGTTCTTTTTGTTACTGATCATGTGATTTCCAATTGCCAGCTATCTAAACATCTATACCTCAAATGGTGTCTCGCTGCATGAACTCTCTGTCTCGCTATCGAAAGGCAAGAAGTTTTCAACCAGTGAAAGTGATGATCTTTGTAGGATCTGTGGTGATGGTGGAGATCTTTTGTTGTGTGATCTCTGCCCGAGGGCTTTCCATAAAGGTAACATGGTTCCTGGTTCTTCGATGAGCTTTGTGTTCTTCCCTTCTCCTCTATCCTGTTTGCACGACTACTGTATGCTTTCAGCCCTATATCAATTGTATTCTTCACCTTGATAGATTGCAGAACCATTTATTCTTTCTGTGCGAATTTGCATATTCCTCAGGAGCGCTCTGTCAGCTAAACCATTTGATGGATGGAAGAGTTGTTTTCCATCCCTTTCTATACCCATCTATCACTATATCTCTTTTCCTAGTTATATTCCTCTCGAATATAACTAGCATTCTTCCAGTTTGCCTTTATAGTTTCTATTCTTGCCGCTTGATACTTCCTAAACTTCAAGACACTCTACTTGCTCTAAATTCTGGTCCTCTTTATTAGAAAGCTTACTATTGTCATCCATTTTGTCAATTCTGGCAGTTTTTTTAGCTTCCCCAGCGGTCTCAGACCCAGCTCTTCTGATTTGGTAATGATGGCCATCATTTCTCCAGCTGAAAAATGCTATTTTCTACTGTACAACCTTTATTGCGTTCTACAAATGAGGCTTGTGATCTGATACAAGCCCATATTAAATATGCTTCCATCTTTGACTTATCTGTCTCTCTCCTGCTAGAGAGCATGATCGTCCTATACAAAATAGGAAAGATATTTCCGATGCAGGGCGATATTCATATTTACTATTCGAGATGCAAACATTTGTGAGGATGCCTCAACAAAGAAATCCATGTCTTCATGTCTAACACCACCTTTTTCTCCTTGGCTTCATCTTCCCCTAGATACCAAGATAGTCTGGTCTTTCATTCAGGTCCAATTGATCCTCCCACAATTTGTTCTTTCCTTAGCTGATAAAGGAGGATATACCTAAGAGAAATTTCGTACAAACTTGTCACACAATTTTATAAATGCCAAGGAAATGGAATATCACCTTGCCCTGCAGAACTCAAAAACTCTTCCATTGAAAAACTTGTTCAGCGAGGTCATAGTCCGAGGAGCATACCTGGTGAAGCCAACCCTTGATCAGGGTTGTGAAACCATCCTTAAACAGTCTCTCCTTTTTCAACTTTTGGTTGATTAAATCATCTGTGCCTTCAATCCCTACGGTTAGTCAAGAAGAATAAGGTTTCTTTATCTTGAAGGAGTTCACCCGTGCTGATCACCCCCTAGAATGCTGGCCACCGTATTTGGGGTGTTGGGCGTGGGGGGGCGCCACCTGTGGTTTAGTTTCCCGGATGTGACTTTGTCAATTGGCCATTTTATGATATGCTCTAACAGGGGAAAATTTAGCCGGAAAAGCCTCCGATGATATTTTTCATGCCTTGTTCTATATCTTTACTGTAATTGATTTGTCACTCTCTGAGCAAAAGGGTAAACTTGGTACATGGATTTGTCCCTCGTGTAAGTTGCAGTGTGTTGCATTCCAAAGATATAGACTACTTTATATATGCCGTGTATCAAGGGCAGGCGATCATCATTTCGTGGTCTGACTACTTATGTGTGAATGGTTATCTGAAATTCCAACATGTCAGGGATTGGGACCACATAGTTTATGTTTGATAATATGCATTCCATAATTTTGTCCCAGTTGTATACTGTGTGGTTAAGTCACCAATGTTGATGCAACTGCTTGCTATTGACTCACCCACTCTGCTTGTGCCATTGAACACTTAGGATATTATTTCTGATATCTGATGAATTTACCTCTCAATTTCAGAATGTGTTGGTGTGACAACTGTTCCAACCGGGGATTGGTATTGTCCATGCTGCCAGAACATGCATCTAAAGGATAAATCTGTGGGACATAATGAAAATGCCATTGCTGCTGGAAGAGTTGATGGCGTTGATCCTATTGAGGAAATATTCAAGCGATGCATTCGCATTGCCAAGACACCGGAGGCTGATGTTGGTGGTTGTGTATTATGTAGGTCTGTGTTCTCATTGTTTCTTGATTCACTGTCATTCCATTAACATTTCCGCTTGTAGTCATGTGATTGATATTTTCCTCCACTTTTCTGTCGTTGGGTGCACATAGCCAATATATGGGTTACTTATGGTACTTTATTCTTTTTCAGATGTCATGATTTCAGCAGATCTGGGTTTGGACCTCGCACTGTTCTACTTTGTGATCAAGTCAGTCCTTTCTTTGAGTAGTTTGATTAGTGGGGTTGTCAATGCCTTTTCATTGCATTTCATAATTTTACTTACTAATTTCATTACTTTTTCAGTGCGAAAGAGAATTTCATGTTGGATGCCTAAAGGAGCACAACATGGGAGACTTAGAGGTGAACTTAATGTCATTTACTTTCTTATATTTCATTTTTTCCCGTTTCTTTTGTATACATGAAAAAAAGAGCTCGGGGGCTGCAGTGGATCTTGATATAGCAACTTTTTCCATCTTTATCCTCTTTTTCAGGAATTGCCCGAGGGCAAGTGGTTTTGTTCGTCGGACTGTGGTCGGATTCATGATTCTCTGCAGAAATTACTCTCATCTGGACCCGAAGAGCTGCCAGTCTTTCGGACGGATGTTATAAAGAAGAAGCAAGATGATAACGCTCCAAGAGAAGAAATTAATCTTGACATTAGATGGAGAATTCTTAGCGGAAAAACAGCCTCTCCCGAAACCAGATTGTTTCTGTCTAAGGCCCTGTCTATATTCTACGTAAGTACTACAACAGCACAACTGGAATTCTTCTGGCGTTGTGTTGGTACACTTTAGGCGTCTGGATGTTCTCCACGCTCATTTCTACATGTTTCTTGTTACATATTATTTTTTGCATAATATAAACCATCAACCCAGTTTACCTCTATATTATAAATCTGCTTGGATCTTCCAATTACCTACAGAATCACATAAAAAAAACCTGATAATTGTATGGTGCACAATCAAGCACTTGTTTCGTTTTACTTTTTTTGTTGTTGTGGGAAATAGCTGCTCCTTTCTTTCTTCTCTAATTAAGGAAAGAGGTTGGTTATGTATATTTTTTTTCCAAATTTTCAGGAATCCTTTGATCCAATAGTTGATTTTGCTACACGAAAGGACCTCATTCCCGCAATGGTCTATGGGTAACCTCTTATTCTCAAGTTTCACATCTATTTTACCTGATCTGTTTTCAGAAAAGAATCGTTTTGTAGCAGTTTTTTTTTTTTTCCATCCTTCCTAACCGGATTTGTTATTTTCCTTCACTGGCAGATGGGACTTGAGAGATCAAGATTTCGGAGGAATGTACTGTGCAGTACTAACCGTGAAGTAAGAATGGAAACTGAAGGCAAAAAATCGTCGTGTGGGTGGGCTTGATTTCTTTTCATTGTCTCACCCATGAATGCTTTTCTTTCTTTACAGTACGTCCGTGATATCGGCTGCAATTCTTCGAGTTTTGGGTTGTGAAGTTGCAGAGCTTCCACTCGTTGCAACAAGTAGGGAATGCCAGGGGAAGGTGAGCTCTTTTGTGTGACCAGCAAGCACTCTGAGATAAATTGCTATGATGGACAGGAGACAAAAAACTAGCTTTCATATCAATTCACTTGTGATTATTTCTCATGGAAATTTAATGACATTAATACGCTCACTCAAATCTGGTCGATCTTTTGGTCGCTCGTTCGATCTTTTAGTGCGAGATCCAGATGATTAAGACGCATCGTATTGCAGGGATATTTCCAGTCACTGTTTTCCTGCATTGAAGACTTGCTGGATTCCTTAAAGGTGAAGCATCTGGTGCTCCCCGCTGCAGAAGAAGCGGAAGCCATCTGGACCAAAAAGTTTGGCTTCAGCAAAATCTCTCTCGATCAGGTGTGAATAGAAGCACGTTAGCTTCTCTCTCTCTCTCTCTCTCTCTCTCTCTCTCTCTATCTCTCTTTCTCTGCACATCATGTTCCTACTGCTGAAGCGGGAGCTGAAATATCATCATGCAGCTGAACGAGTACATGAAGGGCATCCGCACGATGATCTTCGAGGGGACGTCTTTGCTACACAAAGTGGTTGGCGGGCCTCCGAAGGACGACGCGCAGACCGGAGAATGCGCCAGCGGGTAGTGGGGTTTCCTCTGGGCCGGGCTCATCGACGTGCGAAGAGGGCGGGCGGCTCATGCCGCCCCCGCCCCCTCCTGTTTTGCTTCAACCACTGCACAGGAAAACAAATAATCTGCCCGTGTACAGCGAGAGGATCATCGACACCGCATCGGGAGCAGTTTCTGGGCCGCGAGTGTGTGGAGCAGCGCGCCGTGGTGTTCCAGAGTCTGTAGGCGAGCGAGCATTTTGTGTGTTTTCACGGAGCTGGTGGGAGGGGCGGAGCAAGAAGATGGCGACACAGCGATGCAGAGGATTGAGTGGATGTGGGATCTTTTCAAAGGCTGTGATCTGTGAGCAGCGAGGGTTTGGCAAAGATGTGGAGCTCGGAGGGTTCCTACCCGCCCCTTGCCTTCCCCTCTTCTCTCTCAATGTTTTTTTTCTTCTTTTTTTTTTTTTTTTTTTCCCTTAACCCACCCCCATCCCATCCCCCACTCCCCCACCCACCCTGCTATTCACAGGGTGTACTCTTGCTGTCGCGAGAAGGAATGGAAACGCCTTCTTTTTTTGGCCTCACGGCTTCTAGGGTTCCCGACTTGGCAGGGGGAGGAGAGGATCTTCCTCCCTGTTAATACTCACCAAATACTAAGACAGTCCAATGCTTCTTGCATGATGCGGCGGCTTCTGTGGTGCACGAAGGTTATTGCTATTATTACAGGTGTTCTTGAGTGGCGCGAGGGAGCGGAAAGGCATGTGGCACCCCAATTCGCAGTGTACCCTTGCAGAGTGTGCCCTATCTTATATATACGCTTCAATTATACTCTATGGATTCGAATTCAAGAAAAGTGCTAAAAAAAGAAACTTAAATACTCCATATTATTACTATTCCGCATTTATTCATTCATTCTTTTGGCTAATCGTAATATCATACACAGTATGTGGAAATTGAATAGATTCTGATATTCTATACACGTCATATCTGCAAAGTGCCACGTAAGATAATATTTACAGAGCATTTAGTATACGGCATGATGAACATACTTTTCTACGTACCTCTCTGATGCTGTGGAGATGACCACAGCCTCTACGTACCTTCGGGTCACTTGGACGATCCGTCGGGAGATCTTCGAGCGGATTCCCCTCGGTCGAGCTGTGGAGATGACCACGTCTTGGGGTTGGACGCCTTCAGAAGGAAGCCCAGCGCGAAGGAGCAGGTAGCCCGCACGATGGCGTCTTGGGACCGGCCCAACTTCACCAGCAGCATTCCGAACACCTGCAGAAAGCCCATCCATAATTTTTTTTTAAAAAACTACCCTATTTTTTATTTTTATTTTTATTTTTTTTCTGACAAAAATACCCTGGGGAGAAAAGAAGCCGATGCTTAGATCATCTATAATTTTTTTTAAAAAAGGCTACTCTATATTTTATTTTATTTTTTGAGAAAAATACTGCGGGGAGAAAAGAAGCCGATGCTTAGATCATCTATAATACTAAAAAAACGCTACCCTATTTTTTATTTTTATTTTTATTTTTTGACAAAAATACCTCGGGGAGAAAAGAAGCCGATGCTCGCTGATCATCCAAGAGGGAGAGCAGGCAGCTGGAGAAGTAAACGGCGTTGGCTTGGATGACCGGCCATGGTGCGTCATATGCCTGCATCGGAAAGCATCCCATCATCAGTTCCTCACCATCATCTTCAAGTCGCTTCCCCTACTCTCTGCGATGGGGTATCTGACCTGGATCACAGAGGCCAAGTAGGAGCTCGCTCTGGTGGAAAAGACGTGCGAGAGTTGCTTCGCTAGCGCCCTCAAGAAGTTCTCGTACTCGCTTCTGAGTAATTCATGCGCCATGCAGGTTAGTTTTCTAATGTTCTTACGGAAAATATCGTGTTTATTCTTTAAAAGGGAGCATACACACCGGCGGTCGGAGTTAAAAGAGTGAGTGTTGGCGAGGGCGCACAGGCTGTCCACTTCCATCAGGGACGCAAGCTGCCTGAACGCGTTCTGCTTTGAAAGGAAGAAGGTTAGTCAGATTTTTATTTATTTATTTATTTATTTATTTTCAGATGAGAGAAAGATGAGTCAGTGTGAGGTGTGGGAAGGTGATGTTTCGTACCCGGCAGGCTTGACGAACAGTGAGATCGTCATCGTGAACATGGAGGATCAGGCGTGGAAGAGCAGCATGGACCTGTATAGTCAAGAACACAGCACACGAGGATGAGATGATGGCGGATAAAGATACGAAGAAAACTGCATAATCTGGGATAAAAGGTCGTTTTGATGGAGACGAAATTGTACCGATGATTACCTCTGCTTCTCACAAAAACAGCCGGAATCGCATACTGTTGGAAAGGGGGGGGTGGGGGGGGGTGGCGTTGACTAATAGTAGATGGTATTCAGTAAATTTTTACGATTTATTTTATGTGAATAGAGCACCAAATCGCATGCTATTGGAAAAGGGGCGGGGGTTGACTAATAGCAGATGGTATTCAGTAAATTTGACGATTTATTTTATGCCAATAGAGCACCGAAGTTGGGTGATTGTGATATCCATCAAAAAGCTTCTATCCAGCATCAGAGAACATGAGCCAAGCTAGCGCGAGAAATGAGTCAACTTTCCTAAATTAGATCATGCTAATAATATTATTTCCAAATTGGGTGGGAATATTGGACTTTTGGTTAAAAAAAAAAACATTAATCTGAATTTGAGGATTTAGAGAGGCGCGTACCTGCTCCAGAAAAGCATCGCGTTCTGCACCAATGCCGTAGTTACTTAACGCTCCAAATGCGGAGAACGCATTAGAACGCATCTTCCCATCCGTGCTCATCTGTATTTTGTGAACCATGCAGAAAAATCAACATTGACTTTTTATAGCATTTCTGGTTCATGTGAAGGCTCAGCTTTGAAAAACAGGACCATACGCTGCTGTACGAGCGTAAACATGCAAACAGAAAGGGTATGACAAGTAACATGGCTGCAGATATGGATTTCTTGTCATCCATTGCTGTGACACCTATGATTACAAAAAATAAGAGCAAATATATATGCACAGGCTTATAATGCATCTACTTCTGTCATGAGAAAAGTAATATTATCAAGACCCATGAATTTTTTATCGGCAAGGTTTGCTTCTGCAGCTTTGATCTGTGAAATTGACTGATTTTGTTTAATGGACATTAACGTAATATTTTATCAGACAGGTGTTGATCAATGATGAAGCCTGCGTTCTATTTGATTTGAACTTTCATGGAAGGCTTGAACCGCACATCTTATCTAAAGAGAAGATGGAATGACGCATAAATCGCATGCTACAATCAGATTTTTTCTATTATCTAAAAAAGTCCTTGAACTGCTGCTGACTGTTAATGATATATAATCAGAGATTCCATCAACTAATGTTCAACCACAAGTTTCCTCGTATCCAAAAATAGAAAAAGGGTTTATTTATAACATTTTCCCACGGCAACAAATGAAGCATCACCGTGGTCTTCCTTGAATAAGCAAGTTTTTTTTTTCTGAAATCAGGTAATTAACCTTCTCGAATAACATGCTCAAGCCAGAGCCAATCATCATTATATGATCACGGGCGTTGTGATGGGTAATCCTTATACTGATTTCTTACGCTTCACAGTGACGTGGATGACAAAGAAAGTGCACCCCAACCCTCCTCACAAATCCCCAAAGCTACGCCCATGGCTGCACATGCTGAAAAATGGATACCATAATCCTTTCCCAGAATCGATTCTTGCTACTGAGGATCCTATAGTTCAGCTGCACTAAAATGGGGTACATGTTTCTGCACGGGGCATCATCCACCGTACCTTTCTGGTTCCTGGGTAGTGGCTAGCCCTGTGCTATCTGAGGACCTCCCTCTCTACGCTGTATCTGAACTGTGGCATATACAGTAGGGTTATTCTTCGCCTTTTTATCATAACGATGCCACGTGGCCCTGGTTTCTTCAGCGACATGGCTAACTGATCACAATTGGGAAACTTGAGGTAAAAAGCACTCACAAAATCTGTTTCATTTTCAAGGGAATCTTTAGCGCACACAGATTTAACCTAAACCCAAAACCCTTAATTCCATTCATAATCAAGTATCGAGTGGACCTCTCAGGTGTGCTTAACAGTAAGTTCTAAGTAAACGAAGAAATCCTTGAACCCCAATCACCACTGTTACTACAAGTCTCCACTATTATCTATGAGTCGGATACTATAAAAATATCGTGGGAAATTGCTTTGCCAAAGGCTGTGTAACACCGTCTCTTAAGATATGCTTCAGTCTTCGTCCTAATATTTTGAAGTAGAATATGCTAAAAAATGCATTAAATGAACTAATGATTAATAGATGGACCAAATGAATGACCTTGATGACAAATCTCCACGGGTTATAGAGTAGATTCTTCGTTTCCATATCTTACACATGATTTTAAGATGAACCAATCATCCACATAAAGACGCTCAGTAATGCTTATGACAATTCATCAAAGTCTGAACCAAGCGCAGGATATCCTGTGCAGAAAGGAGACTTACTTGGAGGTTTCTCAGTCGCACAGAGAGATTAGGTAGAACTGGATCCACAGCATCTTTTGGAGACGACTTCAGAACCTATCGGAAAAATTATGTACCGAAAGTATGAAGCAACGTAATTACGAAAACTCTTCAACCTTTGCGAACCTTGGTGAGACAGGTGAAACAGACATATCAGCAATTATATAAAAACCGGGCTTACCATCTGCAAGCACTGTACTGCAGTTAGTTGAACTGACTCATCAGGGTCTTCGAGCAAGGCTACTATCACACCAAGGACTTGAGCAATGTAGTGAGGCATGCGCACTTCTGGTATCTGCTACAAATGGTAGGCATCAGAAATTTCCATATCTGTCACTTTATTAAGCACATATGATACTAAATGTGTGAGGATGGACAGAGGAAGGACAAACTTATAAAATTATGAAATATTATAAAATACAGGCAAAAGGAAGTCAGGGAACAGAACTCAATCTTCCCTAAAGGAAACCATTGAGAATCAGGACGCATCCTGAATTCTAGATTTACATAATAGATTCTACCTCACGCTTTTAAGAACTTACAGGTACCAAATGTCTTTTAGTCCTACATCACTTGTTATAGAGTTTTAGCGTATACAAAATATCCCGGGTCCATGGTAATACGAAATCTTTCATGTCCACATCCATACTTCTGCCATATACCGTTGGATGTTAACAACAATGATACCCCATCTTTGATAGCACGAGAGGTAGGTTTCAGCATCTCCGCAGGCGAACAAGATTTCGTGGATATCTTTGGTCACTGGAGGTCCTAATAGCTGCTAATTTGCAGCAAATCAGCAAACTCCTGGGTTGGTGGTTACTCATATCTAAATCCTGAGGGTACAAACTGGATTCTCATTTACTCAGCTGATAAGTTACAGCTTACGGTTGATTGAATTTGATTGTAAATGACAAATGAAAAGAAGGAACACATAAGCATCAAAGAGTATTACTCAAGGAATGAAACACAAAAATTAGGAACTTAAAAAGGCAAGAACGGAAACCTGTACGAGTCCTCGAAGGCACAAGCTCCTCACAGTAGGAGATTCGTCCGAAACATGTAAGCACATTGTTTCCACCATTTGTTCCAATAAGGACGCTATTCCATCGCTGCAAAAACAAGTGGATGAGAGATATTGTCATCTAAAATGCGAGTCCTCTTAAAAAGAACATGGAAAACGTAAATTCTAAAATCCATTATCTACAAGTGCTGGAGAAATATTATTGGAAAGGGCTCTATATCAATTACCAGACGGCAGAGATAAATAGATTAATTTAATTCTCAAAGAGTGACGTTCAAATACGGCCAAGAAATGACTTGGACGAAGCAAGAATCAGCCTGATCATTTCCTATGGTAGCACGAGGATGAATACACGATTTCACAACTATCAAAAAGATCACAACCGTCTCAAAAGTTAATCATATACTGCGTGCAATGATAAGATCTTTTGTAAGATAACGTTCAACAACACTAAATCTGTTGTCTTCACCGATCACTGTACGAAACTATGAAACCACCAATTCTGGTAGCAGTATCTTTATTCTTGAACATGATTGTTGTTAAATAGTTCTTCCCGTTAGGAGTTAGGAAATTAAGCTACAACCTAAATCATTAATGGTAGCAGAAAGATCTTAACCAACCTGTCAGAAATGAATTTTGACAACGCTGCAGCTGCAGCCTCCCTCTGAAACTGCAGATGTCGATTTAAAGCTGCACATAGGATCGTACATATTGGCAGAACCTAAGAAATTGGACCACGAAAACGAACTGAGTTGCAACAAAAAAGATGGGAAACACTAAATGGTAGTGTAGAATGTTATAATTTCATTCAAAACAAGTAAGATAATTGGACATATTGAAATAGTCGTCAAACATTGGAGCATAAATCTTGTTTGAATGGCAGATACAGAAAAAAATTGACACTCAAAAACCTAAAAAGTGCCATTTTACCAAAATATTGTCGAAGTCCTTTGTTCCAATAGTGTTTGAGAGTACTTTGAGAGGCTCCTTGACGTTTTCTTAGATCGGGATATTTTTCACTAGCCATCTTAATTCTGTACTCAGAAAAAAAATTGTGGTGGAGAAGGAAAAACTATACATTTATGACTTTTCATATTTTTCTATTTCAACATCATTTTCTTAAAAGGTTTAGGCCGAGACAACTCTTTCATAATGTCATATTATTAGCAACATGCCTTCTTGGGGATCTTTGGAACATGCCCCTTGTTATTCATTTATTTCTCTCATGTCTCTTCCACTTTACATAGCAGGTTATCGGTTTTATCCGTTGTCTATGACTCAGCTCGCCCAAGGTAAACACAAGAGCTGTTCGTGATGAATTTCATACGTATTCTCCTACTCAAAAAGGGTATAAATGTTTTGAACTAATAATTGAGAAAAAAATATGTTTTAAAGGATGTGACGTCATTTGAGTTTAAGTCTTACGTTCACCACCAATCTCATTCTTAGAGGAGGCAATCCACCCGATCAATCATCACGTCTTATCCCCGTGTTCTCTTCAACTAATCCTCATATGATCATTCTACACTTTAACAAAAGGATATTGAGAAAGTGCTATGTACTTTTAGATGAAGTAAACTGTAAAAGAGGCTCTTACAAATTACCGAACGAAAGAGAGTGCTGAATCATCAAGTGAAGATACCATGGCTTCACTAAATCCTAACAGTGCATCCAATCTTTCGTCTTCCTATCGTCTGCCACAATGTGTGAGCGTGTATGAAGGATCCTGTTACGAAGCTAACTGTCTTCTGCACAAGACGACCTAGACCCCCATGTTGAGGGGGGGGACCACCATAGAATAATGTAAATTCTGTGAGTGGAGCCACTTCTAAGGTAGAATTAGGGTGTACATTTTTTTAGGAGGTTCGTAACAGATCCCATTGGCGAAACATTTTTTTTATTCTTGACTTTCACCTACTAATTACTTTTTTTGCTAAAAAATGACATTCATTTCTATACATACATCTCATAACAATCTGTGATGATAATCAATAATGTTGTATGTCCTGAAGAGAAGTTATTATGCTCTAAGTAGGTGTAAAACATCAAATATGACGTTGATAGTGTTGTGGGGTACCGTAACACAAGGTTTATGACCTGAGGACTAACGTAGACCAGAAAATGATATGATAACAAAAAGACTGTCGTAATAGTGGTGAAATTTAAGTCAATAAGACTAATGTCGTCCTTTGGGAGTCATTTTCTTGGACTCGGTAATGACTTGATGTCAAGAGCTCTATCATGAATGAAGATTTCATAGAGGAGAAGTATATGCATCTCCACCAGGGCTTGATAAAGATCAAAAGTTGATTGAAGGAGGCACTGTATGAGATTAAACAGTCATCACGTGCCTAGTTTGATAGATCAGGCTTCCTACAATCAGATTTGGCCAGACTCAAGGTCAGACAGAAAATCTTTGTTTAATGGAAAGATAGCAGGATGGGTGACAGGGTTCACTGAGGAAAAAAACTCTTCTAACGCTAGTGTATGATGTATACCTTACCTGGTCAAGAAAAGGATATTAATCACCTACATGGTCAACCTTAAAAGCTTTGACAAGAAGCACCAGTCTGTGGCAATCCCCAAAAAATGTAGCTTCCGGTATAACTATGAAGAAAATGAGAATTGTGCAAACAATGCACAACGTGGTAGTATAAACATACTCTCTGACGTCAGCTTTGATTATGGTTGATTGACCCAGGAAAGCAAGTCCACAAATCAATGAGATGATCAAATCATTGTGGGAACGTGCCGTTTGACAACAAACCTAAATTTTTTTTGGAAAAACATGTTACTCAATTTGTATCTGACACATCACTTTGTTCATTTCCATGTGGAACTCAGATTGATTGCCAAAGGCTCAAGCAGTTAAGTGCTAGAAACTAGTGATGCAAATCTTTCTTTATTCTTCTTTTGGCACCTAGAAAAGGGTGATAAGTTGTTGGAAAGGTACATCACACTTGCACATTCAACTACTAGTTTCCAAAGATAAGGATATCTAATGGATCCTATCGAGTTCTTATTCCTCAGAAGATGGCATCAGGGTCAACATTGGTTACAAAAATCATGTGTTAAACATTGGAACTAAACCATGTGGTCCTAAGCAAAACCCTGGTTGATTGAATGATTGCCATAATCATCGGTCAAGCATGACGGCCACAGGTTATTGGTTACCTCTTTGGGTCTCTTCATAGAGATACAGCATGCCAGCTCGCCAATAAGGTCGATCCATTTCTCGCCAATGATTTGTCCACTGTCTCGAGCCAAAATCTGAAAATTTAATTCAATACTGAATAAATTGAATATTAAGATTCCATCGGAACTGAACTCCTTGTTAACGAGAGAATATTCCGAGAAATAACCTTTCCCATTTCAAGATCGCCAACACATTCACAGAATGACTGGAATGCACCTAACAGGATCCTGAAAAACAAAAACGCAGTTGAAACAGAATTATCTTGTAACTAATAATTTCGGGGGGATAAGTTAAGTTTACCTTAAAGGTTCTTGGCTTCCAGACAGAGCAAGGCCATGACAACTTCCTAACTGAAGTATGAGTGCAGAGAGAACAGCAGCATAACGCTGTTCCACTGCTCTCTTACCGGTCTTCCCGCCACCTCTACAAAACCCACAGTAAAAACACAGAAATTTCTAAATGATGCAGTCATAAGACATAGGATATCAACTCTAAATAGACAATGATGAAAATCACATCATTATCCAACCTGAAGAATGCAGTTAAAGCAAGAACGGCTGCTTGCTGAATGTCCTCTTCAATAGATAGGTCGGAGGAATGACTTTCTCCTTTATCTGGACTGATTTTTGCTACGGGCATTTGATTAAGGACAGATACAACATGTTCCAGAAACAAACTTGAAAGTGCTGTGTGTTGGGAAAATGCCTGCCATAATTTTGATAAGGTATGAGACAAAAAAGAAAATAGATTTTAAATCAGGGGATAAAACAATTCAGATCCTAATTTCAAAAGATAGCATTTTCTAGAGCAATGACCACGTTTGAGATGGCTTAAGAAAGTTATAAAAAATTGGAGAATTCTCCTCTTTCCTGAAGCCTTGAGAATGCCCATGCAATTAAAGTTTTGATAAACTGGTTATGGTGCTTTTTTCGTGGATATTTGAGATGTGGTAATAGCAACCGTAACTGTGTCGACAGTTGGTAATCAAGTGAGGAATATTTCTGTAGGCGTCGACTGGTGCTCATTGATTGAACATACTGACGAGAGATAGTACTGCCTTATACATCATCATCACTTTAAAGAGGAATCCGCTGTAAATCACTTTTTCCTCCTACGTTTCTCAGTTAAGATGATGATGCAAGCTGTCAAATATCGTCCCCGATGATTATGACTCAGTTCTGATTTTAATCCACCATTTCTTTTGATCCATCCATGTGCATGGTTGCTGGCTTCACTGTCCTTAGGATGTTGGAAGTTGCCATGGTATACCCAGAAGCGGGTGACTGTTCTGACTCCGTAGTTTGTGCACAATCTGATGACCCATCAGGACATGATGAATTTTCATGTAGATATATAAAAGTCAACCATCAGGGAAACCTAAAATGACTGAGAGAGCTGAAAACTTACAGAAAATGAGGATAAATTATTGAGAATATTAGGTCAAGAGAAAGTTCAAACTCACATAAAATGCATCCTGCATTAACCAACCGCCTCTCAACCTAGATATATCTTTCGTAACAGCATCCCGTCCTGCAGCAGCCAAAACTTCATTGAAAACAACACTGGAATCGGTATCCTCTGCCAGACACGATATCTTGAAGTGTTAAGAAAGCTGCCGAGGGACGCAAGCCAATTTTGATAATAAACACACGCCATTTGGTAGCTAAGAGTTTGAATGAATTAAAATATATTTCAGGATACTGCATTTAGAACTTCTTGACGTGAGTGCCTGTCAATTACAAGCATTGTGGCAGCGAGCAAAGATTGGGCGGTTCTGAAGCGATGACACCATAAATTGTATAAGAAAAAAATACCCAAGTAATGAAAGAAGGTAAGTATCGAGTTAAAAGTTCGAACCTAGACACCTCATTCTGATTCAATTCATTTCCTCTCCTAGAAATGAACTCAGTGACAGCTTGTATAGTACCTTCAGCTGACTGCTTAATCTTATCACATATCGCATTGCTGGATGCGTGCAATGAGATAACAAGCTGTTCCATAAACCCCAAAATTCAGTTAAATCGATTAAAAAATTATAGTAATTGGTTAACCAGTTGAATAACTGCCAATTCGAGACGAAAGTACTGTATTTGCTTCATAAAAAGAAACATAAATTTACCTCATCTTTTGTTAATAAAGTACAAACAGACGAAATTACTCTATTAAATACTTCAGATTGATCAATAGAAGCATCCTGTAGAAACATAGAGACAAATTAACTCCATACACAATCAATCATCAACCTGCTAATTTTCAGAACACGAGATAACAAATAACGAGAATGCAAAGATGGAATAGGTTGCTAACTCTTCTTAAAATGGAAACCACATCTTCTAAGGAGCTTAAAGCATTGTATGACACTTCTAGATCCACATCAGCAGAGGTCTTGGCTCCCAAAAGTCTTGGAAGTGATAGAGCTATACTGAAGAACAGAGCAACAATCTACAAAAAGAAAAAACGCTGGTGTATTTACATTTTCCTTGAAATGGCTAAAGAAATATGGAAGTTAAGAAAGCTATTTGCCCTTGCAAAATTTTTGAAAAGAATGATGATATAGACCTAAAAACGTATTTTTTCTTTTCAGCAACAAACCTGAACAGCAATCTTTCTAACTTCAGTACTGGGGTCTGCACAACGTGGAAGGTAGGATACGACCCGTTCCCCAAGGCTCAAGGAATCACGACTAGGCAATACAAATGCAGCTAGAAAAATAGGAGGAAAATGAAGTGGTGAGAATAAAAGAGCACGTAGGAAAACATAACAAAACTTTAACACGGGAATTACATGGTAAATTAGAAAACTTTCTCTGAAATGCTCGTTCAGTCTGCTTGTTGTGTATAGAAACTGATGGATGTCCTTGTCCATAATAGCCACTAGAACAAAGAGTCCGAAACTTCTGTAGTGTCTCATATACAGCAACACAACCTCTTCTCCTCTGATGCTCTACAGAAGATGAGACAAATTGATCCACTTGTCTAAGAATATGTAGTAGCTGTTCTGCACGACTGCGTCCATCTTCACCACTACACATGCCATGTTAAGTTTATAAGCAAGGAGGGATTTAAACAGGATAAACAGAAAAAAGGATCCTAGATCAAAGTATTTAGAATTCTGTATTACTATGCATAGACTAAAAAGTGCACACTATCTCATGAGCATAAATACTAAACAAGCATACATTTAGCAACATAGTTTGAGGAAGTATTAAAGGATAAATATGATAAATCATAAAATGTGATAGAAACCGTACCTGGTAACAAGAATAGCGCATAAAAGAGTAATAAGGTTGTCAATAAGAGGATCAACAATGTCTGACGGTTCATTTGGTAAGGCAAAGAAACCAAGGGTAGCCTGACAAAGTGTTAACCCATTATACAGGACAAAGAGTCAAAAGGATCGCTAGCAATGTAAAATGACAGATAAAAAGTTACCTTCATTACACGGTTTCTTGTTTCCATCGGTAGCTTTGGCTCTATAGAAACCAAGGTTGTACAAGCACTTAAAGCAAGGCTCTACAATAAAATACAGGATTTTATGAGAAACAATTGACAAACATCATTTGAAGGGAAGCATTGCTAAACAGTGCATACCTGAGTATGCAGGAGTTCCAGGGTAGTATCAGTTAAGTTGTCATCTACATCTCTACCCATCAAAGTTAATACGTATTCCAGCATCTGGTCCCTTCGTTTTAGTGGAAATGACAGTCCAGTTTCAGCAGCGTTAATGACCGCATTACCTGCACAAGACAGATTATAAAAATATTCCACTTTAAACGGAAGCATGTTCTTTTTATAGAAACAACCACTATTTTCCTGCAGCTCAAGGGACATTCAGAGGGATGCCTCTTTTGAGGAAAAGACCTTCCCGAGCCTAAGCATTGAAAGTAACATCAATGGATATTTGGGATCATTGAACAACATAAACAGAAGTCATTGTTGGATCAGGTTTTCTGCTAATGAAGGGAATTGGGGGCGGAAGTTGGGGGGGGGGAGGGGTGCTGTGAGAACTAATCGCCCCTGAGCATTTTGATAGTCACTCCAGATGTAGCCTGACGCCCTAAACACATACAAGTAAGCTAATTTGAAAGACAAATATAGTTTCCACTAAAAATTCTGCAACTTCAGAAGCAAGTCTCCTATCAAAAAATTTCTTATAGGTACCTAGCAAGTCGATTGCAGTAATGACAGCTTGCTTTGCTGTAGGATGCTGTACATGAAGTAATCGTGATAGCATATTTGTCCCCTAGATAGCCAATAAAAAATGTACAAGTGATTAAAGTCCCAAGTAAACAAACTAACAGAAGAAATTATCCATACAGTAAGAATAAAGACCTTTTCATTCAGTCAGGACTTTAATAATCCAAAGAAAAGCAGTGACGTCTCACAGAGATCATGTGCAGATCCATTTCAATATTCATGCCCTAAGTTTGATCAATCATGAATGGATGCATATCCTACCTAAACTGAAAATGATGGTTGAAGATGATGCTTGCAGTGATACAAGGGATCATTTGTGGTGAGAGTAATAAAAAATAATAAGAAGATATAAAGGTTTCAAGACATCATACACAACATCTATATGGTGAATACGTTGGTCCTAATCAATTGAAGATAAAAAACCTCACAATGGCCATCTAATGAACTGCATTGTATCAAACAGATCTCCACAACAGAGGACAAGGCTGAGTAAGGGGTTAGATTTTGTGCCGGAAATAGCATGATAATCTGCCTCAGTGCTAAGGTGCACGACGTCTCAATAAGTCTATATGAGTTCTGTTAACTCTAGTTTCCTATCATGGTCATGCCAGAATGCTGCTTGCTAACACAGATCAACTAGAATGATGGAAATAATGACCAGAAGTGTCCTAATGCTGCCTTCAAAAGACCTAGTTTAACATGTGATAGAATGGAAAGGAGTGCCTAATAAGTGAGGGCAATGCAGGAAGGAAAGCAAATGCATAAAAAAGAAAATCTCTACTTCGAGTTCTCTGAGATTTTGGAAGGCTTAAACTGGGATGCCTCATGGACAGAAGTGTCAAACACCCCTTCAAAGCGTGAACATGTGACAGAGGGAAAGAGGTAGGAGTGTGATCAAGGAGAGAGAAGTAGAAGAACGAAAAGGAGGATAACAAGGGAAGGGATCAATGAATGACTCTGAGGTGCACCTCTAAACAATATGATAAGTTTTTTTCAACAACTACAACAATTTTCTGTCATGTTAATGATGGATCTAATTTATTTTTTTTGATGTCTAGTTCAAGGAAAAATGATAATATACAAATAATAAGATGGTTAATCATGTGTAATTGGTAGTGTTTTGGTAATCTAATTTTTTTCCTGAATATCATTCACCTTAAAAGGGCAGCCAGAAAGGTAAAAGACCATTAGATTCGTTTTAAAGTTAAAAAGAGTAATCCCATTTAGTACTGATAAAATAGCATGGAAAAAAATTTAACTACAAATTGGTCAGGAATTCTAACAGACGAGTACTCGAGAGTCATACCATCTAACTCTGTACACATTAAATCAATTTCAGAGGAAATCAAATAAATGCCGATAGAATTAGTTTCGGCTCAAAGCAATGAGAGAAGCCTCAAATTCTAAATAGATACCAGGTTAGAGACACACCACTTATGTTATTGATCTTCATACTTATCCATCATTTATGAACATTAGGTTCTACATGACGCATCAAGTGAGTTTCACAAAGTACGCTGAACTCTTCAAAAGAGCCCCGCATGGGAAAGTAGCTGGATCACTGGTTCAGAGGTTATTGAGGGCCACAACTGTTACAGCGCAGCGAAGGACTGACAGCAGTAGAATTTAGGGAGCTTCTTCTCATCGAAACCTCATTTCTTTAATGCTAGTTTAGGATTGATGGTTAACCAAGTCGGAAACTATCAACTCCATTGAACTCAACTTTTTGGCATATAGGGCCGTCAAACTGTAGTGACATATCTCAGTGTGGGACGGTCACACTGGATTTGTTAACAGGATCTAGCTTTATGGCTACGGCAAGGAGTTAGCTGAACCTCAATTCACCTCCTACTCTGATATGCCAGAGCATAAGCAATGCCAATGGCCCAAAGGTTCATGTATATGGAGGACTTATTCCAGAGTTGGAGACTAGATCGGCCTCAGGAACTTGCAAAAAGGTATACAAGTGACACAGCATGATGAATTATTGGTTACCTTGCGATACCGGAAAATATGGCTTTCTAAAAAAATTACATATATTGTTACTGGTCGAAACAAAATTTAGAGAGATTACTGGAAAGTTTTCAATTGTCAGGGGATGTATTCAAGCGTCACAGGCCACATTTCAGGGTTTGTTGAAATTTTCAGCAAGTCAAACGGACTATGATCTTATCAGTAATAAATGCTTATGTAACTGAATTTTTCGACTACGGATTATACAATTATCCGCAACCTTAAACTTTATTTTTGTAACAAATAATACAAAGTGTTTCCAAACCGGAATTTGGTAGTTGCTGGGTAAAGGCATCTTAATTCAAACAATGTTTTCATACCACAAGTGCATCAATTCTCGCTTCAATGACTGAGGATGGAGCATATCTTGCTGCATACCCATACATTAAAGCTAGAGCAGCATGGATATCTTCAACATCTTCAGTGTTAGCACCACCAGAAAAGAAGGAAAAGAACCTGCAATAAATGAATGAGTGAAACTCAGAAAGAAAACAACTGTTATGTTATAAATGCTTATGTGGTCCAATCATAAACAACTCAGATATCGGTGTAATAAGAAACATAATTATCATCTCAAGAACATTAGTCTGTTCCCCTCTGATCATATAAAAAAAACCATATTAGGGAATCAAACAAATCAATAATATTGTACAACAAGATGCGAATCGTCCAGCTATAAACAATAGCATACTTTTATTAATGAATTGCTGTACCAGCGTTGATTCATTGCTGGTTTTTTCCAGGTGTGGAAAGGACATGGAACAAAAAATAAAAATAAAAATAGTTTTCATTTCAGGAACCAGGAATTATCCATCACAACAAACTTGATTTGTTTGGCGACAAAATCGTCATATTCATAAATTGAAAAACAGGTGACTTCCAGAAACAAATAATAAAAGTCCTATAAGAGGCAAGGATGCCTATGATAAAGTCCATAAAAATTGGATATGAGTGCATGAAAATTAGTGAAAAATGATGAATATTTGGTTAAATAAATCAAATGAATATCATCATATATATATATATATATATATATATACTAAAATCGAAATACAGGACCGCCAATTGTAATCACATAGAATATTTGACAATGAAACAGGTACTGCAATGAACAACAGTAATTTAAAATAACGTATTGGGAAAAAAGCTGTACAAACGGATAAACGGTGCAGTACCATAAGATTATTTCCAAGACAGTATTATTCAAGATCAGTCATAAGCTCAATAACTACCCAGCCACTGAATTCTACCTATGGTAAATGGGGATTAGTAAGTCCTTTCAACCTCGTAATTTGCGTCTAAAGCCAAACTTGTGCAGGTCATTAAAAATGATTTCAAATGCATGGTTTTCTCTTTTATTTTCTCATCTCTCCCTCCAAAAAATAATTCTTCCTGCCCTCTTCCACATACTTCCCATCTTCGCTGTCTTACATCTACTACTTCCACTGTCTAATCCCTCTTTTTTTGTGGCCAAAAGCTAAAACTGTATCATACCCTTCGCCGTAACATGTATAGCTTATCATATAGTATAGGAGAGTTCTAAACAACTTAAGGAAAAATGTAAGCACTCTAAGAAAGGATGCCACAAAGCAAATGAGAATTGGGTTTACAGGAAGCACCATGGGTTCATGATTTAGCCAGTGGCAGAAGTGTAGCGATCCATCAGAGTTCACTTAGGAATAGTTTTTCAGATCCTTATCACCACTAACTTTCCTTTAATGTCGCATGCACCACTCTTGCAAATGGACTTACCATCCCATGCACCAGCCTTGAAAAAGTCCAAACCGTTCCCTGATTAAATCATTTAATTGCCCTTTCACCACACAGAACACTGTTGAGTGCCTGACAGGAACCTCACTTCAGAAACTTAATTGTCAACTTTCCCATTTTGTGTACAATCGTTACCCCTCTCCCTTGGAGATAAAATTACTGATTTATTTATTAAATTATATAAAAAACAAACCTGTTCCTTATCCCCTCTTGCTTTCTTTCTAACCTGCCTTTCTGTAAATACTCCACAGATTGCTGGTTGATCAGACTCAAGTAAAATTTAGAGTTCTACGTTCTTGGAAAAATTAACCTCAGTATATGGGAAAAAGCTTGTAGAATATAATGGTATAAGAACATAATTATACATATTTCAATTTAATACCCTCATTTACATGAAAAAATGAAAAATCAAAGTACAGGTAAAAAAAGAAGATACCTTTGAAACCTACCACGTCCAACATTGTCAAGAATGCTTTTCAGCTTTTCTAAAACAGTATCCAAATGTGAAGCTGCCACCTGGGAATCTCAAGAGATTAGATTCCTGAGGGAAAGAAATTTTACACATATTCTCAACTCCAATTCCAACTTACCAAGCCCATGCCCTTTGCTAGACCAAGTCTATTTGTTGGGACTGAAATATTTGCATGCTTATACATATCTTCTATTTTGTCACGTACAAATGCTCTATCATCAACTTTTTGAAGAAGAATCCCCAAGCATCTGCAAAAGCAAAAAAGAAAGCTGTCAACCCAGAAATTCAATGAAAAGTATAACCCTATCAAGGATTTCACATGCAAGTATTCAAAAGAATTTTCAATCAATCAAATCTTCTGGCCTATAACTAGCTGACATCCAAATGTTTATCCATTATGCAGTTCAGAAAAGAACAAGATTGACAAAAAATTCTGAAAAATAATGAGATACAAGGGATAATTATCTAGACAAATGAGACTAGAGAGAGGAATAAGAACTCATTCAAAATGAAAAGGTACCAATATGTCAACATCGAGACACAACTCGTCATATTAGTAAGTATAACAAAAGTGCAGTTCACTGCATCTTAATTGTGCCATGATATCTGTGGAAAAAAACGTATAATGAAGGGTTAGGTTGTTGGTCAGTTTCCTAATTTGGTTGAGTATCATATAAATCATGGAATTCGTCCTAGGTAGTTTTCATGTTTTTGAGTGGGTAATTATATTTAACCAGCAATTGCTCTGTGAATTTATATGACAGAAAATTTTCCCCACGGATTCTTGTTTGGTTTGTGCCAGGTATCAGGGACTTAGGCTTGTAAATCTGATTTTTTTTCATCCTCCCCATGCTCTGCTCTCTGTCAATCTCAAGGCAGCGAGTGGAATCTCCGTCTGTGTCTTATCTTGTTTCCCCTAGGGATATGCTGTTTCGGCAATCATTCTTGGATATCTTGGTGACGTGTGGAGGAGGTGATTTGTTGTTTTTCTTTTCAGGCTCTTGGATCAGCTGATTATTTCAGGGGCCGCCTGTTTTTTGCATTGTCAACAGCGGTTCAGGACTGTTCAGGATTGGTCTTCATTGTTGTTTTTCAAAGTTCAGACAACTGTCCATACCACTCACGCCTTACAGGTGACAGAGGTTGTAGAGATGATCACTGCAACACAATTGGAGGAGTCCGTATGGTTTCAACAAACGGAGTGTTGCAGAGTGTTCAAGCTGCATAGGATGTAAAAAACTAGTTTAAATGGTTTCAACTTGTTCGCACTATGCTGAAAGAGAAAGGGAAGAAACCAGGGGATCCTTGGTTTGAGGCACGGGATGAAGAAGATTACGTATGATTATGACGTAGTTATGGAATTCTATGACACTGGAGATTAGCAACACATGTCTGTTCTTAGCTACAGCCAAGGATATTTGGGATGCAATCCAACAGACTTATTCCAAAGCTAGAGATGCAACGCAAGTGTATGACGTTAAGATGCAAAACAAGGAAGTAAAATAGTTATGGAATATGCTAATCAGTTGAAAGCTTTATGGCAAGAACTTGACCATGATTAAAACCAAACATCATGAGGATGCAGCTATTATGAAGGATTTCATTGAGCAAGTTTGAGTTTATGATTTTCTTGTTGGACCTAATCCGGAATTTGATCAAGTGAGAATTCAGATCCTTCGCAAGCAGGAGGTTAATGGCTTTAATGAGGTAGTGGCACTGACTGAAGGAGAGGAAAGCAGAAGCGGCCTGATGCTCAAACCAAAAAGCACAGATAAGTCAGCTATGGTGGCTAAAGATGGCAATAATTCAGCCACAAATTTGGAGAGAACACAAGTTGTTGACAGTGAAAAACCAAGACAATTGATCACCCAGAATAGTGACCAAAAGGATAGCTTATGGTACACTTATTGTAAGAAGCCGCATCATATCATGAAGAGAAGTCAAGAATGGGGATAGATAAGAGAACAGCTAATGAACAATGGTCCAGCTCATGTCACGACAATACAGCAGAATGAAGCACCAACAAAGGAGTCAGGTGGTCTCAACCAAGAAGAAGTTAAAAGATTCAGATCTTTCATTGGCAATCTGGACAAACTCACAGATTCTTATCCATTGGCTTATTCAAGTGAGTTTTCATCTTCTATTATATTAAATGTCACAGGTACAACCTTTGCTGACTCTTGGGTAATGGATTCAAGAGCTACCGACCATATGACTCACTCACCAAATTTCCCAATTGTTTATCCTTGTATGGTTTGTGTCAAAACTCCATCTGGAAAGACTATCAAAATTGTTCAGGGGTTGATTAGTTCCTGCAATACTCCCCCGCACCCCTGTCAATAGAAACCCTGACCCAGCACTGACATTTGTTAGTGTTGGTCAATGGCCCCAAATGTCTATTGATCTTACTTTCAATGTTTAGGCTTGGCAAGGTCTTTTCCTCATACTAAAGAGGCAACCCTCTAAATGTTCCTTGAGCTGCAGGAAAAAGTGGTTGTTTCTATTAAAAAACCATGCTTCCGTTTTAAGTGGAATATTTTTATAATCTGCGGTCGTTACCGCTGCTAAACTGGACTGTCATTTCCACTAAAACGAAGAGACCAGATGCTGGAATACGTATGAACTTTGATGGTAGAGATGTAGATGACAACTTAACTGATACTAGCCTGGAACTCGTGCATACTCAAGTACGGACTGTTTAGCAATTCTTCCCTTCAAATGAAGTTTTTTGTTCAGTTTTTTTTCCTTTTCTTTCTGCATTTTCTTGTAGAGCCTTTCTGTAAGTGCCTGTACTACCTTGGTTTCTACAGGAACAAAGTTGCCCATGGAAACAAGAAACCGTCTAATAAAAGTAACTTTTTTATCTGTTATTTCGCATCACTAGAGATCTTTTTGACTCTTTGATCTGACATCAAAGATAACATCACGAGGAGCATAATAGCCTCCCAGGAATGTAATAAATTCTTGACTGGAGCCAAGAAAATAAGCAGGAACGTTTCATTCACACCCTGGGCTTTGACATCATCATAATGCTATGCTATACACAACACTACTTTTCAAACTTCACTTGAGTAATTTAGGGTCCTTTCATGGGTATCTTGATCCTAATTCTACTCTATGATTCGACCACACAAATTATAATTCACTGAGGCTGGTGATAGTTTGTTCTGCATATACATAGGGGATGAAAGAAATGAACAATTTCCCAGAGAGCACCACCACGCACAAAATGCCAGAGATATGATGGATCAGTCTAGAGTAGACATTCCGAATCAAAGTGACGAGCCAAAAATGTAGATCTTATTATACTAGGAAAATGCCATTAACTTGATGCAGAACTGTTCCTTCAGGATAAAACATGTGGAATCTCCATGCAAGCAACCAGTTCCATAACTACAATAGTCAAAAGACAGCTAGTCGTCTAGGTTGAAGGTCCTTGAAAACAAGGGAAAGGTACGAAAACTCGGATAATGATGATGGGAGAAGACCAAAAATAAATCATATCAGAGAAGATTTAGTTCTCAGTAGGAATAATTGAGCACCGAGGATTTATCTGATGGATCTCAGTTTGAAGATGAACCTATTATATTGAACCAAAGGCTCAATAACACTCAGTGTACATGTCACATAAATTACAATCCTTTATTAAGGGTTAGCTTTTTCTTGCCTTTCCCTTCTTCTCCTTTTCCATTACATCTTACAATGTAATCTTCAGTGTTTCATTTTTTTTCCCTAATCAATGGTTATTTTATCCTAGATGCTGTCATCACCACTGGCCCTCCAAAAGGTAACCATCGTCTGCCAGGAGTTTCGGGAATCTCCTATCAACATCAAGCCACTGCCAGTTGGCTAGTTATCCTCATCCAGATCTTGGAGAGGAAAATGGTACCATGCTGAAAACGAGGCAAACTACAAACAGTTGTTGTCAGCCACTGAAATCTAGATCAATCCCAGATTCAGGGCACAAGATATTATGATAATGATGAAATGCATAAAATAGTCAACCAAACTCTCTAATTGAAAAATCAACTAGCATATTCAATAGCAATTAAAGAGAGAAAACCATTCTTAGTCCATCGAAATATTCTTATTCTAAAAAAAATGTTAATTCAATTTTATTAGTTGACTGAAACACCTTAAAATAAAAATCACTTTAATTGGAGATTTATGAAATCAGTGACCGACACTGCAACCGCACTACCTGTGAAGTAATGCAGAGTGTTCATCATCCACGGAATACAGATCATACTGACTTGTAAATGAGTTTCCCAGCTGAGTGACACATTCCATATCTTGAGCAATATCCAAAGACTCTGCAAGGAACTGCCAAGCATACTTGTCAATTCTAAAAAATGAAATACATAAAGTTCAAACCTTCTAAAACAGCGGCAGTTTAGGTTCTCCAGAATATGAAATAAAAACAATACAGAGGCAATATCTAACATAACTCAGTAAAATCGAAAAAAGATATAAATCAATTAAAAGTGGAGAATCCCATTTCAAGAAATGGAAACTTGTTATAAGAGGTATATAATTGAAATTTAATTGAATCAGCATTTTAGGAGGCAAAATTTTGAAGTGCATAACCCTTAGAGACTGTACCATCAGCAAAAATTTACCTACATACATTGATAACCATGTCATCCCATGTTTCTTGGTATAAAGAGTCTTGCTTCAAGTCTTCTGGATCACTGATATACGACTTCATTTTTGGAACCTAGGGATTGCCAAAGAAGAAACCAGATAAGACCTCAAGAGGATCAGAAGCACGAAGTGTAAATGGCTTTTTGAAAGTTCATTGTTAAAGGCAGTATGTAATTCACACAACAGAAGAAACTTTACCACTAGGTTACTACAAATTTTGGAATATTGGCCTTGCAAGCGAAGATGGGAGTGTATTGTACCAATTATATCATTAAGGATATAATTGTCCAAAAAAAAAATCCGGTGTAATTATCCAGAAACAAATCACGAGAATATAATCTAGGGCTATGGAAAAATGTTACTTTTTCTAGACTTTCTAAACTTAGTAGAGCCAAGATGTAGTTTGTTGAGTCTCCAACCCTCATCCAAAGAGGAATTTAATGTGACAAATTATTTTTGATTCCACGCCATCAAAGCTAAATGTATCTCTTATGCTTTAGTCATTGTCTGAACTGAAAGTCAACCTAATTGTTTACACCTTCTGCAAAAACAGCAACATAGATACAAATAGTTGAGACAGTGGCCAAAAATTACAGAATAAGAGAACATATCAGCATCCCATGGGCATGAGTTGGCAAGTAATCTTCTAAACAATAATCCAAGATACATAGTGTTGACCCCAAACAAAAACCTAAATATATTCTGAGTAAACCGAGCAGTCAATAACCATAGAAGATAGAAGCTGCTAACCCACAAGAATGAGAAATGAAACAAGACTCAAGCTCCCTATTGCCCTAAGGATTCGAATCTGTTCTCAAGTGCAGATTGATAATCAAGCCTCTTAGCATGGATAAAATCTTTTCGACATTTGTTAAAGCTTTCTTCACACTAAAAATTAACTTCTCAATTATTACTAGATTAATGCGTAATTTTTTGTATTAATTTCTTTCACCACATTATTATTGTGGACGTCTTAGCTACAGAAAAAGTTTTATTAATACGTTTAGGAACTTCATTCCCTATATTGTACTAATCTAGTGCAATTTCTAACGTGGAATCAAGGAATGTAGCATTCTTGGATTCGACAAAACTATTATAAATCTCGTGTCATTGTATGATTATTGTCTCTTGATAAGTTTTTATTTATTTCCATCAGTTACGTACCATTATCCCCACTCAGATTACATGCCATACAAACATCATAGTTTTCTTTCAAAATACAAGTACATTCCACTAGGGAAATAAATAGTCGTACGAAAAAAAATCATTTTAAGAATCTTCACTCTACAAATGCATTAGAACGAGATAGAACTAAGAAAGTGATACATAAAGAAAGATATGCATGCCTAAAACCTATGAATCTTCAAAGGAGTATGTGATTGTCATTTTCTTACGAGATAAAAAGGAAGGCAACATAAGTGATACACAAGATGACTATGAAATATAGCATAAGGCGTTGATTATAAATAGAGATCATATTGCTAAGGCAAGTTAAAATGAGAATAGAGATGCACTGTTCTCAATATTGAGCAACTATTTTTTTCCTTGCAAATAGTGTTTCTTATTTGGATAGAGTTGTATCCCATGGTGAGGATAGAATTATATTATGTCATTGTCTTTCTTTGTAAATATTCATTTTCCTTCTTTTACATAAAGAGTCTCCGAAATTCCTTATAGATAGAACATTACAACTCATTCATGTTGTCGCATTCTCTCTTGGTCCTCTCTCATCTTGTCTTAGTATGAGAGTGTGGAGTCTAGAGTTTCTTGCAATTTCGAATCTCGTTGAGGAGATTAGGTCTTAGGTTATCTTGGTAGCCGCTAAACTTGAAGGAACATCTTCCCCAAGAAAGTAAGCTCTTGTTGCCATTCAATCAAATGCTATATCTACATTTTTTCCTGTCCTCTCCTATAGACATTCATGGATGTTCAAAAAAGAACAACTATTATACCTAAACTAGCTGCAAAGATAATGGGAGTAAAGAAATACCTAAAGAAACTCAAGAACTTAACTAGGAAGAAAAATAATGCAAAGATAATGAGCTGGATAATAAGCACAGAAGCATGTGAAATTTCTTGAAGCGAGTATATCATTAAGATAATGACACTAGAAAGTCCAATCTTCGAATTAAAATTAATGAGTATAATTATGGAAGGAAAAACACGCAAGGATACTATTTTGGTTTCATGAACTTACGGCTTGAGTGTAGTTTTATCTTTTACGATATTATTTCCAAATTTAGCATTATAAGTGGCACAAGGGTAACAAGAGAAAAATAGAGATCAGTTTTTAAAGGAATCCAACCAGAGTCTAAACTATTCGTGGAACTCTAATGAATTGGAAACCAATTCTGAATTTGGAGGAAACTTTTCACGAGATACTTCAGGAAGAACAATGGATAATACCACAAAGAATGTTGGATATGATGACAGAGATAAATAGCAGTGAGGTGACATTCATTTCTAAGGAGCATCGTGGAATAGAAGATAGTAGAAATATGCATTTGTATTTTTGTTAGAAACAAAGACATCTTGCGAGAGATGATAAAGAAAAATTATATCTTTATCATAAGAAAGCAGGTCCTATCATCACGGTGTCACTGTAGACCTCCAAAAAAAAAACATACTGTCTAAGAGGCAGACTGTTGATATCCTCATGAAATGTCTGACAACCGATCATCATAAATTTCTCTCCACCAAAATATTGTTGAAACACTCCCAGCATCATTCTGTGGGGGAGTGACAGGTGCGTCCCGTGAAATATGGGATAGAATAGAGATACTATTCTCAATATTGAGCAACTACTTGTTTCCTTATTTTTTATTTTTCCTTTTAGGATAGAGTTGTCTCCTATAGTCAGAATCCAACTATATTGCGCTTCTCCCTTCTTCTAAATAAAGTCACTTGTCCTCTTTTATATGAAATCTATATAAAGAAACTTTGAAGATCCTGAAAAGAGCATTAAAACTCATTAATGTTGTCCAATTCTCGCTTGGTCCTCTCTCATCTTGTCAAAAAGGACATGAGAAGACAAAGGAAGGCAAATAGATTTGTCAAAGAAATTGTGGGAATACAAGAAATATGATTAGACTACAAAAGGAAATGCATCTACTAAGCTATGATCGTCAATTCTAGAAGGCTTTTAAAGGAAATTACGATAATGAAACGAAATTGATGGAAACAAGAAATAAGGATGTAAATTCATGCGTGTGGAATATAAAAATGGTATATTCTATAATGCAACTACGGGATTGGATCCATTCCTCAATCGCAGTTAGTTGGGACTTGATAGATAATGATGGTGACTACCATTAAGTCAATATCCTACTCTAAAGTTAATTAATTCTGAACAATTCCATAAAATCGCAAAAAAACCATAGTTATGTACGCAAATGCATTTGGCATAATTGTAAAACCGTAAAATAAAATTATCGTAATAGTTATAGCATTATAGATTAAGAGAGCATATAACGATACCAAATTCAAATCATATATTAACTCATGTCAAGTGAATTTTCCTGGTTCAAGGGTGACAGTACTCATTTTTACAGGTACACACCGGTCACCAGTAGATATGGCAGTGATCATTTACTACGCTACCAAACGAAACATGCACAATCCTACTTTTTGAACTAAAATGATGAGCGTACCACAGAAGAGTAATTATCAGAAAACAACACGATGTGGGCATAACAGCTTGAATCTAATTTGTATCTGTCTGCTGAAAAACATTCTAATGAAGCATATTGTACTATTCTACTACCTCATCTTGCCAAAACAAGCTCATGTTCTTAGGGAAGAGTGGTCCTAGGAGACACAAAACCTGCAGAAAAATAACAGTTTAATTAAGAAAGAAGTAGAAACACTTCCAAAATCCGTTTTAAGAAATAATATAGTTACCACAACGATAAAAATTAAGTCAGCAACAAACCTTGCTTCAGAAAATCAAGGTATGGCATCTGATGTTCATAATCTAAATAAACTGGAAAAAATTAAGCAAGGCAACAATCAACTTCAAAAATCGCCGGAGCTCCTATGGAACAGAAGCCCCGCTTGTTGTCTAAAGTGACAATGTTCAATGACAAAAAATAGACAGGCATCTAATAACTCTTTCTGACAGTTATTATATTAGAAAATACTTTTTGATATTGGGACGACTAGCACGTCCAAGAAGAATCCAAAGAAATTTCATTAGAATCTCTAGGAATTTTAGCACATGCAAATCGACATCCTAGTTGTCAGAAAAAGTTGCTGTTGTTTTTCTTCCTTTATTTTAATATTTCTTTATTACTTCAATGTCAAACCGGATTAGACCGGTCCGGTTCAACCCCTGTACTATGAGCCGGGTATAAATAACAGACCCAAATGTTAATCAAGTAAGGCGTGTACTATTTTGCCACCCTTCTGTTCGAGATTATGGTTTCTCTGCTTGTGATATTACGCTTGGCACAAGTAACAGTCTCCAACCCCAGTAAAAAAGAGCAGAGATAATGCTGCCTTTCTATCTTCAGATAATCCACGAACAAAGTTCTCTCTCTCTCTCTCTTTCTCTCTCATACACACACACACACACATTAATCAACATTGCATACTTATCTTTTAGAAGTTTATTGAACCTGGATAAAGACTAAACAAAGATGAACAGAAGTAAAAGAGGACCATATAACATACCTATGAGAAATGGAGAATTTCGTCCAGTCAAATATATTGTACATAAAACTAACTTTACAATGCAAGCAAGAGTTGGGGCATATGATAAATGGATAGAATAGTGTTTTGGTTCTCTCCTAAAAGAACTGTCCAAAAAGAACCACACAAAAATAATTTCTTGACAACTGGAGCCATCAAAAGCATATAGTGTTGATTTGGTTGCTTTTTGATAAGGCTCCATGCACATATGCTAGAAGGAAGAAGGCCCAAAGCCTAATAAGTCAATAACGGTTAGCATTGTTGAGGGAAGGCACAGTTATGGCAAGGAACAATATGACAAGGAGCAGTTATGGCAAAGAGCGGTTATGACAAGAGTGATTATGACAGGAGACAAACTGCCTAAATAAGAGAGGGAAAGGAGAGGATATAAAGAAGAACGAATCAGGAAGGAGAGGGGGAGGAGAAATCAGTGTTAGTATCTCATGCATCTACGAGAAAGGGTTGGAGGGTTGTATGCAACCCTCCATCTATTCTGGGTTCTAGGGTTGTATGTGACCCTTTATCTGTTCTGGGTTCTTTTACTATGTTTTATCTTTGGTATTTCTACTCTAGAGATTGTTTCTTTCATCTAATACGAATTATTCGTAGTTCTTTGATCTAGGTTCTTATCACTGGTATCTGAGCCAAACAAGGATGGAATCTTTGGAAGCTGATCTCGAAGCTCTTAAGGAAGACAATAGGGGTACAAAAGAAATGTTACAACAACTCACTCAACAACTAGCAACCTTGATGACACGCGAACCACATGAACCTCCACTGGAGCGGTCTCAGAGACAACCAGAACAACACCCACTTCAAAATCCGGAGCAGAGGGAGGGCAATTACAAGCCCAACAGCCGGACTGACCTTCCAAATTTCACTAACGATAGTCCAGATGAATGGTTACGACGGGCTGAGAGGTATTTTCGTATTAACCAAACACCAGAACACGATTGTTTAGAAACAATAATGCTGAGCATGGAGGGTGATGCCCTGGATTGGTATCTATGGATGGAAGATCGTTTTTCATTCCGTGACTGGTATGACTTTAAAATCCAACTTTGTGGTCGATTTAGTTCATCAATAGCTAACAACACGTATCATAAACTTTTGAACCTAAAACAAGAGAGTTCCATATTGGAATGTAGGGCAGAGTTTGAATGACTCTCAATCTATCTTCTGAACATACCAATAGAAAAACTGGAGCATAAATATCTAAAAGGACTCAAGCCTGAGATCCAATCAGAATTATCTATGTCCAGGCCTATTGGGTCATGTGAAATTATGGATACTTCAATACAGGCTGAAGCTCATATTCGTACTCTATGGCAAGCATGGAAGAAGGAACAACCACGACCACCCAAACATGTCATAGCTGCTTATACTTCGCACCAACAAAGGCTTCATCTGATATCTAATTTCAGAAATGAGCAATCTAATTCGGAGAAAACCCAAGTGACCACAGCTAGTGCCTCAAATAAGGATGGGATGTCCACATATTCTCCACGAAATATGAGCAATAACAAGGAAAATAGAAGACAGATATAATTGACAGAAACTAAACTATAAGGAAGACGGAACAAAGGATTATGTTCCTATTCTAATGACAGGTTTGGACCAGGCCACAAATGCAGGCGGGCCCTTAATATACTCATTGTTCAAGAGGAGGAGAAGTCCCAAGAAGACTTCCAAGAGGAAGATTGGGCTCCACTAGAGCATTGCTCACAAGAGGAAGGTACTCTATTCACAACCTATGTCTCATTAAACTCTATCATGAGATTGACTCAGCAGCATAAGACTATGAAGGTAAAAGGCATCATGCATAATCAACAGGTAACTATTTTTATAGATATTGGTGCTACCCACAATTTCATATGCAGTAAGCTGTAGGAAGAGCTATCTTTACCTGTCAGCGAATTCCACAACTATGGTATTGTGATGGGCAATGAGCATACTGTGCAAGGTCATAGAATATGCCATAACATTCCACTCAAAATCCAAGATCTCTTCATTATTCAAGATTTTCTTCCCTTGGATTTGAGTAGCACAGATGTCATACTAGGAATGCAGTGGCTTAAAACACGGGTGGATACATTCACATTGTGGGCAATTAATATCATGAAATTTATGCTCAACAACACGATCTACACCATTCGTGGGGATGCAAGTTTAAACAAAACAACAATATCTTTCAAAGTAGTAGAACGTGAATTAAAAAGAAGCCACATATGTGCAGTAGAATTACACCAACTGTCATAAAGAAAAAAACATGATGAACATGATGAACATTTGGATAATGTCTTCCTTAATTCTTGCAGCTAATAGCCTTTATGTCAATGAAAAAAAATGTAAATTCAAGTAATCTCAATTTGAATACCTCGGCCATTGGATTTCTGCAGGAGTATCTACATATCAAGAAAAAAATTCAGCAATATGGGACTGGCCTACTCTTAAGAATTTGAAAGCATTACAAGGTTCTTAAGACTAACTGGCTATTATCGCCGATTTGTCAAATGTTATACTACTTTATCATAGCCTCTGACTGGATTGCTCAAGAAAAATTATTTTCATTGGGACTCTGATGCTCAAGAAGCTTTCCATAAACTAAAGGTGGCGATGATTTTCACACTAGTTTTGGCCCTGCCTAATTTCTCTCAGAAATTCGTAGTTGAAACAGATGCTTCAGGGCATAGCATAGGTGCAATATTGATGCAGGAAGGACGACCAGTAACTTATTTCAGCCATGGTTTCAAGGAACAGTCTCGTCTAAAGTCCACCTTCCACCTATGAGAGAGAACTCATTGCCATTGTGATGGCAGTAAAGAAATGAAGGCATTATCTCATGCTCCACCCTTTCATCATTCGGACAAACCAATATAGTTTGAAATTCCTATTCGGCCAAAAGGAGATTCACTCAGAATATCACAAATGGATCACTAAACTAATGGGATTTAATTTTCAGATACAATACAAGGAAGGCAAGAAGAATGAAACTGCAGATGCACTATCTAGAGCACCACAATTGAGCAAGGTAGTGGTGGCACCCATGTGCACTGCACAAGGAGTGGATGTAACCACAATCAACAAAGAACTGGTGCTTTACAAAGACACACTCATAGAAGGCTCAACTTCTTTCCCACATTACTCAATTCAACAAAGATCACTTCTCTACAAAGACAGGTGGGTGTTACCCCTCACATCTACTCTTCTCTCCACATTACTACGTGAATTTCATGACAGCCCATTGGGGGGTCATGTTGGCTTTTAAAAACCTACTGACGAATTGCCCAGCATGTATATTGGGCTGGCTTGAAGAAAAGGATCAAACAACATATTAATGAATGCACTATCTACCAATTGAATAAGGTTTCAACCTTGTCACCAATAGGACTTTTGCAGCCTCTGCCTATTCCGAATATGATATGGGAAGTCCTCTCCATGGATTTCACACAGGACCAACCTAAATCTAAAGGCTATGACTCCATTCTCGTTATAGTGGACAGACAGCAAATTTGGTCACTTTATACCCCTCAGACATTCATTCACAGCCAAAGACATTACTCAAATCTTTGCAAAGAAAGTCATCAAGCTGCGTGGCATTCCAAGATCTATTGTGACTGACAGAGGGACTGTATTTACCAGTGCTTTTAGGAAAGCACTCAACAAACTTCAAGGCACAGAATTGAAAATGAGTTCTTCTTATCACTCACAAACAGATGGGCAAACAGAGATGGTGAACCGAAGCTTAGAGAATTATCTCGGATGCTTTACTTATGATAAACCTAAGTTATGGAGTGACTGGTTACATTGGGCGGAACTTAGTTACAACACTTCTCATCATTCTACCATCAAGATGACCCCTTTTAAAGCAGTGTATGGACGGGACCCTCCCACACTTACACGTTATGGATCTCCTATGTCACTAATTGATGTAGTCGACACTTATCTAAAAGAAAGGGATGATACACTTCAACTTCTCAAGGAACATCTCTTGGCCACACAGTACAAGATGAAAGCATAAGCTGACAAACATCGAAGAGACAGAGTTTCAAGTGAGAGATTTGGTTGATATCAGGCTCCGACCTTATTGTATGAAATAGCCAAGAAAGCTAATGAAAAATTGAGTCCGAGATTTTCCCGCCCTTACCTTATCCAAGAGTGCATTGGCCAAGTGGCATACAAACTGGAACTTCTCAACTCCATAACTATTCACCCAATTTTTCACATTTCTCAACTTTGCAATGCACTAGGGAATTCTATTTACTGTCAACCCATTCTAGACATACTAATTGATGCTTTGGAATGGAATGTGACCCCCCAAGATCTCCTAGCCATTCGGAATTCCTCTTTTGACAAGAAGTCTTGGTCAAATGGGCTGATCTCCCTAATTTTGAAGCTACGTGGGAACTAACTTCATCCCTCCACCAACAATTTCCAAACTTCCACCTTGAGGATAAGGTGAAGCTCATGGGAGGGAGTATTGATAAGGCTCCACGCACATATGCTAGAAGGAAGAAGGCCCAAAGCCCAATAAGTCAATAACGGTTAGCACCATTGAGGGAAGGCACAATTACGGCAAGGAACAATATGACAAGAAGCAGTTATGGCAAAGAGCGGTTATGGCAAGAGGGATTATGGCAGGAGACAAACTGCCTAAATAAGAGAGGGAAAGGAGAGGATATAAAGAGGGGCGGATCAGGAAGGAGAGGGGGAGGAGAAATCGGAGTTAGTATCTCATGCATCTACGAGAAAGGGTTGGAGGATTGTATGCGACACTCCATCTATTCTGGGTTCTAGGGCTGTATGCGACCCTCCATCTAGAGATTGTTTCTTTCATCTAACATGAATTATTCGTAGTTCTTTGATATGGGTTCTTATCACTTTCTCACACTCAAAAGGGACAGAGAGGACAAGGATGAGTAGGAAGAGACAGGAACAAAGGGAGATGCATGGAAACCCTACATTGGGGGATGCAATTCTAGAGAGTATGTTTGTCACACACAAACACCACACAAGATATGGGGACTTTATTTCCTCAGAGATTCAAATGGCCAAAATACTTCGTCTGTTGTAACCATGCACGAGTATAGCAGACAAGGTAAAAAAGACAACTAAGGATCCGGTTGTTGGGTTCAGGATCCATGGATACAAATCACAATCGATATAGACAAATGGAAAAGGACTGATTTCCTTTAAAATGCTCCAAAAAAGAAGCGATTAAGGAATTGGTCATGCAAACAACTCATAGTAACTTACGACCATTTCCAAAAAAATCCACTCAGGTTTCAAGAAACATACACCAAACAAGCTTCCAGTGACAGAAGTCCTCACATATATCTAAAGTTTCATTAACATTTGACTCAAAACCTTCATGAACTCATAACATAGAAGCCTATGACCATTTAATACAAGCATTCTTCACACAGTGAATAGAGTGAAGAAATGCAGAAAGAAAGTACACATGAAATTTTGTCACGAGATGGTTGCCGAGAAAATAAATGCATAATCTATGGGTGACGAGATACAAGCATGTCTTTTATATAGTTGTCAAATCAAAATAATCTTTTTAAGACAAGGAAAGTAAGGTAAGCATTTACTAAAAGATAGAAAATCAAAAATCGAACAGAAGCACAAACCGTCAAGATCTGGGATGGCAACTGCTCCCTAGCAAGAGGATTGTGCAAAAGAACCACCAACCGTGCAAATAGATCCTGCTCTTGATGTTTGTCCATCAATAAAGAAACAATTTATGATTCGGATTACACAGGTAGACAAATAAAAAAGGAAATAAACTTACCACGGAGCTGGGCATATCTGTATGAGCACTTAAATCTGTGAGCGTTGAATTGGTTTGTGATGATCTACGACGGCACAATTCTGATATGCATTTGCAGACCTAAAAAAATGAGAATAAGAGATAACATATATGATAGCCATAAAACGAGAATAGAATATGCAGATAAAATTGCTGAGGATCCTCTACCACAGCAACTGCACCAGTGTATTTTCTCGGAATGATCAACTTCAACAAGAAAGGCCAAAGCACATGCTGCAAAATTTTGAATCCCAGTGAAATGGTGTAAAAACAAGATTCAGTACATATTCTGAATCATTTCACAGATAACAAGGAAAATTTATGAAATCAATATCCTTAACTGTTTTCCAGTACGAGACCAAAATGTTTACCTCCATCTCAGGAATAGTGATTGCAATCAAGAGTAGGCCCTTTTCACATATGTCTCTCAATTCTGCCGGAGAAATGGGTCCCAACTTTACCTGAATAGCATCAATAATATGAAAAACAATGTTGCAGATCCGAAAACATGACAAGGATGTAGTCTTGCAGCAATATTATCAAGAACCTCGAGTTTCTTGTACTGAAAGTGCAGAAAAGAGTTACTTTTCTGGAGTTCTTTATTGGATGCTTGAAAATTTTTCACTTCCTCATCTGATATTGCACAATGTCGAACCAGGAATTCAATAAACAATTCTCCCGATTGACCACCCAGGTAACAATGCGAGGCCATAACAACAATCAGCTGCCAGGAAATATGAGTGTCAGCGTAAAGACATGTCCATCCCACTGCTATTGAAATTATGTAAGCAAAGATACCTGAAAGAGATTTCCAAAGAAGGAAAGAAGACAATAATGGACTAATAGCAGCATTGTGAGAATGACCGATTTCAGACTGATATCCATTTGGATGAGTTAAACAAAAAGCACACAAAAGGACAAGAACTTTGCCCTAGATTATGAATGACAGCTAATTTTTCCTAGCCAGTATCCTCAAAAAGAGCATACTATAATTCATTCAGGAGATCTGGGGATATGGAACCTTACGTATGGAACTTTCAGAAAAGCCTCGCTAGACGCGATGTGACTTTTGACAAGGGCTCTGCGGGAAAATTTTGCAAGAATTGTAGGATTAAAATCAACTCTTTTCATGAAACTTTGTTTCTCTGGACGGTTCCCTTGACCAACAGCTGATAACTCAAAGTTATTCCGCAATATTCATAATAATATCATTATGAATTGATAACATGCCAAAAAATTAGAGCCAGCAATATTCACATTGTAGAATTACATGACCTAAATACAGAACGGCTGTCGTTGAAGGATTATCCACTTGGAAGGTTTAGACAAAAGGTTGGTAAGAATAAGCGGAGAAAGTGCATAATCTGATTTACAGGACTCTTATTTGGGTGTGTATTGAGCCCTTAGCATGATCTCATATTAGTTCTAGACATCAATGATTTGTAAATTAGTTTAACTGTACAGTAACGATCTTGGTAATTTCCAAAGAAATCATTCATTTTCCCTCCTATATAATAGATTAATTCGAAAAGAAAATCATGGGGGAACAGTGGAGAGAGCATGAGGGAGACAGACAATATAATTGGTACCTCCGCAAGTGCTTTCTGAACACCAAGGCTATGCTCACCCAGCAAAGATTTTGCAGTGTCAACAAGCAATGTTCTTTTGATATGCCAGGCCTCAGCCAACCTGCAAACGGACAGATGATTTCATAACGTAGAGCCAAGTGCATCAAAATGTAAATACCAGTCTTCTATACAGCAAAAGATGGGAAAATGGAAAAAACGATCACTACGATGAGAGAGAACACAAAAACTCTGCTGAGAAATTAGAAGAAGTCAACAAAAACAAAGAAAAAGGAGAACCTGGGGAGAAGATGCTTTAGGACACAAAGAGCTCCCACTATCAAAGCTTCATCTTTCTGCTGGCATTTCTGGTTCATAAACAATAAGAATCATTATCACTTAGAAAACGAGATGAAAAGGAAAGTGGTGCCATTTTAAATGGTGACTGAAAATAAGCTTCCATTAAAACTTTTCCCATACTTTTAGTGTTCAGTACCATTTCCTCCTTTCACTAAGAACAGTTCCCAAATAAAGATAAAGGAAAAGAAATAAATAGACATCACCACAGATGTTTATGCATAGTCAAAGAACTATCATCATAAGGAACAGCTAACTAAGTCTGGCAAAGAATCCATTCATGTCAAGTTTTTTCTCCATTGTCTACTTGTTCCAAAAGCTTTTTTTAGGTAGACCATTTATAAACTAAATGAAAAATCTTTCTAGTCTTGCATTGGAATTCGATTGTTTCTTTCTAATTTATTATATTTTGTCTCTGTAGTACATATGAGATATATTTTTTTCTTATGAGAATGTTTAAAGTTCAATTATGATTGGACTATTCAGGTATATTTAAATTTTGGTCATCCCTACTAAGCAAAGTCAACATTCATTGCATCCTTCTCTCAAAGGAACACTGATAAATATCATAAAAACGACTTCACAGATATAAAAAATCATTTCCTATTGGTTAATGTACAAATCTAGATATATATCGAAAACGCTAGATAGTTCCTAACATGAAGTTCACTTTGAACTCGACAGAATAAATCCTATTTGATAATTTTATGAGATGAAGGCCATTTGATTCCAAAATAATATATTTGATAGCTTTTCAAACGTAACATATTTGGCAACTTTGTTGAACAAAACTCCAAAACTCTGTAATAAAATATGGTTTAAGTTCATTGGTTATCTAAAAAAAATTCAAAATATTTGAGCAAGTTCCACAGCTGAATGTGACATTAACCTCAGAGAGTTCATGCCCGAACCCTAACTAAATATTGAATGGCAGGTGTAGAGGCACCAAATGTTTACCAACATAAATGAGGTCTTTTTTCTCATGCCTAGAATATAAGAAAGCTTATTTCATCAAAAATTTAATCAAACACAAATTGAAGTAAAGTACAAGCAAAATTTGATGGAATAATATATACATAATACCTCTAAGAATCACACTTACATCCAGAAGAAATAGAAAAAGGTCTTCAGGATACACAGAACCAATGACAAGAAAACAACATTGAACTTCATTATAAGTCTGCAAAATATATAACAGAACAAAAGAAATGATTAGAATTACCGAATAACAGCTCCAAAAGTAAACATGGAAGACATGCCACGAGTATAAGAACATAGTTATGTGAAACATATATCCAAAACCAAATTAACCCTAAGAAGTCCCAGATATTTCCTTGGAGTTATACTTTCATAGATTTGCGCCTAAGACCCCTAGCTATTCCTGCACGGTATTGGACTGATAGCGTGTCACACATTTAGCCTAATGTAGAACCAATCTATCCAGATATGGTAGATCTAGAAGGTGAGCAATTGATACGTGAGTTATGACCAGGCAAAGTCACAAGTAATATATACATGGATGTTTATGAATATGGGATTACGTCGTCTAAGTGTCCAACGCAAATACAATCACTCGAGCAGAAGAAAGGCCATTTCTCAAAAGACCTCTCTTTACTTCTAACCAAATATCCATCCCTGGTGCACCCAGGCAAGCAGATTCAAATTAAAGTTTAATGGCAATAGTGGAATATAAAGTTTAAATTCTGACAGTAGGGCCATCCTGGAAACCAATCCAAATTCTAGGCAGTGACAGGCGAACACAGATTACCTGCATCATTCTCCCTGGTCCACTCATGCAATAGAAGCATGAGGAAACACTTGAGACGGTTGTTGCTGGAGGACCAAGAAGTGTAGTTCGTATGTACAAGCAGGCGCTCATACTATGGTCCTTTGGTCAAGTAGGTAAACTGGCACTTTGTGAAAAGAAGTTGGAAAAAAAGGTCGCCCCAAACTTTCATGGTGTAAAAAGAGATGCCTACTTAACTTCCCTTCCCAAAAGAAATCTTTATCCAAAGTGAGGCCAATTTTAAAGAATGCTTGTTGACTAAGGCCGATAAAAAAAGGTTCCCAGATCTTTATCCACTTTGTTGACTAAGGCCGATAATCTTCCCATGTATTTAAAATAAAAACAATTCAAGCATTTTAAACAGAACTGCAAATCCAGTATTCGTCTCAATCATACTACTTATATACACTGAACATCTCTGACTTGCTAATCATTTTCTATGAGAAAAGGTTCTCTGCTATTTTTATAAATTAGTTATTTTTTATTCTGCACATTATTTAGCTCACTAACAAGTCAGACCAGTCCAAAATTGGTATCAAAGATAGGATTCACATATTATTCCCAGAAATGTCAAAAGGAATTAGAGACGATACAAATCAAAAGCATTATCCTCTGTAACAGAACCGTATGAGCTATTAGGAAATCGACAGAGTCAATGATATTTTTGGTCTGCTCATATGCCAAATAATAACAGAACAGGAAACCAAATTCATCCATCTTTTGAATCCTCTTGTTACTCATATAATGGTTCAAACCTGCACAGCGCCAACTCTTTTACAACTTCAGGAATCTAAGGAGGACAAAAGAAAACCTGTCTTTTGGACATTTCAGACAGAGCTGGAGAATCTTCCCTTCTTCAGTTGGAATCTTTTGCAAAGTTTAAGAAAGGACAACAAATGTCTAACTTTTATGGAATTCTTCCCTCTTTGACACACTAAATTGCGCTATGCAACAGTACCATTTTTTAAAACCCACTTGACAATGATACAAAACCTCCTACATTTTCTGCCCATGCAACTATAACAACCAGTGAAAGCAAAAAAAGGTATGGCTGACTTATACAGTGCAAAGCTCTCAAGAATCCTTCACAATCATCAGATTGGTGATAAAGATGGAGAAAATTAATGGGAAAGAGAGTCTTCTTTTTCGTGTTGTCAAGAGAACTTAACAAATAAACCTTGTATTTTTCAAGTTGGTAGATATGCCCTTCAGTGTTTGCATCTATGTCTAAAACTCTCGAAGGTCTGGCATAGATACTGGACCCCATCCCTCTTGTAAAACGGATTCTTGCTTCTCATTGAATAAAAATTCTTCCTCCTCTCCAAGGGTGCTTCAGGATCTGGTGGCACACCAAATAGAGGACCATACCATTCTACATGGTATCAGAGCAAGATTAGGATCTCAAATCCCTCCCTTGACGTTATGTGTTCATCTAAAAGGGACGTTCCACTTCTGTTGGATCTGTTGGTATCATGCCCGTATGGCAAGGGACGCATCATCTCTGTAATGTCTCCAAAGAGCGAATCCAGGTGCGATCACTGTAATTCGTTTCCACACTTATTGATTCTACTATTACGGTCTTTGTATTGTTCTTTGAATATATATGTTTGAGACTTGTTCACAAAATCAGTTTTCCGTGAAGTCAATTGTTATTTCCTTAAAATATAGGAGATGTTGCTTCATCTTCTAGAAGAGATTCTACTTCAACGAGAGAGGTTAATCTTGTTCTTGGAGGCACAAGAATATTACTAGAACTTCCTGCAATCCCTTAAGAGTTCAAGCTAACCAGATATAATATGATTCAATGGTCAGAATATATTTGTGAAGTATTGACTGAAAAAGGCATGGTACACCACTTGATAGAGGGGAAATCAGACTCAATGTCATCAGAATTTTGAAGATGGAGAGAAGAGGACGCCCTAATTAAAACTTGGCTGTGGGGAACAATGATTCCCCAAATTAGCCATGATTTTTTCTTCTTAGCCACGGTCGAGGACTTATGGGAGATGGTTCATACCAAATTCTCACAGAAAAATAATGAGGGTCATATATATGGACTTAAGACAAAATTAATGTCCACAATGTACGGGAGTAAATCAGTGATGGAGTGAGTATGCAGGAGAGCTAAAGAATTTATGGTAGGAACTTGACTATTATCTTAGTCTTGATACTGAAAAATCTGTTGGAATTGTTGCATTACGAAATTTTATAGATAGATGGAGAGTGTTTAAATTCTTGGATGGACTTAATTCTGTGTTTGATCAGGTTAGACAATAGATATTGGACTGTGAGAAGAAAACTGATTTAGATGAAGCTATTTTGATTATCTTAAATGAAGAAAGTCGCCAGAAATCGATGATGTCAGTTCCAAAAACTAATAATTCTGCATTTGTGGTTAAACAAGGTGAAACTATGAAAAAGACTGCTGATCAGGCGAAACCATCTCAACATGGTCAAGAGAGGAACTAGAAAACTGACTTTAGAGACAACCTATGGTGTACGTATTGCAGAAAAATACATCACACGAGATATATGCTACAAGTTACATGCCAAATCACCATATTTCAATAATGAAAAATATGGTAGCCAAGTATATTTTACAGCAAATTTACCTATTAATCAGCTGTTAGATTTCAAACAAAATCAACCCAACCATTTCATATAAATGATATAGAATGACTTCAAGCTGAATTGGAACAATTGAAGTCGACGGTGACATAACACTCACCAGTCTCGCAGGGTAAGCGTCATCACTCTTTCGAAATTAAAGCTTCTTCTAGAGATATTTCTAACTCCTGGGTAGTGGACTCACAGGAAACGGACCACATGACTAATTCTTCTCACTATTTCACCAATTACAACACTTGTCTTAGTGATAGAAAAGTCACAACTGCAGATGGATATTTTCTAACTGTTGCAGGTATAGAAGACCTTCGACTTGAACCCCTTGGCATTCTTCCTAATGTTCTTCATATTCCTAAATTATTTACAAACCTTATTTCTGTTAAGAAACTTGTGAGAGATTCCTTTTACCATGCCTTCTTTGACGAAGATATTTGTGTAATATTTGATAAGGAACATCATCAGAGGATTGGAGTTGCTAAAGAACGTGATGGACTATATCTTCTAGAAGGACTGAGCCAAACGTATATCATGAAAACGGATCAATCCATAAAACCTCTAAAAGCTGTCAATAAGATTTGTCTACTTCATCAAAGGATGGGTCATCCCTCGTTAGTACCTTAAAGATTGTTTTTCCTTCTTTGTTTCAAAGAGTGTCTTTCAGCACTCTCAAACTTAATGTGTGTGAATTTTCTAAACACACACGTGTCATTTCACTCTCAAGGAGAAAGGAGTGAATTTTTTTTCTTCCGAATTCATAATGACATTTGGGGACCATGTCCCATCAACGATATTCATGGTAATAAATGGTTTTTTACTTTCATTGATAATTGCACAAAATGCATGTGGGTATTTCTTCTAAAACAAAAGTCTGATGTGTGTGATGTTATTAAATTCTTTTGTACCATGATAAAAATCAATTTGGTACAAGTATCAAAAAATTTAGATCCGACAATGCTAAAGAATATTTTAGTCAAAGTTCTTCAAAGCAAAGGAAATTATATACGAATCTTCTTGTGTGTATACTCCGCAGCAAAATGGTCTAGCCGAAAGGAAAAATAGGCATATTTTTAGAGGTAGCTAGATCTATCCTATTTCAACATCATGCGCCAAATATTTTTTGGGGAGAGGGTAGCCTCACAGCCACATACCTCATTAACCGAATGCCTTCTCGAATCTTAGACTTCCACAGTCCTATAGATTCCTTAGCCCATTTTTTCTCGCACCACCAAATTAACACTAAAATAAAACCAAGAATATTTGGGTGTGTTTCTTTTGTTTACGATCACACTCAGAATAAAGGAAAACTCGCACCAACATCACTTAAATGTATATTTCTTGGTTATGCTATTAATCAAAAAGGGTATAAATGTTACCACCCTCCATCTAGAATTTTTTTTTACTTCTATGGAAGCAACATTTCATGAATCAGTACCTTACTTCAACAAGTCGTCATCTGATGAACAACCTATATTGTCTCCAATCATATTGTTCTACATGAATCCTCTCATCATCTGCAAGTCTACTATTCATTCATATTTCAACTCCTGAAATATCTCATTCTACCCCAGATCCACTTCCTGAAAATTTGAGGTTTGGCAAAATATACTCTAGGAGAGGTGACATTCATGATTCACAAAATGACTAAGATTCTAATGAGGCCTTAGAAAATGTCCAAACATCTACTTCTCCATCGCTAATGATCAGCCAAACCTGCAGTGTGACTCGCTTCCAATTGCCTTGCGAAAACCCATCAGACAATGTACTAGAATATCTCTGAAGCTCTATCCAATTTGAAGTGGAAGCAAGCCATGGACGACGAAATGAGGGCTCTTAAGAAAAATGAAACTCAGGATTTAGTAGCATTACCATTGAATAAGAAAACGGGTGATTGTAAGTTGGTGTATACCATGAAATACAATTATGATGGTTCAATTGAGCAGTAAAAAGCCAAATTAGTTGCTAAAGGTTACACAAGTCTACAGCATTGATTATCAAGAGACTATTTTTTATTGTCAAGACACAAGTCTAAAGGTTGCACACAGGTCGGTGGCAAAAATGGATACTGTCTATTTTTTATTGTCTCTAGTTGTGATTTTCAGTTGGGATATTCAACAATATGACGTTAAAAATGTATTGTTGCATGGTGATCTTATGGAAGAGGTGTATATGACACTACCACCAGGTTATGAGGGTAATCTCTCTTCTAATATTGTTTGTAAATTTAAAAAGTCTCTCTATGGAAAATCTACAAGTAAACCAGCTACTACACCGATTGATCTGAATCACAAATTTTGTATGGAGGGAGAAGTTATAGTTGATCGTGAGATGTATCAAAGGCTTATTGGTCATTTACTCTATTTAACACATAGTCGACTAGACATCTCATATGGAGTGAGTATCTTGAGTCAATGTACACATCAGTCGAAAGAGACCCATTTATATGCAGCATATAGAGTGCTATTACTTAAAGGGCACACCCGGCAAAGGAGTCCTATTTAAACACAGTGAGGAGGTAAATATCGAAATGTTTATAGATGTTGATTATGTTGGGTCAATGATTGACCAGAAATCAACTTCTGGTCATCTCACATTTATTGATGGTAATCTTGTTACTTGGAGAAGTAAAAAACAGAACGTGGTAGCCCATTCAAGTGCTAAAGTAGAACTCAGAGCATTTGCTCAAGGGGTCTGTGAACGGCTATGAGTGAGAAATTTATTTGATGACTACATATTCCTCTATCAGGCCCTATGAAGATTTATCGTGATAATAAGTCAGTAATCAATGTGGTACATAATCCAATACAACATGATCGTACCAAACATGTGGAGATTGATCAGCATTTAATCAAAGAAAAGCTTGAGACAAATGTGATTTGTATACCATACATTTCAACCAAAAATCAGTTAGCAGTTATGGTCACCAAAGGCGTCTCAGGCACATAGCTACAAGAGATTCTTCCCAAGCTAGGAATGGATGATATTCATTCACTAGCTTCAGGGGAAGTGTTGTCAAGAGGATTTAACAAATAGACCCCTTTATTTTTCATGTTGGTAGATATGCCCCTAAGTGTTTGCATCTATGTCTAGAACTCTCAAAGGTCTAGTATAAATACTAGACCATCTCCCTCCTGCAAAACGGATTCTTGTTTTTCATTGAATAAAAATTCTTCTTCCTCTCCAAGGTTGCCTCGGGATCTACCAGCACATTGAATAGAGGACTATACTATTCTACATTTAGTAATCCATGAAAAACTTTAAACACCATTATGGGAATCAGGAATATCTCAACAAATAGAAAACCAGAAAGCTTACTCTAAATGATGGGGAAAACCGAGGAGATTATTTTTTCATATCATCTGTCCCTAAAATGAACATCCAGTCAGGCGATGTGTCATATCATCAGTATAACATTTCAGAGTACATCATCGTGCATACACATTTTATATCAACAATTTTGAAGACATACAGTCCAAAGTGAACGCCTGAACCAATCAAAGAATAGTATCACTGGCACTATCCAATGTGATAACTCGAGAATCACAAGAAAAGAGTAATTCTAAGGTTCACTTAAACACTGACTAGTTGATAGTGTTTATCAGAACTATTTACAGCCTACAATGATATTTGTGTGAAACCCGGTAGGGGTACTTGGAAATGCCTGATTCTGTCCTTCAACGTTAACTGGAAAATATTGTATGAAAATATTTATGGATATGCTAAACAACAAAAGCTGATTGCAATTTCATGACAGCAATACCTTGAGTTTCACAGAGAAATCAGAATGCTTTTCCTTGGAGTCGTTAATGCATGCCAGGGGAACAAGTGTGCATAGGATCTTTATGAGTTCCTGTAGAGTATATGAGACATCATTAAGATGAGAGATTAAAGTGACTTCGAACTTCAATATATTTGTAAGATATGTCAGCAACCAGAAGATTCATGTTTCCAAATAAGGACAATTAGTTAGCACTAATGACATCAAATCTATGTTAACATAAGTTATGATGCAAATCAATAAATAAAAGTTGCCAACTTCTCCAAATGCACTAACTTCTAAATATGAAGTCATCAAAACATCTATGTTCCCTTAGATATTTGGAAACGACGGAGGCACTTACAACCTTTCTTCACACAAATTTATCCATAAATTGAACATAAACATAAAAAAGGAAATATTTCTCCTTTTCGGGATCCAAGGACGGAAAGAAGGAGAATTGGTACTATTCTTATATTTTCTCCTGTATCTTTTAAAAATGTCCTACCACCATCAACAAAACAGAAGGCACATCGGATACAAAACAAAGTGGTTGATTACAAATTGACAAGTCTAGATAATAAAATGTCCACAGAAAGACATTTCTCGCATAAAAAATTAGACAAAAAACCCCAGCCTCTATTAAAGGATCAAATCTATATAACTGAACACTAAAAACTCAAAAAAATTAAGCATAGAAACTTCATTACCTCAAAGTCAAGTAAAGGAGGTCCACTCTCGGTCAACAAGGAGGCCTTGAGAATCTTATGCAGGCTACATGTCGCAAGAAAGGCAATTTCTTGGTCTCTCCTGTAACTATACAGATTTAAATACAAAAGAAACAAGTCTCAGTCGGATACTTAGTGAAGACATCAACAAAGAGTAGCTAAGTGAAGTCCCGATCAAATATAAAACGTCCATGTCTCTTCTTACAGATCCAAGATAGTTTGGACAAGCCTAGGCAGAGCAGCCTTAAGTTGGGAACGAGTAATGAGACCAACCATTTGTCCCAAAGCATCCACAGCTGATAGCCTTACCTGTTATATTTTAATGAAATAAATTATAACAGCAGAAATATAACAAGACAGACCATTTATGATGTATGAAATAGAAGAGCATAAACAGGAAACTGAATTATTTTTCACTGAATATAATAGAAACGTACATAAAAATCAGGGGTATTAGAGAGGAAATAATGACATGATACTCGAGTTTTAATCATAATTTTTTGACTACTTTGACCCAATAAAGATGCTCCTTAAGCAGAAAAATATGAGAATAAGATGCATTTTCCGATCTCTTAGGCCATCCAAAAAACTAACCCAATAGAGGTAACAACCCTAATTCAAGTGTATAAATGGTGAGGAGACCTCACACAAGAAAGTTATTGTCATGCAATATGCTTCAATAAGGTCCAAAAGATAGAAGCATGTATGAACATAAGTGGGCTCATGATCTGGATTATCTGGTCTCATAGGTCTAATAATTGAATCAAAATAATTTAACCATTGAGAACCATAAGAGTCTATGGCGAGAAGACAAGTTCACAAAATAAAATTACAGAATGAAAATAAAAGGGCGTAATATTCCTGTTGAGAATATAAATGTAGTGAAAGATTCATCAAGGGTTCTGTTGGAAGTTCTAGGTCGTAAGAAAATACTGTAAAAGACTGAGGGTGTTTTGCAAAAATTGTCTAGGGTTCCTCCCTATATAATAGATGTTAGAGGTGAATAAATCTTGAGGTGGTTTTCCGCCATTCTCCCCTTTGTCCTCAATGACAGAGGTTTTTCTCCGTTTTCAGCAGGTTCGAGCCAATTTTTTTACTTGGCCAATCCAGAAAAACAGTCTATAAGCAACCCAATATCAGAGTGCAAGGATCTGTTAGTACAAGTTTATCAGACCATTTTCCCTATCCCAAAAATCAGGTTCTAGTAGAAAAAGCAGAACTAAATGCATTGGAATAAGTAGGCATATCCATGGGGTTGACCTATGGACCAACACTGCGGCAGCATCATTTGAGAATGGCAAGACCAGATCACTTGACTACTGACGACTCAAGGACCAACTTACAGAAGCTCTCCAACAGATGACTAACGTGCAGGCTCATTGGACAGCAGGGATAACGTGGCCAACTACATCAAGCATCGCTGCACCAGAATGGCATGGATAGGTGGTTCAAAAGTCATGCAGCTCCCATGGTCCATCACCTCTAACAGTATCGAGCCACTAATCAAAGCCTCACACGCCTATCTAAGGGGAAACGGTAGTGCTCGGATAAGGTCATCTCCCCCCAACTTCTCCTTCTCCTCTGACCTATGCAATGTGACAACACTAATGGTGAGCAAATCATCATGAAGACGTGCCTCCTCCCCTTGTCTCACTTCTTTCCTGCATAACTATCAACAGGGGTGTGAATCCTTAAGTCGGGGCTGTGGTAGGGGAGAGAGGTTTTGAGACCAATGACCTCCTCTCCAGGCCACCATACCTTCAGGTTAGAGGCCTATGTCAAGAAGATCAGCTGCTTGATGGACCACCAACAGGAAAAGCAGAGACTAAAATGAGCTGACTAACTGGATCCAATTTGTCTAGTTGTTCAGGTGCCTAACTAATTTAAAGATCGCAAGTTGCAACCAACATGCAAAATACCATTAAATCGGGTCGAATATGTTAAAGAAATTTCAATATACGATTATAATACCTAACATATAAAATTAATTTATTGAGATACTGATCAATTATTCGAAGCATTGCGCGTAGGCCAGTTTAAAAAATTGGTAATCAAAACCAATACAGTGCAAAGACAAAAAAGAGTTTGAAAAGGCTTCAGACATAAACAATAAATAATATAGGCTTAAATTTTCTACCGAATAATCCCAACTATAGATAGTAATACCTTTAGATCACGAGAGCTGGCCCACACCTTTAACAGAAGTTCAAAAACAGAATTCAAAAATGACCTGTAACAGAGTAAGGTATTTCCATGGGATTATGCCGTGTAGAAGAAATTTAAACTTGACCACTGTGATGGGTATTTTTGGTACAGGGGATATGATGTTAACTTATATTTATATTCATATCAGGACGGTAACTTACATAACAACACTATCATGCAGCCAATCAGAAGGGAAATCCCCACCATACTGCTGTGCAGCTTGACACCAACATTTGAATGCTACGAAAACAAAAACAAGGGTCAAGTTCAAGCCTATGTTACCCAGAAATAAAATAACCACCATAGTGATATACCATTTGCAAAGATTGGCCTCTGGTTATCACGTATGTTACCGAGAATTGGTAATACTCGTGATAGGACATCCTTTAGACGGGGAGTGAACTGCAAAGCTTCAAATGTTATGAGAAAAAAGATTGATTAGCCATTCATAATTATATTACAAATAGGAATTCAGAGGAAAAATAGTATGAAATAAGATGGTCACCTTCAGATGAGGCAAAATCTGCAAGGATTTGAACCATTGCTGGTAGGGCCGAACTAGGACCAGTGAAATGGCGAAAAATTTCCTCCATCATCTTCAAATTCAAAAAAAATAGAACGAAAACGGTCAAATAAATTCTGTAAAAACATATGTTAAAAGAAAGGGAGTGAATGTATGGCTGATAGAAGTCTAGCCAAAAAAGGGCAACAAGACTTGCTTCAGTGAAGCCAAGGTAGAGGATATGATTATATTGTTGACAGACAGAGACTGATGCAAAACTCTTGTCGTATGATTGGTGCAACTTGAACAAGATTATTTCCAATAAAATTTATACAGCCATATTATCTTACCAGGTCAGGCGCATGCGAACCAATTGAAACAAGTAAACTGGCTGCAGATCTTTGCCAGTCGGCATTAAGCTCCTACACCGAAAAGAACAAAACATAGAAAAACACATAGCATCAGTCTCAGTTGTACCCAACAAAAACAAGGAACACAATACAAAAAACACTAACGTATTATCACAATACACAGCATCATCGGACTCTTGTTTTCTGTTTCCTTCTTTCTTGGGGTTCCGTTTTAGGGATAGAGCATTGAGAGGCCACAGAACTAATAGTTGTGCTCTTTGTCTACCAGTAATTTTTTTAATTTTGACGGTAGAGGAAAGGACAGGCTACCACTTTTATTGAAGATAAAATACAACATGACCCAATATACATCACACATCAGACTTGACAAGAGTTACCAGGACTGGAAATACAGAAGGAAATGCAAATGATACAACCAGCATTAATCAAACATCCAGTCACTGCAGGATACCTTGAAGTCAAGCATGAGACTAGAAACAAAATTGTTCAACAAATATTGCAAGAAAATCCTCAAAGATCTGTCCACATTCTGTAAGTCATTTATAGTTAATAAAAATCGCCTCCATCAAAAAGAATTCCCTTATTGAGCACAAATGAAGCTCCATAGTGTTATTTACGGAAATTCTTCATTTGGAATTACAAACTCCGACCAAATTTAAATCAACTTACCATCCTTTAGGATAACACTCAATTCCCATGCACCTCCATTTGCTTTTCAATTATTTTAATCTGAGGAACACCGCAGGAGCTAACAAGCAGAGAAATGGACAAACAGTTTTCTGAATTGACCAGCGATGTTTCCAGAATGCCCAATTGAAAACCAATGAGAGCAATCTCATTGAGCATGGCCCGGTGAGAAAACAGATTTTACAGGTCAAGTAATGGGGTACATTAGCAGAGATGAAACCGCTCAAGTTGTGCACTCAGTATGATGGCAAGTGGCAGGCGGCACAAGAATACCATCCGCTTATCCCGCTTGTCTTGTGTACAACTGACAGTTTATTGAGCAACATGTTTACTAACAGCCAAAGTTTCAAGAGAGAAGTTTTCACCCTTGAGAAAAAGAGGAGACCTTATAGGCAAATGTTTTCTCCCGCTAAAGAAAAATCCTCATGAAAACGGAGAAAACTTGTGCTCTTTTTCATTTGAAAGCAATCCAAATCACAGTACAGGCAGAACTATTGCTTGCAATGGTTCTGCTGGCTATTCGATTGATTTACCCTGTGCTAGGCGAATGACAGAAAGTTTCTTCTTGCCAATCTCTGACAAAGATGTACAACAACAGGAATGATCAAATTTTCTATTGGTACTGCCCTCCCTCATGAGCATTCAAACAGATCACAATGCCATCATAGATGAATATTTATAAAAAAACAAAGACGAAATTTGAGGGCTGCATAAAATGCTGGCAGAAACGTGAGTATGATATCACGAACTATAGATGTACAAATCTCTTGAAAAACCATCGCTAACACCCTCAATAGCTCTCTCAAAACTGAGTAAATCATAGATCTTGTTCATGGCTAAATAGTTAGAGCTGTCCACTGGCTCTAATGTGATGTCAAAAAGGAATCAACCAGCAGTATGCTGTAAATGATCTCTGTCTGTTCCCAGCAATAGTACTATGAACACATAATCATCTTTAATATTCAAGAAGACTATAGGTGACACTCGAAGTTTGCTCAAAGTTCTACTGAATATTGTTCTTCCTCATCTACCTTTTCACAATATGGCAGTCTAATAAGGTGGAGAAATCTTAAACTTATTTCACATTTTTTGATCAATCAAAACTATACACTCCGCATTTCAATAATTACGGAGACATTGAATTATAATCAAATTCCAAGACAACAAAGAAAAGATTTTAAAAAAGGATAAATCGTTCAAAGATCTGCGGAGCCCATAAATCCTCTTCAAAAATGTGTTCAAAGAACTATGCATCCGCAAAAAAGCATTTGCTGTTATAGCATACAACGCAAATGGGGGAAGGAGACCATGATTGAAACATTCATTCATTCATCGATTCAAGGTAGCTTAGCCATCGATTGAAGTGGTAGAAGAGTAGGCTTTTTCAAAACCATATATGCATCATTTTTTTTTTTACATCAAGGTGGTGCTGACCATATCAGTGACCCAACCTCACCAAAATAATAAAATCAGCCCCTTCCTCGTTACAAAAAATTTCCACCGCCACCTTTTGTTCTTATCACACATTGAATAAGAAACTCGACTGGTAGGAAACTTCCTCTTCCAAAAATGTGCTTGTTTATTTTCTTTCCCGATTCCAAATTAGATTGTACGATACAATATTTCGAGATTTTTTATGCTCACGATTTTGGTTAAGGAATGCCTTAAGGATCCAAAGATAAAAGAAAATTCTGGAGGAAATGGAAGGTCTGGTTTACAATGAGAAGTCTCATTAGACGACAGTATGATGTCTGGTTTGAGAATTACTGAAAAGGAATTATTCAAGGAAAAGGACTACCATTTAAATCACTGCCCTTCACTATACAAGGAAACTAGCAAAAGCATTTATAGGATACTTCCACAACTCTTTGTAAACTCTTAAGAAAAAACTCGGGCGGAATGTATTGCTTTCTTTGTCAATTTTTTTGGGAGAAATGGAGTGGATGGTACCACGTTGTGATAAATAAAAATATCGTTATGTATATATATATATATATGAAGAATTATTTTTCTAAAAAGAATTCCCTGTACAAGAACAAAGAACGTACACCAATATAGTGTATGTTACTTTATAGATCCACGACTCTCCAGATGGAAGAGTGAATAATTCATCATTACAAAAAGTAGCATTGCCCACTGTCATTCATCAATTTGGAGAAATCAAATTTGTTTATCTCTTCCTTGTGCCTTGGCATTCTTGTGCATGTGCACTTATTTAACTACATTTATCGATATGTAAAATAATTACATTATCCAGCACATGGGCCTTACATTCCCTACTAAATTGGCTAGTATCCAATTAGAAAACCAAGCAGGTTATGTTCGGCTGCAGATCAACTACTATCTGCTTTACACGATTGTGCCTAAACTTATACATAGAAAAAGTCACATTGGTTTTAAGGTTTATATATCTCCTGGATTACATGCCTGATCATGCAACAAAATACTTGATGATGAAAATGCTGACGTTTCCGTGGTGAGGTGTTAACACTGCCATTTTTTATGAACATCAGCTGGTGTATAAACTGAATACACCAAGTATCTGCCGAACCTTTGGACTTTCAAGTACTCACTGACTGGCATCCGCAGAAAATTCACTTTTGCCAACCAAACCTAGGATATACTGATTGAGCTGTCAAGCTGGAGTAGTATATTTTCACAATATAAGCACGATATTTTGAATACCCCAAAGCGACTCAGTGTATTATTTTCCGATGAAACAAGAATAATGACCCTACTTCGAAACAAATAGATAACTATTCCGATGAGTCAATCCCGGGATCTTCTATTCATTGCACTGCGACTCTACATAAGACTGAAGTGGAAGCTGGAAATGAAACACGAGGGAACATAGAATCAAACAGACCTTGGAAGTGATTATCTCAGAAGTTGCAATCTTGGCAAGACTCATCATGAAGATCTCGTCTGCATCCTTCGTGTCCATAGCTCTAACAGCGCATGCCATAACAGTAAAGAGACCGGCCATGTTTCCAAATCGCTGTACCATATAAATGCACACCAGAGGCCAGACGAAAAAATAATTTACAAGGAAATAAAAATAAAGTATAGCCAAAATAATTCAACGATCATATAAGCTTGATACTAGAAGAAAGTCTCGATACGATAATATGTACCCGGCGACCTCCTCGCGAACCAGCAGAGCAGTAATTTAGGACCAGAATAGGATTCCTGTAGCAAGGGGAACATAGCTGATACAACGACAGAACGCAAATGCGAGGGAGACATGGAACTGCAAATGGTACGGGAGTGACAATTACAGTGGAGCTATCTCCTCTAGAGCCGCAATGGCCGCATCCCTGACCGTCAGCGACTCATCGGCGAGAGAGGCCACCAGAGCCTGCACAGCTTCTGGGATGCGAAAACGAAAACATGAAGGAGAGAAGAAAGTAAGTGTTTCCGGCAAAACAGGACGATAATTCATCAACCATTACCTGCGGCGGGTACAGAGATGGATGAGGAGGCCATGGAAGCGGCCAGGAAGGGGGGGAGAGGAAGGTGATCCAGCGCAGGAGAAACTGTGTAGGAGTGACAACGGAAGCAGGGGGGGAACCCGCGCGCGTGGGCGGAGGAGGATACCGCTCTTTCCCTCGTTCGCCCCGAAACTGACTATTGAATTGAAGGGGCCTCAGAGCGGTTGCTGAGGAGGTGTCGAAGCCAGCGGACAGCAGAGCTAGGGGATTCAAATACAATATTATAAAATTATGAGCCTTTCCTATCATCACATAAAAAACTAGGTTCTTTATGTTTATTCTCCCAGGGAACAACCGAGATCTGGCAGATACATGGCATCACCGTCACATCGGCAATCATTCAACAATCTCTCTCTCTCTCTCTCTCTCTCTCTCTCTCTCTCTCTCTCTCTCTCTCTCTCTCTCTCTCTCTCTCTCTCTCGCTCTGAATCAGTGGAGGGGTAGGCAAAGAAAACCTACCGGTCAAGGTGATGAGCTTTGGCGCTGCTCGCGGTAGAAATACGGCGTGAACATGGTTTCCCAATGAAAGAACACCGAAAGAGCAAGCATTTCCATTCCTTACTGCTAGTAATTTCGAAGCTCGCCTGTTCATCCTGGCATGGTCAAGCTGATAGATAGTCTCCTCCCGGACATACTGCATTCAGAGGAAAATGGTATGTGGAAATGAGACCGTGCTGGCTGTCTCACATTCAGTTGAATGTTTCCGAATGAGGATTACTCTAGCAGATTTTTACCGTCCAAGAAATTTGCCCGATGACTGTCGGTTGAAACCTGGAAGAAATTGATCGCCTGCAGGCTTCTTCTAGTCCGCAGAACGGCGGTTCCTCTGCAAGAAATTAATCTTTTCCTTGGCTCTGTCGTTCCTTTTCACAGATCCGGTTCCAGTTCATGGTGGAATGGCAAGCGTCACTTTCTCAACTAGAACGAAGGCGTCGTATGCCAACCAGTGATGGTTAGAATTGAAACCTCTCGAATCGATAGCAAGGAGAGGGAGTCGAAAAAAACAATTCTGAATGTCACTATCTGGAGATAATGTTCTTGTGATTTCAAGACAACCGCCTCGTTGATCTCAGAGAGGAAGTGAACCCGAGGATGAAATTTAGTTTGCCCATGGAGTTCCAGAAACAAGATCATTCGCCCGTTTGCGATAATGATTACTTTGGAAGAATCATCGGCACTTGAAAATTGAAATCACATCTTCAAACCAAGATGCACCCAAACGTAGAAATTAAAACTTAGCTAGAAAAGCCATCCCTCGAGTCCCAGATAGGAAACCTAGTCCCATTTTCTAGAAACCAGTTCTCCTGGATTCGACCAGAGAAGAGTGAGCTTCTTGCATAAGGTTGAAATCAGTGGATCTATGAGACAATGGCCATTGTGATTTTCTCGGCACACCTTCACATTCTTCAGATCAAGTGGCTGTTGAGGCACTAGCCACTGCCCTCTTGCTATGCGGACAGTAGTTTCAAAGAGGCGCTACCCAAGGAGAGGACCTCAGGATCCACACTGGACAGCCTACTAGCAGCGGCCTAGAAGCAGAGAACAAACCGACCGGCCCATCTCTCTCTCTCTTTTGTGTTTTCTTTGGTCTCTATGAGCCCAATAAGCCCAAGGTAGATCTCACCGAATAGGAAACCGAGGGATTCAAGCAACAGGTCACCACTGACTAGGCTGAGAGCCGACAGCAGCTCAGGGCGCTGACTTAGGCGATCGAAGTTACATCGACAGATGGAGCTCTTCATCTTGTGGGCCGACAAAGAGAAAAATGGGCCCGTAATGTCTGTGGATTGGGAGAATCCAGTCAAGGCCGAGTCAACCCTGGCTCCTGTGTCAAAGGGGGACGTGATGACCCCCAGAGGTTCCTTAATTCCGACTCTCAAGCTTCATGATCTGGAGTTAACTATCAACGACTGTCTTTAGAGCAGTAGCATGGGTGGCGGCTGGAGCCTCCCATGTTCATGGGAGTCAATCTAGAGAGCTGGGTGTTCAAGGCTGAGCTCTATTTCATAACTTATAGACTGATAATCCCTGAGAAACTGTCCATCGCCAACCTCAACCTCAATGGACTGAGATTCTCCTAGTTCAAGTGGGCTGGCGATAGACGAAATTTCCGAAGTTGAGAAGATTTGAAGGCCCACCTTCTCGAAAGATTCAACCCCAAGCTCACGAACACTCTCTGTCAGCACTTGTTGGAGCTCAAACAGCATGGAATAGTAGCCGATTATAGGGAGGATTTCTAGCTATATTCGGGTTTAATCTGGAATATACATGGATAGCACATTCCTCAAGAGCTTGCAGAAGAATATCTAAGCTGGGGTTAGCGTGTTGAACCCCCAAGGCTTGGATGCAATCATAAGAATTGCCCAGTAGGTGGAGTTGAAGATCAACACCCTAGCAGAGATGGGAATAGTCTTCTGTTTCCGCTCCCTTTAGTTTGATGACTCCGGTCCAAGAAACCCAGAGACCAAGCATCAGAGGGCACTTGAGCTCGATATTTCCCACCGAGGAGACGACAGAGCGTCGCGGGGAGCACCTTCAAGTTTGGCTAATGGAATGGAATAGGGACTGCCTGACAAACATTAATGGATTAACTTCGCCATGGCCAAAATTCAAGCTTGATGTGGCTAAGGCCTCTACTTCCGCTACAATGACAAATTCTAGCCAAGACAAAGGTGTAAGAATGAATTATCTTATCTTATTCGCTTCAAATGAGTTGAACTTGCTTTTAGAAGGTCCGGAAACCAGAGAGCCAGGGATCGACGACTTAGTCGGCTTAGAGGATTTAATCAACTTGGCAGTCTCCTTACATTCGTTTGAAGAGTTGCCCACCCACCCGAGGAGAGAAATTCAACAAAAATCTATCACCATCTTTGTCAACAGTGGTGCAACGCGTAAATTTGTCTGGTGCAGGTTAGTCTAAGATCTTGAACTTCTCGTCTCCGACATCACAACCTACCATGTGACTATTGGGATCGGCAATAAGGTAGCGGAATTCAAAATTAGTCAAAGAGTTCCATCAGCTTGCAGACACTGACAATTTGCGAAGATCAGCTGGTCCTATTATTGACCACCTTGGACATCATTCTCAGAATCCAGTGGATGAAGACGACGAGGGTAAGAATTGAGTTTGATTTTGACCACTGAAAGTTGTCTTTCCGTACGAGGATAAGAATTCTATTCTGCGATCTGAATATCAAGTCATTCCCGAAGACATACCTAAGGTGGTATTCTAGATACACGAGGGACAGTTCTAGTCTAGGGTAGTATCATTCAGGCTCTCTAATGCTCCAGCAACCTTCCCGTACTTGATGAATGAGTTATTTAGGCCATTTCTCTAAACAATTGTTCTTATTTTCTTTGATGACATATTAATCTACAACAAGATAGAAGCAGAACACAGAGAACACCTGGTCTAGGTATTCAGTATTCTCAACGAATATCAGCTCCATGTCAACTCACGTGATTATCACTTTGGCTTGTTCAAGAGTGCATACTTAGGCCATTGGGTCTCCAAGTATGGGGTCGTAATAGACCAAGAAAAGGTGGAGGCGAACGTGAGATGACCAATGCCAATCAAGCTCTGAGAGCTCAATGGATTCCTCGAACTAACAAGCTACTATTGGAGGTTCATCACCAACTACGGGCCAAAGACATGGACGTTCACACAACAACCAAAGCACAATGTATTTAGGTGGGGGCTAGAAGTGGATGCAGGCTTCCAAACACTAAAAACAGGCCTCACGACGGCCTTGGTATTGGCTCTTTCGATTTTCAAGAATTCTGAGCTTGAAGCCAACGCCTCTAGTTGAGGGGTCGGGGTTGTTCTGCTGCAGCAAAGGAGATTGATCACCTACTTCAGTAAGGCCATATGAACAATTGAGAAGTTGAAGACGCTCTGTCTTGAGTTCTAGAACTATCGAGTTGTCTTGGCTAGAGCTCTTAGATCTTCAGAGGATCACGGAGAAGAACATAGTTGACCTTCGATTGGCTGACATTTACAACTGAATTCCCTTGAAGTTGGATGAGTACCCACAATATTCATTACAATAAAGGGATAACAAAGGGTGGTGGGTTGTCATTTTTGAGATGCTGGCCTTCATTCCTAAGTTCATACAAGAGTTTTATTGCTCCATAATAGGTGGGCACTCTAGGTTGAAAAGGACTTACCGTTGAATTTTGCAGAATGTTCGTTAGAGAGCCACAAAGATCTATATTTGGAAGTTCATAGCAAGCTGCTTGATCTGTCACAAGGTCGTCTCCTGCAACCTCTACTTATTCTGAAGTGCATTTGGCCTGACATTATGATGAATTTCATCGAAGGCCTACTAGTTTTCAGCAGTTACAATGTGATCCTCATCGTTGTAGATTGCTTGAGCAAATACGTTCATTTTTCTGCTCTACAGTATCCTTTCATTACCAAAGATATAACTTTGTTCTTCATCTGAGACATCACGCAGCTCCATTGATTTCCGGAGTTGATCCTCACTGATAGAGATTGAATTTTCATGGCTCTCTTCCGGCATGAATTCTTCAAACTTCACAGGACAACCCTTCGTCGAACAAGCTCCTACCACCTGCAGATAGATAGATAGTCGGAGGCCATCGACTGTAACCTCAAAACTTACCTCTATTGTTTTGCAGGAGATTGGTTGAAACCATGGAGCAGCTGGGCCATCCAGAGTGGAATCAACGATTTCACTAGTAACGGTCAGCCCAACGGAGGACAAGGGCGACCTATAAGACCATTGGCCATGGAAAGAAGACGGGAGTTCGAACCATTGATCCAGAAGAAGAACAACTCCGATTCGCGCTTACTTTAAGGTAGGAGAAGAAAATGAACAACTATGAAATAATACCAGCGCAGGGAAGGAAAAGCAGTGGGGCTTGTCTCCACCTCCGACGACACTACGTTGAAACATCCATCCCACCACTTGCTCCTTCTCAAGCGTTCGAAGCCGTGGATTCACATCTCAACAGACGTGGAATATTGAAGGCGTATCAAGATCTGAGTCTGTCACGTGTCACGTGCTCCTTCTCAAACGCTCTCTTTTCTGGTGCAAACAGAAAAGAGAGCGCTTCCCACGAAGAACAGTAGATACAATGCCACGTGTGAACCGTGAGGACTGCCACGTGGTCTCCCATTTTATAAACAATTTCCACACGTGTGAACCTCGTAGACGATGACGTCATATTTAGAAAACGACGGATAGTTGACTAAGCTTTATTGGCGTAATTGATGTATTATTATATGCTATTACTCGTCCATTAAATATTAAAAATAAGAAATAATCAGAGGATCCGTACGTTGGCTTTTGATGAAGGGCCCTCTTATTTTTACGAAAGAAAAATAAATACTTAGATTATAAAGGGACTACGTACTTTCAGTAGACTGCATTCAAATTCGTCATTAAAAGGTAGTTAAGCCCTTTGCTTCTCCAGCTTGCATAGCCTCGCCCTAGCTCAATCATCAACACACGATTCCCGATGGAGATTGCCCCGAAAAAATTGCCCATAGCCATGTTATTGGTCACCTCTCTCTCTCTCCCTTGGATGACACATTCGTGCTCCAATATGAAAGCAACTCGAACAAAGACTTTGACTTTTCTCTTCGTCAAGGGGACCCGAGTCTTCTCTCTCTCTCTCTCTCTCTTATTCACGGTTACATACTGAATGGGGCCGTGTGGCGTAAGGTAGGTGGCAGGGACCCACATGCTGACTTTCTCTATAGACTTGGGTGAGCTCGGCCCCCGCCGGTTTAAAGAGCCAGCTCTCGACGGGGAACGTGGCTCGTGGAAGTGGCGTAATGGTTGGCCTTAATTGGCGGATCTCGATGGATGATGGGTTCCTTCAATATAAACGTGAATAATAATTAATTATACGGTTATTTAGAGCGGTGGCCATTGACTTTACTAACTATGGTTAGGCCATTACGCTGCCTCCACGATTTTGTGGCATATTCAGGACATAATTTATTACAAAGTCAAGCTCGCTCGGATCGGGGGTTGAAATCAATACGCGAGATAGAGAGAGAGAGAAAGAGAGAGAAAGAGAGAGAGAAGACTCGGGGAGCCCTCTTCTTGCCCCCCTGCCCCTAATACCGCCGTCGGCTCGCAGAGAAGGCGGATGGTGTGATTAGTTTCAGCCCTTGCATTCCTCACGCCTCTCTCGCCGCCGCCCCACCTCCCATCCTGCGCTAGCAATTCAGCCCGCGTCATGGAATCGCCCGACTCACCCTACACATCTTCCCCAGAAGGTCCTCCGAAGCGGTCTGTGCAGGCCAGATCTCCGGGACCTGGTAAGATCTTGTTCACTTTGCATTGTTATCTCCGAGCGCGATATTTTGTTCTCTTTAAGCAATCCGGATAGGCGCCAAAATCAAGAGCCCAAGATCTGGCCCTGTTGTTTGGTCGTCGCGGTTTCTGCTACTGGCTGGTACTTTTAGACCATCTAAGTTTCAACTTTTGTTCTGATTTCTTCCGTCGGGTATTTTCTGCCCTATTTTTGGCTCATATGTCCAACTTTGTTGGCCTGTATGCGGAAGGGAGTCCCTGAATCATTATTTAAGGGTTTCCCTGGCGTTGCAAAGACCATGCTATCTGTAAACCCTCTAAATATCAGAAAACCATTTTCTGTCACGGACGCCCAACCTTTAGCTCAAGGGTTCGAAGGTGCTAGACGAACAGAATTGTGCAGTAAATGCGTGGAATGTAGCGCCGTGGATCTCGTATGTCACAAATACTGGATCCTGCTCGAACAATTCATAAGGTTGGAAATGAAGTCTGCTTTTCAGGGCCTTGGAGTTTGCTTTTCAAAATGAAGTGGCCAAATGCTCTGACTAAACGTGCCTTCTTCGTCTTAAACTAAAGCACTTTTGTGATAGAATATATGACAGAAGACACCTTAATTTTCTCAGGTCTGGTGTAAATACTAGAAAATGATTGTCTGAGAGAAACCAATGAGAGTAGGTGATGTACCCTGACTGGAAGATATCTCAGGGAGGTCTTCAGAGGCGGCAGTTATGGTCTTTTTCCTCTGGAAATCCTTTGAAAACACCCTTTCCGTTCTCCTAGCTGTTAGTCTGTGTCGCAATGCATGACGCCTGCCAAACCTTGGACATAAGAATTAGGATGTTTCGCTGAACATTTCACTTATGTTGGCTTCTAAAATGCGCAATTTCACTAGCACTTTGCATGGTGGATTCTCCCTTACTACACCTGTGGGTCCTCTGCAACTTGATGGATTTCCTCCTGTCTTTTCTTAGAGAAACGCTCTCCTTGTAGCTTCAATCGTGTTTACGTCAGTCCCTGAAAGTTCGAAAATTTTAGGTAATGCACACATCTGTAATATTTTTTCCTTATTTTAGTTTGGACGATCAACCATCTGATCCATTGAAGATCTACAGCCAACACCTTGAATTTCAGATGGCAAATTTTTTATTAGTTTTCTTTAAAATGATCTTCCAGTTATAAAATTACAGAATGATTTGGAGTCCTGTTTGGATCCTTGTTCGATTGCCTTCACCTAAGAAAGAGTTTTTGGATGCGGGCTAAATTATTGATCATCTGATGGATTTTCATTTATCTTGTTGTATAAGAATCCCTACCAACCAAACCTAGCTGAAGTTAATCCCCGGACTTTATACCAACCCGCACATATCTTTTCGACTACAATGTGTGCATCTCGTAAGGCCAACGAATTCTGATAGCCCGTCCAGTGTGAGAAGAAAAAGGATCTCAGCAGAAGGACCTGCCACACCGTTTGTGGGACTGCAGAATATTGCCACGCACTCGTTACTTACGAACTGAGCAAGCTACGGGAACGTTTCCCGCTTTCAATGTTAAATGAGAAAGCTTCCAGTTGAGCCCTGTTTTTCTTAGCTGGAAAATCAAAATGACTTTGGCTAACTTGTCATTAATTTATTTTTTAGTGCCTCTTTAGCACCTTTTATCTGCACCTGTTTGCTTTGCAGTGATTCGTTAACTAATGTGCTGGTTTTTTCAGATGATAAAGAGAAATCAACATATGTTAGGTTCCTTGTGTCAAACTCAGAAGCTGGATGTATCATTGGAAAGGGTGGATCAACGATCATGGAGTTTCAAACACAGTCAGGAGCTCGCATTCAGTTATCACGTAATCATGAGTTCTTTCCTGGTACATCAGATCGAATTATCATGATTTCTGGGGCATTCCTTGATATAATGAAGGCAATGGAACTCATTCTTCAGAAATTACTTACCGAGGTAATTTCAGTTCTTGTTAGTTGCTTAAAAACATATTCCTTATCTATAGGTCCCAACGTCCTGTGAACTGACCCTGATTTTTACATTTGCCTAACATATTGCTGTAGGAATAAACTTTTTCTTTTCATGATAAACAGGCTGAAGAGGGAACTGACCCTGAGAGTAAATCAAAAGTGAGGATCATTGTCCCAAACAGCTGCTGCGGTGGCATAATTGGGAAAGGAGGCTCTACCATAAAGTAAAAACAGTAGTTCCTTCTTTTTCTTTTGTATTCCCAAAATATCGTTTTATAACTTAGATGTTTTTTACGTAGTAAATAATCAAAAATTTTGTGGTTTTTTTAGTTTTGCACATCTGAGCAGCATATGAAATGCTCACTCTAGTGGCCTACGTTTTGACTAATACGGCTTCTGTATGCTCATGTTTCTATCTTTTGCTGGCGGAAATGTAATACCATGATGCTCCTCTGCTTGGATATGATACTACAATCGTGGAGTAGGCTTGTGGTCGACAGATTTTTAAGGAATCGCCATGCCTAGGTTTTTTCATATTTTTTGGGGAACTTGGCATTTTTGTGTATGCTGACTTTTATCTCCCCAGTAGTCTGGACCTTATTGTGAAAAATTATGAGAGTCAATGTCTCGAGTTGCTTTTGAGGTAGGCTGATGTGCTGTCTTTTGAGACTGGATTGACTTTTTTGTTGAAACATTGTACCAGACATTTGTAAACCTTCCATATGTCAACTTGACAAATTGATTTTTGACTGGGCTTTCATTTGTGTCCCGATCACAACATAAGACTATAATATATCACAAATGAAAGCTTTATGCTCCATGATGTTCAGTGAGCACTGACTGGGTTTTCACTCGTGGTGTCAGCTAGAGAATGGAAGGTCGAGTAAGAGTGCTACTTTGGAAATGACATTTAAACGTGGGGGAGGAAATCTTGTAGGGGCTAAAGGAATCTAGAAAAAAAAAAAAAAATGATCTCAGAGATATATAGCAATGCGTGCTGAATTGCAATTTTCTTTTACCTCCAAAAAATTCAGGTTCAAAGATATCTACTTGTCAATGGTGATTGAAAACATTACGAAAGGACAAGGTATGAAATGCTAACAGTCTAGTGCCTCTGTTCATCCGTCCTGACGGATTTAGCTACCACCAGATTGAGTGGCAGCATGGGGAAAGCCCAAATCACTGATGTTGTTAGTGATTTGGGCTTCAACTTTTAGTAGTCATTACTTTTCAAAGATCTGTTAGTCAAACAACAGGAGGGGACATTGGAAAGTAGCATTTCTTATGTCGTTAAAGGTTCTTTTTTGCCCTCCAGTACGTCATGGACAAGTTTATGACCATTCATTGGATGCACACCCACTGATGTATATATATATATATATATATTATATTATTACTGACTATACCTTTTATTTTTATTTTATCAATCTGCTGATGAGATCGCTTGGTACCCAAATTTTTTTCGTCCTGTAATAGACTTTGTTATTTCAATATAATGCTAATTCAACTACAATGTCTTTGAACAGATCTCTTATTGAAGAATCCCAGGCTGGTATCAAGATATCTCCCCAGGATCATGCTTATGTTGGGTTGAATGACAGACTAGTGACGCTGACAGGGTCTCTGGAGGAGCGGATAAGGGCAATCTGTCTGATTTTGTCAAAATTAGCAGAAGATTCCCATTATTTGCAATCCATAAATTCTCCATATCCGTATGCTGGTATGACGTCAGCATCCTCAAATATTTCTTTAATTAGCCTTTTCTGTTCGAGTACTTCCAAAACAAAACAATACAAAAATCTATTATGCATGTGCCTTTTAGCATATGACTCTATTTATGACATGAGTTGGAGTGTCAGTTTATGTCATGCTAAGTCAACTTTGAATTCCCGGTAATTGTAAGGTTGGGTACTTTTACATCAAAGATATTCTTCCCTAAGCTATCCATGGTAGCGATTAACGTTTCTAACACTCCCTTCCGAATGTAGCCATTGGTTAAAACAACAAAAAAGGCACCTCTTGAGAAGTAGGAAGCAAAAGTTTGATGGTTGGTGCATTGTTTCTATAGCATAGGAAGCCGTTCTACAGGATACAATTGAAGGGTTCGAGCCTATTGTGATTGCTAATTTGTGCTTTCTCCTGTACTTTCTTAGAAACCTTTGATCACATAGTCATTAAATGTCTCACAACATACTCCCTAAGAGAGGATTGAGGATTGCCCCAGACCTCATGAGATTGTTAGCAATGTTTCCTCTAATGATCTCTTGGAGAATGGTCACATTTTAGTGAAGCTTGGAATCGACGAACATCTCAAAAAATTGTTGGGCTCCCTTTAGTCCAGTTGCCTGATTTTCTTATATCCTGGATACGTGGGTTCGCATTTAGGAGGCATGATTTTTATTAACTTATGATCGCACAAAGGGGGTGTAATTAAGTTCTGTGGTTAACATATGAGCCTGCTCCACTCATTAACGACTGTTTTTCGGATTGAATGGTCTAATCCTTTATCGACAAATATTTTCATTCGAAAGTTTATTTTCAGCTGTTTCTCAGTACTTTTGCGAGATATTATTCTGGTTATTATGATAAATTTTTACCGAGGGCACAATTAACCATGGCAACTGCGTTATGCTTGTATTTATCTAGTACTGCACTGATAGCATCCATGATATAACAGTAGTGCTTGATTTGGGCAAATATAAATCGGCAAATCCCATGTCTCTGGGATTCTTAATTCTTATGCCATAAATGTGTGCTTGATAGGTGTCAGAAACTACAATAATTCGAGGACAAGATTTGTTTTACAAAACATTTCATTTGGGGGGGGGGGGGGCACAAAAATAGACTTGCTTTTTTGGAATAGTAGATTCTATCACTCAGGAACACTCAGCTGTTAACCATAGATCTGTTGAATTGGTAACAGACCATAGCTCTCATAGCTTTATCCTTGATTCTCCGTCACAGCTGGACAATCATTTTCGTTGTTGTTTTATTGATCATGTAACTTTTGCCTCCTTCTGTATGGTAACCATAACTTTTTTCGAGGAATAGGCATGTGGAATTTGATTATTGGTTACTTCAACTTGTATATTTAGGTCTTAACTTATCCGGTTTTCATGGTGTTCCGGTTGGGTTCGTGATTCCTTCTGTAGCATACAACACAATAAACTATGGATCAAACGGTGCTGGCGTGAAGTACCAGAATAGCAAGGTTCTATTTTCTCTTAACTCTTGGTCTTATATGTAGTTTTTTATTTTATTTTACTTCGTCTGATTTGTCACTCTGTGCATGAACACGTTTCTACTGATTCTTTGGATCGTTGTGGGTTCCTCTTTTCTGGCTCATCGTTTTTCTAAAAATATTTATATTTTCCTAGCCCTAGAGAACTCTGATAGATGAACTCCTCTGGGTTTCCTCACCTCAAGCGACTGTGTTTATCCTCATTCAGCCACATTGCTTTAAGCCTAGTTGAACCTGCGTGTTTATCATTTCTTAACAAGGTTCATGGTACCCGATATTAAGCTCAATATGGACAATAACATAGAGGAAGGCCATGAGAGAGTGACTACTTGATTTGTATCTAGAAAACGAGGAACTTAATTGGTGAATTCCTCCGGGTTCCTCATCTCCGGAAACTCTGTGGTCCTTGTTCAATCTTTTTATTTTAGCCCTGATTGGTTGGGCATGTTTATCATTTCTCTAGAACATATTAAACATCACCAAAGATAGAACTCCATATGGAGATTAAGAACCAATGAAATAAATTCTTAAGAGGGTTTCCCCATTCTTGGATCTGGGAGGATTATCCTGGGACAAAAAAGTACTCTTTTTTTTTTTTTTTGGAGGGGGGGGAGAGGAATTATAGCTTGCGGTTCCGAGGCATATTAGTTCTAATGTAACTGTGATTTCCAGTCTCTTATCCTCGGATGTTTTAATCATGGTTATTTCCAGGGTCTGATGCCGCAGGCGCGCCCCTCTAGTGGAGCCCATGATGGGCATGCTGATTCAGTCACCATTGGAGTAGCTGATGAGCATATTGGAGCCATAGTTGGTCGCGGGGGGCGGAACATAATGGAGATCAGTCAGGTGCGGCTGTTCTTCCTCTGTTTCTGTTCTCCCAAATCACATATGAATCTGCAAAATTACCTATTCCTTCATCTTCTGGAGACCATCTAATCAAATTGAGGTCTCCAGTCGGTGGTTATCTGAGATGAACCGAACCCGTCAGTTCTGGGATGACGAGGAATGAACCCATCCTTACCATTCTGAGTGCTCTGCAGGCTAGCGGAGCCAAGATCAAGATATCAGATAGAGGAGATTTCATGTCCGGAACGTCTGACAGGTACAGTCGCCCGTCTCGCCGTCTTCCTGCTCAGGCTTGTTCTCACTCTGACCTGGTCCTCTGCCGTGGAACAGGAAGGTGACCATCACGGGAACGCAGGAGGCGATTCGCGCGGCCGAGACCATGATCATGCACAAGATCTCCTCCAGCTCCGAGAGGTGATGCCGAGATTTCACCGACTCATCCGTCTGCTCGGGGAAGCCCTATATTTCTTTGTAGCCTCTGCTTTTCTTCTTCTTCTTCTTCTTCTTTTCAAATGACGCACTCTCGATTCATGTTTTGGGGAAGTTATGTCCTGACGACGCCCTAGCTAATGGGGGAGATCTCTCTCTCCACGACGTTTTGTAGAAGTGGTTTCTGATGAGGGATCGTTAAGGTGGCCGAGCCTCGCTGCTTTGCTCCTGTTTCTTCTCTGCTCACTGCGGAGGCCTCCGGTTAGGGTTCCTCTGGTACGCTCCTCCGGTTAGGGTTTCCCCCCACCGGCGATCAGTTTCAGAAGGACCATGAAGACGTTGAGGAAGGACCCAGAAAAGGGCCCACATTTGAGATTTCTTGCGGTGCATTTTTTGCCGAATCTGGCAAAGAAATCCAGCGAGACCGAAAGCACGCTGAGCCCTTCACCTCAGATGTGTTCACCACAGTGAGATATAAATAGCCATACACGGCCGAAATTTAACATAGTGCATCAAAATTATCAAATTTAATACATTTATATATGATTATTTTTTTTTCTACAAGCTGCAACCTGGTGATCATTATAAATGGAAAAGGACTTAAAAATAAAAAAATGAGGATATTCATCAGCACCCAGAAAACAGACAATATGATTTTTTGACCTGATCAGTGCAAGTCAAACTTGGTCCCATAGTGCAGAAAAAGTCAGCTACCGAGTCTTTTGACCAATTAGGAGATTATCATCTTGCCGTTCTAAGCTAGAACAATGTAACAAAGGGACACTAATTACTTGTTAGCAAAATAGAACAATAGCCATCATCAGTAGATTCGAATCGCAATAAATCTTGCATAAGCTAGGCAAAATCTCGTGAAACCTTCAATTTATATTTCCTACACCTTAATTTTTTAGTTTTATTAATTTTATTATTTAAAAAAATTAAAACGTACCTCTCAAACTATTGAATCAAGGTCATAAGATCCTCATCTTGCGTAGTTTTTATGATATTACCTGTTTTACCATACAATAAACACTCAATTGCACTACCTTGACATCAATCTCAGAATGAATGCAGAACCATCAGGGAGAGTTCATGACAATCACATGAGGAGAGATACCATACAGTTTCAATCTACTTATGATTAGCATACATGAGCTCACAATCTACACATATAAATAATGAAGTGAATAAAATATGATCACGTTAAGTATTAAAAATAACAGGTACTTAATGACACTTGGAGACTAATAATAACATATCGAATTTTCTTTATTAGGCTACACATTATTGGTCATAACTAAGGTCAAAGGTTTCTATTATTGAACCCAATGTCTCTTTCTATTAGGGCCCTCACTCACGGTGGTAGGCCTAGAGCAAGTGCCTTAATTAAACAATCTTCATAGTTTCGTCGAACTTATCTTGTCCGATGACCCAGGGGCCCCGACAGGAAGCACGACTATAGTCTGCCCTCGCCTCCTCAGTACCGGAGCTCACCTAGTTACGGCATCTACGTTCCCATGAACGGTAAAATATCGAGAATTACTACAAATATTTGCTCACTAGATGGTAACATTGCACAGGGAGTTGCCGATCAATTCTTTCTCTTGATGGCGGAGATGGAGCTAGTTCCAACAAGCATTTCTCGTAACCTCCACCCGAATCTCCGGGGGGGAGACCTGGCCGGAGGAGCAGCCGCCGCCGGCAGCGTGGTCCGGGAAGAGGGCGAGGTGACCCACGAGCTTGTCCTTCCTGGAGAAGGACGTCCCGCAGGAGCACCGCCACCGGAGGCGGTTGCAGTGCTTCTCGTGGGTCCGGAGGTCGGAAACCACAGCGAACTTCTTCCTGTTGCACCGGTTGCAGATGTACATCTTTGGGCAGTGGCTCCTCCTGTAGTGGTTCTTCACGCACACCATAGACTTGAGGGGCTGGAACTTGGGGTGCTTCATGTTCCACCTGCAACCCTCCTGGGGGCACGAGTACTTCCTCATCGATCCGCCACCGGCGCCGGCGGGGCTCGCGAGAGCGGCTCTCGTCTTGTACTCCTCGCCGTGGGCTCGCATGTGCATCCTCAGGTTGGCGTCCCGCTTGAAGCCCTTGCCGCAGACATGGCAGTGGTGGGTGTACTTGGCCAGCAGATCAGCGGCGTCCAGCTCCACGATCTCGCTCGCCGCCGGCGAGAGCTTGCCGGGCTCGTCAGCGAAGAGTTTATCTCGGTACCCGCCTGCGCCGAGGGCAATCTGCTGCAGGGAGAACATCATCGACGAGGCCGTGAGGATGATCTCCTTGACGACGGAGCCGGCGCCGGCGACAGCCATGGCTGCGGCCGATTCCTGGTCGACTCCCTTGTGTGAGACCACAAAGCCGGCGATGGAGCCCAACTGGTCGACCTTATCTCTGAGGATGGAGATAGAGGACAAGAGGGTGCCGCAGGGCTCCTCCTCGCCGTGGAGCAACGCAGGCGGGGAGATGAGTCCGTGCTGGTTTTGCAGGAAGCACAGGGCGGCGGGCTCTGAGAGCACGCTGTCCATCATCTTCCCGGCGAAAATGAGCTGGGGCTGGGCTCGCGTCTCCCTTCTTCCTCACGGATGGGGTAGATTCAGCGGCATCTCCATTCAGAAGACGATGGCGCGGGGAGGAATCTTGTGCGGCGGAAGGGTCACTGCCTGTGAGCATGATTGGTTTTTCTCAACAAATTAACCATATGCGAAAATTAACACCGTGCTGGCGCGAAGACTTCATCTCTGCTCGTTCGCTCCCGGTTTTGCATCGTCTGCAATGCACTGCACGTGTTTTACTTTTGGGCCAATGCCCGTCTTTACCTACCACTGGCATCCGCAAAAAAAAAAAATGACGCTATTTTTTAAAAAATTAAAAGCCTCAATTTCATCTCTGGTGCGAAATATACCTGCCGCTGCAACTGTAAACCGCTGCCGAAAAGTTCCGCCCGGAGTTTCATGTTGATAAAATGCCTAAAATGCAGGCGGCATGGCGATGGCGGTTATGATGGTTGTATTTTATGTTATGTTTTTAAGAAAAGTGATGATGTTGTTAAAGGAAAAAGAAGAAGGTTATGTATGTTTTGTTTTAAAAGGAAAAGAAAAGGTTTTATTTTATTTTGTTAAAGAAGGTATGAAAAAAGGTTTTATGGTTATTTTATGGCGGGAAAAGGTTGTTAAAAGAAAGAAGAGAGAGAGAGAGAGAGAGAGGGAGGGAGGGAGAGAGAGAGAAAGAGGTAATCCGGTCAGGACAACGAAAGTGGGCTTAAATTATACTAAAACTTTGTGATAGGATCGTTTTCCCTATGATGTGCTATATTCAGGAATGCCTAGAAAATCTTGGAATGTTTTATTGACCTGGTTGTCTTATTCCAACTGTGCTATATTAAATGGGGGCATAATGGGAATTCTCATGCAGATATTTGAGATAGATATTCATTTTTTGAAAGAGTAAGACGAAGAATCAATAAATGTGATAAAATTAGGTTGGACTTTCTCCATGGAACCCGCCCATTTCTTATTTAATTTTTAAATATGTAAATTCTACGAAATATAGTAATTTAATTAACCATTCTTGTTCATGGACAAAGGTTCCGTCTTTGAGACTCTCCTGATGGCAAATCTGAGCAAGCTTCTTGTTTTGGTCTGGAATGGGCTGATGGGTCACTTGGCCCAGGTGAAGGCACCTCGAGAGCCCCATAAAAACCCTAGACGGGGATCCCCCGGAGGACAGTGGGCGAACGTGTCGTCGCGAGGGAATGGCTTTCCGTGGGTCGTTCTCGAGATCGCTATTCGCCTCCGCAAGATCATCCTTCCGGTCGTCGGCTCCGCTCCCCCGCCAGCGCCCGGGACACACGACGGGACCTCGCCTTCCTGCCTCTGGAACTCGCCGGTGAGGTTTTCTGAATGCCCGCTAGAAGCATTCAGATCTCTTTGGGCGAAATCCATTAGAGTTATGCTCGTGCTTTTGCTCCACTGCAGGCCTCTGGCGGCATTGGGCTGCTCTCAGTCCCTGTTGCCGCTGCACAGCGTGGTGGCCGCCACCCGTCTCACCTCCCACCTCTCGGTGAACGCTCGAGCGTGCTTTGAGCTCTCTCAGGGTACCTTCTGCCGCACTTGTCAAGATCGCTAGTACCCTTTCTTTGTGAGTCATGTCGTCTATCTTGCCGCCTCTAGAACTGTAGAGCGTAGGGCCAGCACGATGCATTCTTTGTCTGCCTGTCGATTTGATTAATTCTATCTATTTAGTTGACGAGCACGATTTTGACTCTTTGGGCGATCTGCATCTCTCATCTTCTCTCATGCTCTTTCTTTGGCGTTGACTATCGGGTTTCATTGCTGGTGCGGGAGGCAAGGGGAGGTCCTTTCTCAGAAGGGCTTCTTCCACAGAGCACGATCCCATGGGTAGATGACGGAAGGGACATTGAAGAAAACTCGGCAAAAGGGATCGTTCCCTCCCGAGCGACTGATTCCTTCTTGGAGCATGGATTCTGTCTGGGGAGCTCGTTTTCACTGGAGAAGCAAGTGTTTAGAGAGTTACATGCCACCCTTTCGATGATCCTGCCACCATGATCTCCCAGAACCATAACAAATCGTTAGAACCCTAGGCGTTGACTTTTACTCGAAAATATTTTCTATTTCCAGGAAATGAGAAGAGGGTGTATCATCATTATAAACCAGCTAACCTTCCCAATGTGACCTATATAATCAGAAGTAAAGTGCCTAACATGCATGAGCTTGTGAATGATGATCTTGGGCTTTTGCTATACTCGCAGAGCCAACATGTGGTGTGCATTTCTGAGGAATAAAACCGCAGATTATCAAGCGGTTGATTATCTTATCGACTAAAAATCATCACTTTTTGCCTCTTTTTTTCTTTTCCTGAAGTGGGTTTCTCTCCCCCACACACCCCATAGCTTCTTTTTTTTTTGTTGTTGAAAATCTGACGCAAATCAGGTTTTTTTTTAAGTTTGAGAATATTATTTATTCGCCAAAATTGAGTATTTTATTGGGCTAACTTGGATTGTGCTAGATTGTTGATTATGATTATGCATATAAGATATCGGCCTCGTATGCCTGCTGAGATCAGATCTTGCTGTTGATGCAGTCACTTGAGCAGCCTGGAGGCGAAAAGGAAAAAAAAAAGAAATAGAAAAGAAGGAAAAGAAATGCTGGTGGGGAGAAGAGTCTCTCCGTCTCTCTCTGTCTCTCTCTGTCTCTGTGCTGTTGGGGGCCCATTTCTCAGGAGAATTCTACCGGGTCTCTGTGGCCTTGAGACATTTTATTTACTAACTCTTTCTCTGAAGGCTTGGGAGAGCCAAGTCAACGAGCCCCTTTGACTCTTGCCGTCCTTTTAGATTGGATAAGGCTTCAGCCGTGGAGATTACTCAAGGAGTCTTCTTGCAGCTTTTTACCCTTCTTCTTTTGGTGCCCTTCCTTGAATGCACTCGGATTGGGTCTTCTGTTCTTCCCGAAAGAGAGAGAGAGAGTAGGGGAGCTATGGCTGCTGAGTTGACCTCGAAGGGATCAGAATTTACGCTTCCGGTTTTAATTGGTAACTAATATCGGATGGGTCGTCTGTTAAAAGGATGCCCAGATTGGAAAATTATTGGGGCTTTCACTTTAATGAAACCCGGGTACAGATAAAGGTGGCAAATTTGCCGACATTGTCTCTGGTTCAGGAGACAAACGGAGGGATAATGTCAAATAATTGCGCGTTCAATAGACGACTCGCCATTTATTCTGGTGTTCGGACAAGGAGCGGTCGATCGGGACCCCAAAGTCAAAGCTCTTGACTACGGCGGGTCGTCAGGGGTAAAATGGGAATCCTGCAGGAGGAAGCTACCGCAGCCGAGTGGAGTACTCTGCCTTCTTCCGCAAGAAAGCAAGCTCTTTTCCTCCTTTTCCAATCCTCTTCCTCTCTCTGTCTCTGTCTCTGTCTCTGTCTCTCTCTCTCTCTCTCGCTCTGTTTCTCCTGCTGGTTCGCCGTGAGGCGATCGATGAGCTCTGGACAGAAGCAGGGACCACGAGCACCGGCGGCGGCCCTCGCGCCGGGCTTCCGGTTCCACCCCACGGACGAGGAGCTCGTCGGGTACTACCTGAAGCGGAAGATCTCCGGGAAGCCGTTCCGCGTGGATGCCATCTCCGACGTCGACCTGTACAAGTCGGAGCCATGGGACCTCCCTGGGAAGTCCCGGATCCAGAGCAGGGACATGGAGTGGTACTTCTTCAGCGCTCTGGACAAGAAGTACGCCAATCGCTCCCGCACCAACCGAGCGACGGGATCGGGCTACTGGAAGACCACCGGCAAGGACCGCCCCATCTTCCGCGGGGGCCGCCCCACCGGGATGAAGAAGACGCTGGTCTTTCACATCGGCCGCGCCCCCAAGGGCGAGCGCACCAACTGGGTCATGCACGAGTACCGCCTCGAGGACGATGAGCTCGCCCGCGCCGGAATCGCCCAGGTCAGTCGGTCCCTCTGAATCTTCCCCCGTCCTCGTTTTGGAGGTGTGGATAATTCATCCTCGTTTTGCCCTAATTTGGTTTGGTCTCAATCCGCAGGATGCGTTCGTCGTCTGCCGGGTGTTCCACAAGAAAGGGCCTGGCCCCCAGAACGGCGCGCAGTACGGGGCGCCCTTCGTGGAGGAGGAGTGGGAAGGGGACGGGGGGGAGCCCGTCGTTGAGGAGGACGACGGAGAGGTCACCTTGAAGCTCATCGATGCTCCCCTGGTCGCGGACATGGATGAATTCGAGCAGGTCGGTGTCCTATTCCCATCACAATTTTAGGCTTCTTCCGAATTGAGAAATTATCTTTTTTCTTGGTGTGAATTTCCTGCCGGTGAATCTTTTTTTTGCATGCTCGATAGATGATCATTGGTGCTCGTATGATCAGGTCTTTTGCCCTCGATTCCCACTTTAGAGATTCATCATCCTCATCATCATTCGGCCTGAACCAAGGGTTGACCGGGGACCCGGAATAACCGGTAGATTTAACTCTATGTATGGTCGTATTTTTCTGGCTCTTCGCTCTGATTCATATCTCTAGTAGACTCCCATCAGGTTCCTATAGACATCAGATCAGCCAAGAAAGTCAGTCCATAGACTTCAACTCAGTGGTTTGACTTTTTCTCCCCTAAAGCAGATGCTCAGCCAGGATAAATCCATAGATTTATGCATTGTGATTTATTTTTTCAGAATATTGCTTCCCTTTTATCATCTTATATACTTTTCAAGAATTTATCTTGCGAACTTGGGCATAATTTAAATCCAGAGATATGCATTGTAATTTATTTTTCAGCATATTGTAACCTAAATCCTTAGATATTAGGTCACCCCGGAAGTCAGTCCATTGACTTACTCTGGACCAGTGGTTTGACTTTTTTTCTTCCCTAAAGCAGATACTCGGCCAGGATAATCCATAGATCTATGAATTGTAATTTATTTTTTCAGCATATTGTAACTTAAATCCATAGATATTAGCCCACCCCGGAAGTCAGTCCATTGACTTACTGTGGATCAGTGGTTTGACATTTTTTTCTTCCCTGAAGCAGATACTCGGCCAGGATAAATCCACATTGGAATTTATTTTCTCATCAAATTCAAATTGCTTCCATGTTATCATCTCATACTTTCCAAGAATTTATCTCGCGAACTTGAACTTTAATTGCTTTTTATTCATCCCATCAGACTCAGGACGGGAGCGTGCAAGATCAAACTGACCTCGTCGATTTCAACAGCCTGATCGCGATTTGCGATGGCCAGGTACTCGCTGGCGCCATGGATGGCAACATCGGAGATTATGGGCAGTTGACCGACCAGAGCCAGGGCCTCCCACTTGTCGACGACGAATTTCTGGAGCTGAATGATTTCGCGCCTTCGCCTGTTGGCACCACTCATCCGGAGGAGGCTCCTCCGAGCCTGCCCAACGGCTCAGATTCTGATATTTCCAATCTCGGCATCATCCCCGAGCAGGAGGCGCTCACCATTGAAGACATCTTTAACTCTGTCGTGGAAGTTCATGGCTTCTCTGAACTCTTCCCAATGGACCAGGCAGCGGATGGCAGCAGCTACCTGGAAGTTAATGACATATTGGGAACTGAGCCTAGGCACTATTCGCCTCCCGGAGTCAACGGAAATGAGGAGGAGCTGTTCTTCGATGCCCCCACTCTCTACCCAGAAGCCAATTTCCTGGATTCTCTGGCCTCCGGGTCTGGCGAGCCGGATCTGGTGGACGAACTCATCGCTTACTTTGATGCCACAGAGAACATGGCGCCCTCCGAGGCTGGGCCCTCTGCGTCGAATGATCCAGTGGTAAGTCTGCCGCCATCGGAGGGATGCGGTTGGATCCCCTGCTGCCCGGACGAATCCCTAAAGTGTCTGCTGTTCTTCCTCAATATAGGTGAACCGCGACGATCTCCAAGCCCGCCGAGAATCTCCGCAGACTCCGGAATTCACTCCTCCCCGAGGTGTCGACTTCGTCAATGAACTGGGTACATATATTTCCTCCCCAATAAGTCAAACCCCCAATTTCCGGCAAAAATGTTCGATCCAGGAGCAGTGTTCTGGCTCCACGTTTCTTATTTGGGCATTTCTCACCAGAAATCCTTTCAAAATTTTCTGGTACAGCCGATGGCCGAGCCAGGGGGGTATTCTCCGAGCGCCTTATCAGCATGCTGGGTGCGATTTCCTCCCCGCCGGCGTTGGCGGCGGAGGAGGGCGCCGCTGATGCGTCTCTGGAGAAAAACCTAGCGGCATTCTCACCCGGCTCCATCCGCGTCACCCCTGCGATCATCCAGAGCTGGCGGGTGGAGAAGAACGCCGGCGACGTGGGCTTCCTCGCCTACGGCGGCTTCGAGAAGCCGCCAAAGAACATCGGGCTCCTCTCCTTCATCCAGCGCAATAGCTTCCACCTCCTCTTCCTCTCCGTCCTCCTCCTTGCGGCGAGCTTCAAGATCTGCGTCTGCGTCTACTCCCGCTAGACCTCTCTCCGGCCACCATCTCCCTGTACTGGACGATCATTCCGGCGTGGGTATAATTAAATTAGCTCGTGATCTTGCTGATCATTCATCTTCCCCGGAAGCTGCAAAGCTTGACGAACCAACGACGAGCTATCTTCTTGCTGGAGGAGAGAAATTTCAGGGTTCTTGGGGGTGGGAAGAACAATGAATCTTTCAGGGGTTCTCGGGGAAGATGCGCTGGATGAAGGCGAGGAAGCGGCGGGAGTAGAGAAGAGGGTCAACGGCGGAGATGGAGAGGGAATCGAACTTGAGGGACTTGTAGGCGTGTTCGATCTTCTTGCCGGTGTTGTACTCCTGTAGTATGTCGATGATGCCCAGGTAGAGGACGACGTCGTAGACCTCGTGGAACAGCTCGCTCTCGCTCTCGTCCTCCGCCGGGAGCTGCTCCGCCCTCGCTGGCATGTTCACCCCCAGCTGGATCTGAAGCCTGCCCATCAATCACCACCCCCGCAGGTTCAATGCGCCATCGCCGCCGGCCGCGCCGCGGCCCTTTTCTTTCTTTAGGGAATGAAAGGATGAGTACCTCGCAGTGCCGGGGAGGAGGAGGTCTACTTCTTCGTCGCCGATGGCGGAAGCTCGGAGGCGGCTGCCCCTGATGTGAGGGCCGACGACGACGCTGTTCTCCTCGTTCCCCCGGGGGATCAGAACGAGGCCCTGCGGGTAGTTGGAGATTTCGTCGTCTTGGGGATCTGCAAAAATGGGCGATCGTCAAAAGATGAGATTGATACCTATATCGATGCGAAGTAGCCCATGAAGAACAAAATGTCAACGCAAGATCCTACAGTCTGGACATGGGTTCAAGGAGTTGACCAACCCCAGAGTATGTTTCCAAATGAAACATGAATATATTACAGATGAATCCATACTAAGCTCCAGGACTTTATGAATCCCTCAAAGGCTTATGATAAAAATCATTATCTTCTGGTAGAAAAAAAATCTTCTGATATGAAACCACTCAACTCCACCTTGCAATTTCCAGAAATAAATGGAAGTTATATATGAGGTATTGATCATATAGTTGTAGCAACTACAAATTTTTCCACGAAAATAAATGGGATGTGTAGATAAAAAAAATATCAATGGTATATAATTCCAATATGTATGGTTTAAGAAAAAAATTATAATATAAAGATAGCGTGATGAAAACTCATGTGAATGGGGGATGCATGGAGCCAAGCTCACCTTCTTCAGAAACAATGGCTAAGCCGTCAGAGGCCGCACTCTGAAGATGATTCCCATGGGACCGCAGGTGCTGTGGGGCTCGATAATGCACACCCAGCAGGAGGCTGTAGTCCATTATATGCTGCATCTCCAGAAACTGGCTGTCGATCTCAATCTGCCTGAGATTAAATGGGCCAAAAAAAAAAAAAAAAAAAAAGCAATCCAGTGAAACCTCACATATCCGAGAGAATCACATGGGCTTCCACAAGGTTTCCACCATGTTTGATTTAATGGGTCGAAGATTTTTCTTCTTAATTTCTTTTTCTCCGAGAAAATAAGAACAAAAGCCATTGACAGACGGGTAGGAAAGGAGAGGTTGCAGACCTGAGAAGAACATCTCGCCAAGAGGGTTCCAGATAGAAACAGTAGTTCAGATCCAGATCCTTCAGGGTCGTATTCTCATCGATCTCAACCTTGTCCGTTGAGCGTCCTAACGAGGATCCCTTCAGGTCGTATCTCCGATGTATCCTCAGCGCCGTGCAGAACATGTTCCCCATGACCACGAACCGGAACTGCAAGACACCAGGTTTCGAGTGTAAGTGCCGTGCAAAGCCAAGAGGGCGACGATGGCCATGGGGGATTGATATGAAGAGCGGCAGGCTGGCATGTGCATCACCTTCTGGCCACTAGAAGGCTTCACGCGATGGAGACCAAAGAACTTGGTTATCAACGTATTATCATACGTACGGACATGATGGTAGTAATTTGGGAGCATTCGCAAGAGAACCTGCATAATTACGCCCAGAGTCAGCTCATCTCTCGCTTGAAAATAATAACAATAATAATAACAACAACGGAGCGTCCAGAGCGTCCACAAATATGAGTAGATAAGAAGGGTAGAACCGATCACATTCCTCGTGCTTTTGAGTCATTCGTAAATCATAAGAAAGAATATCATGGACAAGACGTTAGGAGATCATTTTGTAGAATTTTAGATTTTTTTTTTATTGAATCGGCAGCTTCTGTTCTTGGGTGTTTGACAGGGAAACGAAAGAGAATATTTCATTAAGATGCAGTCCTGTATAAAGGAGACAGGGGTCCCAATGAGTTATGACTAAATATCAACCATTTCTGACACTTCTTCCTCAGGTTAGAGCATATATATATATATAGATATATGTCCGTTATTCCCAGTTTCTTTACATAAGATTGAGGCATGAATACAGGTCAATTACTTTGTAGATGAATCTCAAGTGGAAGCCAAGCTAAGGACTGGGAATTTAAAGTCATGGTCTTATTAAGCAAAATGCCACGCCAAAGTTATATAAAGAGTTTGGCTCATATAATATTTTGTTTATGATGGCCGAATAACACTGATTTGCAGGGAATTAATCATATGAATGAGAGACTGTTGTAGTGGGATTTTCCATGCTTTTATTTTTCTTTTTGTCTTGATTTTTCAATTTATTTCATAGAATGAGCCTATTAGTGAATCAGGTTATCAGGGCTGGTCTAAATCCGGATCTTCCCCATTGGCCATGGTCAGTGTAATTACATCCTTCTAGCGAAAGAACAACCTTGATTGTCAGAAAATTGATCTCATAGTAAAATATTATTAATTATATAATGAACCGCATACACATTTAGATGCAGATCAAAGGCACAAGATAATTCATGAGATGAACCTCGATTGATGAGCTTTTGGGTTGAAGTCCCTTTCTCAATAAAACAGGATGAAGTTCACTCAACAAGCTTTTTTTTGCCTTTATATCTTATCTTACTTATTTTCTCGTAGAATAATTCATTTTATTAAAAACCCTTTCTCTAAGTAATTATCTCTTCAGGGAGTAGGATATCAAAATCTAAAACAACATATCACTCTAAATAGAACCATAAAAAGCAAATAACAGCCCCTTTTAATTGGTTACCTTAGAGCACATCAAAAAATACATTCCCAAAACCTTAGGTGGCTGGAATCATTTGATTATTTTAAAATAAAGCCCACGAATTTTCGAAAAAGAGAAGAAATAACCTGGACTTCCGATTTCCGTAGGGTCTTGATCATGAAACGGTCATCCTGGGAAAGGAAGAACACGCTACCACTCTTTCCCGGAGATGAAAGCTCCCTAAGTGCAGCGCTTCCACAAATGGACACCATATAATCCGCAGCATCAAGCTTAAACATCTCTCGCAAATTTCTGCATGCAACACAGAGACAGACTATTGATGTAGAATATTCTGCACAAATAAAAAACATGTATAGTGAAAACAAGAAAAATAACCAAACACTGAACTTGGTGAAAATCCCAAGATGGGCTTAAAGAGTGAAATAGGTTTGGGGTTTACCAAATAATCATAAATTTCCATAGCCACCGTAGGATAACTTCTCAACTTGTTACATTTTGTTTTGTACATAGGATTTTTTTCCAACCTATTTCCCCATTCGGGTCACATTACTCCCTTTGTGACTTTGAACAGAGAATTTTCTCATAGAAAGATTGATAAAATTTAGGCGGTGTGAAATAGGAAGTTGAAATTTTCGAGGATAGCTGCGGTATCATAGACCAGCAATCAAAAAATACAAATCGTTTTGTCTAAATAATGGAATGTTATAAAACATGAAATGCAGGCATCATGTAGAAAAAAATTCGGGGGAAAATAATGAGTGACAAATAATGTCCAATCCTGGAAGATAATTGGTCCAGGTTCATCTAAAAGAAATGATCGTACCTTGTCAATGTAATAGCTGTATTAAGCCACGATTCTAACAGATTTGACTGGTTTAGCCCACTTCGTGACAACCAAATTCAACAGGATGAGGGCAGGTGAAAGAGACAACAGAGGAAAAGAAGGGGATGATCCTATTTCTCTTCACTTGTGAGGTCAGGCCTACTTTTTCCATGTAGATGATGATCCTTCTATAATTATCGTTCAAATCTGTGTCTCGAATGTAATCCTGCAATAAGATCTTTGCGTTCCTCCATATTTTCTTTAACCATTCCATTGTAAACGGCATTTCATCTTTTAAGATAAGAACCGAGTCTACTTCAATCATTCAAGAATTTCCATACTATGTGTTTAACATTTTTTTTTTCAGATTTACTAGACCCAATAGCATCTATTTTCACCATTCTGTACAGATAACCACTGAAAATGGGTTTTTATTCTCAAACCCCATTTTAATGGCCTTAAACCAACTAACAGTCATTTAGTAGGTCTGAGCATAGTAAGTAAATGCTGTTAATTTTATAGACAAGGGCATGTAATCACCTGAAAACCATTGGACAGTAGTCCTTCCATTTGAAATCTTCAGCATGGTGCGAAGGTGTCAGTTGAGACCCTGCCTTGGGAAAACTCATCCAAAAACTCGCAGAAGGGCCAAAATCTGATGCACGAACTTCACGCCTCTGAATAGGCGTAATTTTCCCAACTGTATACCTATGCATTAGAACGAAACAGCCAGCTATAAGCACCATCAATGGAATTGTTACCCTAGTCTCAAATCATATTCTTTAATTCTTTCTTGAAGGAACATCAAAATAATCTTTGTCGAGAATCAGTGAGTATTTCAGGAAACCTAAAAAGTTGTCTACTAAAGCTAAAATTTTGATAATAAATGAAGTAAATTACAATCCAGTAGATAAAACTTAGGGACATCATGCTACAGTGTTTCAGTTATCAATTTTTCCTGCACACATTTCTTAGAATAGGTATTACACGCAGTCATGGTATTAGTTTTCTCAGTACAACGCCAGTAAGTTGAAAAATTACAAAGCATCTTTTAACTTCCATTACTACTAATGAAGAATCTATAGGTGTAAGATTGAATGGGTATAGAAACCCACCAGAAAGATGTTTTTCCCTCTATCTCAGTCGACCTCATTTCAATTCAAGAAACGAAGAACCCACAAAACTCTTATCGGACACAGAGAGGAAAGACTGGATATAAGAAAAAAAATCATCTCCTCTATGAAACTGATAAAGGAAGAACTAGTGAAAAAGCAAAAAACAGAGTATTTTATAAATGACCCGACATCAGTCATACAGCTTTTGGGGGGGCATATCACCATTTGTTTTTTCCATACACTTGTAGGCGTTGGGACATCCCACACACCCCCCCCCCCTCCCAAAAAAAGAAAAAAAGAAAAAAAAAGACCCAGAAAAAAGGATTTCTCATGGTCTTCCCAGCAGAGAAAGTCAACCGGCTATGACATAAGTGACCCCTGACCGGTCATGCCATTTCAGAGGAAAATCAGTATTTTTTTTCCGTTGACTCCGTATCCATTGGTCCGTCTTCCAACACCCCCCTTCCCCCTAGTAGGCAAAAAGAATGTCCCATATGTCTTTCGCACCAGAGAAAGTTGGTCTGATTATTATCATTAATTTAGCAATTCGCATCCTTCATCAAAACCCCTTTTTTTGGCGCATCTACAGCATTCAGATTGCTGCCTTTGTGCATGAGAGAACTTTCCGTGTCAGCTTGTACCTTTCTTTTGATCATAGATTGATTTTATAAAAAAGCATCCATTGATCGAGCATTTTGCCAATCCAAAATGCAACAATTACTATAACATGTTCAGCCACTCAATGCTAGAAGAAAGCATTGAACCAACATATAATGACTAGGTTGGACGCGATGCACACCTCTGGATGCAAATGTTGTGGCCACACAAGCCTCAAGGTTAAAAATGAGGCACGTCATATAGGAGAGGTCTAAATGAAACATTTACTGTATATAATGATACAGTTAGGTAACCTGAATACTGTCCATACTAAGAAATCAGAACTCAGATGATCAGATGTTTCTTTTATGGATTGAAAGTTAACCAAAAATCAGGATATTTCGAGCGAGTCGACTCAAGTTTCCTCAAACCAGCAAACTATGGTAAGAATAATTTTTTTATTTCAAGATGGGTAAGGACGTATAGAGATGAAGGTTTTGAATAAGGTGGAAGTTAGTAACAGTGTGATCAGATCACCTACCAACAAATGTGATTCAAAAGATCCTTCATGATTACGATTGTGATAAACTCAGGGAGATTAACTTCTGTTAGAAGTCACAACCGAAACCACAATTAGATAAGAATTCTGACCATATAAGAATGTATGAGAAAATATTTGCACATGACTAACTTATATCAATTAGAAAAAGAGTTCCTACCTTGACACGATGACAATGTCCTTAGGATAAGCGTTTTCTACAGGAGGTGATAGACTGTGACGAGGTTGTTGAGTTTATTCATAATGAAAGTACGACGTTACTGTACAATCAATAGTACATGAGAACTATATTGAGGCATAAATCAATGTCAGTCTACGTCTCCAAAAGGCAAGAATAATAAATGCGTCCGAGAAAGTGAAACTTTTAAAGATAATGTAAGACAAGAATGAAAATCGACATGGTAAATGAAGATTGCCTGATCCCGAGTTGTAGACTGAGCATTAAATCGTAACTCCTATGGCCTTTAATTATCGCCTCCCCTTGCTTTTTATCCTTTACTAGTTTCTTATGGCGCCTTTTGATTCTTTTCGATGTTGAGAAAAAGCAATCATTTAACACCAGTTCACTGATTAAAACGCCTTGGACATATTCTCTTTCCAGGATTGGAAATTTTAATTCCACCGCCTTCTCATCACTTTGTAAGGTGGTTTCACCAGAAAATGACATAGCACGTCCAAGAACTTTTTCAATAGTCACCTCCAAACTCCAGCGTCTTTCCAAGAATGCATTACTACTAGATTGCTGATTAAATTTTAACGGGTTTCTGTTGGGGGCATTGCGAGATGAGCTAGTTCCCGATCGACGAGTATCATTAACCTTCATATTTCCCGCATCCATAGAAGAAAAATGAAGAATACGTGAACCATGATTCTGCCTTTTTAAATCAGGTATAAGCCCTCTTTTCCTGAGAGCATTAAGATAGAATTCCTCAGCTACCGGAGGTTTGCTTCCTTTTGGATAGAAAACACCCTTTCCATCCTTCAGGCCCCTGGTCCATGTACCAATGTAACAGTCCCCTTCGGTCCATGTATAGACTCCAAATCCATGCGCCATGCCATCTGACCAGCTACCTTCGTAAGAGTCCCCATTGTTCCAGGTAAGAGTCCCTTTCCCAGACATTTTACCTCCCTTCATGTGACCAATATACACATTTCCATTGACCCAGGTATACTTACCGGGCCCCTCTACTGCTCCTTGAATCCAGGAACCTTCAAAGACATCTCCATTGGGATGAGTCTGACAACCAAGCCCATGCTTGAGACTAAGTTTCCAGCGCCCCTTGTAAGTTCCATCGTTTCCATTATATGTGCCTGTTCCATGCATGTAGCCACCGGAAAACTCCCCCTCATAAAGAGCCCCAGAAGGCCATGATATCTTACCATTCCCATGCCTCATCCCCATTCTCCATTCACCCTCGTAAATGCACCCATCTGACCAAATGTACTTCCCTGTTCCATGAGGCGCATTGCCCAGCAACGTCCCAACATAGGATTCCCCATTGTGTAGCACAAAATCACCATATCTAAGCCCAAGTTCATTGCCTGAAATGCTTGGAAGTTCTTCTTCATGAAGAGAATGGGTATCCAGAGTAGCTATGTCAGAAGAAGATAGTATTCCTTCCACATCACCAGCAAGGGCCACAGGGATTGACATGCATAATGGCCCTCTAAGGCTTCAAGCCCTTTGAAGGTGTTAAACCTTGCTCATTCAACTGGACAAAAAGAACGATATAGAAAACATCAGTAACATTACACAAAAGATACTGGTGACAAATATGACATCAATGATTTTCAAGAGTTCACAGTCCTATGTCATGATAATTAAATGCAATATACATATAATGGATAGTACGGCACAACTTTGGGGGGATAAAGAAGAAGGTTTTTCCAATCCAATCGGATGGGTTGCACTAATAGCTACAGGGCTCATGGGAACCCTTCAATTTCTCCAACTTAAAGTACGCTCCTTCCTGGAAAGTGAGATGGATGATAGCAAAAAAGTCGTGCATTATGTTTCCAAATTCAATTTGAGAGTGTTCTTGAAATAATAGCTAGCCTCACATCAAGGTCTAGATTAAAAAAGAAAGTGTGGTCTCTTTCAGGCCCAATATAAACTATCCTCCTTTTGGAAACTATGGAACCAAATCTCTCTCTTTTCAGTTTTAGATAGACATCAGAGATGAATGGAAAGGAAAGGAAAGAGAGTCTGGATTCTTCTGTTAGAATCAAACTTCAGAAATGACTTCATATCAAATATCTCGAGACCATATAGTCCAGAGGATAAATATATTTCAGAATATTTAGCAACGCAAATGTCTGGGAATGCAAAAACTAAATCCGATTTACAGGTTGTAATCTGATCATCTTTGATTGATCCAAATAATGTAGACCATGCATAAAGTTGCATTGCTTTCTAGCGAAACAAGCATCTTGATTTATCCTCGTACATCATATTATCAAATTGGGAAAATCCGTGGATGTTAACTTCTGGTTCAAAATGCACTATGGGAGACTAAACCAGCCTACAAGGAATTTAAACATGGGTTATTGAATAACTTTCCTAAAGAACCAGATGAAAGCATCCAATTTTAATTTGTCACCCATGGAACTGAAGTGAGAAATGATTTAAGTGACTCAAACAGTCTTAGATATTTTATTCTTAGCCAAGCAAAAAAATTATAAAAACAAATTGAAGCATGGACAAAATGAAGCAGCAGCTATACTTGAGTTTCTAAATGTTTTTGGATAATATTGCTATGAGTTGTGTTTAGCTCCAAAATGAGAAGAATCTAATCGGTAGATTAAAAATAATATAATATATTGTTATTTGTACAAATGTACTACATCAGGATCCGCGTGTCAGTAACAAGTTAACATAACTATTGGATACTTGAATGAGCTTTCATCATATAGTGAGAAGCCATGCATATCACCATTCTGGGATTTAAATTTTATCCATTAGGTTTAAAATTCGTATTTCTCTATTGTTCAGAAAAGGAAAATGTCTTTCAAAGTGCTTACTTTCATGGGTCATGGTTAATCAAAGTTCCTTCCTCTCTCAGTAGAATTGTATCATGTAAATGGCTCATGCACTCCATATTATCGTCTAATAAAAATGCTTATGTATCTGATTTGGAAAATGACAATGAGAGAGATATTCCTCAAGGTACACAATTCTAATCTTCTCATGCAGAGTACATGCACCACTAGAACTTAAAAGATATGATAGCGGAACTGATAGATTTGAAAAGGTAACTCCTCAAAAGACTGATGGCAATGATTTTCATAGATATTATACAGAATATCTTTGGCTAATGAGTGCTTTCTCACCAATTAGAAATCTGAAAACTGGCCTAAAATTGATTCCCATATCGATGGTCCCATTTTAGTAACTGAAGATGATCAACATTGCCTATCTAATAGATCCCACGGTTACCTTTACGAAGAAGTTTTTTGAAACATGCTGCTTTTGACTGTTACAATAAAAAATTGTATAATTTTAACAGATCCCTTCATCACCCACTTACACTGACGATATTGGCCTAGAGAAGGGGGAAGAATCTCCTCGGTAAAACCCTTCATTCCTATCGAGCTCTTAACAAGCATCTAGGGAATGAATTATCCAATATTGAATCAGGAAATAAGTCTAAGTCGTCTTCTACATCCATCTCATGGTGCATACATCGACGGAGGATACAACAAGAGAAACCGATTGGGTTGAAAACCACTCACTCACAGACGTCCCTTCACCTGCTCTCCTCCACATCGTAAATGAATGCCTTAACAAATTACTGATAGAAGAAAACTAGTGGTATGCACCGTCATCCCCAATCCCTGTTCTCTCCCCTAATTTCCAAGAAGAAAAATAGACTCCTCCCCGTCAACATGGACGAATTCAGCGCAAAAAAAGTCAGGGGACCTCCTGGCAACCAATTCAACCCAATGGTGACAAAGCACCTCCCGCTCTCCGAAAGAAAACAGGATAGCCAGCGCACCAAATCAAGACGAGGAATCCATACCCCGATCTGTCCAGCGGGCAGATCACATCAAGCTTCGGCGCCACTGCAAGAACATTAAATCGGAATATCCGTCCACCAAACCGGCTCAGAAAGACTGAACAGCAGAGCCGACGTAGCACAGAGAGAGAGAGAGAGAGAGAGAGAGAGAGAGAGAGAGAGAGAGAGAGAGAGAGAGAGAGAGAGGAAGAATCAAATAAATCAAGGAGAAACAATCGGAGATGGGGGCTCTCCTAAAAAGGAGCGACTTGGCCTGGTCGAGACAGAACAGTTGCCACAGTTTGTCTGTCGTTCAGGGTGGGAGAGAAGAAAAAGAATGCAAAAGGGAGTAACACCGTGAATCGGGCAAATAGAAGCACAGCATCAGGCAGAGCTCCTCTCATCACATGCTACTCCATATATACAGCAGACAGACCCCATCTCCCACCCGCCCCCACCACTCCCTCCCATCATCATCTCCTCCCTCCCCCGGTGATTTCTGCATCTCACCGATCTCGGTAACTTAGAACTTGAGGCTAAAACCCCGGAAAAGCACGACCGGCTCGACTACTCGACCGGGCGGTCTAATAAACTCGGCCGGTTGGACCCCCTTACCTGAAACGGGGGGATATCATCACCGCCCAGTGAAGCAGCCTACCCGGGAAGCAACGGAGCGGCGACCCAAGACCCTGCACCGAGTCCATCGAACGGCAAAGATTTGATGAGGGACGAGCATATTGCCGGTACCGCTTTACTCTGGGAACTCCGCCAGGAAACGCACCGTGATAGCCGGACCTACACGCGTCAGCGTCATGACGGGTCACGCGTCTCTGATTTTTTTTATTTTGGGAAAAATAAAAAGTCCCGCGGTCGGTCGTTTTATCGAAGTTACCAGAACGGGGAGTTTGGCCAGATTTGTATGTGGGCCCCAGGCCGCCGCCCGCTTGCCCAGCGACCGTCCCAGTTGACCCCATCGATGGGACGTGGCGCTCCATGATCGACGACCGAAAAGTCTCGGTCGGCCGGCCCCACAACCGACCGCGCACGTGCCGTCCTTGGCAGCGGTCCCACACGGCGACCGTTTTGGACACGGAGCAACATGCTCGGGGCGTGGGGCCCAATAACGACGTAGCAATGTCTATGGTTTAGATGTGTCCACGTCACTCTACTGTACTCGTTACAGGCGAAAAAATATCTCCGCTCCAGAGAAACGACTGTTAATAGTCAGCCGCGTACACGTGGCAGGTCGTTCACTTAATGGGCCGGCCCAATACTATGGATTGTCAGCTGCTATGATTGTGGGCCAGCCCAGTTAATCAACAGGCTTCTCATTGCTAGGCTCAATCCTCAGCCGAATTCTATGATTCATTAGGACCCCATAGGATGTGAGAAGGAAGTGTTTGAAGAAAACGACAGGATATAGATGATATTTATTTATTCTTTCATTTAGTACCTTGGTAAATCCCTTTTTCTTTTAGAAATGTGCCATAAAAATGATTTACTAACTGACAAACGTTAAGTGAATTGAAGAATTGACCCATTGCAGTTGACCTTTCCACCCCCCTTATTAGCAACTGCCCTAGATTGGATATGTTCCTTAGACTCCTCAATTTAGGTTTTCCTAACCCAATTTAGGTTAATTTAGTCCCCCAATGTGTCATTTTATTTTAGAATTGTCTCATAGATTCAAACTTGTAGTATCAATTTCATAAGTGGTGTCTCTTGAGAGGAGATCTAATGACACTATCAGACTAAAGCATATTAGGGTTTGATATTCTCACCAAAGGCAGCTTGCTTCTTGAGCATGGTAGAGAACGATATTGTGAGTATATTTTTCAAAATAGTAAGCTCCAGCATTGTAAATTTGATAGACATATGATCTTAAACTGGTTCAAAGTCAATGTGATTTTAGTGATAGGAAAAGAGATATGTTGTATCCTTTCTAAAAATGGAATATTTCTTGTAGGATTTTATCTCAATGTGAGCACATATATATGGATTATATGTTATGGAGCTATCATTAAGTTATTTTTTTTCTAAAGTGATATATTAATGATAAATAAGGGATTATAATGTTTCTCATAAGTAAGGGGTTAAATATGTGTAGAGACTAAGTCATTTCTAATTTTATGATAAGTAACATTAGAAATTGACACCAGGAGAATAGGAGGAAATCATATTTAGTTAGAGTTATACCTGAAGTATCCCATCAGTATTGGAGGAAAATCATAAGTTTCCAACAACTCTAGTATGCTGATCTAGAAGGTCAAAACCTTCAGCTCACATTGGAAATGGAGATGGATTTAGGTATATTTTTATGTTCACTCTTGTTCTCCGGGACAACATTCTATACCTTCGTTTAAATTTACAGGTCATCTTCTCTCTCTCTCTCTCTCTCTCTCTCTCTCTCTCTCTCTCTCTATATATATATATATATATATATATATATATATATATAATATCTACCTATATATGTCTATTTTTACTCTTTCAGACTCTTCTCCCTCTCCTTCCTCTCTCTCTCTTCTTCCCTTTAGGTGACGGCTTCCGCCCGGCGTGTGGGTAGCCGGGGCAATAAGGGGAGAGGAAAGGTGAAGTAGGCGTCACCTTTGCTCCCTTCGGGTTATCACCATGGGCAAGTAGGCGTCAGCTCACCGGCCTCACACCTGCTTCAGAAGTAGAGAGAGAGAGAGAGAGAGCCAATCGGCACCTTTGCAAGTAATAGCAGATCGGGGAGGAAGAGTGGTCGCTCAGCCAAGGGAGTTGTTGGGTTGCTTAGGCCAGGAGGAGGAAGCCAATTATGTTCATCGAAAGTCAACTGACTGTTAATTTCGTCGACTGGTGTGGCTAATCCTTTGACTAAGAAAAGATAATATCAGTGATGGCAACCCACTATGGCGGCGACGGCCAAGACGGGTGGCGGGTGGTCGCCAGCGAAGGGGAAGCCCTCGTGGTCGGAGGGTGCGGGGAGGTTTAGGTCCACGCAGAGGAAGCTCCTCCGCTGCTCCTTCTTCGCCTCCTGAGTTTCTCCGGCGATCGCCGACCGGTGGCGCCTCATGTGGCCCCCCAAGGCCTGGCCGGACGCGAACTCCGATCCACATATCGAGCAGTGGTGCACTCTGGGCTTCCCGCCGGCGGATTCCGCCGGCGCCGGGATGGCCTTCCTGTGCCTGTTCCAGTGCCCCTGTGCAAGGAGGATGAGGCAGTTGGCCATGTCTTCCTCTCCGGCAGTACTTCCCGACGACTCGCCGGTGCAGGAGGAGGCCGGAGAGGCCGCCGGAGGAGCCGGAAGGGCCCTCCGCCGCTTGGTTCTCTTCCCCTTGACGACGGCGCCGCCACCGTTGTTCACTGCCGCCATGGCTGTGGCCTCTGCAGAGGACGGATAACGTGGGGGATGAGAGGGAGGAAGACGAAGGGTTCGTGGGGAGAGGGTTGCTGTACTTATAAAAGTGGGCTGAGCGGCGCCAGCTGCCTCGCCGATGCGACCAAGCTCAAGTTACAGTTGGACACGCAAACCAAGCAGCATATGATCTTATAATGGCGTCATTAACTGGTTCTCTATCGAGTATCTTCTGCTGTCTTTCAGGGCTTCTGTCATTTGTGTAAGAACCAGGATAAACACGCAGAGAGAGAGAGAGAGAGAGAGAGAGAGAGAGAGAGAGAGAGCGGTAGAGAGAGAGAAAGTGAGATTCGGTTGGCTTTGAAGCAAACCCAGTACAACCTTTTCTCCAACGATTCTCGTCGCCATTGATGAGCAAGGCTGGAACTGCGGAAAATACGCCTCTCTCTCTCTCTCTCTCTCTGGCTGCGTATTTAGTTGCTGGATCTGTTGGGCTTGTGAGGGGCTGCGAAGCTTCATTGATTACTTGTGGTTACCAACCAACGCAGCTGCTCCTTCCCCAGTCGTAGTGGAGAAGATGTCATAATTAGGAAACGCCCCCCCTCTCTCTCTCTTTATATATATTTAGATCTGATAATTAACTTTCCATCTTTATCCACACGAAATGGGCACACCAGACCCACTCACACGAGACAGGGAGAGAGGCGTTGGAGAGTGGGCGGGATGGGGTAAACTTGGCGTGACGGAGTCTTCGGTTGGGTTATGTGGAGCACGCAAGGGGTAGCGGAGGAGCCTTACAGGGTGACGGCGGCGGCGGCATGTACCGCCAAGCGGCGGAAGAAAGGGATGGACACCGGCGGTGGACTTGATTCCCCGGCGGCGCCGCCAGCGTTGCCGCGTCTTTCAATCACCCAGTGACGGCGTTTACAAGCCACCACTCTGCTCACTAAATGCGGCCCCCCACACACAAAACTGCCCCTCCGCCCATTCTTGGTCCGAAGGGCCCAGAGACAACAGAGAGAGAGAGAGAGAGAGAGAGAGAGACGACTGTTGAAGCTCACGCCCCCCGAAGTCAACGTTTTGTGCCATCTGGTAAACTGTTCGAGGAATTCCCCAATATGGCCAAAGCCCACGTCATCACATCAACCTCTCATATCCAACCATAGGACTCAAAAGTCAAAAGTCAGCGTCACGAAAATCGAGGACTCAGCCACCGTGGGCCCGCAACGTACAACCGATCCAATTGCAGGAATCCCCGCCGTTGGGTCGTCGCCTGGCGCTGGAAAATGAAAACAGGGGCGGACGTGGCAGGCGACTTTCCGAAAAACCATTGTTGACCTGAACCAGGGGTCCTGCTTCTCTCTGGGTTCTAGAATCTCGTGGTCACAGAGTCAGCTGAAATTTCTTCATTTCATTTCCCCGTAGTCCAAACAGCTCCCTCGAACTTTCCACAAACGGAGGCACGGGGACCATGGGAATTACCTTATGATCCCCCATTGGCTGCCAAGTCAGACTCCTTGCCTGTTTATGTCTACATACTTTGCAGTAGATATGAAGCTCTGTTACGGACCTTCAATGCATGAAAAGAAGAATAAGAAGAAGACGAAGAGGGTTTTTTCTGAGACTCAGTAAAAAATAGGGTTATTTTTTTTCTGACCCCCCCAGAAAAAAAAAAGAAAATAAACCAATTAAACTAGCGTTGAGTCTCTATTTTTTCATTGAACTCCAAGATCCCCAAGAATAGCAGACTTCATTTTAGTCAACCTCATTATGAATAATTAGCATCTAATTTTATCTAAAAAAGGCTAAAAGATCAACAGATAGAGAGAGAGAGAGAGAGAGAGAGAGAGAGTAAATTGAAATAAAGTTTTTTTCCAAATTAATTTAGGCCCTAATTATTCTTAATTAGGCTGAGGGGCTCAAAAGTCAAATGAAGAACAGAGGGGCCAGTCACAGATTGAACTACTTTGTGGGGGATCTCAGGCATAAATGATCCCTAGAATGCTCACCTTTGCGGCGTATGACCTCCAGTCCGTGTTCGAAATCTGGGTGGAGAGGCTTCTAAGATATCTAGACCACACTTCAGCAATGGCTGGTCCTTCTTCCACTGGAAGGCCAGAAGCGAGCCAGTTCTCAGCAAGAACAAGGCGGATGTACACCTTGAAGAAGTCACAATTCTTGTCCTTCACATTAACCGATGATAATGATCTTAGAATGCCCACAGGATTAGCGCCCTGCAATGCATTAAACTAATCAAGGGGCTAGAAATTCTGAAGGAAATGGATCGAAATGCTCAGAGAAAGCTGATATTTCTTGGCTTCCTGCGTACTTCATCAGATTTTCTTAATCCCCGCCATATTTTCCTGCATCAAACGAAGATGGGCTTCCCCATCTTTCCATATAAACCAATCAAGCATGAAGAAAATAGAAAAATGGCACAAGAGCAGGCAACATTGGTCTAATGGGATTGCTGGGTGGGAAGTTCCCAATGATTGTTAGCATTGTGTACTAATCAGTCAGAGGGGAACTCACAGGATTGCCCATGCTATGTGTTAGAATCTGCCACGACACTTGACTCCTCAGGCCCCTAGTACGCTCATCGACTCCTGAGATGCATTCCACAATCCGAAAACAGTTGAGATCCTTAGGGGCCCTGTTTTTAGAAGAAGCTAAAGCCGTCAATGAATATTTGAGGAAAGGAGAAGGGAAACCAGACGTGGACAGAAAGAAAGCTACTTCCCAGCTAAGAATATCATAAATTTAGCATCTAGTTGAACTTCTTTTCCCACCTTCTCGAAAGAGGCACTAGCTGTCAGCTGCCTCTTTCAGACAGTCAACCCAATTGACTTTGGAAGATTTACACTCTAAAAAGAGATGAAATGGGAGCGATTACTGCCCAATAAAATATAGATATATGGAGCAAGAGTGTTCAGGGCTCAACAAAATAAATGAAATAGTATTGGTTTCATTTACTGGTAAACCTTTTTCTAGTTTGCGATTCAATTTTCACCTGATTTTATGGGCACGAATCACATCCATTAAAACAACACAAAAATAGAAAACTCCGAGACCCAGAAACAGAGAGATATATGGAAGATTGATGGAGATTGTGTGAAAAAGAAGGATGATTTGTTCATTAATGACTGAATCACAACAATCAAGAAAGAAGCTTTGTATCACCTGCTGGCAATTGAAGTTGCAATCTTCTCAGAGCTCATGAGCCACTCTTCGTCTGTGAAGAAGGTAATGATGGATAGCATACACTCGCTCAAAAGGAAAGACAGCCCTTGAAGCTGACGGTCTAAGAATAGCCAAATAATTATATCAAAGAGCTCTTCCACTTCTGAAGTTGAGAATATAGGACAGGGATTCCTGGGGATGCAAAAACAATTGCAAAGTCCATCAGGGAGAAGAATGGTATAAAGATAACACCAGGGGTTTTAGTTGACTAAAACTAGAATTTTGGTATATTTGAAATTCTGCACACAAGAAGGTACTCGTAGCAATCAGGGGACTAAAAGAAATAAGATGCATAACGATTTCGGTTGACTGATGAAGAAGGATGTTCAGGAAGAACTCCTTTTTCAGGACGATTGTTTACCCATACCAAAAAAAAATGCAAAACATAAGATTATTACCTCATTTTACAGAAAGTAGCAACCAGTTTGAGCCAACATCTGATGTTTACTGGTGGGCCACAGATTTCAGAAGCTGAAACAAGGTCAAAGTCAGAAGTAAATTGCATGTGCAGGTGTTTCTCAATATGAATCAAAGACGCCAGGTTCTCATACTAAATGAAGGTGGGTACTCAACAACGAGGATAAAATAAGGCACAAAAACATTCAAAAAGACACTGGAAACTTATATTAAAGCCTGTCATTACCACGATATTCATAATATCCTACTATTTTATTTTGCAAGAGTCATTGAATTTCCACATTGTGACGGAAATTTATTTCTTACAAAAAAATTGTATGCAGATTTACACTCCATTTAAAGCTTGAATGGAATAATCTTATACTTTCAACAAACATAAATATTATAGAAGTATTGTTTTTACGAAAATTCTGCCAGAATCCAACAGTTTGCAATTCGGGCTGATTACTTGGATAACCTCAACAATGTTTTTACAGTCTACACCTTTCCATAGCATGAACCAAACGGATACTGCTGGAAAATAAACAAGACGACACTGCTTTCAAGACACATAAATGAACATTGATACATTGGATAAAAGTGGGCTAGTTGGAGGTGCTCATGAAGACAAAGCAAGTTGTTTTGATCTACAAAAACAAAAAAAGACGAAATGCCATAAGGAAGAAAGATTTATGAGTGATTTCTAAGTGCCACGTCATGCCTACAGACTGCAACAAAAATACAGACATGAAAATAAAAGAAGATAATGATGAAAATAATAAGCGAGTCTAGTTTCTCATCAGTAACTCTTTATGCTTACTGTTCAAATTAATTGAAACTGAAACAAAAAACTCTAGAGCTAACCATTGTCCACAGAAGCTGAAGGCGACAAAGTACCATGACTGTATCCAAAGATTTCGAGAGCATCTTTTAGTTGTGCAAAGCTAGGGAACCACGTAAGTCCAACTGTGGGCTTGTTGACCTGTATTTGTGAGAACACGCACTAAGATACCTGGATGTGTCCATTACAACGTGAGCATCATACTTACCTCAACCTCTGTTGGAAGAATACTACACCAAAAGTCACATCCAGATTCTTGAACATCCACCTTGGAGGAATGCAATGCTGAGAATGGAAGTTATGACTGAAGAATAAGAAATGTATACATATTTAAGCAACATGTAAAAGGCCATAGTGGAAAAAAAATACTGGCCTTGATAAAACGTCCACGATGCCAAACAGTCTTCAACAGAACCACACAAAAAAACTAAATTTAATAGCCACCCGTCCACTAATAAACCCTCCAGAAATGCTTCTCCTTCAAGAAAGTAGAGACCATAATGAGATGGAAAAAGAAATGGAGAAAAACCTCGTCGCTACACTAGGGGTAGGGGGTTAATAGACTAGGCGAGCTGCCTCTCTCAAATAATTAGATTAGTCCTGATGGTCAAATATCCAGGATGCGACATTCAAATTTTATATAAATTGCAGACAGACAAGACCTTTCATTCTTAGTAGGTGGAATAAGTAAAAAAAGATGACAGAACAAAAGATACAACTCTCTGCAAAATATTGTGAACGCGTTGACAGAGAAAAATACAATACTGGAGGTGTGGCAATGCTACCCAGAGATGATGCTGTGATATTTTTGACAAAAAAGAAACTCTTTGATGCCTGAAACTGTACGACGGCTATTCCATGCGGTTACTTGTGACATGTTCAAAGCCAGGAGTTTAAGGTATGAAGCATTGCAAAGATCATCTGGTTGCACACCTCGTACATATTTCTTGCATATTAATGGTGCCATAAAGTCGAGATTTCAAGGTTTCTAACGTCAAAACAAAACACGAGGACCATTTCATGCTCTTCTGAAACGACACAATGTTTAAAAATAATGTGATAGAAAGATGCATAAGTAAAATAGTAAGGAGGAATCTGGGGGAATACACAATAGTTGTGTTGGGTCACATTTAAAGCCTCTCGATTCCATTTTACCAGAACGTCATCAAATTTGGAGGGGGGAGAAACTAGGGAGGGGCCAATGAGGAAAAAAGATACACAGATCTCCATCCGAACTTATGAAATAAAATTTAAAGATGTGAATTAAAAATAAATTTAAAAATAATAAAATAATAAAATTTCAAAATTATTTGGATCCAGAGTTCTGATTCTTCTATAAACTATGAGATTCTAAAACACATTTTGACGAGATTATGGTGTTACAAAAGTTGAAAAAGGAACAGCAAGATCACAAGTGGTATCAAAAAGTCAGAACTGGAAGAGGACAATAAAACAGAAGCAAAAGGGACTGGCAAATACCCTAAAATAGTAAATGATGTCGGGTCCTCATAGATATGTATAACAAGAAAGAATGTGTAGACATTTTAGGTCAGCACCCCGAAAATTTGAGACACTGATTAAGTTCATAGGCGTGGGAACCCATGATTTCTAATCCAACCATAGGAAGACACATTAGACTAAATTCAATCTGCATGAAAAAAAGGGAAATCTGGGCAAAAGTCGAATTAAAGGAGTTTTGATTAACATCTTTAGTAAGGGACAAGGCTTCACCAAACATAAGCAAAAAAACCTTTGTCAATGGTCATTTCCAAAATTGAACTGAATTTGCTCTTTGTGAATGACTGCAGAAGCTTGCAATTAATTAGCGCCTTTGAGTCAAGTGGCGGTGGAGATCTCTGTAGAAAACAGATGCTTGGATGTAACCATCAAACCATGTAATATAAATAATTTAAGCAAAATAAGAGCAGGAATTCGTAATGATTCATCGGTTCGAAGAAACCTGTCGCCCAAAAGCTCGTCGACCCCACAAAGGGATATCATCTTCAGTAAGTATATCATTGACCTATACAAGGCACAGAACGTCAAGTATTCTATCATACACATTGTCCTTCCATTTTTTTTATAACCGTTTACATAAAAAATCATAATGAGGAGAGATATTTTAGTACGAGCCCAAACATGAATCTTCTACATGCCTGCTTTTGGCACTCAGAAACAAACTTTGACAGCAATTTCTCCTTGTTCTTTGAAGTGTTGTCTTCTTCATCTGAGTCGTGATGCTTAGCCTTCGATGACTTCTTAGATTCATTAACTGGATTCCCCGCGTGGTAAAATTCAGAAAGAAGATCATCTAGACCAATAATCTTTTTCCTGCGAACAATATATAATCAACTGAAGATGTTAACTTCTAATAGAGATCAACCTCATACATTTAAAAATAGAAGTGTCATCGTGGCACAAAACTATAGGCAAGCACTTAAAAGTTCAGGAAAATAATCGAAAACACACTTTAATAGGAAGCAAAAGCAGTGAACCCTATGAGAAAAAAACAATAGGTAATTTTTTGTCCAAACGTAAGTCATAACTGACCAACAATTTGATTATCACTATGGCCGGAATAAAACGTGGATTTGAGATCGTCTTGTCCCAATCATGCTATCCATAATCACGACAACTATTTTGAGAACTACGATTCAAGCTATTCAGCTATTTAAGGAAAAGCTTACCCATTTGCTGCATAGAATTTTTATTCGAAAAAGATAATTCATTTGTGAGATCCCTGACTAAGAACCGTTCATATGGCTGCAACCGACGGTAGGACAGATCGTTTAAATTAGTTACGGCGCATTCAAGTTCTCGACTATTCACCTCATAGAGAGTCTATAGCTTAACACCAGCAGCTATTGCACACCAAAATGTCCTATCCCAATCGGAGCCGAAGGCCAACGCGTAAAAACCGAACTCTTTTTATCGCATAAAGCGTAGCTGTATGAAACGAATCAGCAGTATCCCCAGAACACTCGACATTATCACGAATTCGACGGAAATAGGAGAACAACGCAGAAGAAGAATCATGCGACGGACTGTAGCATTCGTCGAATATCAATGTCGACGTCACCTTTTCCCTGCTCTAGGATGATCCTTTACGAACACTTCACGTACAGGATCAACAACAGTATTAATGCAGCACGAACATTACTGGAATCACACTAATCCCTAATCACTGAAAAAACAAAATTCTATAGAAAAAGCATCAGGGCCCCTTTGCTGACCTTTTCCTCTCGTTGGCCACAGGAACGCTACTGACGAGAGCGTCTTCCGATTCGAAGTCCAGAGGTGCGTCCAGATCGTCCATAACCCACATAAAATGCTGGTCGGGAGTTCCTGATCTCTTCCAACTGGAAGACCACGGGAGGCCGAAGAGGACAACCGCGAGCAGGCATTCAAACTGCAAGCTCGAACCCTCAACCTCTAAAATAATTATCAATTACAAATAACTTCATCATATTTTTTATTTCTCACGCATTGATCGCCCAAACTCGACGGGCCACTTACATAACTGGACTTAGCCGCGCCCAAATTTTCCCATGGCCCATTTTTTACAATAGGCCCAATAAATGATTCTCATATTTAACGGCCCGTTATATTTCCATGATGGGCCAATTAGTAGGCCAAAAGAAGCAGGATAGTAGTCCACTATTGAGGGTCTTTAAGATAACGCCGGGGGAGCGGGAGAGAAAGAAAGGTATATCCTCATCCAGATCAAACACGTGGCTTTGTTGAGACTCGTTGTCTCATAGCTCTCATAGGTGTTTGACTTCATAACATGCATGCAGTGTAACTTAGTTATCGGCCTCCTTTATGCTCATGGGAATGAGATGATAAACACTATGAGCTTGGACGCCATGGGGGGCTGTGTCCTTGTCACGTTATGCCTTGGGTCCCTCTGAGGCATCTCATTCTCTCCCCGAATTTCCTTTTTATTTCATGCTTTTCTCCCGTCTTGGACCTTCCCCCTTGGGACTCCCCATGGCGGCAAGCAAGGAATGGCGCCCGGAGACGCGAGAGAGAGAGAGAGAGAGAGGTTAAGGGAGACGCGATTCCTCACTCTGTAACGCCCCTCTTCCTCCCTGGCTTCCATACCTCTTCTTCTACCCCCTGCTGGATATCAAAACCCTAATGGCGCATCCACATTTTCCCTCCTTTCTGCTACTCTGATCAGATGGAGTAACCCTCGTAGCCCGAAACCAAAATGCTGCTTCTGCCCACCTGCATTCTCTTCGTCTCTCTCTCCCATGTCGCCGGCGCCGTTCTCCTTCCCTCAAACTCCACCACCTTGGTCTCCGCTTCTCTCGCTCCCCACCCCGACCCTGAAGCCGTCGTCCTCCATCTGCGCAGGTAATGGCGTTACAGAGCTCCCCTGTCAATTTCTCGCCACCGGCGGCCATTTCCAACGCGTTCTCTGTTGCAGGAGAGTGGAGGAGGCTTCCCTCGTCGCCGGTGGAGGCTCGCCGTGCCTCACCGGGAACCCCATTGACGACTGCTGGCGGTGCGACCCCAATTGGGAGAAGAACCGGCAGCGGCTAGCGGACTGCGGCATCGGCTTCGGCGCCGGCGCCGGCGGCGGCAGGGGCGGCGAGTTCTACGTGGTGACTGATTCCTCCGATGGCAACCCGGCCGATCCCAAGCCGGGTACTCTCCGCCACGCCGTCATCCAAGAGGAGCCTCTGTGGATCGTCTTCTCCAGCAGCATGAAGATCACCCTGAAGCAGGAGCTGATCATGAACAGCTTCAAGACCATCGACGGCCGTGGGGCCAACGTGCACATCACCGGCGGCGGCTGCATCACCATCCAGTTCGTCACCAATATAATCATCCACAATATTCATATCCACCACTGCGTGCCCTCCGGCGAGGCTATGGTGAGGTCCTCGCCGACGAAGGCGGGGTGGCGGGGCAGGTCCGACGGCGACGGCATCTCCATCTACGGCTCGCGGAAGATCTGGGTCGACCACTGCTCGCTGTCCCACTGCACCGACGGGCTCATCGACGCCATCATGGGCTCGACGGGGATCACCATCTCCAACAACTACTTCTCCCACCACGACGAGGTGATGCTGCTCGGCCACAGCGACGACTACTCACCGGACGCCGCCATGCAGGTGACCATCGCCTTCAACCACTTCGGGGAGGCGCTGGTGCAGCGCATGCCGCGCTGCCGGCTCGGCTACGTCCACGTCGTGAACAACGACTTCACGCGCTGGGAGATGTACGCCATCGGGGGCAGCGCCAACCCCACCATCATCAGCCAGGGGAACCGCTACACCGCCCCCGCCGACCCCAACGCCAAGGAGGTGAAGCGCCTGCTGCCGATTATATGGGTTCCTTTCTTTCTTTCTTTCTTTCTCGCCGGAGGCGGCGGCGGCTGGTAACGGTGGCGCTGCGCTGAGCAGGTGACGAAGAGGGTGGAGACGGAGGAGAGCGTGTGGGGAGGGTGGAACTGGCGGACGGAGGGGGACGTGATGGTGAACGGGGCCTTCTTCGTGCCGTCGGGGGAGGGGCTGTGGATCAAGTATTCGGAGGAGTCCAGCGTTGAACCCAAGTCCGCCGCCATGATCGACCAGCTCACCATGAACACCGGCGTCCTAAGCGGCGCCGGACCCAGGTAGGAAACCTCTCTTTTTAACCTTCTTTAGTGTGAGAAACGCGCTGCCGACACCTCTCTCTCTCTCTCTCTCTCTCCCTCCTCTTTCCCCGCTTCGACGGCGGCCGTGAGATCGGAGAATATAAGCAGGCCCACGCGCCGCTCTCAGAGTAGGAGAGTAGCTGTCGGTCGTATCTTCCTGTGCTTTTCCGACGACGACAGTTGTGATATGAACTGGCTGACGGCGACGGAGACCAGGGCCGCCGGGGAGGATGGAGCAGGTTCATCGAGCGCCGGCGATGGAGGTGGAGGTGGCGCCTCCGGCGGTGGCGGCGGAGCGTACGATGGATACTTCGGAATGATCTTCGGCGGTGTTGCCGGGGTGGGTGGCGCTGCGCCGCCGCGTTATGTGTCGCCGCCGTTCTCTCTCTTCCTCGCGGTCGTCGTATTTTCTCTAGTGTTCATGCAGCCTGAGTGATTTACGACGAGTAAAGGTGGTCAACGAAGAGAGTATATTAACAATTTTATAAATAATTGCTAGAAAATTGTGGTGTATATATTAGTTAGGAATTTTTGTAATATCCTGGTAACGTGGTTCCTCCCGCATGTATTGGGCTTCTCTTATGAGCTTATTTGGGCTGTAGCTACTGGGCCTTTTAGACTTGGGCTTTGCCGGCTTACCGCGAGATTCGAATATTAAATGGTACCAGCCATTTGACCACCGATAGTGACGTCACTTGGACAAATCAGATCACTTTCTAATGCGTAACCGGATAAACAGAAATGTTCGCCGTGTGTGTGAAAACGTACAGAAATAAAATACGTATCGACATACACATCGTGGTACAATGGGGCATCTGCACCCTCCTCTTTGGTCACTAGGGGGAGGAAAATAGCGTGGACGGCCGAGGGCAGTTGGTCGTCTTTGGACGCACTGGAAGCAGCCCACGAAGATCGAACTCCCCCCATCCTCAGCTCTATATATATATATCTAAGCTGATTGTTCAACCTTCTTTCCCCGTCTCTATTGTCACTGATTCTCTAATCAGGCGGTTCGTTTCCTATTGATCTCGCGGAAGCTGTGTGCCGGCAAGGTTTTTCCTTTCCAATGTCGGCGGGAGACACACAGAGGTCCATAATGGAGGATGACAGGTGCTCGCCGTGCTTGTTACCGTTATCTCCACTCCCGTTCTACTGTCTATCTCTTCATTTGTTATACTTGACTTGAGGCCTGGTGCTTGGGTAGATGATGCCACGGAGTTATCTGATTCGATTATTTTGTCGAAATCCGTCTCTCTGACATTCGTAAACAGAATTTGAATTATTGAAGTATTGTATCATTTTCTGTGGCGCGATGTACTTGTAGTTGCCAATTTGTGAGGGTATATCCATTTTTGAAAAAGCTCCAGGCGTTGGAATTTGGATGATTTTTTTGTGATTGTTCTGTTTGATGTTGAGTGTACAGTTCCATCTCCTTCGTAACTGCTGTTGAAGATGCTTTGAGTGATGGATATAGATGACGTCGCTTATCATAAAAAAAATGCGATTAAAGTTTTTTTTGCATTAAATGCGTTTCCCTCACAACATTATACAGGAAAGAAATTCAAAGTTCTATGATTCCATGCTTGACTGGTTAACCAGTTTTTTGTATTGTTATTTGCTTTCCCGTATCTTTCACGTCAGGTTCCCTCATGCTGTATATCGTTTCTTAGGATAGTTAGGAGGGAGCTTGAGCATTATGTTTTGGAAGCTCTCGTTCTATTTTCCTCTTTTGAAGTTTTCTTCAATGGCTTCTTTCTAGGTTGAATTCGCCGCATACATCAGCTGTGACAGTTGAGGTTCTCGGCCATCATCTGCATTTTTCTCAGGTAACCATTAGAAGAAGAAAGACGGTATTAGACGCTTCCTTTGGTGAGATACTCTATAAAGGCTGAGAATTCGAATTGAAATTTGATCCTCCTTTCTATGTTTTAGGTTTCTTTTTGTATCAGAAATTAAGAACATTTTTTTCGCATCACGTCAACAGTTATATCAAGGTTTACGTGAACGAGCCTATGATCATTCAAGGACATTTATTGGTTGAAGAGATGATACGATGCATATCAGGGAAACATCTTGCAGAAAATCCACTCGAACCTTTTTGTTATGATTGATCTCTTTATACGGTTCCATCTTTTGAGGAATTCTCTTTCATTAATGGTGAGTGCCTCTTTAGTGAGAAATTCCTGAAAACTTTCTGCTCCATAGCACATCCTAGACTATAGTAGGCAATGCTAAGAAGTTTGCAGAAGAAAGTGACTTAATCTACACGATGAGAGTGGTTGAATTCGCAAGAAGTTGTGAGACTAGAATGTGTCACCACCCAGTAAAATCTACCTGAGACTACTGACAATTCAGTGTCCTCCTTCAACTTTGCATGTTGTGGTAAAGAGTCCAAATTTATCCAGGAAGTAAAGATCATTTTGGCAGAAACTAACGTGGGATGTGTGCGTGACAGGACCCAAACTCGAAGCATCTTGGTACCACAGTATGGGATGCATCCATGGTGTTTGTCAAATTCCTGGTAATTATCGGACTTTCCCTGGACTTTCCTGGTCATGATCTTTGGATATGTTCAATTGTGAAACCTTGGTGCCCTTGTTTGTCTTAATACACCCCTCGTTTCTTGTCGTTTTTTATCTTTTTAGGCCATGTATGCAGGAGGACCCAGTATGTCAGTGTAAATTGAAAAAAATGTGTTGACCACTATGTAGCATACATTGAAAGACCAGTTGTTTCACCGAAGTCAAGGAAAGACTCTGTTTTTCACATTAATCATTTTACATAGTGCATCATATGATTCAGGAAAAGAATCGAAGAAAGGGTCGATTTTCCCCTTCCAAGCTGAAGGGGAAACGTGCTGTTGAACTTGGAGCTGGTTGTGGCCTCGCAGGTTTTGGTTAGTCCTATACTATGCTTATGAATACCATTAGTGGTGAATACTTTGAAGAACGTGTGCCTTGTATACCGGCATTTTTTATTAAATGTTATGTATTCTCAGGAATGGCATTGCTAGGATGTGATGTGGTTGCAACTGACCAAGTCGAGGTGTTACCTTTATTGATGAGGAATGTTGAGCGTAATATATCTCGGGTAATGCAGGCAAATACTGATTCAGGTATTATTACAGATTTTTCACTACCTATGTGGTAGAACTATTTTTGCAATACAAAGATTTAATTTCTTCGAAATTTGTATCTCGAAAATTCTCAGGAGCACATATATTTGTACTTAATTTCACACAGGGTATCACGTAGATTGGATGTATGGGCGACACATTTTTTTATATGTATCCACGTGTGAATGTTGCTGCATGCCATGTCACATTCTGCGAATGGCGATTTTTTTTTCGTTGGAGGATTAAATATTTTGAAAGAGAAACCAATGGAGAGAATTCTGTGTTTGAATCCAAAATTTATGAGCAGAGGGAATTTCTTGTGGCACATTCTATCCAATTAAATATTTAATATATATGTATTATAAATGATAAGAAGCTCCATCTACAGTTCTGCGTATTTTTCTTTCTCTACTGCTAAATATTTAGATGGTATGTTGCCTCTGTTGGTTAAGCTGTTGAGCTAAGTCTGTGGACATATTTCTTTCTCCTATCTTTTATTCTGTACATTTTCAGAATATTTTGGTAGGCTGAGCACACTGTTAGAGAGTTCATATACGTTGCCTTGAAAACTGCCAAGCGTAATGCAGTTTCTATTTTTGTAGCTTCAATCGGTTCTATCCAGGTGGCGGAACTAGATTGGGGGAATGAGGAGCACGTCAAAGCAATCGACCCACCTGTTGATTTCATCATAGGCACCGATATTGTAAGTAATTATATAAGGATAAGTATTGGAGCATCTCATTTATCTAAAGAAGAAGAAAAAGCCACCTTCATCTCCTACCTCCAGCCCGGGTTGACCGACACAAGTCAGATCGGGCCTTCAAGATTCCAATCACCGATTCATATTTTAAGTTTTGTTATTTATAGTATGTATTATTCTGTTCATATACTTCCATAACTGGTGGCGTGAATGTCAACGAAGGTCTATTCAGAGTCTCTTTTAGATCCACTGCTGCGGACGATCTTCGCCTTATCAGGGGGGAGAACAACAATTCTGGTCAGTACCACCATCAACGACACCCTTCTTTGCTCTAGATCACTCATGGATAAATAAGATTCTCGACTTCGCTCTCATTCAGATGTGCTCTGAGATCCGCTCCACTTCAGTCCACGAGCAGATGCTTCGCATGTGGAACAGCAATTTTGAGGTGACTACAGTCCCAAGATCGAAGGCAAGTTTATCAGATATGAAAAGTTAAGTATTCATATGCCCTCTGAGCTCCACCCGAATCCCCTAGCAATGATATACTTCTTCCATGCAGATGGATAGTAAGTACCAGCATCCGAGCATTCAGCTTCATGTGATGTCCATGAAATCTCGATCTAGATTCGAGGAAAACCTGGGCGGTTCGTGTGGAACACTAGTCAACCCCGAGAACCATGGAGACTGTGGGCCAGGGGCATGGAAGGAAGGTTCGGAAGTCGAGGGATCTGCTGATGCAGGGTTAGAATTAGGGTTACAGTTGGAGGACGAGGACGACGACGGCGATGATGATGATAATGGTGAGAGGAAGCTCGATGACTGGGAAAGTAGGAGGTGTGGGTCTGCAGCTGCTAGGCTTCTTAGAGATGTGAAGGCTTCTTAAGGGCACATAGGCTAAGCTAGGCTAGGCTAATGTGTTAAGAGAAGAATGTTCGGTGGAAGATTACGAATTCTGAATGGTAGCTCAATCGGGTCAACTTTATTTAGTTTTTTTTATATCTTTTGAATCACCACTGACGTAGGGTTGTCGTTGACCCCGAGAGCAGGCCACTTGGAGGTTGTCAAAGAGAGAAAGATAGACTTTTTTGACTCCACTTAGAGTTCAGTTCTCGAACCACAAGAACGAGAAGGTCACTTCCATCCTCAACCTATCTGGAAGATGTACCCAGCTTCGGCAAAGTGAGCCCTCACCAGAGCAAGAGCCTTGGAGCGATGAGAGATCCTGTTCTTCTCGTCCTTGGCCATCTCCGCATACCTGCTCGAACCACACCAGAAGACGCCAACCTCCCACATGAGCACCATTGACATGACTGTCGCCGGTAAGATGAGCAAGAGATGAAGGGGAGGCTCACGTTTGGTCGTGCCCATCCGGCTGGAAAATTGGGTCCCACCCGAAATCGGTGGGCCCCCGGGGAGGAACGATCTTCCCCTGAAGAAGAAGAAGAAGACACCGGCATCAGTTATTGACTTGGCATGGTTAGGTGGTAAATAGAAACCATTCTATAACTCATTCTACTAGTGGAATGTCTCAATGGCTTACATGGGTCTTTCCACAGAAGGACATTGGTTCAGTAGTTGGCCCGAGGGCGAGGGAGAAGATGCACATGGCGTAGGCTGATTTGTCCTCGTAGGCCTTGAGGATGTTGTTCAACCCTACAAAACGTACATAGAAACACCTCACATCATCCGAATATGGGCAACAAAATAATTAGAGATGAAAAAGGGGCAAATAAGGTATTATCCGACCTTCATGACCTGTCTTCTCCAGGAACCACTTTCTAGCCGGTTACAATTCCGGAAACAAGGCGAGTCAGTTTTCCCAGGTAAGAAAGAAAAAAAAAAAAGAAAAAAAAAAAGAAAAAAAATATCCAGAAAAGGAAATGGACTGGTTTTAAAGAGGGAGGATATCCAGAGAAAATCATCAGACTGAGGAACAGATGAGGCTTACATGTAAGGCCCTGCAGCAGAGAAGAAGGCCGAGTAAGCAGAGGACAAGATGAGCCGCCAGAGCCAGGAAACAGAGAGAAGCAAGACGAGCAGGTACCAGGGAGACCGTTGAGAGCATTGAAGCATAGACAGGTGTCTTCAACAAGCACGGGCCCATTAACCTTTAGAGAAAATAGCGGCCGTTGATGCATTAGCTCTATGGATTATCAGGTAGAAATATGCTATTTTGGGCACTGTGAAGAGAGAAAATGTGGGAGAGCTGAGACCTGGATCGCAGCTAAACGGGCCTTCTCTTTGGAGATCTCGTCAGGCTCCCCTTGCAGCTCTGGCACTGGAAGAAAAAGGGAAGTAAACAAGTAAAAAAAAAAAAGAAAAAAAAGAAGAGGAAAAGTATGAAAACCAATGGCAGTATACCACTAAAAAAAGGAGTTGACTAAATGCTCTAAGGCATGCCTCGATCATCCTAAATAAGTCAAAGTTGGCGGTCGTCAACTGGCATGCTACTTCAGATGAGAATGATTCCATCAATTGCCATCAGCATCATGACTCCAATGAACCTCATCAACATTCCTATGGGTTGGCCATTTATTTATCTTTTTTTCCCTAAACTCTGAAAAATGCGTTCGACCCACCCATGATCCTTCCATGAAAACCAGTCAGATTACTCTACTAGATTGGCTTCCAGGGGTTATAATTTCTTGTGGAGAACTCTACATCACCGAATCATGTTCTCTTGTTGACCTGGATGCTATCAGGGCTCATAGTCTGGAAATGGCCATACTTCTTCGGCCATCCAACACAGAAAAAAGCTGGAAATGAGTTGGAGCAGCTTCATCTTTATAATCACAGGGAGGTGTTTTTCTGCAGCAAATCAGTACGGATCTACTCTCCTAAGAGCATGCATCAGAGTAACCTCTCCACTTCACCATACAGCATCAGATATATCTCACTTAATCTTTAGTAGATGCTGATGGAAAGGAGGGAGTCTCCGTCGTATTTGTTCTCCGTCACCGCTGGCTTTGAAGGTCGCACCATCTACATGAAGGATTCACAGAGCGGGGGGGGTGGGGGGGAACAGGCATATATCTGATGAGCATCCCCCACGGATCAGTCTCTGACTTACAACACTCGGATCTTATTCAGGAATCAAAGCAGAATTCACGAAAAGCATACGAGAACCAGCAAGACCACATTAATAGAAGATCTTCCCGGCGAAGACGCAGGCCGTTGAGTCTGCGTTTGGATTTTCTTCAGATTCAGATTCCAGAGCAAGAATCAGAGATTTGGCGCGGCCGACGAGGAGTTCGGAAAGAAGGGGAGAGAGAGAGAGAGAGAGAGAGAGAGAGAGGATCTTCTGCGCGCGAGGCAGGTAGGGGGTTTCTTTCTCCGCTCTTCATCACTTACAGTCGAGTTTGAGGGACCGGAAGGGGATAGAGTCGCCGAGGATGGCCCGAACTTCCTCGAGCTTCTTCGCGTTCCCCGTCACGAACGTCACCGGCCGTAGCAGAACCCTCGCCTCCGTCGCCATCCCTCCCGACGGCGGGTTTGGCGGGGAAATACCTCCAGAAAGCCCGACTAGGCTTTAACTCGCCTCAGTCAAACCGGACTCTGCGGTATGCAGGGACCCGATAACTATCCGGATCTGGATCCACCAGAGTTGGGAATCTGATCGATCCTACGATAAAATCGAGATACTTTTTATTTAATATTTATTGCTTAAAAGGTTTTCGGTAATGTTTTATTTCCCGTCGGAGTATTATGGAAAATGTAAATATATATTTATTTTTCTTTTACGGGGGTGGAGAGGTTGCAGCCCCTACGATCGTTCACCATACGCAGTCGGGGGGACCGTGGTGACCATTGGGTCTATTTGGCAGCGGGGCTCACCTGGCCATCTGCGTCGATGATGACGGTGGCGATCAAATCAGCCGCGGGAATCAAAGCAATAGAGCGAGACCATGGGAAGAAACCCGAGGCGGCCGGGCGGCGCCGGAGACCTGCTCCGGTGTCCTAATCTGCCCGGGAAACCGGAGATGCGGCAGGCGAGGAAACCAATGCCACCGTGAGCGCCCCATCCTACCACAGAGTAGGGGGAGAATCATGCTGTACCCATGGGTTCCATAAAAGCTTGCTCTCTAGAGAGAGAGAGAGAGAGAGAGAGAGAGAGAGAGAGAGAGAGAGAGGGAGAAGGATTATGAGAGAGGGTGTCTGATAAAGGGGAGGAATGGTTCGTGTCAGCAGGGTTCCTCTTTTCCATGGGGGGTGAGTTCATCTTTTGATGCCTGTGATGAGGAGGGAGGACCTGGTTAATTACACAGGCGGCTGGGTAGCCGGCGCCCGTGAGCAAGATCCCATTTTTTTTGTCTTTCTCTCGTGATCGGGAAGCTCTTGTTTACGGAAGCCGTCACGTGAGCCCCATCCATCCATCCACTCATCCCCCTACCTGGCGCCCCTTCTTCCCTTCAAGACTGGAGAGAGAGAGAGAGGGGCTACGGACAAGGGGACCAAACAAGGAGAACCAGGAGATTGACTCCGGGAGCGTCTGTCTCCTCCTCCCCCGCCCGCTTTATCTGTCATTAATGGGCTCTGGTGGGCCAACATCCGGAGCGAATATTAATAGTACTATTATATTTGGGCCCTAACTGGGACGGAGTCCCTAGGCTGGCGAGCCCCCCGGCCGACGCCGGCCCACCAAGCGCCGCCTCTCCCTGTTTTCCGGAAGCAAAAAGTCCACCCGTCCCTCACACTCCCCCTCCCACATTAACTCTCTCTCTCTCTCTAGCATGGCGGCACGTGGTGTTGGGCCTCGAAGTATGTGGGGGGGGGGAGGGCTCTTCCTCCGGCGACAAGCTCAGCGGCAGACCAGACCGCAGAGGAATAGGGAGGTGGGGTTCGACGGGGCACCGACAAAAGGACAGACGACAGCGGCGGAGGACGGCGGCGAGAGAGGCCCCACCGCCGCCGGAAACCCGGGCGGAACCGGACGCCGGTGGGGGGGTCGCCGCAGTGGAAGAAGAGGATCACGCTGACGATGATCTCGAACGGGGGGTTACGTCTAGTGGTGGAGGTCGATTCTCCTCCCCCTCCTCCGGCGATCGTTATTTTTTTTCTCTGATCTGGATGTGAGCAGTAATTTATTCAAGCATCTGCAAATCTGCAGCGCTGGTATGCGGTAAAAACTCAAAACTCAAATCCCGAGCGGACATCGCCGGAGTAAGAAAATGATCCCCTCCCCGCCGGAAACTTCCCGTTTTCAAACCCCGGGGAAGAAGACGGACCCCAGAGAATCCTAGAGAGAGAAAGAGAGAGAGGAGCGAAATAAACATGCAGATAACGGCGCTGTGCCTCACTATAATTCTCTCCTTCTCTCTCTCTCTCTCTCTGTGGGTCGGCCGGCTCGGCCTGTCTTTCTTCCTGCTGTGGGGGTTTTCGGAGGTCTGTCGTGGCGCTGTTCATGGAGGGGAGGTGGGAAGTGGCAGAAAGGAAGGAGAAGACTCCTCGCTGCATGCATGAATACTCACGCACACGCCCACCACCTGTGCCCTGTCTCCTCCTTGCCGCGCGTGATGTGATCCCTCCCTCCAACCTCTCTCTCTCTCTCTCTCTTCTTTCTCTCTCTACTGTGATAGAGTTGGAGGGGGAGGATAAACAAGGGAAAGAGACCAGGAGAGGTTGGAGGGGTGGGGGGGGGTCGACACGGAAACTGACAAAGGGCAGCGGCAGGGGGTGCCACTAGGAGACGCAGCGAGTTTTTAAGGTTTTTCGAGGAGGGTGATGGAGGTGGGGAGGGGCGCGAGGTGGTGGAGAGCCCCGATGCAAATAAGTGCAGGTGGGCGTAGAGAGAGAAGACAGAAGGAGGAGGAGGGGCGGGAAGAGGAGAGTTGGGATCTGGGTTTCGGCCGGAGTTGATGATGCCGAGGTCGAGGAAGCTCGTCCCCCCCTCTCTCTCACTCTCCTCCTTCCTCTCCTTCCTCTTCCTCTTCTTCCTCTTCTTCCTCTGCTGCTGCTCTTCTGCGAGCACTGTTACGAGAGCTCTCCTCGCCTGGATCCATGGCGGCAGCGGCGGTGACTACGGCGGGTATTTCGCAGACTGGAAGAGCTCCGATGGGACGCCCTGCAACTGGAGCCATGTGGCCTGCTCGGGGGACGCCGGCGGCGGCGGCGCCGTGGTGGTGGGGCTGGAGATACAGGGGGTGGAGCTGGCGCGGCCGCTGCCGGCGAGCCTCCTGGCGGAGCTCCCTTCGCTGACCTCCCTCGTCGTCTCCGGTGCCAACCTCACCGGCGCCATCCCTCCGGCCATCGGAGACATCCTCCCCTTACTCGCCGTGCTCGACCTCTCCGACAACAGCTTGCAGGGCCCCGTCCCCTCCTCCCTCGGCCGGCTCCGCTCCCTCTCCGTCCTCCGCCTCAACTCCAACCAGCTCTCCGGCGAGGTCCCCGCCGCCCTCGCCGGCTGCGCCGCCCTCCGGGAGCTCCACCTCTTCGACAACCGCCTCTCCGGCGAGGTTCCGCCGGAGCTCGGCCGGCTCTCCGACCTCGAGGTCCTTCGGCTCGGCGGCAACAAGGACCTCTCTGGCGTCATCCCCGGCGAGCTCTGCAACTGCGACAACCTCACCGTGCTCGGCCTCGCCGACACCAAGATCGCCGGAGTGATCCCGCCGGAGCTGGGGAAGCTCGCCCGTCTCCAGACTCTCTCCATCTACACCACCATGGTCTCCGGCGAGATCCCGCCGGCGCTGGGCAACTGCTCGGAGCTCGTCAATATCTTCCTCTACGAGAACGCCCTCACCGGCGGTCTCCCGCCGGAGCTCGGCAAACTGGCGAAGCTCGAGAAATTGCTGCTGTGGCAGAACAACCTGGTGGGCGCCATCCCGGAGGAGATGGGCAACTGCACCGCCCTCCGCATGGTCGACCTCTCCATCAACGCCATCTCCGGCGAGATCCCAGCGTCCTTCCGGCGGCTCCGCCGGCTGCAGGAGCTCATGCTGAGCGACAACCAAATCTCCGGCTCCATCCCTTCCTTCATTGGCGACCTCCCGGAGCTCACCCAGTTGCAGCTCGACACCAACCAGATATCCGGGCTCATCCCGCCGGAGATGGGCCGGTTGCAGAACCTCACCGTGTTCCTCGCATGGCAGAACCAGCTGGAGGGGAAGATCCCACCGGAGCTGGCCGCCTGCGAGCAGCTCCAGTCGCTAGACCTCTCCCACAACCGGCTCACGGGTAGCATCCCACCGGAGCTGTTCCTGCTCAAGAACCTCACCAAGCTGCTCCTCCTCTGCAACGACCTCTCCGGCGACATCCCGCCGGAGATCGGCCGGTGCCGGTCTCTGGTTCGTCTCCGGCTGAATGGAAATCGCATCGGCGGCGTCATTCCGAGGGAGATCGGCGGCCTGCAGGGGCTCGATTTCTTGGACCTGTCGGACAACCGGCTCGCCGGCGCCGTGCCGGAGGAGATCGGTCGGTGCTCGCAGCTCCAGATGGTGAGCCTCAGGAACAACTCTCTGAGCGGGAACCTGCCGGCGTCCTTCTCAGCCATCGCCGGTCTTCAGGTGCTCGACGCGTCGATGAACCAGTTCTCCGGCGGCATTCCGGCGAGCTTCGGCCGGCTGGGATCCCTCAGCAAGCTTGTCCTCAGCGGCAATGCCCTCTCGGGTCCCATACCCGGGGAGCTCGGCCGGTGCTCGAGCTTGGAGCTGCTCGACCTGAGCGGGAACCAGCTCGCCGGCAGCGTCCCGCCGGAGCTCTGCAAGATCGATGGCCTCGACATCGCGCTCAATCTGAGCAGGAACTCCCTCTCGGGGTCGATCCCCCCCGCCATAGCCGACCTCGGGAAGCTCTCCGTGCTGGACCTCTCCTTCAACAGGCTCGAGGGGAGCCTCTGGCCGCTCGCCGGGATGGAGAACCTCGTCACTCTGAACGTCTCCAGCAACAACTTCACCGGCTTCCTTCCGGACACGAAGCTCTTCCGGCAGCTCTCGGCGGCGGACCTCGCCGGAAACCAGGGCCTCTGCACCGGCGGTGGCGACGCCTGCTTCGTCGGAGTGGGCCGCCGGCCGGGGGGGAGCGTGGAGGAGTGGAGGAGGGGGAGGGGGAGCAACCTGAGTATGGCCGTCGTGGTGCTGGTCACCGTGGCGGCGGCTCTGGCCCTGGCTGCGGCGGCGGTGGTGAGGGCGAGACAGGCGAGTAGGAGGAAGGGAGGAGCAGAGGAGGAGGACGGCGACCCGGACATGGGCGGGGAGATGTCGTGGCCGTGGGAGTTCACCCCGTTCCAGAAGCTCAGCTTCTCCGTCGAGGAGGTGGTGAAGAGCCTCGTGGAGGCCAACGTCATTGGGAAGGGCTGCTCCGGCGTGGTCTACCGGGTGGGCATCGCCAACGGCGAGGTGATCGCCGTCAAGAAGCTCTGGCCCGCCGCCGCCGCTGCCGGCAAGGAGGCAGCGGGCGGCGGCGGCGGCGTGAGGGACTCCTTCTCGGCGGAGGTGCGGACGCTGGGGACCATCCGGCACAAGAACATCGTCCGCTTCCTGGGGTGCTGCTGGAACAAGAGGACCAGGTTGCTGATGTACGACTACATGGCCAACGGCAGCTTGGGGGCGCTGCTGCACGAGAGGGCGGCGGCGCCGCCGCCGCTGGACTGGGAGCTGCGGTACGGGATAATCCTGGACGCCGCGCAGGGGCTCGCGTACCTGCACCACGACTGCGTGCCGCCCATCTTCCACCGCGACATCAAGGCCAACAACATCCTCATCGGCCTCCACTTCGAGGCCTACATCGCCGACTTCGGCCTCGCCAAGCTCGTTCACGACGGCGACTTCGCGCGCTCCTCCAACACCGTCGCCGGTTCCTACGGCTACATCGCCCCCGGTCTGTATCTCTTTCTCTCTCTACTGGTAATTCCTTCCGATCTCTACTGGTTTGCTGACGGGGAAGGGGGATTGTGCAGAGTACGGGTACATGACAAAGATCACGGAGAAGAGCGACGTGTACAGCTACGGGGTAGTGGTGCTGGAGGTGCTGACGGGGAAGCAGCCGATCGACCCCACCATACCGGAGGGGCTCCACGTGGTGGACTGGGTGCGGCGGCGGGGCGGTGGCGCAGAGGTGCTGGACCCGGGCCTGCGGGGGCGGCCGGAGGCGGAGTTGGAAGAGATGTTGCAGGTGATGGGGGTGGCGCTGCTCTGCGTCAACCACTCCCCCGACGAGCGCCCAACGATGAAGGACGTCGCCGCCATGCTGAAGGAGATCCGCCAGGGGAGGGAGGAGTACGCCAAGGCCAACGGCGGCGCCGCATCCGCCTCCGCCTCCAAGGCCAAATCTCAATTCGACTGACTCCGTTCCATCTTCCTGGACGGGTTCTGTAAAAAAAACCCTGGGAGAAGGAAGAGGAAGAAGGGCAAGTATCGGCGGAATAAAGGAATGGGCTCATCTGCCTGTTCATCTTTTCATCCTTGCAATTTTTTTGTTATGGGCGATTGCGCGAACAGGTGACAGGAGAAGGGCTCGGTGGCCACTATATGGAACGCCCAGCTCATTTCATTCGTCAATTATATCGAACAAAAAGAATATTTACAGAGCATGATCGAGAGTAATTAATTATACAGGTGAACTCAGCAGAAAAAATTACAACTAGAGGCCAGATTTTCCGATTCGGTGTATATACAGAGAGCGAAGAACCTCAGGCCATGACCGCCTCTAGCGCTTGGAAAATATTGGTGCGGGTAACCATCCCTGGATCACAGACGAACGACTGCAGTAAGTCCTCGGCTGATAGTACGTAGAATAAAAAAATGTTGACGGATGATGAAGATCGATTCCTGGTGAGTGAGAATTGCTCGAGAAACGTTTCTATTGATCTGGTTACTGTTTTGGATTCTCACCTATAACCTTTCCTTCCTTGTTGAGGACTGGGATCCTATGGATCTTCTTCTTGAGCATCAGAGCGGCAGCGTCTGCATATGAACAGGGCTGATCAGAAAAATCCCCAGGATAATGGGATGCGGCAAGGAAGAGGGGGCCAAGGTCGGGATACCCACCCATGATAGTCTTCTCCGGAGTTAATGTCACAGCAGGAGAGGTCATGACTTCATTCACTTTGGTCTTCAACTGCAGCCAAGCCAATCATCACCCGCGATGAGAGGGAGGGAATTAAGAAATACACGACCACATAAATTATGGAAAAAATGTACGAAAAAAATGTGGCCTCATTATCTTTTGTGACAATGAAGCGATTTTCTAATAAAATATAATTTTATGAAGCACATCCTGTGACTTTCATATGATTCTTCCAGTTTCCCCCGGTTTTCTTCGTGGCCCTTGGAAAAAAAAAGGGGTGGAATGTCTGCATAACTTCTGCTCGGCACTTGGCGATTCCAAGGGAAAAACGCTAAGCATCTACACTGCAACGGACTAATTGAAAGAAGAAGAGAGTGTCTAGAATGGAAGCATAATTTAGACTAAACGAAAATCGTGGTATACGGCGACTAGAAAGTTCTGTAGGAGTATGGGCTGCTCACCCCACTGAGGGCTCTGTCTTTGTCGCTCTTCGAAATGACACCGATGCATCGGAGCTCATGGTCTATCACGGGAAGTCCCGAGACAAACTCGAAATGGTGGTCGATTTCCTCCAACGTCTGATCTACAATAGCCGCCCGAATCGTGGTGGACATCACGTCACCTAACAGAACCGATGGCCTCTTGATCTGCGGCAAGAACATCGAAAGCCAGCGCGTACGAGTAAGTACATGGAGATTCAACGGATCCGGGAAAGAAACCTAGAGAGAGAGAGAGAGAGCAAGGAGGCGCACGTCTTCGTCGAAGATCTGTGTTTCCAGGTAGACCCGGAGGTCGTCGTAACAGAGGAGGGAGAAGTTCTCCGGCCACTCGCCGGAGATGATCCCCTCCGGATTCTCGTCCATCTGGACCCGATCATCCGTCATCCCCCTGGCCGACACCATCCTCCTCGCTCTGTTCTCACAACTCCCGCTAGAGTTTACACAGTGAACATCGGAAGAGAGAGCGCTGCTGGCGCCGCTGCCCACACAGATGGATCTGGTGGCCGTGCCTCTGAAAGGGGAAGTGGATCTGAGGGGAGTAAACCTTCCATGGCGAAGCTGGAAGGTACCGCAAGCCGCTGTCGCCATTCTTCGATCTCGGAGTGACTACTTGTTCGGAACTTTTCTTCACACTCGGCAGTTGCCGATCATGGCGGTGCAACGGGGGACATTTTATGGTCCCCAAAGACGAGGTACCTTCACCAGGAGGTGAGGTTCCCTCTCTTCAGGTATCACTGAATTATAGTGGCATTGCCAACCAAGCTCGGCTCAGAGGAGGTGACGCCACACTCCAACGGAAAATAAGAGGATGAGACCGACCGGAATCTGGGGCCCACAAAGGAACCAATGAACAGAACCGCAGCGCCATTGGTTGTCCGCCCGCCGGCGGAGAGTCGGAACACCTTCACCCCACAGTATTGGCCCCCCAGGGATTCATGCCTCGGAGACAGTACAGGGCGGGCCTTGGGCAGCCCTCGGTGAGGCAACTACAGCGGTGAGGAGATCCCAGCCCCGGTCATCGGATAAACACGACTGTCCACGTTGTTGACTATTACCTTCTGAGACAGGTGTCCGCCTCTGATTGGTTGCCCAAATTAGCGGAGATAAGAGAGGGGGACTCGTTGTCCGGGCCCGATCGGGTGGGGCCGTCTCGGTTTCGTCCAGTTTCAGCTGAAACCCGCTTTGTGAAAACGAGGTTCTTCCCCTCGAGTCGGAATGAGAGAGAAAATCATCTGTCCACAATATTTCCATCAATTTAAAATAAAATCCAAGATGACTTCTGTACAAACATTGTGCAAACACATTTTTTTACTATTATTAGAAAGGTGCCTATCTAATCACTACACTACAAAAGCTAGATAGAGAGAGAGCAGAAGAGAGAGCAGAAGGCACGATACCATGAAGAGGCCCACAACGTGCCTACTCCTCCAGGCTAATAATGCATCGGAGGCCCTCACTGGTCTCCATAAAGTCAAAGGCCTTGTTGATCTCACTGAACGAGACTCTGTGGGTGATGAACTTTCTCCACCTCCAACTCCTACAATTCAAGCAAAATCGCCACCTTGAGCGGGCTTATCGCATCATATCATCAAAGCCTAAAGATCTGAGATAATTGGGCCCATTCTTATTCTCGGAGGATGGAGAGAGAGAGAGAGAGAGAGAGAGAGAGAGAGAGAGAGTAGTTGACCCAATAAGAGCTGTACCTTCTTCATGTACAAGTCAACGACGGAGGGAGGTCGGTCCGAGGCTTATAGTTCCCGAAGAATGTCCCCCGGAGAGTCCTCTCGTTCAGAAAATTCATGGGGTCAGACCTAGAGCGTCTATAAGAACACGTATATGTGTGTATATATTGAAATATATAGATCAATCACGAGGATGCAAGAATGTAAGAAGGGGCCCACGTCATGAACACATTCGAATGCAGATATCATGGCGTCAATGTGGCCCGTACACTCAATGCTCCGGTCAACGCCACCCCCGGTCATTGCGGCGATTACCTGAGAAGGCCGAGAAGGAATTTTTAGGAACTAGAACCACTGGAGAGGAGTTTCCAGAGACGGAAAGTCAACGGACCTCCTGAACTGGTATGTCGTGATCCTTGGGGTTTACGAATTCAGTGACGCCGAATTTCATGGCTGAAAATTCAGAACGAGATTGATGTGAAAAATGCCCCGGTTCTTTGTGATATGGGAGGTGAATTGATTACCTTGGTTGAATCTACTGGCATTAAGGTCAACGCCAATAATCCTGGATGCTCCAGAAATTCCCGCCCCTTCCACGGCCTGATATACGAAGAAAGAACATGGCTGACGTGATGCAGATGAGTACGAAGAACTTTCATGATACCACTCGCTTACCGCTAGTCCCACAGCTCCCAACCCAAAGACAGCAACGGAGGAGCCTTTCTTTGGCTTGGCCACATTCAGTGTCGTTCCCAGACCTTTAAAGACGACCAAAAGAGAGGGAAAAAAAAAGTCAATATGCCAAATGAAAACGTTATAATTGAAACTGTGGGGGATGAACAAGGTAGATGATTCCATAATATCAGTTCAAACTATGAAGATCAGACTCTGACGCACAAATAAGTCTATAAATATCCTCCTTTTTTCCTACTAATTTACTCCAAACTGGACTAAGTTGGCAGTGCCTTCTGAAAATCATTTGAATGAGTTACTCCAATATGTTTCATTTTTCCATAGAAGTATCTTCTCTCAAGAAGGATGATTTACGGAGAAAAGAATAAAATGGATTCGCATTCTACTACATAAGTACTATATAAGAACCTATATAGTGTTGCTTTATGCTGACTCTGAAGATGCACTAAATGATGCACATTACGCGTATTTTGAGAGATCTGATTTCATTCTATAACCTGTGAAAAAGAGATCAAACCAGTAGGTCCTTAGAATAATACCTGTTGATATGCCACAACTGAGAATGCAAACTTTGTCAAGAGGAGCAGCTGGATTGATCTTAGCGAGACAGCCCGAATGCACAACCATGTATTCGCTGAAGGTTGAAGTGCCAAGAAAATGGTAGATGGGTTTACCATCAATAGAAAACCGAGATTTTCCATCGCTTATCATCACTCCTCTGTCGGTGTTGATCCTCAACAGTTGGCACATGTTACTCTCTTCTGACTTGCAGTGAGTGCACTCCCCACATTCACCAGTGAAGTAGGGGAGCACATGGTCGCCCGGCTGAAGGCCTGTCACACCTTCCCCGACACTCTCTACAACCCTGATACAATTTTTTAGCAAAATAAATACAAAAAACCAGTCAGAAAAACACCACAATTACTAGATTTGATTCGATAATGAACAAAAGAGTCTTCTAACTGATTAAAAGAAATTTAATCAAAATGTGGTCGAGTTCAGGTTGATTACATACAGGTTTGAATGAACCATCAGCCTAAATGAAGAAAACTTGGTTGTTAAAAAATATAGAAACAAGATATCCTTGGTTAGCACTAAATTAATCATACCCCGCTGCTTCGTGGCCCAGAATTCGAGGAAATAGTGGTGTTTGTCCCTGAAACATGTTAATAGCAACCTTTAATAAACATAGTATAAGTGGCAAGTTTTAATAGATTGATGAACGTAAGCGTAATCCTCAAATCTACATGGATAAATTCTACTTTAACATTCAATAACGTGTGATATATTTTTTTATTTTTCTTCACGAAGCTTATGGAAGTCAAGCTACTATGAAAACTACGACTACGCAAGTCATGATACGAAGGTGGGGGGGGGGGGTTGTTGAACAGCTAGCAGAGTCGGCTAATGCCTCCTTTGCTTGCTTCAACTAAAAGCCAGAATACACTCTGTGCCTGCACTTTATAAGGGTTATAGATAGCATCAAGATCATAATTCCAGTGTCCACAGGAAATGAAGGCGATACTCCCCAACCAGTTATCGCCGGTTATGTCGATTATTTCCTCTCTTCAGATCTTCCAACATCCGACAAAAAGTTGTGATGCCCAAGAAAGTGCCATTTATTTGGGAGTTAATATCGTTATAATTAGCCTGGAGAAATAGATGGGTCATACTTTTTCACCCGCGGAATATGTCCCTGAAGAGTAAGGTGAGGTGTACTGCAGTGGAATAAGGATTACGTGTGCTGCTGTTCTAAGCCTGACCATTGAATTTGGTATGCCGTCCGTCTGGTGTTCGCATAAGCTTCAATGAGTGAAAGAAGGGGGAACGATGAAACTTACCTTGGCCTCCCAGAAAACGAAGTCGGTGGGGCAAAGGGAGGTGTACGAGACCTTTATCCGCACCTCCATGACCTGCGGCGGAGCCACATCCACATTTTCTATCACCAGGGGCTTGCCGGCCTCCCATGCCACCACCGCTGCGCCAGGTTGAAATTTGGGCGGCCAATCAAACGTCAAGGCAAAAGAACTGATAATCAGAACCGGAACATGAAAACAGATGCCCAAATTTTCTAAAAATAAACTGCTTCACCTCTGCAACGAATGATGAGGCCTGTGGTGCTCGCCATTTTCCGTCGGAAGCCAGTAAGAACAGGTCGAGTACTGTTTAGCCGCGGATAAATGAACAGAGACAACTCACCTGGGACCCTTCCGACCGCCGTATCACCGAAGATCCCTCCTATATCGGCCTCCTCCAGGATCAAACCGCCCAACAAATGCGAAAGCACATACTGCATAGATCGAGAGAGAGAGAGAGAGAGAGAGAGGCAGGGTGACCAAGATCGTGGCAAATCCATAGGCCGCCGGGTGCAGGAGCAGACCGTGTAGAGACAGAAACAGGTGGAAGCATGAACGCAGACGCATCAGCAGGGAGAAGCCCCGCCACAATTCAAACGCTCGCGGGAACCAAGAATGGCGCAGCGTCACGATAGTCCTCGTGACCTTTAACAGGTCGTCCGGGCCAGAGAAAAGCCCGAAATTTTGTACATAATCACGGGTATCAACAGACCGGGCCGGCCCACCCTGAGCCCGATAACATTTAACACGCCCCAGAAAACCTCGTCGCCGGGCTTCAGAGAGAGAGGCCCGGCCCGTCACATGGTAGGCATCCCGTAGATGCCTCTAATTATGGCTATATTTTATTATTTTTTAAATTTTAGGTAAAGTGTAAAGTTCACGTGGGATATTTTTGTCAATACTTCAGACGATCCGGCCCCGCAAAATGTCTGTCCAACGCATTCATTTTGGACACGCACATGCTTCCCTCCCTTTCGAGCTGCACTGACTGGGCCGTTCTCTTGGCCTCCTCCTTCCCTGCTCTCTCTCTCTCTCTCTCTATCCTCCATTTCCCTTCATTGCCGGCTAGCTCGTCCGAGGGGGCAGATCTGAGTAGTGGCGGCACAGAGGGGAGAGTGGTGAAGGAGCGGCGGGAAGAAATGGCGGCGTCTGTGCTCTTGCTCACCTCGGCGATGGCAGTGGTGTTCACATTGGTGGCGATGGAGAGCGTTGGGGGAATGGAGAGCAGGACTCACTCCGCTTCAAGGTACATTTCCTCTTAAACTCCGATGATGATGATGCCGAAGAAGGATCTCCTCCAAATTTGCTTAAAGGTGGTGGTTCTTTCATGGATAAATCGTGGAGTAGATCTGGCTGCCCCCGTTGAACAGTGGAGGATGCGGAGTAGGACGTTGGGGATCAATTCTCATTGAGATCGGAGTGTTCGACCCGTTGGCTGATTCATTCAGCGTCTTTGTCTGGAGGAAGTAGCAGTGAAGAGTCCTTTCGATGAGAGGAATATCTGTCTGCTGTCATTGTGGATTTCTGTTGCCGACGGTATTGCAGATGCCGGAGAGATAGAGAACAGAGGAATGGTTTCCCGATTTCTTGGAATTTGGAAGTTGAGGAACTCCTTTTCCTCGATTTTCTATTCCTGAATGGGAATTTTCCAGTGCTTAATATTTTCTAGATCTTTCCAACATAGCATTTTAGTTTCTCAGGGGTGCATTATTTCTGTTTTCGTGCTGCTGCAGGCTAGAGCTAGTAGGATTCAGCATGGTAGATCCAAGGGCCAACGAGACTTCTTCCAGGTCAGTGCTCCACCACACCTTCAGCAGTACATCGTTCGCCGTCTGGAATCCTTCTCTGTCTGTCGTTCACAGTAGCATGAGACGACATTCCAATCCCCCCCCGGGAGATCAACGCGCAGAAGCCGCACATCGATTCCAAGGGCATTCTATCATATCCACCATTTCTCGAAGTGACAATTACTGGGGGTTTTGATGGGGCTTGTTTCTCCAGGCATTTGAGCAAGCAAGCGGGGGAAGCCGTCGACGTCGATCCAAAGATCTTTGCCTCCCCCCTGCATGTGTAAGCAATTCTTTATTAGATGCTTTCAGTATTATACATAGATATCATAGCCAATCCTGTATAGTTAATTCCTTTTTCAAGAATGTCAATTGAATTGGACATCCGCCGGCTCTGTTCCCTGAATCAGATCTCGCTCCCTCCGCCCAGTTCATTCCTTCGCACGCCTCTACCCCCGCATCGCCGCGTTCCTCCATCCTCCTCCTGGTCACGACCTGATGCAGATACGCTGTCGACAGACGGTAGTCTCCGTCTTCTGGCATTCATCAATGCGAGCATGTGAATATCTTCGTTGCATTAATTACCTGCATTGCCAGATTCCAGCTCTTCCCCTCTCGTCGCGTCACCTGTTCCGATGTCACCTTCTCGTTTTGCCCTCGTCAGCTCCCAAAAGATGCCTTTACCCACGGTGGTAGTCGGAGTAGTTCTCAGCCATTAAATGAATCAGTTGCCCTGCCCTTCCCTCTTCCGCCCAACTCTGCCAGCATTGATAGGAACACACGAGCTTCTCGGAGGCGAGGATCGCCCCTTCATCTGCTCCACAAACGGCAATCTTTCGCTGCATATCGAGGAAAATTCTCTCCTTTATCCACCAGTCCTTTCGGCTGACAATTAATGGAGACCTTCAGAGGAGATCTAGTTTCAGCCATGGCCGCCGAGGGTTGACTTTCAGGCATGGGGAAACACAGGGGCATGCAGACGAACATCACGGATCGGGGGGATCTGGGCTTCTTCTCGTGCAGCACGGGGAACCCCATCGACGACTGCTGGCGGTGCGACCCAAGGTGGCACCTTCGCCGGAGGAGGCTGGCGGACTGCGGCGTGGGCTTCGGGCGCAACGCCATCGGCGGCCGCAACGGGAAGTTCTACGTGGTGACCGATGCCGGAGACGACGACCCGGTGAACCCACGGCCTGGGACCCTGCGGCACGCGGTGATCCAGGACGAGCCGCTGTGGATCGTGTTCAAGGGGGACATGGTCATCACCCTGAAACAGGAGCTGATCATGAACAGCTTCAAGACCATCGACGGCCGTGGGGCCAACGTCCACATCGCCGGCGGCGCCTGCATCACCATTCAGTTCGTCACCAACATAATCATCCACGGTCTCCACATCCACGGCTGCAAGCCCACCGGGAACGCCATGGTCCGGAGCTCGCCGTCGCACTACGGGTGGAGGACGATGGCCGACGGCGACGCCATCTCCATCTTCGGCTCCAGCCATGTCTGGGTGGACCACTGCTCTCTGTCTAATTGCGCCGACGGGCTTGTGGACGCCGTCATGGGCTCCACCGCCATCACCATCTCCAATAACTACTTCACCAACCACAACGAGGTGGGTCTCTCTCTCGATCTCTCTCTCTCTTTCTGCAAGTCTTCCCCGATCCAGCTGAGTGAGGCGCCCCTTCCAAGTCTGATCCAATCGGGTGGTTCCAGGTGATGCTGCTGGGTCACAGCGACTCGTACACACGGGACAAGGGGATGCAGGTCACCATCGCCTTCAACCATTTCGGGGAAGGCCTGATCCAGAGAATGCCCAGGTACTTACTGACTGTAATAGACGAGGATCTGAGTTCCCACCCCCCCAAAAAACGATTGCGAGAGTTTTCGATCCAACAGAAGGATGGACCTCTCTTTTGTACCAGGTGCAGGCACGGCTCCTTCCATGTGGTGAACAACGACTACACCCACTGGATAATGTACGCCATTGGAGGGAGCTCCGACCCCACCATCAACAGCCAAGGCAACAGATACGTCGCCCCGAAGAACCCCTTCGCCAAGGAGGTAAACCATTCACTTCCTCTTCCTCGTCCCCCCCCCGAACTCCGGCGGTATGACCGTCGATGAAATGCTCGCAGGTGACCAAGAGAGTCGAGACAGCCTCCGGCGTGTGGAAGAACTGGAACTGGAGGTCGGAGGGGGACCTCCTCCTGAACGGCGCCTTCTTCATCCCCTCAGGTGCCGGCGCCGCCGCGAGCTACGCCAGGGCTTCCAGCCTCGGCGCTAAGTCGTCCTCCATGATCGGATCCATCACCTCCACAGCCGGCGCCCTTCTCTGCCGCGTCGGCTCCAAGTGCTAGTAATTATCACCGTCATCATCATCATAAGGTCAGAAAGCGCCAACTATTCTTCCACCTCTCTCTCTCTCTCTCTTCTCTCAGGCTCTTCATCCCTTCTGTTATTTGTCTCGGCCATTTCTCAACCTGGGCATCCCTTACTGCGATTCCCCGAGGAACAGGCGCGCAGAAGCGTCTGTCCTCGGTCCCCCCCCCCCTCCCCCTTCCTCCTCCCATTGGGGCAGCCGAACATTCAATTCTGCTGAGGAATCTCTCTCTCTCTCTCTCTCTCTCTCTATCGTGGGCTGTACATTGGAGGGCCACCAGAGCTGAACGCCCCCAAAGAGAGGGTTCTTCCAAAAAATCACAGGGAATGAACAAAAAGAATAATTTATTAAGTTCCCATTAATTACAGTGGCCATTTTGGATGCTGAGTTATTACATTCAATTGGAGGGGAAGAGTTATTACATTAAAATTTATATTTATGGTAATTAAAACAATCCAAAGGGCACGTGGCGGGTGGGATCCGGGCTTTTATAAAACCGTGGATAAAAGCCCTGGCCCGTTAACAGCCTTCTGAACGAGCACCGCCAAACGGCCCCTTCAGAAACCCACTTCCTCTTCCGCTTCTGGAGGGTGGACTCGACGCCGGCGGTGGGAGAAGAAGGGATGCCGCGGGGGCCGGCGAGCGAGGTCATCCTCGTGTCCTCGTCGTCGTCCTCGGAGGGCGGAGGGGAGGCGCACGGCGGGAAGGTCAGCGGCGGCGGCGGCGGCGGCTCTGATCGCCAGCATGCCGCCTCCGCAGACGAAGTCGGCTCCTCCAGAGGCGGGGACGCGGATAGGGTGAAGGAGAGGAGGAAGAAGAGGACGAAGAATGGGGACGGGAGTGATGCTGCTGCGGCCAAGGGAGAATCGAGGAGGGGAGGGGACGGAAGGAAGACAAAGAAGAAGAAGAAGAAGGGGGAGGAGGAGGAGGAGAAGAAGAGCTCATCCCCTCTGTCTTACACGGGGGACTTCGTTGCCACCAGCGATGGGATCAGCTTGTCGTCCCCGTCCTGGAGCTTCCCGATGAGTCGAGTTAGGCGTCTCATAGCGGGGAGCGAGAGTGCCGGCGGCAACAGCAGCAACCTTCGAACAACCCTTGACTCTGTTTTTGTCATCAACCAGGCTGCGGTGTGTGCTCCGCCCTTCCGTGTGTTTCTACCTATTATTTGCTTACATTTATTTTCTATCGTATTGTCGATGCCGTTATGGTTCCCAAGAGCTTGTGAGAAATATTTCTCAAAGTATAGGTATTTCGCTGCCCTTCCCCATCTTCGGTCCCCAAAACTCCATATCACGTCAATAAATCAATGTGGATATTCCTGCCTAATGAAACCAGTCTTGAAGATGCGAATGAAGTGCACGAGCTCAGTGACAAATGCATCTGAAATGAAATAATCCCAATGAAGCCAGTCTTACATAACCCTCATCCTCTTCATTTCGCAACCTGTTGATTCCCCGTTCTCTTCAGCGCCTCTCAGTATTGGAGGGATTGACTAAAAAGCCCTGCAGTTTTGGTCAAATCCAGTTGAATCATGTGGAAACCATTGGGAGTGGCTGCATGTTAACTAGAGAAATGATAGATAAATAAGCTGTCGAGAAATTGGTGCTGATCTCACCATTGAAATCCTGATCCATGTCTTTAAACTGATACGATGGAAGTTCCTTCTAGGTGTGGCTAGTAAAAAATACTCTTCGTTGTCCTCGTACTTCTTTGCCACTGCTGCTCCGATCTCCGTGATGAAGAATGACCTTTAGTGCTTCCCCCGTTGAAGCAGTTGCTGCCCTCAGATGCCTGGTAATTTTCACCCTTTTCACTATTCCTTTTCTTACCGTCCTTTGCATAGAATTGACTGGAAGCAACTGCTAAGAGTCAGAAGTTGTGGCTCTGCGAGAATCAGAACTGCTAGTACAAATGGGCAGGAGCCTGTGTTTTGGAATCTGGTTTTTGCTCGTTGCTTAAAGGTATGGGGTTTTCATCCCGATAGGAAATCCCTACCCAATTTTTTCCTCTGGATCTAAAAACCTGTATTAGGGTTTCTAACTTGTTAGTGGATTTGGTTAATACCTCGCCCTCTCTTTTGAAAGTCGTGTAGATAATAATATTTGATACCAGCCCAGCTTTGTCATTTCAGTGGTTGATTAAAATGGAAAGCTTCCTCTTGTAATTAATTATACCACAACATTTATTCAGCTGAAATATCTTGAATCTCTTGTTTAGCAGGGGAATAGATTAATTGATTAATGTGAGAACTATACACTGGAGTTACATATAGCGAGTTTGAGTTTGTTCCGTCATCATAACAGTTTATATGAGTAGAAATGTTCTCAGAATAGCCTGCATTCTTTGACCAATCATTTGATAATTATGGTTCTGTCAATTGAGTAGTTGAGTCTAGTCAGTGTAATGTATGGCCTATAAATAATGAAGGGAAAAAAATGAAATTCCGATTGTGGCATCATGGAGATGCTGATGCATCTTCATGAAGAATGCAATGCATCATTTCAGAGAAAATGAAGGGTTAGTTGTCCTGCTCTGCTGCTTCTTCTTCCCTGAAGAACTTTCCTCTGGACCTTGAGTCTCCTAAAGAATCGTTTTTCCAACTTATCAATGAGGCGTCTTAATAGAGACTTGGTTGATGATGATATGCATACTGGAGTAGTTCTGCTGTTTTACATGCAATTTTTATGGACTTCATTACATTACAAATTTATATTGAAATTTTAAGCCTTGATCAAATCCACATTAAGAACTTTAACTTGATCCTTCTATGCTGGAATTATCTGACCTTTAAATTGATTTAAGTTACCAAAGTGACTCGTATTCTATAACTATTGCTATGCTTACCATATGAAAACTATTTCACGTTAGTGTTATGTTGATGATGACAATGGAGCTGGCTCTCTCGATCTCTCTCCCTCTCTCCCTCCAGTTTTCTTCAATAGGTTATTATCTACTGTGCTGATGATTCATTCTGAGTTCATGTTAAACTATGCTTGCATTTGTGTAGCTAATGATTTCTAGTCTGTTATGCAGAAACTGTTTCTGGAAGAAATTGCCGAGGATGCTCATGCACAAGCCACACGGGAGCGGAAGAAATCTGTCTATTACAAGCACCTGTGTGAGTGCTCTACCTTGAAGCCCCATGCTTGTGTTTACATAATCTTTATATAAACAACATAAGTTTTTGAGACATCGAACTGAGGTCAACCAGCTAGGAGTGTATTGATAGCACAGTATCCTATTTATAAGTCATGGGGGGCATCCAACTCAGAATCAGTGGATTATGAGTGTAGTAGACCCATCTGCTTTTACCCCTGGATTTTATTTTTTAATATATGTGGGTACAGATGTTGTTGGAACGTCCTTGGTAAGAGCAAAAACCGTTGACTATATGTTTATGCATGTTTTCTGAGGTTTCCTGCTCGAAATGACTCGTTATTGGGTATAGCGTACTATTCTACTTGTGCTGCAATTTTTTTTGTATATGCTTTGGAGACATTCAACCCAGAATTTATGGATCGTTGACTTGTTAGACACTTCCATTTATACCCAAATATTTTATTTAAGGAAGTTTTCGAGACATCCAATTCTAAATCACTCGACTGTGTGTGGTGCAATTTTTATTTATTTAAGGGGTCGAGAGATTCCACCCAAAACTCATGTATATATACATCTTATATATATATATATATATATATATATATATGTTGTCGTGAGAGTTCTAACCCCTCTTCGTTGCACCTGTTGATAATATCTCATCAAACTAGAAAAAAAAAAAAAGGCTTCGTTCATTCGTGAGAGTTCTTCAGAATTTCAATCTGTTGGCTGATTTGATGTTTATCTTCTGGCCGTCTCATTGTTTCAGCGACAACAGTCGGCCATGAGAAGAGGTACGAGTTCCTCTCAGGTGAGGTCAACCACCGCCCTCCCCCCCTTCTGGTCTCCTCTTCCACCGCCTTCCGTTCTAATCGACGTCGTTCTGCAGATTTTGTGCCGGAGAAGGTGAGGGCCGAAGGAGCCTTGAAGGCGCTGGCCGAGGAGGACTGAAAGGGCTTCTTAGGGGTAGGGGGAGAGGGGAGTGTTTGTTAATAGTTACAGAAAACGGTTGGAAAGGTGATGATATTGCTAACAAGGGCGTCATTTGACGTCATGTTGGAAGAAGATATGAGGGGACCTCCATCTCTCGACGCACATCGTTTCTCTCAGCTCCAGCATCCCACCATGTTCCCAACCATGGAAGAGCCCAGAGGTTCGTCGGTGCTCTTGGGCATGATGGTTGCGATAGAATTGCTCTAGGGAGAGCCTTAGGGTCAATTTGGCAGGAAGGTAAGTAACGTTGGTAGGGAAATGGTATCAGAAGAGTTGGGGCATGGGATGTGCCATGGGGGGAGTTGAATGGTAAACGAAATTTCTTCTTATGGTGACCTCGCATGGTTATTTTATTTTTGATGGGTATATAATGATGTTGATGTTACCAAATTGATCCTATAAATTTAAGTAGGAAAAAGTTATCATAAAATATGTTAGAATATATAGATATCTAAATCAAGATTTATATCTTTTATATGTGATTTAAATATATTTTTCATACTTGAGATGAGAAAAATATATTATTACATGGTTATCGTATGAAAGGGATGTTACAAATCATATTAGTTACAAGCTGAGACAAATCAGAAGGAAAAAAATATTTCTGATGAAAAAGTCGATAGAAAATGGGTCAACGCAATGTGTGGCCCACTAAGATTGTGTGTTGACACAAATGAGGTGGAATATGTGCATAGATTGACAGAATTGTCTCCCAACTTAGTCAGCAAAAAATATGATGAAATTTTATAAAAAAACCCCTCCATCTGACACGTGGCAAATGTCCATGACAATGAATCAGATGTGACAAGAAGGAAATGTGAGTGACAAGCAGCAACCATCTGCAAAATATTAAAGTGGCAAATGTTCAAATGAATGTGACATGCAACATCGTTTGATGTCACAATGAAGTATGGTAGAATTCTAATAATATATAAACTTGTGGTAGAAATCAAAGAAGAAAATAACATGTGAAAAGATAGTCAACGTTCCACATCATGCATTATCTAAATGCTCAAGTGACACATGACAAAGAGGCAAATATAGTTGATTTACTATAGATAAAAATCTAATGAGAACATACCTATGACATGAATAGTGTGACTAACATGTGGCATAAGTGTCTTTAACATGTCGGCTAACATGTGAAAGGATAACTTGATCTACAACTATCATTGACACATTAAAAGATCAATGAAACATTAAGAGATCTCTAATTGACATATCAAAAATAAGTCAAAATGAGTCAAGTTAATGACTTGGACTAATTTTAGTCACTCAATCTGCAATTTGACATGGGTCTACGTATTTGTCAATTTAGAGAATCTTTGACCAATTATATCTCAACCGTTCAAAGTACACATCTCAACAGTTAAGATCTCATGCTCTATAAAACATTCTTCAGATGAGCTTGCTTTCAAGCAACATCTCAACTTCAAAAAAAGCTCATTTTTTTCAGATCTATGTGATAATGTTTTAATGCAAGTTTGTATAAGTGTCATTAGATAGGGTTTAAGCACTTAAATCAAATACATTCATTCCTTTGTCAATATATTAAGCCCACTATCAAACCCATTATTAAAGTAACTTACAGTTGTAAAGGAAAAATTAAGTTACAAGAGGGTTAAATATTAATTTGATCTAACAAGTCATGGAGGGAGGGGGTTTATAGATATTTAAGGATAAATTAATGGGGGCACTTTTAGAAGAAGTTGGATTGGAGAGTGCTGGGTTCTCTCATACCCTCTCTTTGATGACACTCTAGAGTTTCATTTGGAAACCCTACTTCTCTACCACTTTTTCTATCTTTATTAATTTATTTCTCTTTTTGATTTACGAGCAATCTCTTGTTAGATTTCTCTTTTCTTTTATATTCTTGACATGAGATCCTACCAACTTGGTATCATAGCCAATGATAACTTATATAAATATGTTGAAGGCTTTAAAGAAAGTCTTTGTCATCGATCAATGATAGATTTGACAATATTAGACATCATGTCTATAGAGAATGCAATGAAATAGCTCACACATATGGTGGTGGAACTCTTGTAGTAAAGATATAATAATCACATTTCCCTTCCAAGATATGAAGAAGATGTCATGAGAGCCACATGACCCAACTCAACTACACAGAGGGAAGTGGCAAATGTGGTAGGTTATTTATAAATCGACATCAACCAGTGGATGACTGATTCTTAAGAGATCAAGTCACAAATGTCTATGGAGGACTAATTATGGGTAGTCAGAGAGGACATCATTTGGAATTACCTTTGTTTAACATGAGAAATTCAAACAAGTGACCAAAGGCTATAATGATTAATATAGATAATGAAGTTATAATGTGGTTTAAGTGAACATACACCCAAAACCATTTAAATATTTGGAAGATATTAAATAATATTTGAGGAAGAGATTCATATTATAATTAGTTAGAAAACTATCAAAACCATTTCTAGATATCAAGTAATAGGAGGCAATGATTGAGTACATGTAAAGAATTTAAGCTATTGTCAATAAACTTCATAAAATTTTGTAGGATCTTCACAAGTTGAAATTGGAAATTCATTGGGAGGTCAAGTTGTTCAAGTGTAAGGACTCAATAACATTATGAAAACTGCCGAAATAGTAGAAATAAAGAATGGCATTCTTAAAGCTGTTGTAGAACCTAGAAACTATAACGTAATTAAGCTCACTTTGTATGGAAAACATGTAGAGGGTCTTTATTTTTTTTTGCAATGAATAATATCAACTAGGCCATATTATAAAAAAAATAATTATAATTATTTCTCATCAATGAAGATGACATGAATTTAGGTAAAAAAATGAAACAAACCACAACCATTGAGAGAATGAAGGTTTCATGTAAAAATAGGGAACTCAATATAAAAATTTCTCTAAACTCTGTCCTTAGAGTAATCAAACTAGAGATAATGAAGTATAAAGAAAAGATCAATAACATAGAATTGATAATTTTAAATGATTATAGAGCAACACACCACTTATATCTCAATAATTGGTTAAAAAAATGAAGTTGTAATTGACCACTATAACCAACTATGGGATCACCATGGGAAATGCAATAGTCACGAGGGAGAGGGAAATATGTCAAGAGGTGGTCTTGGAGATACAAAGATTAAAGATCTATTGAAGATTATTTACTATTGAGCTCGACACATACTGATGTCATTGTGATGCTGGATTGGAAACAACTTAGCATTAAGTCAATCATATATAATCCCTGATTGTGTAAGTCTGAAATTTTCTTAAAGTCAATAGTGTGTGACAATGTATAGAAGCAAAACTTATATGTAGGATTTACCAACTAATCAAAGAGATAATAGAGGGTACTTATTGCTTTAACTCAATCACGTAGCTATAATTGATCAAGAGTTTTTCCACCATTTTAAAGCTTGATGCCAATCAGGGACATTGACCATCGTATCACCTTAGAGCTAGGTAATGGCTCAGCCAACATATGTTCCTACTATTATTCTCATTCAACTTTTGATGAGTTTATATGCCAGCCCTTCTATTGGTAAAGAAAAAAGAGAGTAATTAGAGATTATGTGTGTTATAAGAGACTCAATACTATCACAATTTTAAATAAATTCTTAATTCCCACAATAGAAGAACTTGATGATGAGCTATATGATCCAATCATTTTTTTTCTAAAACTGAGTTGAAATCAAACTATCATCAAATCATATTTAAAAAAATGATATACCTAACTAATGACTTTAGACTAAAAAATCCCTCAACTACTTTTCAAGGCTTAATGAACTGATTTTTTTTGTCAGTTCCTTCAAAAATTCTTACAAATATTTTTTGATGACATATTGATATATAGTTGAGATGTAGAAACACAGAAGAGACACTTGGCTTAGGTAGTTCATTTGCTTCAGGAACACTAATTACATATCAATGCAAAAAAATGTCTTTTTAGTACACAAATTTAGTATCTTAAGTATTGTGTGTTGGTTGATGTTAGGGAAGTAGATGACAACAAAATATAAGTAATGTTCAACTGACCAACCCATACTAATATGTTTTAGCTCTTAGATTTGACATACTTCATGGTAAATTATGAAAATATTGCTTTGTCACTTGCACAATGGCTCAAAAATGATGCATTTAAGTAGAGAGATGAGGTAGAGAAAGGGTTCTAAAATCAATGAACTATTAACCATAGTATTGGTATTAATATAAATATATTGAAAATTAATGCTTCAAGTTTGGGGTGGGAGTGGTACTCATGCAAAACCACTAGCATGTGGCTTTTTTTAGTGCATTGTCGATTAGAAATTGATTGAAGTCATTATATGAATATTCTATCAACCGTAATTAATTATTCACCACAAGGCTAGTATGATCTATGTGATGAACAATATTATGATAGTGTTGTAGGAGGCCATTATAGGTTTTTGTAGACATATAAAAGTATCATCTAAGATTTTAATATGTAGAGAATGAAATAAACTATCAAGAATTTTGTCCAGCAATACCCCATTTGTTAATGTAAGAAATATCAATCATCAACACTAACCGCTCTACTTCAATTACTTCTAATTTCTAATTAAATTTAGGATGATATTATCATCATGAATTTTATAGGACTTAGTTGCAATACTAATTATCAGTAAATCTTGGTAGTGGTTGATAATTAAGTAAGTTCATTCACTTCATTCACATGAAACATTCATTAACTACAAAGAATGTGATAGATGAATTATTTAGATAAGTAATCAAATTGCATGACATTTCGAGATCAATTGTCTCAAATTGAGACAAATCTTTGCCAATATGTTTTGAACAGAACTATTTACACTCCAAAATCAATGGTCAATCTGAAGTAGTTAATATGTGATTTGAAACTTTCATATGTTGTTTCTCATCCAACAAGTCTAAACATTGGAGTCAATGCATGTCGTAGGTCAAATTCTAATAGAATACCATGTTTCACTCGGTCATTAATAATACTTTTTTTTTCTGAATGACATAGATGAGATCCTTGACTAATCATTCCCTCAATATTTTAGTACTCAAGTCATCTCAATAGATGATCAAGTTTTATAGTGAGATATAATACTAGAGGAGCTAAAACAACATTTGACTCAAGCCAGCCAACACCATAAAGAAGTAGAGTTAGTTGAAGGGGACATGGCCTACCTCAAACTCAAGATCTAAAAAAAAAACAATCCTTGTCATATCAATCAAATGAAAAGCTATCTTTACATTTTGGTACATTTTGAGTTCTTAACAAAATTGGTATAGCAGCTTATAAGTTGGACCTATTAGAATCTACCTTGATCCATCTAGTCTTTAATGTTTATCAACTAAAGAAGTCACTTGGCAATGATTCTTATAGTCAACTTATCATGAGAGCCATTGATGATGAGCTGAAGTGGGTAGTTCAATTATAAGTGGCGTTGAATGCTTGCCCATGAATCGTCAGTTGAGGTCCTAATCAAATGGAAGAGACTACTAAAATTTAAAGTTATTCGTCAGGCCTTCACCAACAGTTTTCAGACTTCCACCTTGTAGACAAAATGGAACAAATAGGGAGGATATTGTTAGGCTTAAAACCTATTATCTAGGTAACTTACGACTGTATAAAAAAGGAGAGGGGGAGAGAGAGTCAAGGGTGCTCTTGAACCCACCCCTCAGTGACACTTTAAAGTTTCCTCTGGAAAACCCTCCTCTGCCACCTTTCCAGTATTATTGTTTTGTTTCTCCTTATGGTTTCTGAACAATCTATTGTTAGATTCCTCTCCTCTTTTGTATTCTTGGCCCAAGATCCAACCACAATATTATCCAAATTATGGAGTAGGCTCCATCTGTCAAACAGCTTCTCTAGGGGCCTGCCACCACGCCCAATCATGATTTTGTTCAGAAAAATGTTCGCTGTAAACCAATCTTTGTATCATGAACAGAGGAGAAAATCAGAAGCAGTGGGATCTCGGAGCAGAGCGTGGACAGCCAGAGAAGAACCCTAATAAACGTATGGCCACTTCTCTTGTTTGGAAATTTTTCTTCCCCTTTCCTATTCCATTGCTTTGCTTAGTTTCGTTCATAGCATGAACCTAGTGTATTCATAATTCAGGTAAATTTATGTGAATCACAAGCACCTGCATTCTGCTTTCACTACTGTGAAATATGCCTCCTTGATTTCCAGGTCCTTTGGCTATCCAACAGAAAGCTTGTCCCCCCTCTCTCTCTCAGGCACAGACAAATGTAAAGCGGGAGGGAAGTGAACTTTGATAGGATTGGGGTCAAAGATTGGGCATAATAAATTTTCTGGTGGTAAATATAGACCTGCTGCGTCTTTCATATGTGTATCAGCAAGGTAGATGATCCGTCCTTGAAGTCACCAAACCCAAAATAATAGGAGATGGGAAATAAAACAGAGTATCTGACGCATAGACCATGGAGGCACAAAATAAGAACTGAAAGATTGCAAGAGACAGACTCCCTCTTCTGTTCTTGGAGTGGTAAAGAGACCCGCCCCTCCTCCTCAAAGCCTGAGCTCACCTGTAAGAATCTGCACGCTTTGGCTTGCTCTGGACAACTGCCTCGATCTTCTCAATCACATCGGGTGTCAGGAGGGGAATCACATTGATTGCCTTCATATTCTCTATGATCTATAATTGGACCAAAGTTCTTTCAATGGTAAAAGATAGTTCAACATAAACAATATAAGAAAAATAGACAGATTTGACAGCGAAGATCCTACCTGGTTCTCCTTAGTAGCACCGGTAATGACTGATGAGACGTTAGGGTTCAATGCACACCAAGCAATGGAAAGTTGAGCCAAGGGCACACCCAATTCATCAGCAATGGGCTTCAGACCATTGACCTTTCTGAACACATCATCAACCAATGATCTACTCGCCAGATTCTGCAAGAAAAACCAGCCTCAGCTGAGAGACGACCTCAACCAATTTGAAAGTTAACTTAAGCGAATTCTGCCCAATGTATTAGATAAGGAAAGGAAAATTTGGAGTCGATCACGACAATCAACAGGCTATCAATTGAAAAATCTATCTGGAGTAGCTAACCAGACCTGGAAACTTTTATGAGCTTGAAAGCACGGGAATTCCCAGGTACCCACATGAAGTAAAAGGAGATGCACACAGTGTGATCTGACGACACTTAAATGATAATTTAAAAAACCAGAAGATACCTATTGGTGAAATTCATTATTGGTAAATCATCAACGGACTGGGCCATGTCATCTTGGTTGAAGATATCCATAGCGCATTCAAAACTCCAACAACTGATTCTTCTGGGAATCTGCCTACCATTTATGGCAATGTCCGGTTTTCATACATTATCAGGATCACATGGAGTAGGACGGGGAACAATCAATATTGCAATCTGTGGATCGTTTCCAGCTGAATCTGTACAGAGAGATCCACTTGGCAGCGACGAGAAACGAAGGAGAGTGAAGGACCCCACCTTGTAGTTCTCCAGAGCAAGGCGGCTGTCTGCAGGGATGTTCCCCTTGCTGTACTTCCCAGTAAGCACTCCAGAGGCTAGAGGGCTCCACGTCGTCAGCCCTATCCCGTAGTTGCTGTAGAGTGGTAGGTACTCCACCTCAACCTGCATCCACGTGGAAAGGTTCGAAGAAAGGTAAATAGTGATCCCCCATTAACCTAAAAATTCCCCTTCTTGAAATAGAACGAAAGTAATGAACAAACACATAATACTCATAACATTGACACAGTTCTACAACTATAGATGATGATGATGATGATGATTCTACATCTACGTGGAAACTCAGGGAAGAATGCCCCAGAAAATAGAAAATCCGCGCCATTTTTAGTCACAATTCTACGAAAAACATAGGTGATGATGTCATTATTATTCTAGCCTAGATTCAGCAAGGATTAATCAAGCGCATTTGCGATTTGTGCATTTGGGATCCCCCTGGCTCTTATAGGATTATAATTTTTTGTTTTGAAAGGGAAGAGAGGAAATGAGTCAGTGCCTTGTGGCGGGAGAGGAGGTTGTATTCGGGCTGCTCGACGACGGGGCCGACGAGATCGAGGCGGTTGGCGACAGCCCAGGCCTCGGTGATCTGCTGGGCGGACCACTCGCTGGTGCCCCAGTAGAAGGCCCAGCCGCTGTCGATGACGTAGTTCATGGCGCGGACGGTCTCCTCGATGGGCGTGGCGGCGTCGGGGCGGTGGCAGTAGAGCACGTCAACATAGTCCATGTCGAGGCGCTTTAGCGAGGCCTTGGTGCCCTCCACGATGTGCTTGCGCGAGAGGCCCTTGTCGTTGGGCCCGCTGCCGCCCCAGAAGATCTTGGTCGAAACCACCAGATCGGAACGCCGCCACCCGAGCTCCCGGAAGGCCTGCCCCATTATCTCCTCCGCTCGCCCGTTCGCGTACACCTCCGCGTTGTCGAAGAAGTTCACGCCATGGTCGCGGCAGCACTGCAGTAGACCCTTCGCTTCCTTCACGTCCACCTGGTTCCCGAAGCTCACCCACGCCCCGTACGATAGCTGGCTCACCTTCAGCCCCGTCCTCCCCAGGTTCCTGTACTGCATCGCCCCCGCTACCGCCCCTCCGCTGCCCCCCATCGCCCTCCCCCGACTCCGCGATCTGCCCCGATCTGCCTCCTCCCCCTACGCCGGAGCCCAACCAGCCCGGTTCCTCCTCCAATACAGCCAAGGGGTAACCGAACAGCCTGTCTAGAACCTTCTCTTGTTTCCATTCGGTTGGTCTTGCTCCGCTGGCCGGCACGAGGCCATAGGTGTCGGTACTCTCAATGGATCCTTCGTGGGCCTCGAGGCTATCCCTTATGCCCGATAAGTATCCGATAGCGAGCGGCGTCCGTTAGTTTTCCTCGGTGCGACGGTGCCTGCACTCCCCGGTGGGACAGTCCGTCCACATATATTAAAAACAATTAAAATAATGCATAGCCCCACCCACCAATTAAAAATTGCACATTTTAATTATTTTAATCAATAAAATAGGTAATTTTCAAAGCATAAATAACTCGCTTTAGTAATAATAAACCACAACCATATCAGCAAAGTCAACTCATCAAAACTAAACAGGAATACACATTTTTCATTCCAAAAAAGGAAAGAGGAAACGATCATAGCCCATATCAGGCAAAGACAGGAGTTAGAAAATATCACAGTAGAAGGGTTTGTACATAATCATGCGGTCCACTGAAGAACAAGATCGCAAACGGAGATCCAAAAGTGGCATCTTTCCTCACGTGGTTGTCGAGAAAATCTGATGCCAGGAAGATCTGCATGCGTACCAAGCAAGCAGAAGAAGAAGAAGTCAACGATTGTTTAACCACCTGCAACAATGCCCGCAAGCTGCAACAATTAGCCCGCGCGATCTTTGCCGCCGGTTCCTGCTCTTTAATTCTTCCAAAAAGCTTTCTATCAAATGGGTGGAATGATCGCTGAAGTAGGGGATCCTTAAAAGGGTCTGATTTTTAATGTGTGTGGATCAGATAAACAGTACGGGCCTGATTTTTTCACATAATCTAAGGATTACGACTGTGATTTATGATAATTAAATTATTTCCACAAAGTAAACAAAACAACCATGGATTTCACCATATGCCCATCGAAGTTATCCATGATCACGATTCTTTTTCAGCATCAAGATCAATAGTTGTACATCTCCCTGGTGTGCCAGTCAACTCACCAGAGTTTGTGACTCTAATACCGCATTAGGATATCAAACCAGCTAGCTGAAATCTGGTCAGCGATGAGTGGAATGAAATCATGACATGATCACGTGTTTATCTTTGGTTTAATGTCTATGGTTTAGCAAGTTGAATCTATGTGTACTTTGACCATTTTATAATATAGTTTCTGATGGACAGTATGTGCTGTAGGAAAATAAACAAAAAAATAGAAGAAGAGAGGGCGTATCACATTCACCGCTAATAAGTAGAATGGCAGCAAATAAAAGGGGGCAGTGCAGAGGAAGATATTCACACTAATTTATTTATTTTTCCGGGGAATTCATTGTACCCACAAATCCCTGTTGTATCCAACATTGAAACCAGGCCCTCATCTTCTCTGATGACGGAGCCAAAATATCTTGGTGCCCAATGAAGTGCAGAGAGGCCCTGGCATGATGGGGGGAATGTGAAGAACACTGACTAGTGTGGATGGGTTTAAACAGTGATTACAACAGGGAGACTCATCATCTGCCATAGTGACCAAAAGCAAAAGGAAAAACAATTGGGACCTTTGGGGTGGCATTCATGGTCACGCTTCCATGGTGATGTGAATCAAATCAGACGATTTGACTTACTTTTCTTATTAAAACTAAAGATGAACATAATAAAGCATTTTTAAAATGTTATCGTATTCATTTTAAGGGCACAACCACAGTAGACTAGGGAAGATATGTTATGTGGTTTTAGCTTCACTAAAACTATAGTTTGAAGTGTATGAGTTATATAAAGATATAAAATCTAAACAATCCCATGGATCACAAAAATTCATCCTCAAAAATTGAAGCTAGAAGAAATTTTTACTGATGAGAAAGTGATGGCTCCCAAGATTTCAGAACCAAGAAGCATATATTACACACATAAGACCCTAGCAGTGGCCTCTGTAAAGAAATTTCAAAGAAACTCCAGATGAAAAATTGAAACATTGCAGGAATCTGTGGAAAGGAGATAAATCTGCTCGAGAAGACGCCGAACCCTTTTAAGGTCATGGTAGAAGCCCACAGTGATAGATGAACAAAAGTTCTCCCTCTTCGCAAATCCCAGAAAGACCTTTTCCGGTGCATAAATAGTTCCATGAGAGAAGCATTTGTGTAGTGGAAGGACATAAATGTGGCTCAACATTAAAAAATTGAAAGAAAGAAAATTTAATGGAAGATGATGGGTTACTGGCCGACCCATCACATCCCCATAGTAGGAGAACCTAAGGAGGGCTGGCACGCTGCCTCTCTCATCTTGTGTTATGCCTGCAAATATCGAGGAATGGCTCGCATGGGAAGAAAACGGCGCACAGCCATCAGTAGGAGGATTTGTTCCCAAGAGACGTGGACGACTATAGTTGAGTGGAGGTCAGCCCCCTCCAAGTGGCTTGTAGGAGGTGACTGCCCAGTCTCTCCTAGTCTTCTCTCTCGCTCTCTCTCTCTCTCTCTTGCCTCCTCCGGGGGTATTGTGTTCGCCCTCGTGTTCCCTTTATTAGTTACCCTCGTATCCCTTCTGGATTCTCTCTCTCTCTCTCCTATCATCACACTGCCCTATACTCGTACTCAAGCTCTCCATCTTTCCATCTCTCTATCTCTCTATCTCCCGTCTCAATGCCCCTAAGTCTCATACCCTCGGAACATCGGAATAAAAGTGGGGCCCTAGCAAACTGGTATCAAAGCATCACCAGGCCTCCAAAAACTAGCAATGCAAGGATAGAGCTCGTCGAGAAGCAGCATGAGGAACTCAGTAGAGACTTCCCCATGCTCTTGAAAGAGGTCATGAACCTCCTCACCGACGACAAGTCAACTCGCGCAGAGCTGATGGCCATCAGTTTCGACGAGCAGCACCACCCTTTGCAATGCCTGAAAGTTATTTCGTCAGTTGGCAACCGCGTTCTTCCTCTATCTCACTGGGGAATAAGAGAAACCAGCCACGTATGTGCATATATTGATGATGTGGATCTTCACGACTAGATGAACCCAGCAATAGATGGAAAATCTCTTTTTGGGCCGACCTTTCAGCCTCCACTGCACTACGGTGAACCCTAGTAGCATGGATGCAAACTGAAAATGTCTCTATTTGACGGGCACAGTCGAAAAGGATGGGTGTTTCCGGCAGAGCTCTATTTCAATATGTGCAGACTCTCCTCAATGGATAAACTCTCCGTGGCCGATCTCAGCCTCGAAAGGAGGACGCTTTTGTGTTTCAAGTGAATGGATGCTCATGAATCTTTGCAAAGATGAGAAGACTTTTGTTGGCAACTTCTAGAGTGCTTCATCCCCAACCACCATGGACCTCTTGGAACGCCAAAGACCCATCGCATACTTCAGCGAGTTCTCTCGCTCCACAACAGCTTAAGATGGTCCACGAGCGAGAGCTCATAGCTATTGTCTTGACCATACTTAATTATTCCAATCCACATTACCTACTCGACGCCAAATTCGTCATCTTCATGGATGAAATGAGCCTCAAGTATATCTTTGATTAGTGTCAAATCCTCTCGAATTATCAGAAGTGGATCGCTAACATCATCAGTTTATAGTTCAAAGTTTGCAAGATGCCTTGTCCTAGTGACCTGAAACCGAGAACAATGCAGAGGACATCTTGTCCCAGTGACCTGATGCAATCACCTGCAACAGCTTGGGTCTGCACAAGCTAGAGTGGCTGGATGCACCACTCATCATCCAAGAGTATTAAACCGATCCAGGCTGCAGACGATCCATCAAGACCTCCAGACACAATCAAAGAAGTGTCCCAAATACACCATGCGGCATGACTGCCTCTTTCATCGTGGGCGATTGGTAATTGCACATAATTTCCAATTAATCTCCAAATTACTTTATGAATTTTACGACTCAGTGATCGAGGAGCACTTGGTTTCCTGTGCACATACAAACTCCAGGGTTGAAATGTAATTTGGGTCATAATGAAGAAGGCAGTATGTGATTATGTTGCTATTTGACAAATTCAATGCCATCTTGGTGGTTGTGGACCACCTCAGTAAGTACGTGCACTTCTCACCAGTCAAGCATTTCTTCATGGCCAGTGAGATCACTCATGTCTTCCTCTAGGATATCGTCCAACTGCATGAGATCCCTCAGTCAATACTCAGTGACTGAGACAGAATTTTTATGAGCACATTGTGGAGGTAGCTCTTCAGGCTATATGGATATCTCCTTCGACGGACAAGTGCTGATCATCTTCAGACCGACAACCAAACAGAGGTCGTTAACCGCGACCTAGAGACATACATTATTTTACAAGTGACTGACCCTGATAGTGGAGCAGGTGGCTCGCCTAGGTAGAATATTGGTACAACAACAACTTCTATATATCAATGGGTACCACTCCATTCTCCCTCGTCTACGACAGACCCTCGCTAGTTCTCCTGGTCTATGAAGCAAGCATAGTGCAGATGGACGAGGTCGATTGCATACTACAAGAACATGACACCGTTATTCGCCGGCTTAAGCACCTAGTTCGTGCCCAACAGAGAATGAAGGCTTATCGTCAGATTGGCATTGGCAAGAGCTCGAGTTCATGGTCGGCGATTGTGTCTACCTCCACCTTTGGCTATATCGCCAGAAGTCCCTAAGGAGGCTTCCATGTAAGAGGGTCCTCGTGCCTTGTTTTTCCGGGCTGTTTGAAATCATGGAAAAGGTGGGCACCATAGCCTATTGGCTTGCTTTGCCACTGACCACAGGGATCCATCTGGCCTTCCACATGTCCCAAGTTAAGAGGGTTGTTGGGATATCAGCAAGCTCATCCATGACGCAGCTCCTGTTGGACAAGGATCTTGTATTGATGGCAGACCTAATAGACAACGGAGATATCCGTCAGGGTCCTCGTGAAATTGAAATCCCCGTATGTTAGGTGGGTCTTCCAGAGTCCGAAAACATCTGGGAAGTCGCCACCGACCTTTACCGGCAGTTTCTCAGCTTTCCACTTGAGGACAAGGTGACACTTTTAGGGGGAGCATTGATGGGCTATTGGCTGGCCCATCAAATCCTCGCAAGAGGAGAACTTGAGGAGGGCTGCTACGCTGCTTCTCCCGTCTCGTGTCATGCACGCATGTATTGAGGACCGGCTTGCATGGGAAGAAAACGGTTCATAGCTATCAATAGGAAGATTAGTTCCCAAGACACATGAACTGCTATAAAGACACGAAGGGGTGAAGCTAGGCGGGCATCGAAGAGTGTTCCAGGAGTAGTTGAGTGGAGGTTGGCCTGCTATGAGGGGACCAACCTCCACTCAACTACTTCGGGGGTACGTTCTCTCTCACCTCCTTCGGGGGTATTAGTTATCCTCATATCCCTTCTGTATTCTCTCTCTCCTTTCATCACAACGTCCTATCCTCGTACTCAGGCTCTCCATCTCTCTCTCTCTCTCTCTCTCTCTCCCTCCAGTTTCACCGCCCCTAAATACCCTCAGTACAACCCCTCGTGAAAAAGGGAGCCCTACCAGTTCAGCGCATCTGATTAGAAGTGGGGGCCTATCAGAAGGTTTCAGAAACTCCATTACACAAGACCAGTCTTGTAGTCAGATTTGAACACAACCTCAGCGTAATGTTCGCCTCTTTTCAGCGATCGCGCAAAGAGGTATAGAGCAGGCCACACCTGGAGGAGTAGTGATGGTGGTAGAGGGGGTGTTGGCCGCGTGACTCACGGACGCCCCCCATCGAGACTTCGCGAACGACGCCAATTTCGCAGCCGGCGTTAGAAGAGGGAGAAGCGGGAGGGGAAGAGAACGTACTGGGAGGACAGTTACCGTTGGTGTCTAGGTTTCTTGCGAGGGAATCCTCCACAGCATTCCAAATCGGGAACGGGTTGGAACGAGGAGATTCCCCGCCGCTGCTCCTCCGTCGCCTCCGCCGCTATCGTTCCCATGAAGGGAGCCAACTATATAGCCGTTACCAAATTGAACCCGCTTCAGGCCGGATCCCGACCCTAAACTGAACCCGGTTTATGCCGGGTAATTTCAGCTCCCGGCTCGGCCCATCAAATACCACTAACTCCGTGAGCGAGAGATAAAGAGAGAGAGGGGGAGAGAGAGAGGTTCATACAGAGAAAGCTAGACTACATGTCGTTGGGCAGTGAAGATCGTCGACTTTCCACATCTTCAACAGCTGCTTGAACTCTTCTTCCTCCAACGCGGACCCAGCTGGCCGGCGGCCGACTCTCGCCGCCGCATTGAGCAAGGAATCCGAGTCCTTCTCCCCATCGAAGCTCAGGCTCAGGTTCAGGCTCTCCTCGTCCACGAGCCCGCCGCCATGGCCTTCCAGCATCCTCAGGAACTCGGCCTCCACCATCTCCTCATCATCCAGATCTTCACTGATGTCGAAGGAGGCGCTCGAGGGGGGCCTCCTGGATCTCGCTCGAGCCACCGCCTCCTCCGTGGTCGTGGAGCTCTCGCCCTCCTCCTCGGTCGGGTCAATGTCGCCGGCGGCGATGAGGATGGAAGAGGCCGCCGCCGCCGCTCTGCAGTTACTCGAATCGGAAAGACAGGGCAAGCACCCGCCGCCATGGGCTCCGGCCTCGACCACCCGATAGAAGATGCTGATGCTGAGAACCCCTCCCTCGGCCATGCCGGAGAGACCCAGGATCACGGTCTTCCCGCCCAACAGAGCGTCGCCGTCGCCGGAGAAGACGACCCCGCCCAGGTCGACCTCGAAGGTGCCTAGATCGCCGTCGCCTGCGTCGACCAGGGAAACCCAGACTGTGAAGCTCCGCAGCGTGGAGCGCCGGCCGGTGCTCCGGTAATGGAGGAAGATCTCCTCGAAGCGGGCGGTCCCTCGCCGGACATGGACGGGCGTGGTGAGCTCGTCCCTCCAGCCGCTAGTTCTCCACCCCACCGCCAGCGCTTGCCCGTCCATTGTCGGCGGGAGGCCGCTTATTCGGTGGATCTGCAAGCACATAACGCACTTGGACCGCCGCCGCCACCAGAGCCCGGCAAGGAGGCTCCGCCATTTTCCCCTCCGGAGGCGCCAGCGCCGCTGCTCTTCGGGGGGGCTCTTCGCCTTCTGGGGGAGGTCCCCGCCCTCGCTTGCCATGATCGACCACCTCCACGACGGCCCAAGGATCTCTTAAAGCCTTCCGCGCTTTGGACAACCAGTGGGTTAATCATGGTACAGCTCACATGGAGATTTCTTTACTCTCGGTGGACGCTGAGACCATGGAAGACATACCTTTTGCGAGAGAGCGAGAGAGAGAGAGAGAGAGAATCGTCTTCTTCCACACGTGTCGACACCTACGCTCCTTCGGATCGTCGGTGACATTAACTTAATTGCCGTTGACATTAACTTAATTGTATAAGTAATCCCGACTATGAAACCGTCATGAAGATGAAAGAGGATCCTCCTGGGGGGTTGGAAAGATGGGCGACGGCGCAAGTGCACAGGCGGGAAGCGAAACCCTGTATAGATCTAAAATCAGGAGAAAAAGAATAAATGGTCAACGCCCACTGCTCTGGTCGTCAGATATTGTCCCCTCGGACGAAGCATCGCTGTCTAAGTCAACCAAGTCAATCTGGCCCATGGGTTCCGAGCGGCTCCGATTTAGACTAAAAATGGGCTCTTCCGAAGACTTGGGCTCATGGGGAAGAGCCCGCTGGTTGAGATCCTCCAGAGAGCCAGCACTGCGGCGGCCTAAAACTCTCCTCTTTAGAGCTTCACCTGGTGAATTTCTGCCAGGTGGTGGTGACAACTGCCCACCAAGGTGATGGCGGGCAGGAGCTGCCCTCTGATCACTGTGAGGAGCTCCTCTGAGCCAGTGCGGCAGGTTGGTGCCCGCTGATGAAGAACCCAGATCGCCGGGCAATTTTTCCGATGAACTTTGCCTCAAAATCTGTGCTCTACCATGGTTTTGGTGTCTCACATATGCTTTTGTGGAGTGATGGCGGCCCTCATACCCGTCAGAAGAACCTTCTTTCTCGAAGTAGCCGCCTGAGGTTTGGAGTTCTGACAGGTGACCGCTGTGAGAAGTATAACCATCCACCACTGTGATTGAGGAAAGCTTACCAGATATGGAAGGAAAGTGGAGATGGTCTGGTTCCAGGGTTCTCAGAGGCTGAATGAAGGGGGCGCTGAGGAGATTCAACTGTTCTATGTTCCATCTCTTAGCCAGGTCGTCTGCAATCCTCCCGCCTGAGAAGAGTAATCTTGGGTCTCGAAGCATGGAGTTCCAGTTGCCCCCCCCATGCCTCCTCACGCCTATCCAGAGGGAATCCAGCTCTTCTTCCGACCAGAGGCTTGGGCACCCGCTATATTGAGATAAAACAGAGCTCTGACTTCTTCCCAACATCCTGCCACCACTTGCGATGTTGCCGAGTCTCTTTTTCTGACCATTAGAAGCGGATGGTAAGCCAATGCTTAGGAAATTCCTAATGGGACCGGCCATCTTTGATGATTGTGTGAGAGTTGGACCAATAAGGTCGGGGCAAATGAAATCTCGGTTTCTATGTTCTGTTGGGCATTGACTTTTGAAAGTAGAACTATCGGGGTTTCTCACAGATTTCCCTTTCTGAGGGTAGGAAGTCCGATGTGCGTTCTCTCTGAAAAATTCCTGGAAGAGGGGAGGGGGAGAATGATATGTCTCAGCATAAGATATATGAAAGTCGAACACGGAGCTGTTAAAGGTCAACCATACTAGGGGAAAAAAGTCAAAATGAAGTGGGTCTTCCCAAATGAAGCATGTGTTGAGGAAATTACATGAACGTGATAAAATGCACAAAACTCACGCTAAAAAAAGTGAAGAATGAGCTGAAATTGATGGGAAAGAGAGAATTTTAGCAGAGGAAAATTACCGTGGTACTAGGGTCAAGTAGAGATGAGTTCATCTGCATTTGATTCTGATACAAAGTATCTCCTTCACTAATAGGTAGTTGGCTGGTGATATTGACAGTTGACAGAGATGAGGACATGATTCTCGCTTTCTGTGTGTCCGTTTCCAAAAATTCCAGTCCTTTGCTTGTACCATTAGGTTCCGCAGCAGCACTACTAGACAAGCCTTGGGAACGAAAGAGGCATTCATGTGAAGGGTCCCTCACTGATTTACTTGGCTCACATAGATGAAAAGTGATTGTTTCATCTGGCGCCATCTCATTCAGATCGATATCTGAAGAAAATCTGATGGAAGAATGGGGATTGCTGAGAGAATTCCTGACATGAACCGCTTGATCTAAAATGTTATTTGCAGGTGGCTTCTGCACATCATCCATTAAGCAATGTCCTGGCTCCTCCATCCTCAGAGTGCCAATTTTCGGTGGCTTGATCTGTTTGACCTCATGATTTATATCAGAAGAGCACTCTTTCATCCCACTGTTAGAAGAATGATTTGATGCGGATGTGATAGGCGTGCCTTCTTGGGCTAACTGTGTATATTTTATGGAAAAGCTCGATCCATCTGTTTTATGAACTACTGCTCCCCTTGGGCTGCCACTGGAACCATAGGGAATACAGAGCACATCACTTTCTGAAATAATGGATAAATAAAAAGAAAGACGTCAACGTTTAGTTACCTCTTTTTTTCAGCCAAGCTTCCAGAACTTGGGTCCTGACTAGCAACTTCTTCAAAACTCCTAGCCTATCAGAATACATGGCACATGAAGATCTTCAGGTTTACCGTCTTTCATTGGTAAGACCCTCAGACTGAAAAATTAGACGATGTAATAAAATCATACTGCACTTGGGACACACCTCATGCTCTCTACAATCCACTGGATTAGTGGATTCAACTAGGTTTCAGGTAAAATGAGGTCATTCTACTGAGAAGTCACACAATATATAAGATATAATTTAGCTTTCAGGAGGATTTCGTAAAGCCAGAAAAAAGTTTCAAAGACCGGAAAAAAAATGCATATTCTGCCTGGATAATGGTTTGGAAGGTGAAGAGAAAACCAATCGATATGAAAGAACATGATATCTGTCCGCATATCTATAAAGTCACAGTGCGAATGACAAGGATGCCACTCGCATATGAAGGATTATTACCAGAAATTTCCCTATTTTCGTTTGTTCTTATAGGTTATCAGACATTATATTCTTCAGTTCCTTGTTAAAAAAATAACTTTTATGATGTCTATGAGGCAAATGATTGATCATAAAAAATATCATCGGGAACCTATGCATTTTGATAGCTGTCTTAATGCAAACATTGTTGAAGTACATGTTATGTTCTTTGCCAAAATTGGGAATAATAAACGAGTTAATGAGATATCAGTATACCCCGTCAATGTGCAACAACTAAAACAACTGTAGATAGTGCCACCTTATTAAAATAAATAATGAAAGAAAAAAGGAGAGTGATGACTAGAAAAGAAAGGAGACTGACTGCGCGGAAAGGTCTCATGATGTTTTGGGTTAAAAGGCACACATACCATGACTTTTCCACTGGCGTTCAATGAAGTCAGGTTGCTGTCTGTGTTCTCGTTAACTGGAAAAGATACCTCTGACTGATCAGCGAATCCTTTCTTTTTACATTTTGCATCAAGATTCTCATTTTGGCTAGATGCTGAGTCCTCTCCTTCCCCAACATTTAAGTTATTGAGAACCTGAGCGTCACTAGCATCGATTCTGTGTCTCGCTCTTCTGGAGAAAGTACGCAAAGGAGTCTTGAAGCTCTCTTTATGAGATGTTCTGTGGAGTATCATTTTGTCCATTTGCTCGACAGGAAAATCCTTTTCCTTTAAAACATGTGTATCCACGAAAGGATGTTCTTTACACAAGTGAACATTGTTCTTTCCAGTAGGATTGAAAGATATGGGACTTGACCTCACACCAGTATTCTGGTCTGACATCTGAGAATCTTGACTCCATTTGTTGCGTGGTATTCCATTCGAGGAAATAGAAACTGAATTTGCAACAAGTAAATCTAAGCTACCATTGAAAGATGAATTTTTCCCAAACCATTCCTTATTAAATCTCCCATCATGGGGGCGAAGTTTTGGTAAACTCCTCCCAAAATCTTGCAAACTTCTACACTTCTTAAATATATCTGACTCTTCGGGTCTCTGCTGAAAAAAAATCTCGAGCATTAGCACGTTGATCAACACGAGCAGTAGATTCGTATCTCTCCTGTCTTGCAGAGTTTCAGGAGAAAGCAAACCAAGGTAGCATAGAACATGATAGCTAGCCTGATGATGACGATGATGATAAGATTTCGAATATGACATTAGCAATCTCAGAATTGAGATCACTGTGTTTGGTCCGCTATGGATCAGCTAATGTAGTCCATTAACGAAGCAACAATGAAACTTAAATATCATGTGGCGATGAAGGCAAAAAGTATGGGAAAAGTAAAAATAGAAATAAATGGAAACATTCTTCAAAGTGAAACATTATTTTGTATATATTCTTACCGTGTGTGATTATCAGATGACATTCTAAAACAATATATGCCAACTTCTACGAACCAGAACCTTCCAACACAACTCCATTCTTTACTAGTAGAATAAAAAGTATACTTAGTGGACGTTGTTAGTAATTATGATAAGCTTAAATTTACCTCCTGAAGGCAGAAAAAGCAATGTGGGAATCGTCCATCAGGCATTAATACCCGAAGCCGTATTTTTAGAATGAACATAACTGAACTTTTTTAGAACCAAATGGATGCGGACTATTCTTTGAACAAAATCATAGAGAGTACAACGGATAACCGGGTTTTACTTAGAGGACGATAAGAATATTATAGAAGAGGGTTAGATGGCAGTAAAATATAATGATATCTGAGATGAAAGACGAAACTCTTAACTACTTATTACTCAGATCTGAGATAACAACTTTAATAACCACACCTTATTCCCTTTGAATGTAGCAGACAGTGTCCTTGGATGTTTTGAAGATGTATCCCCTTTATTTACAAGTGAAGAATCAGAATGACAAGATGCTTGCCTTCGCTTGTACGTTAAAATAACTTTCTCTCTAGTCATTTTGTCTTCAAGAATATTTCTAGAGACTCGTAATTAATGACAGGTCCAGCAAAGGTGAGGAAACAACACCCATAGATGCCATAGAACTCCACAGCAAATCTGCAAGGGAAAATTCCATGTAATATGCAGAGTTGAGATAAAGTATGTAATATTCTAACGATACAGTAATGGGTTTCGAGAATAGCTGCCAGAAAAATAACTGTTAGATTGACTAAAATGGATGGATTGAAGATTTTTTTTCAACCTACAATGGCATCTGTGTGCTTGATTTTTTCTTGTGAATAATGTCAAGTCAAATAATATAACCTGTCGATATCCATTTGTGTTCAAGAATCAACCTTTCTCAGAGGTTCGACCTAGTCAAAGTATTATGATTCATACACTACATTTCTTAAAGTTGCGATGGACATTTGTTCATTTATTTGTAAGTTCCAGCTAATCTCAGTGATAAGAAATGATGAGGAACTCGTAGCGTGGTTTTCCCATATTTTTGGATAGAATCCAACCTCATCATTCACGTTTTCCTGGGAAATTGTTTCAATTTGATATCTAAATGAAAAAAAAAAATTGAATTTAAGAGAATCATGAACATGTTGAGTTATCATTCTCTTTAACTACATGACGAGTTGAACTTTATACCCATAATTTACGTTCAAATGTATGCCGGAAAAACGATCCAAAATAATTCAAGTTCTAAGTTGAATATCATAAGATGAATGTTAAAGCGGGGACGGTATACGTACCCTTTCATCTTTAGTTTCTCATAGGATTATCATTTTTTTGGTTCACCCATTTTGCAGGTAACGCCTGCTGGGGCAAACTTCAGGCGTAAAACACTAGAAAAGCCCGAAAACAATTTCCAAATAATTAGCTACGGTCCCCAATTCCGGTGGAGCCGAAAGAAAATCTAATAGCAATACCACCAGTACTAACGGAGGCTTTTATCGACAGTATCGGCAAGCACGAGGAAGCAGCAAGGTTCCGTTTCTATATCAATCAAGATAGAAATATACTGATCAGCGACGATGACTTCAAAGATTCCGACCAGATAGGTCGAATGCAAAAAGCACGTCAAAGTTCCCTTAATCAAAGCCATGATCATCGAGCGGATGCAATTTTCGACCATTTCGGTTATGGTAAATGCAGCGGCTGGATGCATTCACAGACAGATTAATCTAATGAAAAATCATCAAAATCCGAACTCGAGAGTGTACCTGGATAATGCATCCCCTGTAGGTCGTGCATTACGTTGGAATCCTTCCTAGGGCTTCGAAGGGAATCGAGAAGCACTCTCTCTTTCTCCTCTCTCTCGCACGCGCTCTCCCTCTACCTCCCTTCCTCCTTCCTCTCCTTTTCCTTTTCGGCTAGAACCAAGGAGCAGGAAGCTACCTATTATACCTAAAATACCCTTGTCGTTATCCTTGAAACCTCTCGGTATTCGTGCGACTCCCCGTTGACTCTCTGACTGACGGTATCCCCTCTCTTCCGCAGAGCTTAGCGGAAGATTGCTATCGGTCGGTACAAATTAACGTATGAAAACTCGCCACGTATGAGCTGCCCACCACGTAAGCATTCTACTTCGGCCAGGAAAAGGGGACGTTCAGCGGACATGCCTAGAGACACTCACCCCATGGGAATGACAGCGTACGGAAAGGATAGTGACAGGTTACGTGGAACCGATTCCAGTGACCGAAATTTCCACTTTTGGCGATTCCGGATCCGGCCTAGATCCGCGCCTTCAATTCCATATTGGGTGCTGAGTCGGCCTGGGCCCCACATAATGAATCTCCTGAGGCCCATCTAACTAGGCCGGAACCCATGCCATTTGGCTCAGATCAGTCCAGTATCGAGCCCAAACTACTCCACTATAATATTTAAATATTCCTATTTATAAAATAAATAAATAAATGATCGTATTAAAAGTTAATCTGCACACGGGAAAGGCTTTGAAGGTGGGCCAATATGGGCTGGGCCCTCGCTGGAGACATTATCGTCACGGGCTCGGTACTGATTTGGACCCAAGAAGGGCGTGGGGCCCACGGGGAGGTAGAAGAAGATCAGATCGGGACCGTCGGAGGCTATCTTATCACCGATGCCGACGCGATGGGTCAGAATGGTTGACGAGGGGGGGAAGGGGAGCTGATCGAAGTAAGGACAGAAACAGGTTTCACCTCGCCGTCGCCCTCCCGATGCATGGAGTCTTCCTCCTCCGCGGCATCTGCGGTTGACTCCACCACGAAGCTCCTTCAAGATTTGCGGCTCCTGGGAACTAACCGCATCGGGAAGGTACCGATCCGCGATCCGTTTACCTAGGGACGGGTTGCCCCCTCGCGTTTCTGACGGTTGCTATCTAGGGTTTGATCAAACCGTTCAAACTATTAACACTATGCCGTGCCAGGCGGCATCCGTGAAGTTTTTTACCTTATTGAATTCATGGACTAGGCAACGTCTCGATGTTCCAAATTGTATTAAAACTTTTCTTGTTGTATTGCTCATTTCGCTGCCCATCTATTTCCCGGTTTAGTCTGAATCTCGTTCCTCGGCCGGGATGGTTCGTGAGTCTTCATGAGTTTCTTTAAAGAAAGGTGAAATCTTCAATTTCTTGAGAAGTTAGAACTTTAATGTCGTTCAAATAGGCAAGTCCTTCACTTTTTTCCGTCTTGTCTGGGTTGCAGAGATTGAGTAAACCGGCTATTCTTTCTTGGGTTTTAATACCGTTTTGATTAAGACGAAATCCTCGATTGTTGTATTTAGCATATGGATGCCATGGAGATGGATCTCGCATCGGAAGTCCCAGATACCCCTGAAAGACTGACAATTACGTGGGCAGAAGAGGATGGTGCTGAAAAAGTTGCAAGAGGAGCATCTTATTTCAATGGTAGAAATCTCAGCCTCCGGGCTGAAGGCGCCAACTCCTCTAACGGAATCGATAATGCAAGCCTATTCAGACAGGGAAGGCTAGCTTCTTTAATCTCCAGTCCGTGTGATGCTGAGCTCTATTACACCGACAAGAAGTTTCCTTCTGGTATTTCCCATCCCACTAGATGTAGGAGCGCTCGGAGGAGGATGGCACATGATTTTCATGGTGAAGGCCAGAGCAATCATATTAGTTCGATTGGTGTTCTATCATCTCCAAGTGGGTCTACAATGGCGACACAGTATGGGAATGTGGATTCCCTGGAATTGTCTGAAGATAACCTTGGAACAAAAGGAATAGCTGGAATTGCTGCAGCTAGTGCAAAGTCAGCACATTGTTCTATGGATTGGGGCAGTGAATCTCGAAATGTACTCTCTTTGATGAATGATTCGCGAACTATAACTGAAAATGCTACATCACAGCCTCAGAGATTGGTGCACGACGGTTCCATCTCTTCCAGCAATGGCAAAAAGGAGTGTCTTTCTTCAGTTCACGAAGAATCAAACTCATCTCTGGCGGGAAGAAGTCGCCCTGAGAAAGGGAAAGGATTATACTTCTCAAATGATCCCACTAGATGTAGGAGCGAAAAGGCATCTACTGAATCTCACCAACTTAGTATTCGTCAGAAGAATTTTGGGCAGAAAAGGCTCGTACGCAATGGGTGTATATCTCCTATAAATATAGCAAAGACCACTAATCTTGCATCTGGGAAGAATGAACGAATCGGAAAAGTTAACTCCCAGGAAATTTTAGACGGATTGTCATCACGCCAACGACATGGCCTCAGTCCTGATTATGAACTCAGACAAGCAGATCACGCGAAAGAGGAAAAAAACTTACAGGCAAATTATCAAGATGCTAAATCCAGCTTTGTGCCAAGCAGGTAGGAATTTTTTCTATATCCATGTATCCATGGTGATGTCTTGTCTGACAATTAGTACAATTAACAATTATACTCTTGAAAAAATCATCCATGTCAAACTTTTCCTTTTAATGTTATTTTCGTGTAAAAACTATTCCATTATACTGTTTGGCGATATGCCTTTGATTTTAACCTTTTTCGATTGTTGAAATTAAAATATTTCTCAAATTTAAGTATATAAAAAATATTTTTTTAGAAACTTCATTACTCGCTGACCATTCTTTCCATTAAAACCAGAAACAACTTTATTTGGTTCCGTGAAGGCCTTGTTACCCAACCGATAAGGTTGTGTGGGATCACCTTTGTCAATCGGTCTCTTCTACCACTAAATTGAACAGAAAAATGTAGGAGCTATATTTATCTCCAATTTTCGCTGTCACATCCTTTACTACAATGACTTACTGAATCATTGTCTTATCAGTTCATCCTCAAATGTTGTTAAAGCAGGACCATGAATCTCGTCCAAAGTACTGTCCTTTTATGATCTAGTAAATCCTTAGCTCAGATTTTGAAGTTATGGAGAGCTGAGAGCACCTGCATACATTCCAGAAGCCTTGTCCATGACTTTCTGGACACTGGTAGAACATCTGTCTGGGAGGATGAATGGCCTTTGAGTTTGTTGTCCACCCCACGCTCCCCTCTCAATGAAGCTGAATGAAAATCATCTCTAACCAATGGCTATGTGCCTGCAACCTGAGTTGTCGGATTGGTATGGTGAATGCTTTTCATCATTATTATCCAAGAGAACTTTAATGAAATGGTCTTGAGTATGCCTGGGCTTATGTTTGCCTTCAGCTCTAATAGAACAAAAGAAGGGAAAGTTTTTATAGGAATTATGAGTGAACGGTGAATTTTTTTACAATCAGACGTCATTCTTATCACTGAACTATCTGTGACCGTCAGTACAGATAACGAGAATTATGTCCTTGAATAGTTAGGGATGTATACTGAAGCATGCTGATCTCAATGGATTTTCCTGAAACGTCAAAGTTGTCCTTTTTTGTCAATGGTATTCTAGAATCCCTGGTCCTCTTTGGAGCCCTGTGTAAAAGGTTCCCTAAGTGCTGAGCATCATTGTGAATAGGTAATGGTGAATGCAGAGTGTTTAGTTTCAGCAGGGCAGAACTTTGAATAAGGACAGGGAGCATTTAAAATCGTTGGAGAGAAGCCTATTTTTTTAAAGGTCAGGAATCACCCATACCGAATATCCAGCTGATCTGATAGCGTATGTGGTAACATTCACCATTCAAATTCTCAAAGGCCTGAAGGATCCGCGTATCTGATCCCATGCTGGCTGCAGATTCCCATCCCGAGTGGCAGACATTCCTGATGGGGAAAATCGTGTAACATTGATACCCATTGATGATAGTGAATCGTGGGCAGTGATGCTTGTCTCCAAGATTGGTCTTGCTATTTTGTGCTCTCATTTCACAGACAAGGGGTGCTCTGTAAAATCATAAATGTTTTTAATATTTTCTTTAATGCCTATCTTGGAGTGTAGATTTTGTTGATCTCATGCTATCATTTTTAAGGGAACTGTTACTGCCTGCTAAGGAGAGAGCTGTTAATGCAAAATCAACCTCCGACTGCTGTCCTAGTGACAATATTAGTTGGAGAAGCACACCCAACCATACAAGGGAGCTTACCCAACTCATAGCTCCAGAAGCCTCAATTTCACCACAAAAGAGGAATCATTCTTTTCACTCATTAGATCAGCACCAGGAACACGTATCCGAAGATAGAAGATATGTGAATGCAAGGCACCCGTGTCATGGTGTTGATTCTTTGAAAGCAGCTGCTTCATCTTCTTTTCCTCGTGAATCCGATGTGAGCCTGCTTCCAGGACCATCTGAAGCTACGGTTGAGCTTAATTCTGACCGCAAAAGCCATTTTCCCACACGAAGACCCTCGAGAGGAAAAAGGAAACCCAGCTCTAATCATTCTTATCTTGGTGAATGTTCTAGTTCAGGATTTACTGAACAGAAAGTATCTCATCGACAATCATCATGGAACCTTTCAAATGGTAACTCAGAAGGGGGTCAAAATTTAGATAACCACGGTGCTACCCTAGAAACAATCATAGATGTTGATGAACTGCCTTCCCCAGTATCAAGAAGTATCACCGACCACACTGAAAGCTGCATAAATTCTGAGTCAGATGCAAGGGCTCAGCAAGTTGTATCTGATGAAATGCTAGCTCGTCAACTACAAGAGCAGTTTTTCAACGAATCGTCCGGTTTTGAGGATCCAGACGAGGTTAGGTTTCCTTCTCTCAGGAACTTTGTTCTCTTCCTTTGAGTTAACTCATGTGATGGTAGTTCGTTGATATGTTTGTTGGGACTATTCTCACAGTCCATTCTAGGAATTGTTTAGTTGCAGGGGCGCAAAATATCTCTGACTGGAACCCTTGTTCTCATGCAGATTGATGCTAGTATACCATGGTCACTGCAGCAAGAAGAGGATGCTCGGCGTGCCTCTCTCATTCGAAGCCGCAGTCAATCACAGCGTGTAAGTGATCTTATAAACCAGGTTTCAAAATGCTTATCCAACATAAGGTAGATTTAATTAAGTATCCTTAAAATGCCTTGCCGCTGTTCATTACAAGTTCATGTTTTGAATATATCAAGATATTAGAACCCGTATCAGTTAATCGTTTTCTTCCACTTTAACGTCAAGACTATTGCCATTTATGTGCAAACTTTGATCTCTTTAGGTTGCGATGCTATGTCTACCGCAAATGATGCCAATAACGCTTTAATGTCAACTCTTCTGCATTTCCAATGATCATGGTATACTCATATTGATAAAAGCACTAGGCTGCAATTTGGAGTTCAATTTCAAGCGAAATATGCAGATCACAATCAAGATTTGTGCACCTGTGAAGATTTATTGGACCAAAAAAGCAGCTACCTTCTCATTAAAACAGTGTGAGGAAGCGATCATATAGTTCAGATATATGTATGTTTATATATAATATATATATACAGAAAGAGAGAGAGAGAGAGAGAGAGAGAGAGAGAGAGAGAGAGAGGGAGACTTTCCATAATGTCAGCTTAATCAATATAAAATTTGAATTGGATTTACATCTTCTGCGAACTTTGTTATTTTTTTCGAGTTTAGTGGTATTTTGATTACATTATTGGCACTCCATTTTCTCTTCTGAAAGCTCTGCTTTTATTCATCAAGGGACCCTCGGATTTTATTTGACTGCGTTTTTTTACAGAGGGGCCCATCCATTGCACATTTGTATAGACAATATCCAAGGCGGCCCTCCCAGGAATCTACAGTAAATTCCACCAACCATCCCCGGATCGCCTCATCCGCAAGAATGGCTCAGTTGCGGAGAAACATGAGACGCGGGATGGATCTAGAGACGGTACTGCTATCTGCCCACATGCCGTTGGAAAGTTACTAGTTTGTCTTTCTCTATTTCTTACTATCGTGATACGGTATGCACCCAGGTTTTAATCATATCATAGGTTGGTAGAAATCCTGAACTTTGATGGTATTCATGTGCCCATGTACTTCTCACATCATCACCTCCATCTAAGTTTACGTTATATGGTATGATGATGGTCAAGATTGTGTGCCCTGTTTCAATGGTGTTCAATGTTCTATGGTGCTGCAAACTGCTGAAGATTTTTTCGTTTTGCCATCATCTTTTCAGTCTCAAAGCTCAGGCCTGGGTCTAGTGTTTTACTTATGAAGTGGAACCAGTGTCGAGCTGTGATCGATTTTATTTTTTTATTTGTTGGGGTTGCTGGATGTGACGGCCATGTCCATTCAAGAGAAGCTCTATGGGTCAGGCTAGAGTCCTCTTGATTGTTTTTTGTGGGGTCAACTTCTAAGCGACGTTCTCTTTTCGTTTGCCTGTTTGTGATTGTGTTGACTTTAATTATTTTTGGTTTTCGCTGGTCATTTTCATGCTGTTGAATAATAATATTAATAATAAAAATCATGAGAGCTAATTTCTGATCCTTGCAATGAAATTCGTTTTAATGTGATCTGCAGAGGATTAATTTCTTGGAAGCATTAGAAGTAGCGTTCAACATCGGTAATGATCCCAGGGGCGATATTCTTCATGCTCAGCGGGATTTCAACGCGTAAGTCTGGTTTATTTGATGGGCCAAGTTAATCATATGGTGAAAGCCCGGCGATTCCTGGCCACCATCATCACCGGAGTCTTTAATTTTTCATAAATTTGAGATTTTCGATGCCATTTGTCGGGTATTGATGAAGAACTCGTGTTTTTTCGTTTGAATCTGCTCGTAGAAATGACTACGAGCTGTTGCTGGCCCTCGATGATGACAACCATCGGCATGTCGGCGCTTCTCTCCAGCAAATCAGCAGCTTGCCCGAATCGGTGATCCAGGTAGAGATCTATGAGTCTGACTGATCGATCTTCTTCTCCGTGATGATCCCACCAGTGATGAAACATTGCTGCTTTCTCTCACCTTCAGACTGAAAATGTTGAAGAACCGTGCGCCATCTGCCTGGAGACGCCCTCAGTTGGGGACACCATCCGCCATCTGCCGTGCTTGCATAAATTCCACAAAGATGTAGACGAACTTCTCCCTGCTCCTTCCTCGTAGATCGAAGAGAAGTTCTGTTTATCTGGGATTTGGTTGGATGTCTGATCCGTCTTCTGGCAATCGCAGTGTATCGACCAGTGGCTCCGGAGGAGGACGACGTGCCCGATCTGCAAGTCGGGGATCACATAGGCGAGCTCCGAGAGTCGAAATCCGATCTCCGTCGTCTCTTTTTGCTGGACGGAAGCTGCAAATTCGTACTGGATTTCTGGCCATGCTTGGGCCCCTGCCGAGGCTGCTCTCTATCGCCTCTCTCTCCCTCTTTCGCACCGCTGCTTCGCCAAGACGGTGCGGGCCATGAGCCAGTTCCTGCGCGTTCTTCGGGTTCCTAACCGAAAGAAATGTCAATAATTGGATGATTTCGCAGGGGTTGTCAAAATTGTTTGCTTCCGTTCTTCCGTTTCCATCCCTGGGATCGTCAGTTCTTGCGCTTAAACACTTGGTGAATCAGCGGAGCTGTTAGATCCAAGGCAGTCATGTGTCGCATTGGCCTGTCTACAAGTGTAGCAGTTTGTTTGATCAGGCTCTTGCGGAAGATCCGAGGTCATGGCGTCGATCTGTAGTTCATAGAATCACATGAAAGGAAGGTTAGATCGGATGCGGGAACTATGCTGGCAATTTTGGCAGGTTTGATCTGCATCCGGCACCTTGCCTTCCCCCTCGGATCACTTCGTCTTCGATGGGCTGTAGCTCAGCAACAATGGCAATGATCCTACGCACTATCTGGCGATCATCTTGTGAGAGAAATCGGAGGTCGACGCGCGCAGATTGAAGATGACGATGAATTCCAGGCGGAGCAATCGTTGGTGGCGTCGCAGGCGGGTTTCCGCGTTTTCTCGAAGGTTCCTCGAGAGCTCGTCCTCTTCTTCTTCCGTCGGATCGTCAAATCTCCCCGGGAGCTTCCAGTGATCTTCATATGTCGTTGACGCAGTGGAGTTTAGACCGACGGTGGAGTGGACGGAGCAGTGTTCGCCGAGGAACAGGCCACTGCCGGCGGCGAAGATCTTCCCTCTGCGCATCATCCTCCTTCGCGGCCGTTCGGGTGAACAAGGAACCGGACTGATCTGCCTTCGTCCTCAGGTACATACTCTCATAATGTGATTTTGCTTCACCATCGTCTTCCTCCTCCGGCGAAAAACCTAGGGTATTCCAGATCTAGGATTGATTTCCCTAGAATCCATCGCAGACGCCGTTGTCGTCTTTCTCCTTCCCTGTCACCCTGCGGAGATGTCTGAAGGAGGAAACTCATCTTCTTCATCATCTTAGGGTTCGGGATGGACGCCATCAGAATCTCATCCCCAAAATTTGGTACTGTTGCAGGTAGCTCATCCCTCCTAACTCTTCCAGAATCAATAACACGGATGGAAGGCCCTTGAACAGGAAATCTATGAAGCCGAGAGCAAGATGGACGGCGCCTGGAGATGGTCCTTGGGTTTGGTCTACATCGTTGCAGTCGCCGCCATATGGATCGCCGCCAGCTACATCGTCCAGTCGGTCGTCGACGGGGGCGTCTCTCCTTTCCTGATCACATACATCTGCAATACCCTCTTCATCATCTACATTCCATTAGCGGAAATCACGAGGTTCGTCGAGGATCATGTTGAAGGAACGAGGCTTCCTGGCAACGACAAGATCAAGAACAAGAACTCGGCGCCACAGTCGGGGGATTTAGAGTGCGTAAACCTCCTGCCGAGGAGCCATCCTCAGGAGGAGAAGCCTGCATCTGCCGCAGCGAGCCACCATGAAGAGGAAGAGCCTGCAGAAGGTCTGGCAAGCGAATCAACCCATCCGGGGGCAATCGCCACTGACGGAGCTGATGAGAAAGGGCGGTGGAATCGCACTCGGGTGGCCAGGGTCAGCCTCTTGATCTGTCCCTTCTGGTTCGGTGCTCAGCTGTGCTTCAACCTCTCTCTAAAGTATACCACTGTCACGGTGAGCTCCTCCTCCCCTTCCACCACCTCCTATCCGAGTTTCAATCTCATAGCCAAGCTGATTTCTGCTGCATCCCCTCTAAATTTTCTGCAGTCAAACACCATCTTGAGCAGCTCTTCCAGTCTCTTCACCTTCCTGGTGTCCTTGGTGTTCTTGGGCGAGGCATTCACCTGGGTGAAGCTGGCGGGTGTTCTTCTCTGCATGGGAGGGACTGTGATGGTGAGCCTGGGCGACACAGAGGCAGGAGCGAGGGCGGTGGCCTCCGAGAGCCCTCTCCTTGGAGATGCCCTGGCTCTCATCTCTGCGCTGCTCTATTCGGTCTACATTACTCTGATTCGCAAGAGGCTTCCTGATGAGGAAAAGGGCGAAGGTCGGGCTAGCATGGCCCACTTCCTAGGTTACCTGGGGCTGTTCAATCTTTGCATCTTCCTTCCTGCCGCCCTGGTTTTGGAATTCACAGAGCTGGAGTCCTTCCGTAAGCTCAGCTGGAACCAGCTGGGTCTCATCATCGGCAAAGGTCCGTATCAAGTATTATTTTTTCTCTGGTTTCATGCTGCCGTGGAGGAAAAGATAACTCCTATAACCATAGTTTTTTTTTTTATCTGCATCCGAATTATGAATTCTGAGACAATTTAAACTGGATAATTAATCCTCCTCCTCAGGGCCGTTGGACAGCATTCTCTGAGACTGCCCCTGTGAGGGAAGGCTCTGATAGAACAGCAGAATCACATATAAATACTAAGAGGAGATATTTTTATTCACTTGCCCAGTAAAAGTCTTCAGGAATATGGTCCTGTTCATGAATCGTAGCATGGATGGGAGAATCATACGGCCCCTGTTCATGAATCATAGCATCCATGGGATGATAGATTTTTCTAATCCTATCCTTGTTACTGGTTCTCCTCAGGCCTGTTGGACAATGTTCTTAGTGACTACCTGTGGGCGAAGGCAGTTCTCCTCACATCGACGACGGTGGCCACTGCAGGCCTCACGATTCAGGTCCCCATGGCTGCTGTCGTGGACACCCTGAGAGGCGATCCTCCTCATCTGACGGGTTTCCTCGGGGCGGCGGCCGCCATGGCCGGCTTTGCTGGGATCAACATCCCGTCGGGCGGCTGTTGTGGCTCTCACAGTGCAGTGCCCACCGAAGCTAGCTCCCCTGATTCTGATCCTCCATCGGGTGATAGTTGATGAGGAATTCAATTTTTTTCTTATAAATTATGTTTCTCTTCTAAAAATCGAAAAAAATATGTTTAAGATGAGTCTGTGCGCTAGAATGGTGCGCACGGCGACACGAGGAAACGCACGGCGGCACGGCCGCGTACGCTTGACGGCACAGCAGAGGCCAGAGTGTGTGGAGTTTTAATGGGCTTGCGTAAAGACACAAGTTCAATGTTGTTCATATTATCTTCAGAGGCACAAGTTTTAAAGAAATAATTAAAATGCACTTTGTAATTCAAAATGCAAATTATTATTTTTAATTTACTTAAACAGTTTTTTGAAACGAGATTATTTTTTGTGCTCTATTTTAGCTGTTTACATGTGGATAAATGTAATTATCAATTTCTTTACCGGCGGTGACTTCATTCAGAGATGGATGTTTTCTCGTATTTATGTAGTTGCTCTGAAGGGATTCTCAAGAAGTTGACTCGGGATGATCCTGAGTCGGGCGGTCTCATGGGGTAAGCATGGGTGAACCCAACGATGGCCGGCGGCGGCGGCAAGGTGCTCCGCCTGCGGCCGCCGCAGCGGAGCGGGCCTTCCGCCGTCGGAGAACTACCCGCCCTGTTCGCGGAGGCCGTCAGGTTCTCTTCCGAGTTCCAGCGCCCCCCCGCCGGCGTCCTTCACTGCGTCGCCGATCCTTCCGGCGAGCATCCGGCGACGCGGGTCGCCCTCATGAAGGCGTACGGCAGAGCCGGCCAGCCCGAGGAGGCCCTCAGGCTTCTCCGGCAGACGAGGGAGGCCCCTCCTCCCTCTACCTTTCGCCGCCGGCGGTGGGCGGTCCTCTGCTACAACACCGCGCTGAACGCCGTCGTGGAGAAGGGCGGCGGCCCGCTCGAGGTGGCGGCGGTGCTCGACCAGATGCAGTCGGCGGGCCTCGCCATGGACGCCTCCACCCACAACATCCTCCTCAAGGTGTCTCCCTCTTCCCGCAGCTTCGCCCGCAGGGTGTTCGATTCAATGTCGAGCTCGGGTTGCCGACCAGACGAGACCACCTACTCGACTCTGATCGCCCGCCTGTCACGAGCGGGGAGGATCGATGAGGCCTACCGCGTCCTGGACCAGATGCTACGGGTGGGCTGCCACCCCAACGCCTACAGCTACACGCCCATCTTGCAGGCGCTCTGCGCGAGAGGGAGAATGGAGGAAGCCAGCGCTCTAATGAAGGTCATGGAGGAGAGCGGGTGCCCCCCTAGCACGGTGGCTCACAACATTCTCATCGGCGGGTTCTGCCGCCGTCGGGATTTCTCGGCGGTGGAGAAGATGCTGGCGGAGTGTGCCGTCGCCGGCTGGCGGCCCAGCGTGGTAAGCTACAACACCTTCATGGACGGGCTCTGCAAGGCGGGCAGGGCCGAGGAGGCCTTCAAGCAACTGGGAGCTATGGCGGCGAACGGGCTCTGCCCGTCGGCCGTCACCATCAACATCCTGCTCTGCTGCCTCTGCCGCGATTCCAATCCCCATGAGGCGAAGAGGCTGCTGGAGGCGAGCTCTCAGTTGGGATGGGAGGTCACCGCTGTCAACTACAACACCGTGATGAGCGCCTTCTGCGAGATCAGGGAGTGGGCGGCGGTGGCGGAACTGCTGGTGGCGATGGTGAAGAAGGGCGTCGCTCCTGATGCTCGGACCTGCAACATCGTCATCTACAGCCTCTGCAGGGGCGGGAAGCTCCGAAAGGCGAGGAGGATCATGGAGAACGGCGGGTTCACCCCAAACGCGGTGACCTACAATACCCTAATCGATGGGTTTCTCGCCGTCGGAGCTGCGGCCGACGCTGATGAGCTCCTCCGGCGGATGCTTGAGGAGAACATTGAGCACGATCTGGTCACCTACACCATACGGATAGAGCACCTCTGCAGGGAGAGAAGGAGCGCCGACGCTCGCCATCTCTTCGGGGATCTCAAGCGGCATCTCTCGGCTGATCTCGTGGTGTACTCGGCTCTGATCGGCGGACTGGTCAGAAACGGGGATCTCTCGGCGGGGAGGATGCTGTTGAAGGAGATGCTGAACCAGGGGTTGAGTCCGGATGTTCCCACTTTTGACAAGTTGATTAGGGCGCACTGCAGAAGCGGGCTCTGTCGGACAGGAGACATCTGCAATGTTGTGGGCGAAATGCTTGAGAAGATCCGCCTTCAGCTTGCTTGATGGTGCTCCCCACTGCTGCTTCTGCTGGACAAATGCGGCCATCTACTAGAAGACTGGTACTCGAACTCTATATTTGGTTGGTTTCTGGCATGTTGCTGATATATATTTGTTTCAAAACAATTTCCCACCGAGTAATACAATATGCCAAGAAATGTAGCAGCATGCTTTTTTTTTGGGCGACGTGGATTAATTTCATATAATAAATTTCATTCCATGTCAAAAAATTTAACAAAATCATGCGCAGGAAAATAACAAAAGAAAATAATTTACACTGCCTTTTACATGTGAATATCAGCACAGACCTGTCTTAATAAAGAATATAGAACAAATAAATAATTTCCAATGACGGCAAAAACTGCTCATCGGATTCACATTCGTCTTTGAAAATTATGGTATATTATCTCACGTTAGAACTGCCCCGGTCACCACTGAAAGAAATTGGGAAACCTGAATGTGGATTGGTTTTGGACGACTACGACCTTTTTGTCTGAAGAGCCATTGACATTGAGCGCAACCTGTGTGTGATCTCTGTGAATGATGGGCGTGCTGCAGGATCAGGTGACCAGCATTGTTCCATGAGTCTTTTCCATTCTGGATCACAGTAATCTGGGATAGGTGGTCGAAGGGTGTTGCTCACAATTCCTCCTTCACATGTGAAGGTGCAAGTATTTAGAAGTCAACCACTAGAAAAAAAAAAGAAGAAGAAGAATTTACAATAACTTGCATTCTATGGCAGAGAATGTAAAAATCTGCACTGCCCATATGACCTGCTTTATTTTTGGAAGACTTACCAATAATTGCGCCACAATGCATGTTAGCATAAGGTTCCTCTCCTGTAAGGATCTCCCAAAGGGCTATCCCAAACGAGAAGACATCAACCTGCAAAGCTCTGCATTAATCACTAGATCACCGTGCATAAGTTTGGCTCACCTTTTTTCGGACGATTACTCTGCCTTACCTTTTCAGAAACCCTGTTGCTACTCCCATTCAACAGCTCTGGTGCCATCCACGGGAGGGTTCCTCGTACACCACCTGAGACTAGGGTGTTGCGTTTAATCCTTGACAAGCCAAAGTCCCCAACCTGAAAGAAAACAGGGAAAAGTTATGGAAGTTCTGGTACAAGAATCTCTCTCTCTCTCTCTCTCTCTCTCAAACAAAGCCATATAGATCTAGTAAATCAAAACAAATTAGTTGGGGCTTCCTTGGGTTTGCTGCTTCTTTGCGCTGAATCGGGAGATTTAAGCTTGGCCGAGCATAAACCCAGGTTTGAGCTTGTAATATGTTTGAGTCGACATTCGTACATATTTACATATCCAAACATAATTCTCATGTCTTAAACAACGCCCGCATCTAAATCCTCCTAGAGACCAATTCGAAGTTTAAAATAAAATTTCTTCAGAGAACCACCCACGTTCTTACTGAACTCCCTTTTGTACATATAGAATCTGAGTCCATTTTAAACCACGATGCAGAAGAAAAGTGTGTCGATGTATCTTAAGTTTCATCAAATGGACTAGAGAACGGAAGAAAAGCAGACAAAAATGGAGCATTCACCTTGCATATAGGTCTCTGGGGGTCCCTCATATTAACCAGTAAATTATCGCATTTCAGATCAAAATGAACAATGTTTTTTGAATGCAAATACTCCATGCCAAAGGCAGCATCCATTGCAATCATGAGCCTTTTCCGACGGTCAAGTGACCTGCAATGGAATTTGGCGCATGAGCCTAACTTTGGAACATAATATGGCTAACATGAGTAGAGAATAATTACCTGTCTTTTCGTATTAGAACATGCCTAAGTGAACCATTCACCATATATTCCGTCACAGTGGCCAGGGTCCCTCCAGCCCCATCTGGAACCACTCCATAGAAGGCTACCACATTTGGATGGTGAAGCTTTGAGAGAATATGTGCCTCTCTCCAGAAATCTTTAGTCTGCAGTGGCAATGGAATAATGTAACAAGGATCACATTTTCCACTAGGCGGTCAGCCATTGTCTGCCGAAGTTTTAATGTGCCAAATTTCGTCAGGTTCTTAAAATAGTAGACATTAAAACGCTAAAAAGCAGAATCACGATGAAGCAGAGTTGGGATTGATGTAGTATAAGAAATGTTAAGAACTAGAAACTTTCCTTAAGACTCATAAACCTTATCCATGGTTAATGGCGAAAGATTGATTCGTGATATTATCTAGGGTTTGAGGATGCATCGAGGGTTGATAGCTCGAAAGTATTTTAGTGTTTCTATTTGCCAGTGTCCCTTTAGAAATTAAAAAAAGTAGGAATGAGAACATTTTGTAATAAGTACATCAATTGCTGGCCAACTTAAACCTGAAATCTTAAAATTACATACCAAGCGCTCTTGCTCAGATGTTCTCCCTGAAAAGCAGCTCTTTCTTATTCGTTTTATGGCAACATCTGTACCCCGCCATTTTCCGTGGTACACAGTCCCAAATGTGCCTGACCCCAATTCTCGTAATTCCTCAAGATCAGCATTCTTTATGATCTGCCCATCAGAATCTGAAATATTCAGTAAAGAAAATGGAAGTACACATTTATGTTACAATAACATATGATTGGATGCACTTTATTCCCGACCTTTTTTAATACACGCCAACCTATCCTTGGCCACAGTACTGCTAACGGCAAGTGAATACATTTCCCAGGAATCTCGAAAAATGCCCACAATCTTTTTCATCCATAATTACAAAATTAAGACACAATAGACTGTGCTAACTGGCCGTGAGTACCTAGACGCTGGTAATGGTTTAGAACCATACAACAGTAAGTAAAAAAAAGCACAAAAAATAAAATAATAGCTTTTAATATGAATTGCATGGAACATATGTCAATAAAAAAAAATTACATAGGGAACTCACATAAGTGACACGTTGATTAAAGGAAATTTACATGTAACTTTCTAATATTTTCCGAAGATGGTATGTTGTCCATTAAATTTTTTTTCTTACGCATGTTACACTCTGGCGGGTTGGCGTTTTTTGTCCTCATCACTTACCGAACTATGGAATCAGATATTGTGTCTTAACTTCACATCAGACGTTGTTCGGAAAGAATAATTTAAAATGTTTGGGAACATAAGTAGCACATTCATGTGTTCTAAAGACTTGTCGAATATGTACTTTACTCATGAATGATATTGGAACAGAGTCCAACCTGCAAACCATAAATCCCAGCTTCTATTTCAGCTATTGCAGCATCACTGATGGATATGTAGGGATCCTCCACAATGTCTTCCTGGATAATAGGAGCACGAATCAGAAATCTGTTATGGCGCCAGCAGGGTTCACGTGGGAAAACATCAGCATGTTGTTGCCACTCACGTACCTCACATTCATATTCAAGGGTGATGCTTGATGTATTATAGACGTCGACTTCTCGAGTAGCTTGATGCGTTACACGGGGTACTATAGTTGGGGATAGTGGGATGTCCGAAGACACACCAGCTGTTACATCTTTAACTGCAACGTGTCCCTTGATAGGAGCTTTATCGTTCAACTCAGTTTTCAGTTGTCTGTATTCAGTCTTCTGTGATTTAGAATCAAATGTTGCTTGAACCTGAGGACTGGGATGATTCAGAGAGTCCTGATCAAGAAGAGAAACTCCTCTCATCAAAGTTTGATCTATAGGTGGGCTCTGAGGTGAGGTTCGATTAGGAGGGTCATCGGTACACAAGTTCAAGCTCTGATCATCCTTGCTGAACAGGACGAGTGGAACTGAAGTTGTTGAACTTGAAACTTCTGATTCATGGAGACTGCTTGAGTCAACAGGTATAATACCAGGAGAAAGAAGAGAAATCGAGTTCGTGGATGATGATACGCTAGCTATTTCACTTGAATTTTCATTTCTACGTTGTTCTTCCATGCCACCAACGGGGTATTTATCTGTAAGGAAAATTTCAGAAGAACTATTGACCCATGAATAATGAGGCCTTATACCGATAATTCTTTCTGCTTTGTATTCATTATTGCCACCTAATTCCCCAGAAAAACTGCTGGGTTGACTTTTGCTAGTCTTATAATCCGAGACCAGAATCCCCAACTCGGCATGGTCAGTCTGATTACAACTGAAATGCTCTTCAATAGATGAGGAAGATCCTGAAACAATGAAGGAAGATGCAGGAACACACCTCTCTAATGCATCCAACTCTTGTGAGGATAGGTGAGCACCGCGGAAACCAATTTTGTGATCATTTGAGCCAATCACTTCGGTCTTACATATGGCATCACCTTCTCTTATATTAGTGTCAGCACCCAGCAGAGCTCCTTTCTCTTCAATGTGCTTTAAGGCACGTGGGCCATTATAGTATTGTGGTCTGGAATTTGCATAATAAACATTGTCCTCTTGATGTCTTTTGTCAGAATAATCCAAATTCATGTAAGTGGTATCTAGAAATTCAAAAGAATCTGCATATTCCGACTTTATAACCTGTAATTTGTTGATTTCTTTGCTTTCTAGAATCGTCGAATCTATCATATTTTCTCTACATGATTTTTGGGCGAACTGTGGTTTTGAAAAGCTCAAGGGCAATAGCGTTCCTTCTTCCTGAGAGGAAGAACTATTCCCAGCATGGTCTGGAAGCACTGGATCAGAGAATGCATGGGGAATTCCAAGGTTGGAACCAACGAACTCATTTGATCCTGATGATATACCTTTCAGATTGTTCTGCTCTTTAGAAAGCATCTCAGAATGGAAGGCCCTCTCCTCGTGTGCAGGTCTTTCGATGTGATGTTTGAAGTGAATCCCGTGTGGTTGTTTTGAAACCTCAGCGTCATTATGCAAGTAAGGAAGATGCTTGGAGAACCCATAAGTACGACGCCCATCCTCCATCCCATCATGGTTTTCAAAGGATTGATCGGTCAGAGGCTGCTCGTATGTTGACTGCTTTCCAAAGATTCTCGAATCCATGGGATCCACTTGCCTGGGAGAAAATGGAGGTGAAAGGGTCGGGGTTGCAGTTTGGGATGTAAGAAATGCCTGAGAAGGACGATTCAAGTATATTCCATCTGGGCTTGACGTATTTCTTCCATCAACAATGTCAGAAGAGAGATGGGAACCAAGCGATTCATGGAACAAGATTAGAGAGCCATCCAGAGCATGCTCCAACTGGTTCGGGCTGTCTCCACTCGAGCTTTTCCCTGGGCTTATTCCATTAACAGCTGCAACATACTGATATTCTGATCTATTCTGAGCGATTCTTGCGTCACAGGAGGAGTTTTCAGCCTCATTTGAAACTATAAGAAATATACGAATTCTCTGTGATCCATTGACATTGTCGAGCCCGCGGTACTCTTCAAGCATATTCTGAAGATCTTCGTCGGTGGAAACTGATATCAGAGCATCGAGGTCCTCTTCAGGGAGCTGATACTTGATGGTGTAGCACTGGTTGCAAATACGTTGAGTTTTCTGCATGAGCTCCACCCAGGAGGGGTTCCTGCTAGTCGAGATGATCCGGGTCTCCCCCCCTACGTATCTTAGTTTTCCGTCGCTAGGCCTCGGTAAGATCTTTCCTCCGAAGCTGCACAGAAATTTCAGCTTGTCAGGTTGAAGTAAGCCATTGATGCTTCCCGCTGAACAGGGATGGCTTCGCAATTCTTGAATGGAAATCGCCAGAAAAGGAGATGGAATGGCCTCCTCTGAAGCGGCTCGGGCGTGGTGGGACGCTCTGTTACCATCCATCTTCATCCGGCAAGACCTTTCGACATCAGACACGCAGTCAGATTCTGTTCGTCTAAGCCCAGGAAAGCCGGTGAGATCTTCGCAGGCCTGATGAAGGTTCGGTTTATAGTTGAGCCCCATCCTCTTCGTGTAGAACCGATCTGCATTTGGTCTCACCGGAGGTCCCCTGGAGGCTGCCCGATCATGAAGAAACTCCATTGAGCATTCCTCACCAGTTTGAACAGATAAATGCCGATCAGACTGTACTCCTCCCAACTTGCTCGGAATATAGTTATGCGGGAACCTCTGACCTGATGAGGATGGTGCGTCACCCAACATTACGGAGATCAGAAAGAAACCCTAGGCACTTCAATTATTCATGAGAATAATTCAACACCTCAGAGGCTCCCATTGATCATCCATTCCGTGGCTTCCGAAAGACGGACTACGCACGAAGAGAAAAGCTTGCGCCATTACATTGGATTCGCCGGAACTGTTTGCGCATTGAATTCCGAAACAGTGATGCACAGTAACGAGGTTTACAGGGAGAATAAAACAGCAAGGATGATCGGGAACAGCAGATTGATGCGTAAAGATTTTGAATAACTGCTCCAAGCTGGTTAAATCCAGATGAATGTTGCGAAGGTACCGGAGAGATTTGGTAAAGGTGGTGGAGGATTCTCCTACTCCACATCCACCATATCCCGGGGTGATCTGAAACAGAGAATCACGGGTGAGAGGAGACGAAAAACATCGATCGCATGCAGGACGGCGCTCTCGGCTGATCACCTGAATCGTCCCCGGATCAAATTGCGGACGCTTTTGGATGTCCGACCTCCTTTCCCCCCCGGAAAAACGGCCATTTTGTGTGTGGTGTCTGCGTCCGTGCGGAAGCGGGGGAGGGCCACCATTTTCGGCTCTCCAGTTCAAATATGAGGCCTCGGAGGCCCAACAGCCATGAGAAGAAGGCGGCATCTCTTCTTGGGGCCCCGAGGCTCTCAACTGTCTATTCCGTCGTTACCCTCTCTCTCTCTCTCTCTCTCTCTCTCTCTCTCTAAAGGAGGGAAGAGGGCCCAGCACAGTGAGGGGCCCAAAACGAATGGAGAGAGAGAGAGAAAAAAAAGGTAACTTGATTTATGAAAATTATGAAAATCTGGGTCACCAACAATGAACAGGGCCACGAGGAGATTCCAATTGACAAAAGTCTCGCCTGCCCTTATTGCAGAAGAGAAACAGGGACAGACTTGCAGAGTCTGAGACAGAGAGGGCGGGGGAAGAACCCCCGTGATGAATCTTGACGAAGCTTGCGCGGCGGCGGCGGCGGCGGCAGCGGCGGGTCAAAACTCGGAGCTCCTCAGCTTCTCACTAATGGTAGAACCGAAGGCGGGCCCGCCCTTGCGGTACGAGGTGAGGAACTCGATGGGGTACCCCTTCAGCTTGTGCGGCACGACCCCGAGGTCTGCGAACTTGAGGGCTACACAGAGGTTTCGAGGGGGGGAAGATCGTTGTCAGACCAGGCGGCGCCGCCAGTGGGAAGCGGAGGAGCGAGGGAGAGAGCTCACCGTTCTCGGACACGACGGTGTCTACGGTGAGGGAGTTGATCTCATCCAGGTTGAAGATGTTCGGCGTCGGAAGGGGGAAGGGAACCTTGTTCAGTAAGAACTCTCTGGGGGAAGCAAGAGCCTGCGAGAAAGAATGGATCGACGGTGAGTACCTGGAGAAGACCAATCGCTCTCATTTCAGCACAAAAAAAATCAGGGCACGAAGCAGCGGCATCCATGATCTATAGATCATTTGAGCTAGTTTGACTAAGCTCAGCCGACGGACAGAATAAAGCAGTCTAGGGCCTGTTCTCACCAGTTCAAGAAGCCCACTTTGCGGGCCCATTCTTCTTCTCTCAGACACTGCAAATCATGCCTGTTCTTCTCATAAAAGTCCAAGCATTCACTGTTATCTATTATTTAACTTAATCATGGAAATATCAAATTACCCACATACAGAAATTTTTTAGTGGAGATTATCACCAACAGAATGAAATATCTCCACTGGAGAGATTTTCCGTAGCTGTCATCCCATGCCATCAAACTACACGTTAAAATAAAAATCCCAGATTGAGAAAATTCAATGCATCCTCGGTTAATCCAAAGCCGACATATATAATCCTCGTTTCATATGATCGAGCAAATTTTCTCAAGGTCAAATGTCGGACATATGTTATGTTAATATAGACACAGAAGACAGGTTAAGCAGACATTGAACAAGAGAGAAGGAAGAAGCAATGCCAAAGGAAAAAAAATGAACTATTAATGGTTTAAAGGAACTCGAATTAAGACGAAGAAAGTTCTTAGCTAAGTTCAATGAAGGTATATGACAGTATAATAACATAGGTCGGTGAAACCATCTAGTCAGACTAGTGAACCTACCTTCGCAATAGGGAAAGGAACCTTCACATACCGTGGCCATTCACGGATAGTGTCGAACATCAAATCTGCCTGTGAAATGAAACAGATAAAAGTCATTCTCTTTTGAAAATGAAAAAAAATCAGACTTTTAACCTGAACTATAAGATGAACGAGTAAGATTAGCAGATGTGTCACCAGTTCATGAACAGTGAAAACGTCTGGGCCACCAAGCTCATACACTTTACCCATGCTACTACCATCATCCTTCAAGGCTGCGATAATTGCCGCAGCCACATCGACGACATATACTGGCTGGATTCTGCAATCACATTGATAAATGACTATTTTACTTATAAATAAACAGAAAAAAGTTCATGAGTACCAATGACTCTATACTTCACAGTTGAATTTTAAGACTATAACTGGCAGACTAGAGAGGAAAGATTACTTAGTGGATCCATCGCCAATCAGTGGGAGAAAGCTCCATTTTTTTCCAAAATGTGCCCACTTGTTTAAAATTCTGTCTTCAGTACCAATCATGACACCAGGCTTCATGATTGTGGCCTGTAACTCGAAAAACAGAAGACAGCACATTTGAGGTATCCGATTTGTCTATTAAAACTATCTTGTATCCGTAAAGTTGAAGATTCAGCGGCAGCACATCATGCAAGCTAAAATAATTGGGAAATAACATAAGCAAGCATTTCAAAGGAAACACTTGGGTGGCCACAAGTGCTTTCAAAACTAAGATTCTAGAGTGTCACGTGACCACAGGTGCTTTCATTTCATCCATTTTACTTTGACTAGAAAATAGTGGTAAAAGTTTTCACCTCAGGTAGTTCTCTCAAAATAGCTTCCTCTGCTGCTGCTTTAGCCCTCCACATTTTAGACGGAGACGTTGAAGATGCTCCTAGACAAGAAACTTGAATAAATCTCATGATGCCACCATGTTCCTTGGCTATCTGAATGAATTTCAAATAATTTTTTTGAAACAAAATGAAATCAGCAAGGTTATCATGGCAAAAAGAAAATTAATGGGCAAATTATTCAAGCTCGCGCAAAAAAACATCAAGTAACAACTAGAAAAATGAGAAACGCTCACAATTAAATAAAGAGCAGGGGAAACTTCTTAAAAAAACAGATTTACCCAGTTATTTCTCTACATTCCTTCCTCTCCCGGATTGTCAAATAAAAATAGTGGCCACAGTTTATTGTCTAGCATTATTTTCCCATTACCGATCAGTTTCTAGACACCACATGCTATCAGTTTAGCCAGACAAACGTTGGATACAAAACCTATGGCTTCATTTTTAAATTTTCTCAGTACTTAACAAAGGTTCATACAAATTAAACTCTAATAAGGTCAAAGCAACGACAATTAACCCCAAATATTTCAGCCCAGAACTTTTTTCAATAGAAAACGTTCACGTCCTGAGGCAAACAGACATCAGTAATTAATTAAAATCATAAACCTAAGCAGTTCAAAAATTCTGCAAGCTCACTTTTGAAAGACTCTGCAGTGCAAAGATGCATGCAACCAGTAACGCATGCCTTCAACATACGGTAACATAAATCGAAGATTTTTTCACTTCCGAAACATACGTACATCAGTGTGGATGGAATTGCCAATGTTCCATGAAACATCTTCAAGTCGATCCAGGCATTACGAACAAAGAAAACGTAATTGAAAGAAAATGTGTGAATATAGGAACCACAAAAACGGATCTACAAACCATGTTTATCTATAAATTTAGCGGATTTTCAACGACAATAATCCTGCTCTATCCCTCACTCCCTTAATGGTGGGGGGAGGGAAAGAGTTTTTTCTGGACAACAAGGGTATGCAACAGCATCACATTTATGCTACACAACGAAAATAATTGAAAAAAATAGTCTTTTACAATGATCAGTTTTTTTCCTATGTTTTGATGCTTCTTCCTGATACACTCTCAAAAGGGATCAATTACTAAACATTATGTAGGGTTCGGCTTCAAGGACAATAAAAAGGACCCAACTTCATGTGTTTCAGTCGAATGATGTTTGCTATCAATTACACAGTGACTGCCTCTAAACAACGTCCAAATTTTGAGTAAGTAATAACGGAATCTAATGTAATCGAATACCAACCACTGCAAGTTGCTCTGCCATAGCATGATTTACTTCCTCAAAACTGAAGTTCCTTGTCTCATGATCCCTTCCTGCCATATTACATAAAATAAATTATTATAAGCCCATATGAGTGCCTGTAGAATAATTATTCCACCAAATGAAATTATCCAATGAATTCTAAAGGTATACTAACCAATAAGATTTAAGACGACATTCGCTTTAGCCATTACAGCTTTAATTGAATCCTCATCTCTAGGGTTGTACTTCATTGGCACTATCTACGACCAAAGAAGCAGATGTAAAACTTTCAGAAAAGAAATCAGGAGCGGGAAAGACATATAAGACAGAGATCAAGACACCTGTCCCAGATCACCCATCAGTTTAAGATGTCTGTGGGAATCTTCAGAGCCTCGGAAAGGAACAAGAACTTGAGAACCCATTTTAGCTGCCAAAACGTATAAAAGAGAGATGGGCAGTCAGCCATAAACTGCGAACTCAAAATGCTGAAAACTAAAAAATGTTTTTGACAACTCACCAAGCTGTTGAACAACATAGCGACCAAGAAAGCCTGTGGCTCCGAAGACAGTGGCAACAATTCCACTGAAAATTTCATAAAAATCAAGCAGATGATGGAAAATTAATCAGGTGATGAGTGATATCTCCTCGGAGTAAGTTAGTTTTTCAATCATACAGGCGTCTAATGTTCGGAAGACATTGACGATACCCCTCCAAGTGTATTGCTAACAAAACACGGAGAGCGCATATAACTACAGCTTTCTGCGAATCGCCATAACGAAAAAAAGTTGCCTAAACCAATGGCAGGACAAAATACAGTCAACCTCACCCATCCAAACCTTCTTTCAGAAATAAGTCATAGAATCTCACCTGACGGATGACCTACCCCCCGTGCCCTTGCGCACGAGGTGCCCGACTCCCTTAACCGCAATGTCGGATGAGTACCGTACGTCGTGAGTCTCATACACTGCAATGTACGATCCGACGACATCAGAAAAATAGATAATAAAGAGAATGAGCGACTTTTGACGGCGAAATTGGCCACACGGGTAGAAGATCGCGCCACAGAGAAAACCCTAGGAAATCAAGATTGGGGGGCAGCAGGAGAACAAATGGTAGGGCGGGCGCAGAGGGACTACCTGCTGGCAGAGGATGTACAGATTTAAGGGAGGCAGACAGGGCAGGCGAGCTCTGCAGGAATTGCTGCCATGAGCGCCTCGAGCAACCCTGCATCATTCCGGCGATCGGCAGACACAGACGTGAGCTAAGCGAAGGCGTATTCCACAGAGAGCAGCGGTGGGACTCCTTTCTTTATACGCGATTTCGCTGCTCCGCCGGACCATGGTAAATCTTACGGGAGGCTTAGTGTTTGGTATCCATTTTGGGGAATCGTTTTAACCAGAAAGACAAATCTGGGAAACCCAGGCCCAGCTATCGTTAAGTCGGCCCATGAAAGACCATTAAACCGAGCACCTGGTTTCCGCACAAAAATCTCTTCACATCCCAGGCCCACGTAGTGGAGTTTGGGCCTCCAGATTAATAACGCCCAGTCTACACGCCACGTACGTCGAGTATTATATTCTGGACAGCCCACCGGATTCCTAGGAATTCAGTCAACTGATGGATAGGCAGCCGCCGACGCCGTCATCGCCGTCGCCGCCGCCGTCCATCATCAAGTGACCAACTCCGGGCGGCTTGTACGAAGTCGACGTGCCGACGGCTAGCCCCCGACGTGGTGCACGCGCACGTGCACGAACAGATATTGCTACATACGGACCATAGTTTCGTACCAACAGATTTGGGCAACCGCCGCCGCCGCCGTCCTTCATCAAGTGTTCGACTCCGGACGGCTTCCGGGAAGTGGACGTTCATGCATGGATATCACTACATACGGACCATAGTTCCGTACCAACGGCCCTATGGATAGGGGGTCCCCCATGAGTCAACGGTTAGATTCGGCGGCCCTGGTTGACATCCCCATCCCGTACGCGTAGCCACTGCATGAATGCCGGCGACCGTTGACTGTAGAGAGTGAAAGGTCGACAGACGTGGAAGCATACGGAGAGAGAGAGACGTGGATGAGGCGATCGCCAAGAGAAGGAGGGCCTCCGTGTCGCAGGGACCTCCTCGTCTACGTGTGAAGCAGTCGAGGGCAGCCGTCGACCTCGGAATGAAGAGGCCTGCGGGGCTGATGAACAGGGGGACCAAAAGCGGATGGGCTTTGCTCATTGAATGCCACATTATCCTAAAACTATATATTTCACTATCGTATCCCTTTCAGTAATTAATCTCTAGCCGCGGACTGCCAGCCGTGGCGGGCGCAAATCCCGTGGGATCCATTATAAGACAAAAGTATGTCTATCAGTAAGTACCCATTAAGTAACTGGTGATAATTATTTCTTAGTGGCATCGTAGAATCTTGAGGGCGATTCCAGTGCCCTTTAATTTTTTTCTGCTTTAAGACGTGGAAAAGCGCACGATCTAAGTGGGAGATCGAGCTGAGGGAAGCCGTTGACTATTTCTTTGAGATCTACGTGGTCGGCTGCCGACGTCGACGCGTCATTGGTGGGAATCGATGTTAGGCAGGCGAGATCCCACACAGTAAGTTCCAGAGAGCAGGGGCGGCGGGGGATGATCCTGCCTTCTCGGAATGTGGGCTCCCACAGAGAGATAGAGGTACAGATAGAGATAGAGATAGAAAGATTGATTGATTGATAGATAGAGAGAGAGAGAGAGAGAGAGAGAGAGAGAAAGAGAGAGAGGTGGGGATATCGGTGGGACTGTGTTGTGAGTGTAGAATGGGTGCAAGATGACCGTTGCGACGGGGGGGAGGGCCGGAGCTTTATTTCCTTCTCGGAAATAATTCTAAGGTGGGGAGGAATCTTTGGCAGGATTGATGGCATCCAGCTGCATCATGGGCCGAGATCCTTTTTCTCTGACAGAACGAGGACAGAGTCATCTTGGAGGACGACGGTCCATCCCCTGCATAACCAGAGAGAAGGACTGGAGATGGAAAGGAACATTTTTTCGATTGGGGTTGAAGAGGAGTCCTCGTCAATCTCCAAAGGACCTTCGTCTACAATGTGACCCATTCAGTGTCAAAAACTTGGGCCAGCAGGATAAAACCAGATGGGGGAAGGTGCTTCTTTGTCCTTTTTACAGCGTTGTACAGAGGTGACGGCAGAGAAAGAATGGTGACCTCATTTGACCAGTGAGTAGACGTGTCTCTGTCGGCAGCCGACGAGGCTCTTCGCCTCCCCCGTCTCCTCTCTCCAGAGTCCGGCGATGTCGTCGGCAATCCTCGTGGCGTCGAGCGCAGCCCCGGAGATACCCCTCCTCGTGAACCCCACTGCGTACAACCCCGATCGTCCTCTCCAGCCGTTGGGGAAGGGCTGCTTGGGGAAGCCGTTCTTGCAGAAGAAATCGGTCTCCTGTAACCAGAAGGGGATGTTGCTGCGGTACCCGGTGGCCAGAACGACGGCGTCGATGTCCATCATCCGGCCGTCGGCGAGCTCGACCTTGGAGCGGAAGAACCTCCGCACCGCCGGAACGACGGCGACCTCGCCAGACCTGATCTTCCCCACGGCGCCGATGTCCAAAACGGGGGTCTTGCCGCCGGCGTACTTGAGCTCGAGGGGGCCCATTGGGGGCCGCCGGAGGCCGAGCTTCTGCACGTTGCCCAGGACCAGCCACGACAGGAGCAGGAGGATCCTGTCGACCAGCCGCAACGGAAGCCACTTCATCAGGAACGCTGCCAGCTCGAACGTTGACTTCCCCAGAACTTCCCTTGGCAGGACGTGCACCTGTTCCACCATTGACCCGTTAATATCCTCTGTTCTTGGTTGAGAAATCGCAGAGGGAGATTGGGGGGTTTCTGTGCTTACCGAGTCTCGGACAACCATGGAAGGGAAGGCCGAGTGGTGGGCGAGGTCGAGGGAGAGCTCCATGCCGGAGTTGCCGCAGCCGACCACGAGGACCTTCTTCCCCCGGTACTCCTTGCCGGACTTGTAGTCGCAGGCGTGGATTACTTCGCCGGCGAAGTCTTGAAGCCCTTCGATGTCCGGCACCAGTCTCTCGGCGTTCTCCCCCGTCGCCACTACCAGCCACCGGCAGATGTACTCCACCTCGGCGGCGGTGGCGCCGTCGCCGGCGACCGTCCTGACCCGCCAGAGCCCGCACGTCTCGTCGTACTTGGCCGACTGAACGCACTCGTTGAAGCGAGGATTGAGATCGAATTTCGTGGAGTAGGATTCGAGATACTCGATGAAATGCTTCCTGGTGGGGTACTTGGGGAAGTTGTCGGGGAAGGGCATGCCGGGGAGCTGGCAGAATTGCTTGGGGAGGTGCAGGCGGAGGCGGTCGTAGGTGCGCTTCTGCCAGAGGGAGGCGATGCAGTGGGAGCGCTCGAGGATGACGAAGGGCACGCCGCGCGCCTGGAGGCTGGCGCCGACGGCGAGCCCCGAAGGCCCCGCGCCGACGATGACCGGTCCGTTCACCCACACGCACCGCCGCGAGAGACCGTCTCGATCAGATGAGTCCCGCGAGGCCATGGCAGCTAGTGCCTTCGTCGGAGGAGAGGGAGGAAGATCGGAGGGAACAAGATCAGGGGAGGAACAGCAGGTGAAGATTAATCAAGCAGTGGGAGTTCAATATCTGAGTGGGTATTGGAGAGAAAACGCATGAGCGGCTCTCACACCGCAGTTGCACACCCACAAGAGCTAGTGAGAAAGCGAGCGATCCCCTTAGAGACACTCAGAGAGCGAGAGAGAGAGAGAGAGAGAGTGAGTGAGGCGCCGTGGGTTTGTCGCTCTAAGGATGATGGAAGAGCAAGGAGTCGCGGGTGAATAAATAGGTGAGCGACAGAGGCCGAGAGAGGGAGAGAGAGAGGATGGTCAGCCCGGCGCCAAAACGATCAAAGCCCGGCGCTTAGATAGCATAAAAAATATATATTTTTACTCCTTTAATCACGACAAAATCGCGGATCTGGCAGATTCTAAGATCGAAGGGCGTAAATTTTATTCTGTTTATTGAGCAAATAGGTGCGACATTATGACAATTAATGCTCCTTCCCACGTCGGTAAGAGAATGTGGAATGCCCCCCCATATCAGATCGCCGTCTTTAAGACCCATCATGTCAATTAAATGGATGAACATTCTTTTTTTATTTATTTTCTTGGCTTCTAGATTTGGCCGATTTCGACACAAATCCAGTCAGGCCCGAGATGGCTTGGCCCAAAAACCAGGAGACGATTCTGCTCCTCTTGTCGTCTTCTACATGCCCGTGGAGTGCCGGTTAGGTTTAGCTTCTAGTTGCAGAAAACTTCCCAGGCGTCTCTCTCTCTCTCTCTCTCTCTCTCTCTCTCTCTCTCTCTCTCTCATGTCGGAACGGCACTGCGGGCTTCTAAGTGATGGTGAGGCCTGTATTTGACTTGGCGAGACTTCGCCAGCTGATATTGAGAGAGAAAGAGATAGAGAGATGAGCTGGCATTGAGCTTCTGGGCATGAACAGCGGTGACTAGGCATGGAACAGCTAACTGGGCTCTGGGTTGACCTGCCAGCCCCATCGACCTCCGTGGCCATTATCGTTTATAAGAAAGTGTTAGCCACCACCGGTGCCCTACCCAACGCTCATGGCAGTGGGATCAACGTGATGATGGTGTGTCTTCTCATCCCCCAACTCTAAGACCATCCACTTAATCCTCTATCTTATTCTTTCCTTAATTGTTCCGGTGAATCCAGCCCCCCTCTCCACGAGACAAGCCTCCACTGGAATCCCTCTCTCACTCTCTCTCTCTCTCTTCCATGTTCTCGTTCACTTTCTCATCTGCTGCTTTAATAATGGGAGAGAGAGAGAGAGAGAACAGCGACGGCGGAGGGTGTGAACGAGACGGAGGAACACGTAAAGCAGTCAGACTGTACGATGAGAAAGAGACTGATCCGAGGTGAGGACGCCTGCATGCTACTGTGAGGCTCGAGAGTCTGCGGTCCTCCTCTCTCTCTCTCTCTCTCTCTCCGGAAAAAAGGTTCACATGTGGTCTGCGCAGAGCCCGTCTTCTTAAATTTCTGTGAACTATGTTCGGGCCTTAAAAGGCACATAGGGAGAGTCCGAAATTGGGTCGGCCCCATTGTAACCCACGTAGGGTCAGAAGGACCCATTTCCAAGAATGGAATGAGAGAGAGAGAGAGAGAGAGAGGGAGAGAGAGACTATGAAGAGAGAGAGAGAGAGGGAGAGAGAGACTATGAAGAGAGAGAGAGAGAGAGGGAGAGAGAGGGAGAGAGAGACTATGAAGAGAGAGAGAGAAAGAGGGAGAGAGAGACTATGAAGAGAGAGAGAGAGGGAGGGAGAGACTATAAAGAGAGAGAGAGAGGTAGAGAGGGACTATGAAGAGAGGGAGAGAGAGAGAGAGAGAGAGTAAGAGAGAGGGAGAGAGAGACTATGAAGAGAGAGAGGGAGAGAGAGGGAGAATAAGAGAGAGAGAGAGAGTAAGAGAGAGAGGGAGAGAGAGGGAGAACACGAGTGAGAGAGAGAGTAAGAGAGAGGAGTAAAACTGAAAGTCACAGAAGAATCTGATCGCATTCTACCATCAGTTGGACCGGGTCAGGTCAGCTGCAGTAGCAGGACGGCACCTTCACCTCTCATTCCCATTTACACTGATTGGAATGGAAGGAATCACCAGCCAGGAGCTCCACAACCAGATTCTCTAGCCTCTTAGCTCCCGGACCCGGCCTCAGAACCTCAGCGCTCCCCCAGACAGAGCATGGGTCGCCGTCGGCGCCGCCGTCCCCCAAGCACCACCCGCCGGGGACGATCCGGCCTGGCCGGCGATTCAACAGCTCCCGATCAATCTGGTCAAGGACGGAGCTGTTCCTCTCAAAGCGGGCACCAAATGCCGCCCTGCTCTGAGTCATGTTGCCGAGATCAGCCGAGGAGAGCACCCGCGGAAGGTCCTGCCGCCTGGGCTCATCCCACGCCGTGTACCGCAGGTTGTGGTTGACTATGGAGCCATTGAACTGGATGGAGTTGCAGAGGAGGGTCTGGAAGTAATTTCTGTGCGATGAAGGTATGTTGGCGTAATACATCAGCAGGGTCCTCGGCAGATTGTCAACGCCCAGAATGCAGAAATCCAGAAATTTCCGGCTAAGTATGACTGATCCTGACCCTATAAGAAAAGAAAGAAAGAACCCATTATAATAGATGATAGAGTCAAACTAAGACAATCATACACATCTCAGTGATAAAATGACGGCGATGGCTAACTAGAATCAGAAAAGAAAGGAAGATCGAGTAAGAGCCTGCCAGGATTGGTTTCTGTCTTATTTCTACATTGAAATGAAAACAATTGTGGAATAAGGTTACCCTTTTTGGTCAGAAGGGAGTACGTGATAGAAAAGCTCAAGAACATCAACCCAGAATTTGCATGCAATGGGCGGCAAAAGACAGTGTTAAGAACTATGCCCGATCAAGATCTTCCTCCCAAATCGATGCGATCCAAGAATCTCTGTTCATTGCCACAAAAAATCTTCCTTTCACTGCATCATCAAATGAGGAGGCCTTTGCTAGAAAATATTTTAAATTTAAAATAACATACATATATATATATATATATTATTTTGTCTCTGTTTCACACTGAGCACCTTAAATTTAAGGGTTTCACCCAAAAGGAGATCGGTCTGGAGGTTCATATAAGCTTCATGAGAAGCTAACCTTTGCCCTTGCTGCACCTGGGTTGACGTCCAAGCCCTGAATGACTCTGTTTCACCATTCTACCCTATAAGTTTGAAATGGGATGATCTTCCTTCCTCTCTCAGGTCGTCACTTGGATTCTCTCATCATTGATAAGGTCATTTATCCTATCAGATTTTGGATATGGTCTGATCCAAATAATTCGTTACTATAGATATCTGGGTTGGAGATTTTAATGGGCTGATACCAGTTAAATTGGGCGGCGAAGTCAGGTGGGAACACTGATCCATAAAGAAGAAGATGAGACCAATTGGTCCAACTACATGTTGTCAACACACTGCAAACGTAGGGGAAACAATTGATAGAGAAGCCAGAAAGGAGGCAGAAGGGGAAGAGCAGGTGAGCAGTCAGCCAGCAGGCCCTAAGAAGTAATGGAGGGATACCTGACAAACTAAAGGTGAGGATGGCAAAAAGGGAGTTCATGATTTTCAGGCAACTGAGGGAGGAAAGAACCTAAAAATAACGGGGGCAAACTGATAGAGAGGGTCCAGATAGCCACATTCTTGATGAGCTGTTTGCTAACTTCCCACTTGCTCTGTTCGCCACAGATATGATGAAGAATAAGATGGAGAAGAGGGGATTCCCCCCATCAGTCACTAGGACAGTGTCATTCCCTTCCTTATTGACTAGGGTGGGGGGCACAGCAGACATTAAACAGAGACAGCGGACGTCAGATGAGATAGGAACTGTGGTCATCTTACACTCTTTCAATGAATGTAAATGAGAGGATGGGAGGATGGGAGGATGGGAGGATGGGAGGATGAGAGAAAACCAACCAGAGTAATGGTAATAAACGACAACTAAGGGATGGAGAACTCAATGGACTGCAGAGGAGAGTGTTGATAGCTAGCAGCCGCATCCCACTTCGAATCCGGCATGTGAGAAAGAAAGTAGACTGCAGGAAGGAGATAGCATCGACAACAGAATTCCTCGTCAGCTGTGTTCTCAATTTTTGTTCCTTTTTCTTGGTTTTGGTGAGAATAATGTAGAGGAATATTGTAAAGATGCTGCTGCTAGAAGACATGATGGGGGCTATGGTCTGCTGGCCTTAGACAAGGAAAGCACAACCAGGCTGAGGCTTCTCCTGTTTGAGTTATTTTTCTCCCCTTTCAAAATGGGTCTAAAGAATGAAGGGATACCAGAGGCAGTAAGAATGGTTAACCTCGTTTTAGGAACAGTTTGGGACTGAGTGATTGAAAGCAACATGAGCTGCTATTACGACAATTTCAATCCATTTACACTGCTGACAGCCTTTTACTAGTCTCGGCTCAGTCTCTACTTTTGGAATAACCTCTCACTTATAATTGAAACCGATTCCCCCCACACATATCATGGATCGCTTGACATTCTCTGCAGTTGCCAGATGAATGTCCGGACTCATCATCTTCATTTCAAGCCTACTCATGAAGCCTTTCAGCTACTTTTGAATTCCTTCAGAAACTCTATCTGGCCCACAAATGCCCACCATTGATATAGCCTCAATAGCAGAACCTTTGAACTCGCATGCAGTCACATCTTTTGAGCTCCCTCAAGAACAGGAGAACAAATGGGCTCAGGAAGGGTGCACGAATGTGGGGTATGCAAGCACCACATATTGCCCTTGGATTAGGTAAGGAGGAAGGGCTCCAACAAGAACTTGGGGAAACTTTATCAGTTCTGTAGCAGTCGGACTCGAAGTCAAACCTCCATCAAGAATGCATTTCGAAGGGCAAAATATCCTCCAATTGTTAAAATACGAAAATGCCCCAAGAGTAGAGTATGATCATAGCACACGAAAACGCCCCAAATGTTAGAACTGAAGGGTGATTCAACCATTTCCAGCTGCTCCAGGATCTTAACTATAGTTACTTGTCACTTGCAAGAAATATTTAACATTATCTCAAGGGAAATCCTAATAAGTTAAAACAATGAAGTTATGAAATGTCCCATAAACACGTCACATCCCAGATTTCAAGACTTTACCTAGGTGATGCCTATATAATGTCCAGGCAGAAGACATTCTGAACACCTAAGGCATCCTGGTTGTTTATAAATTAATGTATGCATTTTTGGTACATTTAAAAAAGGGAATAATCTTAAAATATTATTTTAAATGAAATTAAAAGCATTTTAATAATGAGAATCATTTCAGTCACTACGGGATATTATTGAACATATATACTTATTTTTCTGCTATTAATATTATGCTTACGCTTATATGCATAGTTTGCCAAATCTATCATTACTTAGTTGACTGGTAGCAGTTTGAAAAAAATGTAAATTAATAAAAAGTTGGTCTCCCTAGGCAATGCCTAATGCCCTCTTCTCGTTGCCTAGGTAGTAAGTTATTGATCTACGACCTTGCTCACCATAAAACTTGCACCATATGAACATGCCTTCAGATTTATTTTTTACGTGATGATTCAAAATACTCTGCCAATTTGGTCAAGTGAGGTCATCATATATAATGTTAGATGTCAAATGGTGCCTCAGTAACATGGAGTAAATAAAATAAATTCAACAGTGTTTCTTTTTTGGTCCTTGAATTAGCCCCGATCAAATGAGGAAGAAGTATAATTAACAGCAAGTCACCTGGTTTCCTGGTCAAATATCCGTAAGATTAAACCTAGTACAGCAGGAAAAATAATAATGCCAAAGGACGCATCCAGTTATGAGACCATCTACATTTTACCTCCAGTTATGAAACCATGTACTTCGGTCACTGCTTCACGCATTGACAACCAAGATTCAAGGAAAACTCAACATGTTCTCAAAAAAAATTTGACACGAGTAGATAGTCACCTGAGAATAATCTGTAGGCATTTGGCAGATTCCTCTTCTGTGTAGCGTAAATAACATCACTCTTAGAGGAGTCGTACAGACCAGAATCGACAATAACTGGTTTTATTCGACGGGATCTGTGACAAAGCAAGTATTTACAATAAGAAACCAAGCCATACTGCTGATTCTCAATAGAGGTGATTCAAGGTGTGTGGTAGATATGCTTACTCTCTCCAACCAATGTGACCAGAATGCTGAACAAAATTTATATCTTTGGGTAGGAACGAAAATATGTGGAGAATATCTGCAATCCATAATGGGATTATCCACACAGGCATCAGACATCCAAAGACGGATGATATACAGTATCACCGTTCATAGACAACTATGGAAAGCGAATGCGGGAGAAAGAACATCAAAATATCACACAGTCGTGGTCCAAACCTTTCATCAACCGGAAAACATATGCCATTTCGAAACCACAAACCCTAGACTCAAATGTCTGGGCGCTTCTGTAAAAATAAAAGTACGACATCTGGTTGATGATGTTGACGATACTTTCGATAAAACATTGGTGAAACCAATGAGGAGATCGTGAGAAGAATAAGATGCTCCATACATCAAAATACCTAATGAAAATTTTCACATTGGTTGTTCAGTGGCATACATATTTTAAAAAATCTGAATTTCTTTTCACCAGTCTAATGCAGGTCTTATAAAAAAACACCACAACTAGTTTCACAGAAGGCAACCTAGGGCCCTTGATTCGGGGTGTCGGAATCAAGCGAGACGTCAATAAACAATTGTCCATTTGAAAATATATACACTATTATCAGAGTAGCCTCAACATCAGAATCATATGAAAATGAGCGACTGGGAATTTAAAAAATATGTCCATTAGTTTATCAACCTAGTCTTGTGAGAATGGTCAAAAGTCCCCGCAGACTCCAGTCTTCACGACTAATTGAACTTGACAAAGAGCATTCATCCGTCCGGGTTTTACTCGAAAGAATACGAATAAATACGTACCATCCTGCGTCACGAGGGGGTAGTCCGACGCGTCAAGATTTATGAACCAGTCCCAATTGGCACCCAGTCGTAGAAGAATGGCGGCGCCGTGAAGCACGGCGGAGAGAGCGGATGATCCCCGGCGATCGGCGAAATCCGCCTTGCCGATGACATGAACGTTGCTGGCGGAGCGGAACACCGGAACGGAGCTGATAGTGAGAGCGAACGAGCGGCGCTGTTCCTGCGAGGCAGCGAGGTCGAGATGCAAGAGGTACACGTTCCTGGGATGGTAGACGGCGGAGAGGAGTCGGAGTAGGCGATCCGCGTCCCCGTCGGAGCCCGAAATGAGGTAGGCGAGGGAGGGAGGGTAAGGCCCGGGGATTCCGGACAAGATAGAAGCGGCGACGCCGGCAGCAGACTTCGAGAGGAGAAAAGATGCCGGAGAGGAGCGGGAGGGTGAAGACAGAGAAGAGGAGGAAGGTGAGAGTGATAGGGCGAGGATAAACAAGACGGAGACGATGGACGCAACGAGCACGCAGCGGAGGCTGCGCGTATCCTTGGGGACGCCGGAGAGCAGTGGAGGCATCTCTTCTTCCTTTCCTCCTTCCCCGTTCTTCCTCCCGCTGCGTCCCCCCTGCCTAGTATCAGGAGGTGTTCCCCCGTTAACCATTTGCTGCACCGTAACTTGGGCCTTTTGGACCGAGTCATGAGTCTAGAGCGAGAGTACGGCCCACTTAGGTTTTCATTATTTGAGCCGCGAGTGAGGAGTTTCCCCAAATGATAAGGCCCAAAAGGCCCAAACTTTTCGCCCAAGCCCATCAAAATCGATGGGTTCGGGCTAGGCTGGGGGCGTACAGGCCTGTCGGCCGTTGAACGATATCAACTCTTTAAGTAATAGCACCTTTCTATTTTATACATTTGCAACTTCACCCATATTTTCTTGAATATATCCAACTTATCTGGAGGGTTTCTTGCTCGCGCTAGTCGTGACCTTGAAGGGCGGTGGCGGGAGCTCTGTGCGGAGGAGGGAGGTAGGTGCTTGGACGGGCGATGGGGCCTTCCAGACAGTGCGAGGTCTGCAAAGAGACTGCATCGAAGTACAAGTGCCCCTCCTGCCTTCTTCCCTAGTAAGCAGCGGCACTACTACTATTCACGCTTTTCGGCATCTATCATGATCACGGTTTCGCAAGGTTTCGACCTCGTTCTTCGTTTTGGTTTTGAAGGTGCACATTTTTAATGCGAGATATATTGTGAATGTTCTGTTGCCCCGTGAATTAGATGGGGTGGGAGGAGGTGTTTCGTCTTGAAGACTGCCTTTTCCGCAAGTTGTTGTGATGACTCGGGACGAGGGATTGATATATGGATTATGTCTCGTGGGAAATTTTCTAGAAGAAGCAAGATTATAAAATTCGCTGTCGAATGTCAACTGAAGGATGACAGGTTTTGGGTTGGTTCGAGTGCTCGGCTTTATCGCAGAACCCTCTAAAACCGAATTATGCTGTTATCAGAGGGATTATTTCCCCGAATAGCATAAAATCCATGAATTTAGGAGCCATCAAATCGATCCCAAGGATCCTCAGCCACCTTAGCTAGGAGGTTCGTATGAAAAGATCTGCCACACATTCATCTATTTATGATTGTGGCTTTTTGATAATAGATGGTTTAGAGGGGGGACTAGTTAAACAGTGGCGTAGATGACGAGTACAATGCCTATATTTCTTTCAAGAACTAGAGTGTAAGTAAGAGAGAAACAAAATAAATACCAGGAATCGCCCATAGCGATTCACTTCACTATGAATCTGGGGCCTTTTGCGTTTTAATAAAGTGGACCTTTCCTAACCGAGCTCAAGACTGGATTCAAAATACGTAAAACTTTAATTGGCGTATTCAGAACAAAGAGAGATGTAGTGAGCTGTGTTCTTTCATAGGGTCTTAATGCACTTCTTTGAGAAATATTATGGGCGAAGGGGCACATTTTCTGGCTAGTTCTGATGACAGGCATATGAAAACATTGGTGTTCAAAAGTTATAATTCACATATTCAGGGAACTGAAATGAAATGGCCATTCAACATCTCGATAAATATTCGAAATTTGTGACCAATGAGTTCTGATCTTTTGGATCTGTCTTTACAGTGGATTGCCAGATTTTGCTTTGGTTTTGAACCTCAGTAATTATTTATTTAGCGGTAATATTGGTATATATTTCATTTACAGAGGTTTCGAAAATTGAATTTTTTTCATGTCAACCATTTTGAGATGCAATGGGTTTGGAGGTATGACATATTTGCTTTTGACAACCGGAAGAAGTAGATCAGAGAAGGGAATCAGTGTGGGAGAATCATTGAATTTGTGAGAGGTGGATAATGGCGAGTCCTTCCAGTATTAAGGTGGATATGGTAATAAATACCGCCAATGTATGATATCTGCGACTACCCATATTAGAGGAAAATTGGCGTTTAGGGTTGGTGGTTGTGGTGATCCTGGCATGTGAAATTGCCACGTTCTAGCAAGTTAGAACATCATATATATTATTGGGTTCAAAACTGTGATGATTAACTTCATCTTCTCTTGGCAGTTGTTCATTGGTGTGTTTTAAGAAGCACAAAGGTACGTACCTTTTTACCAAGTTCACTCCGTATATTGTAAATGCAGTAATGGCATCATCCCTTTTTTTCCATATATCGCTCATACTGACGTTTCTTCTTTAACTGACACAGAAACGCCTTGCAAAGTAGCTCCACCTCCTTCAGAGAATATAGGCAAGTGTTTTATCACTAATGCCCTTTGTGCTAAATATATCTATCTATATATATATATATATATATCGAGAGAGAGAGAGAGAGAGAGAGAGGCGTGATACTGGATGTTCCTACTAAACTATATCTTTTCCATTTGAGCTGCTTCTGCATGTATATTTCCTCCAGTCATCATTTATAGTTCTTCGGTCTGTTGATTTTGCCCACTTGTACCCAGTTCCTTTGAGATATCTGTTCCTTATTTCCTTTCAGATGCATCTGTTACTAAGATCTGTTCATACAATTCAGTTCATACAGCTCTTCCGAAAAGGTCATACCAAGTGGGAGAGGAAAGCTGGGTTCTCAAGAAGCAGCAGCTGCGATCTCTTGGTGAGGCCTTCTTACAGACCTAGCCTCCTGTTTTCGTATGTCTTTTCTTCAGGAAGCAATTCAAACTTAGGCGAGAGCACTGGTTTGCGAATTTTTCGAAGAACTTGTGAAGATGGAAAAGAGATGATTCTTATGAGATGGGCATTTGGCCCTTTTGCCTTCTACCTTTATTTATTTCCTTAGAGAGATGTCATTTAATGTTTTCAATCAAAATGACTACTCTATTCGTTGTTTGCTTTTGGATCTTCCCAATCTTATTTCCCTTCCTCTGAGATCTATTATTCCATGTGGATATGTCATATTTTGACCCCATGCACTGCGAAAGCCTCAAGAACTTGACCACTGGGACTTGGGATCTCAGTGATGAAGCCCGCTCTGATGCCACCTTCCCCTTAACACCTCCCTGCAGAAAGCCTCATCGGGCATGTGGATAGTTTGGGCCAGGCTAGGCACCGGCATCTTATGGGTCCGGGCTGAAACCCATCTTCTGGGTTTTTCCCTGGGACTGTGCTGGGTCCTGATCCTGGCCCTGGCCCACTTGCTTTTGACTCTTGATTTCGCTCTGTGCTTGATTATTCATGGTTTTTCCCTCCAATGGTTTGGATTTGCAGTGGACTGCCAGGAAATTCATGATTCTCTGAAGAACGAAGAAATTAGAAATCTTATACAAGCAATCGATAGCTCAGAGTTTCCAGAAGATGTAAGCAGTTGCCCCCCTCCCCCCTCCCCCCGTTCTCTCTCTCTCTATAAATATATATATTTATACATATGTCGAGATAAATATATATTCATACTGGCACACTATTTTCCCAATTCCAGCATGATTTCTTATGATCGGGAAACTGCTATTTTCTGTGAAGCGATTTTCTTTAAATTTTAAATTTTGGGTTTATATGGGCAGGACCTTACGAAGGCCATGAAAGGGGAGCTGTTCCTTGATTTCACGAACAAGGTAAGAATCATCTCCTGGCCAATCTTTTCATGTCATCGCGCTTATGATTATTGAGGAGTTTTCCTGTTACGATTTTGCAGATTTTATCCATCATCAGCCCAGAAGAATAAGATTGGAATCCGTCCAATGCTAGAGATATCAAAGCCCTGGTTTTGAAGCATGGAAGCCATTGATCTGTGCTTATATGTTGTATGATCCTGTTCGCCTGATATAACCAGCTGCATTTTCTTTTTTTATTTTTGATGAGTTAAACATCACTTTCGTTTTGTTTGATCTAAGAAAAGTTTCAATGTGATGGATTCCTCTCGGTCAGAAGAAATTACAAGCGCAAATCTCTCTTGTGATGCTCGCATGGCTGATCTGAGCAAAGGCTGGAGGACAAACCCAGTGTCCCTCATCATCATCATCATCATCATCATCATCATCATCTTCTTCTTCTTCCTCCTAAGGGATGATGCCGATTAGGGTTGCGGCGAGAGGTCGGCAGAGGCGCGATGTTGGATGTTGACCCCGGAGGTCACAGCCTCTTCGTCCATTCCGTGCAGAGAGTCTATCAAGTTCATTCGCAGCGACGCCGGTCCCCTGGACGTGGCCATCCCGATCTCCCCAGCCAAGCCGAAGACGGCCAGAGCGCAGGCGGTGGCTTGGAGAGCGCGCTGCGGGGTCACCGCGACGAAGGCGGCGATCAGAGCGGTGACGGCACAGCCGGTGGCGGTGATCTTCTGCAGCATCGGCACTCCGTTCGTCACCGCCATCACCTGCTTCCCGTCCGTCACCAGGTCGACGGCGCCGGTGACCGCAACGACGGCGCCGGTGGACAGCGCCAAGGACTTCGCCGCGTCTATCGCCTCCACCGACTCGTGCGAGCTGTCTGCCCCCTGTTCAGAAAAGTATCAAGATTCACGGAATCAGGGATTCAACCAAGTATGAACACGATATCTTCTCCGATCGCGCTGCCAGATCTGAATTCAAGGTTCGCTTGAATTACCTTGCTTCCCTGGACCCTGGAGGCATTGGAGATCCCGATGATCTCTGAGGCGTTTCCCCGAATGACTGCCGGCCTGAGCAGCAGGAGTTGCAGGCAGGCATTCAGACGGAAATCGGAGGCGGAGACGGCGACGGGGTCGAGGACCCAGGGCCGGCCGGATCGGGCCGCGGCGGCGGCGGCCGCCATCATCGAGGGAAGCCAAGCTTCGGAGAGCGTACCGATGTTGATCAGGAGGGCGTCGGTGTGGGGAGTGAAGTCGTTTATTTCGGGGAGGGAGTGGACCATCGCCGGAGAGGCGCCGCCGGCCAAGAGGACGTTGGCCATCAAGTCCATGGACACGAGGTTGGTGATGCACTGGACGAGCGGGGACCGCTCCCTCACCGTCGACAGAAGCTCCCAGCTGCGCCGGCCCCACATCTCCGGCTCCCCCATGACCGTAGGCCGCCGGTTGGGTCTTCTTCCTGTGTACCTCTCTTCCGTTGTCCACAGAAGAAAAAAACCCAGAGGAATGGCCCCACCGACTCACCAGTTCGCGCCTTGGATCGGACGGCGATCCGGTTCAGCGGGGCCGTCGACCTTTTGACTGGCTCTCACGACCAGGGATGAATCTGAGAAGAGAGAAGAGATAGAGATAGAGAGAGAGAGAAAGAGAGAGAGAGAGAGGGTGGGAGGGAAGGAGGTACTACAGATCATCTGCTTCGTTGGCCGGCGGCGCGGTCTTGAGAACGGTGGCTAGGAAGTCGTCCAGGGCGGCGGCGGAGGTACCCTTGTCGTCTTCCTCCTCGATCGCCGTCCTTATCGTCTGGGCTGTCGACGCCGCCTTTCTCCTCATGTTCTCCCCCTTCTCGCCGTCCATCACCAAGCCGACGACCCTCTCCACCTCCACGCTGGAGACTCGCTGCTCCACCCCCCTGGCCAGCTCCACGCACACGCCCAGCTCCTCCTCCATCATCTTCGAGTTGTAGAACTGTTCCGCCGCCATGGGCCATCCGATGAGTGGCACGCCCCTGCTTAGGCTCTCCAGCACCGAGTTCCACCCGCAATGGGACAGGAATCCTCCCACCGACGGGTGGGACAGGATCTCCAGCTGCGGCGACCAGTTCCGGACCAGGAGGCCTCGTCCGCTCTTCCCCGTGCGATCCTCGAATCCCTTTGGCAGCCACTCGTCCTTGAACTCTGCCTTCACGTCGAAGCCGAAGGGCGGGCGGATGACCCAGATGAACGGCCGGCGGGTCGCCTCAAGGCCCGCCGCCAGCGCCATCATCTGCGCGGCGGAAATGCTGTTCTGAGAACCGAAGGAGACGTAGAGGACGGAGCGGGGAGGATGAGCATCCAACCACCGTAGGCAGGTCTCTGGGTCGACCCCGGGCACCCTCCGGGCTCCCCTGCCGGCAGAGTTGGTGGTCTCCAGGGGGTGAACAGGCCCGATGGACCAGACGCAGAGTCCGGCGATTTTCCGGAGCAGCGCCATTCCCATCGGCTCCAACCCTTCCACTGTGTTGCATAGGATCGCCTTGGAAGACAAGCACAGGGCTATTTGCTGCCGTATGACGGAGGACCACGGGTCCGCTCCGTCGGCGTATCTCAGAGTCGGAGAGAGCTGCGACAGGTGGAGTCGAAAGCTCTCCGGGAAGCCCGGCACCCAGAAGTCATCCTCGGAGGTCGTGTGAGAGTGCGGCAGGTTCATCCACATGGAGAAGTAGACGGCTGTGCCGAAGGCGCCGCAGGTGTTGAAGATGGCGTGGAACACGCCGAGCTTCTCGGCTATCTGGACGGTCCACCCGAGGAAGAAGTCGACGATGATGCACAGTGGGGGGCGACCGTCCTCCTTGGTGATCTCCTCGGCGATCAGCCGCTCGAACTGTGGCTGGAGGGTGGTAGAAGCCTGGAATATCCGGATCAAGTCCTGGAAAGGCACAGAGTCGGTGTTCTCGGTATCGGGCGGCAGGCCGTGGTCGGCGCTGCGGAAAGGGATCTCCCTGAGGAGGACGCCGGAATCAGGAGGGAGGGACTGCCGGAGGCTGCGGACGTTGAGAGGCGTGCTGACGAGGGTGACGGTGAAGCGGCCTGGGTATCTCCGGGTGATCAGCTTGGCTAGTGCGAGGAAGGGGATGATGTGTCCCTGCGCCAGGAATGGGAACAAGACGATGTGCTGCCGCCGTGCCATATCTGCGGTGGATGTCTGAGCGGCGGCCTTGCGGAGAAATGTCGGATGGGCGTCTGATCCCCCTACTGATGCGGGGGTTTTTAAAGAAGTTGAGTCGACGTCCTCGCCTGCGTCATCATTACCAGTTGGACTATCGTTTACGGCATTAAATAATAATATATATTTTTTGTTCATTCGAAAGCCGATATCCTACTTGCCATAGGCATAGAGTTATCTGGTTTTAACCTGCTGGTTAAACTAATCGAAATGTAAGATCCGGCGAGGCATTTCCGCATACGTTAGGTCCAAGTCGGAGTGCCCGGAAATTTTCATTGTATACTACGGGAATAGATGAGGACCGGAAGATGCATTCTAACACCCGATTCCGAATCTGATCTGATCCCGAACTCAACAAGTAGGTTCAATAGTTTAGCATTTAGGCCGTAACATTTAGCAAAAAACAAATCTTTAACCCAACAAGTGCTCTCCAAACCAAGCTAGATAGTCTCCTATCACTAGCTCCTAAGCTCGATTTTACCCTGTGGCGGATGTCAGCGGTTCGAGTCCGCTTATCTCCAGCCCGTGAACTTAGCCGATGATATGATAGCATCCCATTTTTCCGTCATCTTGGCAGGAATTCCTTTAAAACTAGGAAGGACGCTTTCAGAGGCGGGGTGACAGACAAGTGAAATTTTAGGTCATCGCAAACCATAACATTCTCAATGCTAAACGGCTCCAATGGCGTTGAATTAGTTTTTTTTTCTTTTTATTAAACTATAATAGAACCCTTTCATAATAAGGCTGTGGGTCGTACAAGACTGTTGGTTTCTTCAAATATTAACCAACTTTGATGACATATAAAAGTTGATTATATCTAACATTAATGAATTATGAGGCTAAACACTAAGCAATGTAGAGTTTATGACAAATTAAAAGGATAACTTTAAAATATAATGACTCATTTGTGATTGAATTTGCTTCCAAGGAGACAAAACCATATGGCCTTATCATTCTACGTTTTTTATCACGTATCTAAATATTTGGTTGAGTTTTCACATCCTTTTAATCTGACCAACACTCATTGAATTCGTTCCTCAAAATAGTTCATATAAACTAGAAATAATTCATTATACTAGTGAAAGAACTCAGACTTTGTACCCATAAAATCTCACATTTACATGAAGTCCTTTTTAAAAAGCAAATGCAAGAGTAGCAGTTGAATTATGCTCAAACTCATTTTTCACTCTATACACATGTAAGTTGGATATATGGCTACATTTAGACTAAGAAGGCAGTTTATTTGATTATATATAATTATTTGAATAACCATGTTTCTTTAACTTGCTTTGATTTTTTATTCCACCAATGATTAGACCTAGAACATGAGAAATTTTATAAAAATTTGGTCTCACCCGAATGTACTCTACTAATGTTTCCTTGTTCTTGGCTTTCATTAATTACTAAGTATTTTTTGTTGATTATTTGGGATCAACTCCGGCCAAGCTTCTTGTGAAACCCTAACTACTGTTTCACATGATCTAGACTACCAATTGATTGGTTACAAGGATCAACTCCTTGAGTTATAAGCCTTGCTTATTGCAAATTGAACCACAAAGATTAAGGAAATAATTCTTTACAATTGACTTATCCAAAAGATATGGAAGATAATGGATTAGAATAATTCTACGAGAGGCTGACTGATCTTTTAAAATCTTGATTCACTTCTCATATCAAACTCATGTTGATTTTTTAATGAAACACATTGTTTTTCTTGATCTGATTCTTGATTCTAACTTCACATTTTCATTATTGCAAATTAATATTTAATTTTCAATTAAAATTCTTTCTCATGGGATGTTGCAAACATTAGCAAGATAACTATGATAGAATAGGCAATTGAGATTTCTCAAATGAAAAAGAAACACTCCCACTGCAAACTTCATTTTGAATTGATATTTCTTTATTTTTGTATTCTTTCAACATTTTCTTTCTAAAATTATTAAAGGAGATAATGAAAGTATCCAATGTGACACTTTCTGTAGGTCTTTCAAATAGTCCTTTATATTCAAAACAAATAACAATACTATAAACTTTAATGTAAATGTCCATTTATGACGGATATGAGAAGCCCAAACTGCATATGATAGTTGGAGTAGTGACCCATGAAGATATATTGATATAAAGTAATTATTTTGACTTCAACTAAAACCAAAATATTAAAATTAAATCATTATTAATTATTCATCTATATTTTTTTATAAATTTAAATAATTATTAAAAAAACCATATCTCAATAACAACATATTGCAAACGTAAAACATGATTTCTTTGTAATAGTGTCACATAACATTGTGATGTTTAGTTTATATATTTATTCTACACAATTTATTTATAAACATTTCAAATCATTATTTATAATATATGGGTATAAAGTGTAATTTGATTGAAAATATATGCACTAAATGAAAAATGATTTTGAGTAGGAAGAGCTCCATTTAGAGGAATTCTTCATGAACCTATTGAGACTTTTCTATTATTCTTGTGGTGACTTGGAAGGGTATTGCTCTAGTATGGAGCTTGAACTTGGCCATAGTTATTTGTGAGATGTAGTTGAGGCTTTGGTGTCCACTATCATTGTCATTAATTGTTTGTTGATCATTCTCTGATACTTGAAAGTTTGAGTAGAGGATCTTTTAGTCAAAGTGTTGACTTCAAGATTGGCAAAGTCCACATCTTCACTAGAAGTAATTTTTTTTCTAAATTGTCAATTTCCTCTAGGGCTTCTAGTTGTTCTTCCTTTTGAAGGACCATGACCAATATAATTCCTAGTGGCACTAATGACCTATGGAGTATTTGTCATTGCATGAGTAGAGTTTATGACTTGTTGAGCTTGGATCTCCATTGGGCTGAGTTGGAGTTGTTGGCTTCCTCTAACCACATGTTCTTATGAGTTGAATCCTCTTTCTTTGCCATTCATTTAGGGAAGAATTGACATTAGATATAGTATAATAAGTGCCCCAACTAAGACACCAATGAAAAGGAGGAAACAAAATAAGAAATGCAACAAAATCTATTCCACTATCTACGAATAGAGATTATAAGACTTCAAGATGACTCACAAGTCTCTTAGGCCCCGAATGGTGAGGGTGAGATGGGGTGGCACGAGGGAAAGGATTAGGAAAATAGGAAGATAGATGAGATAACTACTCAAGGACCATCAGTTGGCTGATTAAAGATAGCCACTCTCCTTTCTCTTTTAGAAAGCCAAGAAAATACTTGTTGCTGACTTTTCTCTTCTTCTATCTTTCTAAAGGTCTTACTCATTGATTGACGAATGGTCTGCTTATCTTCTTGCAGCTGATGGAGGTAGATTGAGTCGATATGTCATTGGCTCAATACATTGAAGCATTATCTAGGGGCCCAAAAAATTATATTCCCAACTTCTCATAAGGACTTCGAGTGAGAGAAGTTAGCCTATACAATAGCACTCAAAGATAGACCTAATTGTTGTCTACATGTTCTCAATGATTATAGTTGGCATAATTTTTCATTTGAGCTTGAGCCTTCAATAAGCATTCTTTTAATTGATTGACTTTCTCTTCTCGATCACGTAGTAAATGATCAACTTCATTGTTCACCGGTGACTGATCTCAATACTACAACAAGGTTGATAGATCTCGACTATACATGATATGAAATGGAGATTAATTAGCATAGTTATTGAAATTCATGTTGAAGTAATATTTGGCATAAGGAAGCCATTTATTCTAATGTCTTTGTCAATTGCTTGTGAAGCATCTAAGGTTAAGTCTTATCTTGATTGATCATTTCGCTTTACCCATCAAACTGTGGGTGATAAGAACTTGTTCTCCATAGTGAAGTCTCTTGAAGCCAGAATAATTCACGCTAGTAGGAGCTTAGAAAAATATGATCTCTATTAGGAATAATTGAATATAGAATTCTATGGAGTCACACCACATCACGGATAAAGGTAGGGCTACTTCAAGATATGTGAATAGGTGTCAAAGGGAGAGAAAATGCACCCCCTTGTCTAGGCAATTCACAACCACCATGATAGCATTAAATCTGTTAAAAATTTACAGACATTTAGTAAAATCTATGATCAGGTCAGCCCAAATTTGATCCATACTCGAAAGAGGTTAGAGGAGGCTGGTTGAGACAACATCTTTGTTTTGTTTTTTGGTAGTAGAACATACTGAAACATATGAATACACATGTTGCTTTATCCTTCTCCATTTTACATTTTGAATAATCCATATGCAAGTTCAATGGAAGCTTGAATGACCCTCCTAGCCGAGTGATGAAACTCTTGTAATATTTGTGGAATGAGTGTAGAAATTCATGATAAAATAAGTTTACCTTTGTAAAATAAATTGTCATGTTGTATGAAATAATGTGGCTACTTCTAAAGATGTTAAGAAAGATGTAAGAGAATTTTGTTGAGTTAATGTTTTTGTAGATCTCCTGATTGATTACAATGATGACCAATAGTTTTAGGTGTGACAACTCAATTACTTGAAACTAGACATCATCAGGAGCTCGAGATAAAACATCAACGACTGTGTTGTCTTTTCCTAGTTTAAATTGATTCAAAAGATAAGCTTAAGATCTTCGCGAGCCACTTTTGATACTTTGGCATGACATGTTTGTGATCTAAACTATATTTTAGACTCCTCTAATCAATATAGATAAAGAATATGTCCTTGATGAGATAATGTTTTCATTTGAGAATCATGAGTATGATTGTCATCAGCTCGCATTTGTAAGTGAATTTCAATCGACCAATAATTGTCGGTCCCTAACTAAAATAGGCAATGGACTTTCTTTTTTACATAAGGACAACCCCTACTTCTTGGAGGGAAGTGTAGACATGGCGGAGAAATCAAGAAGTATGTGAACATGTACCATGATTAGAACTATTTTTAGATTTTAAAAAGTTGTTATACATTTACATTCCATTCAAATTCGACCTTCTTTAGTTTGTTGCATGAGAGGCCATG